ACCCGAAGGCTGGAACGGAGTTGTCCGTGGAGAAGGCGAGGGTATTAAGGACGACGACCTCTTGACAGCCGAACAGGCTCTTGAAAAGGTAATTGGACAGCTAGATACCATGCTTCTTGATGCCGAAAAGTCATTTGGCGCTGAAGAACCACAAGGACAGCCAGAAGAAACCTCCACTGGCCTGACCGAGGTATACCCAGGTTTCCCTGAACGTGTCTCAGGGGAAATCATCTTCTGTGATAGTGACAACATCAACACAGATGGCATTTACCCTGGAAAATACACATACCAAGACAACGTCACGGTTGAGCAGATGGGCGAGTACTGCATGTCCAACTACGATACCGAGTTCTCTAAGGTATCAAAAGCTGGAGATATTCTCGTGACTGGTTACAACTTTGGTTGTGGAAGCTCCCGCGAGCAAGCTGCCACTGCTATTCTCGCCCGTAATATCCCGCTTGTGGTTGCAGGCAGCTTCGGCAATATTTTCTCCAGGAATAGCATCAACAACGCCCTCATGGGATTAGAAGTCCCTCGCCTCGTCAGCAGGCTACGTGAGACGTTTTCAGGGCAAGGCAAGCAGGCAACTCGACGAACCGGCTGGACTTTAACCTGGGATGTACGACGAAGCCAAATTGAAGTTAAAGAAGGCCCTGATGGCCAGAAATGGACGCAGAAGGTTGGGGAGCTTCCTCCGAACGTACAAGAGATCATCGCTCTTGGAGGTTTAGAGAAATGGGTGAAGAACTCCATTTCTGCCTCGTCTTAGGGCGTACTTTGTACAGATTTTTCATTATCTTTGATGTATACTATGATATAGTTCCCTCCCTTTTGTTTCTCTTTGGATATAGAAAAACGGATGTAAGCACTTACATTGGCGCTTGTCATTTGAATTTTAGATCCTTTCAATTATACGGTTAGATACTTGAATGATATTAATTCGCTTCCTGCACAACTATTCCACTTATTACTAGCATTTTCGTAGGAAAATAAATAAGCCCATATGTGCACAGTACATCCCAGACAGCATGGAAGAAGTGTCGTTAAGGGAAATAAAAAACAAAAAAAAAATTTTTTCTAGCATGTCTTGGTTTCGATCCAAGGTCCTCCGGGTTATGAGCCCGGCGCGCTTCCGCTGCGCCAACATGCTTAACTTGATGTGGTGGGACAAGCCTTCGTGCTAGTTAAGCCTTACTGACAAGGTTTACCTTGATCTGGAATAGTGTGGCCCACTCCCGCACTTCAGCCAGGATGATCCTCGAGTTGTATACAAAAGCTGCGATGAAGAGGAGGCTAAACCAGGCGGAGATGCTTGTGGAAGACGCTATGCACCTTAATATCTTACTTATGCTGGAATAAATAGTATTATTTTCTGTCCATTACATTATTCTCTCCATTTCACAAAGACTTCGTCTGTCCTAAATCTTTGCGTACATGTGGACTCTTCCAACGGTGTATGGAAGCCTGTCTTGTAGGCCAGGAGCCCAGCCTGCGCTATCATGATCCCATTGTCAATGCAGAATCGCTCATCGGTAGCATAAACGCTTCCGCCTCTATCTCGGGCCATGATTCCCATCATCTCTTGAAGACGCTCGTTGCAACCGACCCCACCCACTATTAGTACCTCCTTGGAGCCTACATGCGCCATAGCACGCTCCGTGATTTCCACCAGCATAGCAAACACTGTCTCTTGAAGAGAAAAACACAAATCTGCGCGAGTAACTACTCCGTCATCATCTTTGAGTGAGTCGATAGTTTCGACTTTTGCACGTCGAGCCACTTCAGCTGCATCCTTCTTCGCTTGCTCCTCGCCGCCCAGCCCATACGAGGCAACCAAGGCGTCCACTGTGGCCAATATACCCGAGAAAGAGCAGTCCATTCCTTTGACAGCATAGGGAATTTCAACGAGCTTTTTTCCTTTCTTGGCCAGCTGTTCAATGTTATATCCTGGAGCGGGGTCGTTGGAAATGTGTAACGTTCGAGCGAAGCGATCAAGACAATTTCCTACAGCTATGTCTAAAGTTTCGCCAAATATTCTATATCGTTGCGAACTATAAGCAATCACTTGGGTATTTCCTCCGGAGACGTATAAAACAATGGGATTTGTTGCGCCGGTTATGTAGCGACCCATCTCAATATCTGCAACTCGAACGTTAGCACCCGTTGTCCATGCCGAATGTCGAGGAAAGTGAAGGAAAGAAGGGAGAAAAAGGACAAGTAATACGTACGGCCGACACAATGATTAACGCCTACGAGCTCCTTCTCCCACAGTAAACTTAACATTCTCGCGGCCAGTGCAACGCATTGTAGAGGAGCACCCATCCCTGGGCCTTTAGTATAACATATGCAATCGACATCGGCCACGCCAATTTTAGCATCTATCAGGGCTTTTTTAACCAGGCTTACAATCCACTGGCGATGATGTCTAGCAGTATCCTTTGGTAAAAACCCTTCGCCTGGCGGGGATACATATGTATGCCGAACATTGGAGAGTACCTGGGGAGTGCCACCATCATCCGGGTGAAGTATAACCCCGACACCCAGCTTGTTTGCCGAGCCTTCTAGGCCGATGGCAATCATAGTAGCTTCGCTTTTGTCTCTTTCTTGTTGGACCGTAATCAGATATTGCACTCTCTTTCAAAGCGCACACCTTTCTAGATCGCCCCTTGATGAAGTGCCAGAACATAGGGCTATGTAGGTTTTTACACGCGCGGAACGAGGAAATCGAACTTATCGATAGGCTGTAGCCACGTGACTAATATAAGGTTTATTAGTAATAGGTAGAACGGCACCCGATGGGGGGAAGTTTATCCGGAAGTTTATCCGGCAAGCACAGACCCGACATATTGTTCACACACCCACCATCTGCCTGGACGACAAACAGACTGACATCCGGGCCTGTGTTGAGACACTGCCTACTTCTGAGGATAAAGGAGCAAGGTGGTGAAGTCATTGTTTTGTTCTTGTCTGTTCCCACCTTGTCAGTCTGCCCTTTTGCAGCATGTCTAGCCCGATGGACTTGTCAGGCAATGACCAGTTCAACCAGCTGTCAGATGACTTCTTGCTCTGGCTGAAGCGGAGCAGCCCTCATTTCAAAATGCATCCCGGTATACATATCGCTGATTTGAGATCTACCGGGGCTGGGAGAGGTATCTGTAAGTGATCTAATCCACATTGTTTGCAGGTAATTCCACACAAGGCCAGAAGACCCGTTTGTTTTGCTGACGTCTGACAACTAGGCGCCTCGCGGGACATAGCCGAAGATGAGGAACTCTTTGTCATTCCCAATGACTTGATCCTCAGCGTACAAAACTCAGAGGCAAGGAGCGTCCTGGGACTGGACGACAAGCAGCTCGGGCCTTGGCTTTCGTTAATCATAACCATGATCTACGAGTACTACCAAGGCGAACAATCGAAGTGGTATCCTTACTTCCGTATCCTTCCCTCGAGTTTTGACACGTTGATGTTCTGGACAGATGAGCAACTATCAGAACTCCAAGGCAGTGCTGTGGTTGGAAAGATTGGTAAGGCTGTGGCAGATGACACCATCTTGCAAAAAGTGGTTCCTCTGATACAGGCCAACTCTCGCTATTTCCCGCCCAGACCTAATATGCCTCCACTCAACTCACCTGATAGTCAGAATGCCTTACTTTGCCTTGCCCATCGTATGGGTAGCATAATCATGGCATATGCCTTTGATATAGAGAAGACCGACGAGGCAGATGAGGACACGGCGGAAGATGGCTATATGACGGATGATGAGGACGAGCCAGCCAAAGGCATGGTTCCTCTAGCAGATATATTCAATGCAGATGCACAGAGGAACAATGTAAGACTGAGTATCTTCAATCATCCACACCTGTTCTATACTAATTTTATTCCCTTGTTAATTTATAGGCACGTCTTTTCCAGGAGGAAGGTTCATTTGTGATGAAGGCTATCAAAAATATACACTCAGGGGAGGAGATCTTCAATGATTATGGTGAACTCCCAAGGGCGGATCTTCTTCGACGATACGGCTATGTCACCGATAATTACGCCCAATACGACGTCGTTGAATTTTCGTTGGATGCTATTTGTAAAGTTGCTGGTTTACCTGATGGCGAGCCTAGCCCTACTAACCCCCGGGTAGGTGGATAAGACCAGATATTATCTCCATTGCATGCTGACTTTTCTCATAGCTTGAGCTCCTGGACAACCTCGACATGCTTGAGGAGGGATACAATATACCTAGGATACCACGGAATGGAACCTTAGAGGACGCAATACCAGAGGATTTCCTTGTTCTGCTTCGGGCCTTAACTCTGCCTTTAGAGGATTTAAATCGACTCGGAGCAAGAAACAAGGCTCCTAAGCCCGAGTTTTCAGCTTCAGAAGCATCCCTGTTACGGACTTTGGTGACTCTTCGCCAAAGCGAATACCCAACGTCCGTCCAGGAAGATGAAAGTATACTTAAATGCCTTGAGCAACAAAACGGATATATCAATGACTCAATTCTTAACCGCAAGAAAATGGCAGTACAGGTAAGGAAGGGAGAAAAGGAAATTCTCACTCAAATTTTGAGCCTACTAGATACCCACTTGATGCAGTCTGACCAGAACGGATCAACGAAGCGCCCAATGACGGATGATGAGAAGAACTCCAAGAGACAACGACAACTTTGAGCGAACTACATCACTATACGCAGTTTCAGAATTGAAATATGGAAATCCAAAGGATAAAGTTTTCGAATTTTTTTGTCCTTGGTTCATTGGTTTTTTCGCTGATATAATAGCTCGCCTCCCAGAAGATTCTTATATGTACACAACGAACAAAGAGCATGACGTCCAGTTCAGCCTGGTCTGTTGCGAAGCTCTTAAAATGAAGAGGAAGTGCCATGGTGGGGAAACAGAAGTGCCTGTGTATAAATCATGGAGCGTGGAGGAGTGTGGATGCAGCATATAAGATGCCGAGGTGACAAAAAGGGGTGATTAAGGTGAGTGGGCAATTAACACAGTCTGTTAAGCTTTCTGTGCTATATTTGATGAGTTGGGATTGACATTATTATGACTGGGCGTAGGAGGTGCACCAGGCAACCGCCGACCATTGGGAACTTGCTGACCGTGGGCCTGTTGTTGGGCTTGTAGCTGAGCCTGGGTTATGGCTTGGTCCCTCGCCTTGGCCGACAGATACGCGCGATGTTGCATGATTTGGATATCGAACTCGTCTTTCTCATAAACGATATCCATGTCATCATCGTCACGATCATACTTGAACCGGTCGAGCTTAATAGGATCCACGCCATCCTTATTACGGAGTGCAAGGTTTCTGCGGTCGATGAGAACACGACCACCACGGCCTACACGCCGGCGGAACGATGGCGTGGGCCTACATGAATCATCTTCCGATGGACTAGACTGCCGAAGCGCTGACCACTGAGTTTCCAGCGATGGGCCACTGTGAATGTCCCGCATGCGTTCAGAGGTCTCAGAAGTAGGGGGTGTGGGTAAGTACTCATGCGTTATTGCCGGCCTGAACTCAGCCTCGAATCCTTGTGGTGTGGTTGGGGTAAGTGGTGCTCGAGTGATGTCTACATAACCCTCGTTCCACTTGGCATGTTTTGCAACGTTCTGCTTGATTTCTCGCAGAATATCGTTTTCCTTATCTGCTTGAACATCTTCAAGCAATTGCAGATCTTCGCCAAGCTGGCCAGTGCTGCGTGAAGGCACACGCAACTGCGGAACATTTGGCCGCTGGATAACAGGAACTTCTGTGGGTTTCTTCTTTGGCTGAACGTCCGAGTCAGTTATGCTGAAACAAAACCCGAGCACATCAGTTGTGGGCTTTACCTTCTGATTGATGAGATCTTCATCATCGTCCTTGATACCAAGTTTCCGCTTCATCTCCTTTACCTCACAGCGCTGCATGAACAGCTGCCTTTCAGCTGCGAACACTTCCTTTCGTCCAAGTTCACGTTGCTGGACCATGGCTATTAGAGTCCGGGCATCTTCTAGCTCTTTTCTCAGGCGTCTGAGCTTCTCAGCACTCTGTGCATCCCGGCCTCGCGTTTTCCGAGCCAGTCGGACTTCTCTACGACGGAAGCAAACATATGGATCACCATCATCAGTGTCTTGCCCGGTCTCAAACTGCAAAAGGATGTCAGCGAATGTTTCACGGCATGCTTGAGCGGGACGACTTACCTTTAAAGTTGGCTGCAAGGGCCGATTCCCTGAAGCTGTCCGCCGCGATTTCCAACTCTCATATATATCTCTTACAAAGGGCCTTAACTTTTCATGTATCATGCCATCGAAACATTCCTCCATTTCCGGGTATGATACTACAGGTGGATTATCGACAGCAGCAAATGGCTGTTTTGCCTGTGCTGTCTCTTCGAAGAAGCTCATCACCTCCTCGAATTGGTCCTCTGTACATTGTGTTGAGGCGTCCCGCTTCTGGTTCATTATCTTCAAAGCGACATCATCCTCCTCAACAAGATTATACCCGCACCCACTGCAGTCTTCTACGGTCGACGAGAATCGGATATACGTCGCCGGCTGCGAAAATACAGGCCTGTAGAGCGTGTCATACTGGACTGAGCTCTGGACAGTTTCGGGTGTCGGGATATGTGTCTGGGCTGCATTTCCAAACGCAGTGGCATTTATTGCAGCTTGCAAATGGAATTCCTAGTCATAAGACCCAGGTTAGCCAGGTTCTTCTACATGTTCAAACCCCAGCGTATAGTGTATAGGTGGTGTTTGCCCCCTATATCATCACGTGACGTCTCCCAGGCAACCCCTTGAAAATTTTGATCACAGGGAGACTTACAGTTTCTTCAGCTTTCTCAACGCCGGTTTCGATAGACTGTAGTGTAGTTTGCGGATCATCTTCGGTAAGATCAATCTGATCCTCTCGAAATATCGGTATCGGCTGCTTGGGGGTGAGCTTTTTCGGACGCGTAGCCCTCATCATCCCCCCAAGCCGTGACATGACTCTCGGATAGCGAAAATAGGCCCTCTCATGGGCATGTGGTGGCCCAAAACAGGTATCAAGCGATAGAGCTATTCATGAGCAGTAAAATGAGGGTTCTGTTGTGTAAATCGAGCGTCGTAGGGTCGAGATAGCGCCGTCGGGAATATGGTGGCAAGGCGGTGTTTTGATGAGTTGACGTTGTCCATGACGCTACAAATCGGGCTGTTTGGGCGCTGTTTGGTAGTCTGGGCCAGCGCATGGGCCTCCAATGCTTCCTAATACGGCTAGCGCAACCTCTCCCAATATCAAAATCTTCGGTGACGCTGGCATGCCCGATTTGGTCTAGCGCGGTCATCCTGAAATCGCCCAAAAAGAGAAAACGTCACTTGCAGGCACATCCAACCGCGCTGCCAACCACCACCACCACCACGTCCATCACTCCCGCCAGCCAACATAATAGCGTCGCCAGCCTACTCCGATATATAACAGTGAATTGATACACCGGTTTTCTTCAAGAAAACGCTACTGATCTACAAAGTTGGCCTTTGGAGTGAACGAGACTTTTGCTTGCTTGCTCCTACCCCCTCCTAATTTCGAGCTTCTCGTCACGATTATGGCTTCTGAGAACTCGTCTTCGGAGCCTGTAATGGATTCGTCTGGCACCCAGGTCTTGGACAAGATCGTGTCTGCGTCTAACTGTATGTTTATGCGCGTCATAAGTTACCGGACAACTGCAACCAAATGCTAACATATACTGGGTAGTTGATCGAGATGAGGTTGACAGGTTACGGAAACGCTTTATGAAGCTAGATAAAGTGAGTTAAGGACTAGAGCCACTCATATCTTTTGGTTGAGGAAGAACTATCCTGGACGGCGCCATACATGCGGATAGACCACGCGAATTCCTACCTAACACTATCTTTGTTTGATTCTCAATAGGACAATTCTGGTACGATCGAAAGAGATGAATTTCTTTCTCTCCCCCAGGTGTCTTCCAATCCATTGGCTACTCGGTATGTATCCATGGCTTGCAATATTTGTCTACTCCCCCTAAAAGAGAATGTTTACCCCGCGCCCAATGTATGTATGCTCCCTGGATCTCGAACAAATGGGCTAATTGGTTTGTGACCATGGCAATGAGGAAATTAGAATGATCGCAATTTTCGACGAAGATGGCGGCGGTGACGTAGATTTCCAAGAATTCGTTTCCGGGTTATCGGCCTTCAGTTCGAAAGGTAACAAAGAGGAGAAGCTTCGATTTGCCTTTAAAGTATATGATATCGACCGTGATGGGTACATATCAAACGGGGAGCTGTTTATTGTTTTGAAAATGATGGTTGGCAGCAACTTGAAGGACAACCAGCTCCAGCAGATAGTGGATAAGACCATTATGGAAGCCGATCAGGATGGTGATGGGAAAATAAGCTTTGAAGAGTTTACAAGGATGGTTGAGAACACCGACATCAGCATGAGTATGACTTTGGGTATGTCTATAATTCCCCTTCCTCTCCTTTCTCACCTCACTCGGAGAAGCGTTATTCTAATGCTATTATCAACTAACTAATTGGTAGATCAATTTTGATTACGCCCTTCCTCGTACTTTCTGTTATTGACGTTCATTCACGACTATTCCTGAAGAGCTTGGGCAGCGCCACCCTGCTTTTCACGAAGCAGTCTTCTGATACAGTCGGCGTTCGCTCACCTCATGCGATGATGACTACGATGCCTACCAACTTCATTATAGATGTTTTATTGCGTCTCTATCCAACTGGAACCACGCTGGACAGGTGGCCAACACCACCTTATATTCAAACTTAACTCACACCGTGGACATTGTACTTAAGGGTTTCAATATCAATAACTGGAGTACGCAGCCCTATATTTCATGGGGCGGAATAATGATGTCAGAATACAAGCATATTTAATGAGTGGGCAATTCAACGCCTAGTTATCGGCCATTGATATTCACCTGTTATATCACTGAAATGGTGAGTATTCTTCTATTATTCTTTTGCTCTAAGGTTGTTCTACATAATCTATGATTGTTAAGACATTTTTAATTGCCACGATATTGGTTAAGTTCTGCCTCTCCACACCTTTATCTTGATCTCTTGATATTTGATATTTCATACTCACGGGGATTTTTTTTTCCCTCCTCGCCCTCCATTACCGAACGGTCAACGTATCACAAAGGGTAGCAGGGCTGGGTCACCAATCACTTGGAGAGTTTAGCTATGCTTCACTTCTGCCTGGTAACCCCCAAATACCCCTGACTCAATATGCAGATGCAAGCGATATTACTGCTACGCATCCCTTACCAACCAAGGCGCACAAGGAACCCATTACTGTCGGACGGGTGAGGTACGGAATAGCCCTTGTGCGAGGTTCGGGATTTGGTAGCCCAATTTCGCGGTTTAATCTAACTTGGATATTCGGGGCCTGGACATCCTAGGGTAGAAGGCTGGTTTCTGCTAAATATACCACAATGATTAAGATTATTCCTTCTCCCACCAAACCATTTTGCCAGCAGGCCCTAGCTTCTCGACTCGGCGGGGGCCTCTTTTATCTCATCTGCATGACTAAAACTTTCTCTACACCGCTTGAAATGTCGATGATACTGGAAGGTACCCATGGCCATATCGCTGAGCATGCAGCATTGACAAGCAAGATTAATATGCACAATTCCATCAGCCAAACGGCGCATGTTCCATTCCCGCGCCCTAGATTACACTTTTGTTATGCAAGCTAATGCCCTTACTTGCATGGCAGTGGGGATCGAGAGGCTCAAAGAGCTTCCTTGCCCTTCGACGCTCGCTTACAACAAGCATCAAGCCGCCAGAAATGATCCGTCGGATATGCTCCAGCTCCAAAGCCACTCCTTGCGGCGATACCATCTTATTTTCAAAGTTTAAGGGCAATGGCCACGCCTCAAATTCGATTATATTTTTTCTCTCATCCTTCCTTGAGCCGTGCAATTTCCAGCAGGTTCTTTCCTGGCCTATCAGAGGTTTGAACTAGGATATACCACGAAGAAATGACATGGACATGGTTGTTAATATTGATCAACTCACTTACCAGGGTGGCGAAATGAGCCCAGCACGGAAGATAGAGGCCGCCCTTATCGGCAGTCCATCTCGTCCCCGCCACGCCCCATCCTGCTCCATGATACATAAATTTTCAAAGCTTGAGGGGAGGAGGACATGGCCTGCTTGAAGATGAAAGAGGTATTTGCTTCTCTTTTTTCCCACTTCTAAGTTCATGCAACCCAACTGTCGTTTAGACTCTGCCCCTGAAACATGAAAGGGTGGTTGTCACTCCAGGGTCGTGTATGATCCTAAAAAGCCTAACGCTGGACAACTTGGAGCCAAGCATCGCTTCCAGCTCGAAAATGCCTCAGACTGATTATAATGATATAAGTATACACCCAAGAACTGGCTCGGAATAGCCCCCGTGCAGCGCAAAGTACCACCAAGAGGCGTGAAGATCCGGGGGTTTCCTCTATTGCCCACTAGTCTTGGATCAGAGAGTGATACCTTCCAGCTCGAAATTATACAGGAATCTAAGGTGGAGATGAGATTCGGAATTTCTGTCTCCTCGTCGTTAGCTTCTTTGTCTCACTCCGCTTCAGTTATTTTAGTTCTGGCAGGCAATAAGATGGTTGTGTATTTGCATCACTAAATACGAAGGAGGTTGGAAATCAAGGTCGGATAAAATTAAACAAAACAAACATGCATAAACTTGACAGCAGGAGTTAAATTGGACGGGTAAGGAGACCGATTAAATAGTTATGTGGATAGGTGGCGTTGGAAACAAGGCCAACGTTTCAAAGCACGCATGTACAATCAGAGGGAAGAAACAGGAGCACGAGGAGAAAAGAAATTATAAATAATATCTATTATTTGAATCGAAGGAACCGGAGATACAAGAAGGCCGAGTAAACAGAACCGAAGGCCAGAGACCTAGAATCTTAGTTTCAGTATGCAGTCATCCGGAGAAAAGACAAGCAACCGCAGCTCAACGTCCGCAAGGAGATACAGAGGGAACTGTAGTTTGGTGAGAGAGAACAAGACCCTGTTGTGTAACGTAATAGCTGAGAATGACTGCTTCGTACATATAACAGCCCGGGTGTAAGCGTTAAGCATATAAACGCATTGCTCTCTGCCTGGCTTTCTTTTTCTGTTACTGTTCGTTGCTGCGAAAATGGACATTTATTTGACCATTCTGACCCAGCACTATTCCCTGAGGTCTCTTAGCTGTGCACATATACTCTGTACAAAAAGCTTTCGAGTCCGTCCCACTCCGGCCATCCAATAATACCGCGCTCAAGACCAGTAAGGAGTAAGGTATGAAATGCAAGGAAGAAGAGGATGTAACCCCAATCTAATAAATTTGAAAGAAAAGCAAAATGGGTATCTTTATATCACTGCAAGTAAACCGTAACATACCCCAGGTCAAGAAGACAAAATGGTAAAAACTGAAAACCAGGCAGTCGGTGTCACGATGAATTGACAGATAGGAAAAGGAGAAACATCAACTGAGGGGGGGAATACTAATGCAAGCAAGACATCCAAAAGAAAACACATAAAAGGGGTCCGCAGGACGATAAACGCGCAAGGGGTGGTAAAAAAAAGGCAAAGAACCAAGAAATATTGCACAGCAAACTGGAGGAATGCTGACGTTGATGCTGCTCCACCGCATGAAAAAGAATGCAAACCCCACTAGACAGGTTGTCCAAAAGTTGATCCTTGAAAGCATTGGTGCCGTGTGGAAGAGCTCAAACGTATTTGGCGAGACAGGTCACATAGTAGTAAATGGTGGAGGGCGTGCGTTGTCGAACCAAGAAAGAAGACACTAATGGAATAACAAGATAAAAATGAATCCAAACATCCAAATGCACCAATCCGTTGACCACTCTATTTCCCTCTAAAATCTAGGACGTTGAATGGTTGATTTTTCCTCTGAGGCCTAGAATTTCAAAAAATCAAAGTAATAAAATAACCTGGAGAGCGCGGCCGTCACACATAACTGTCGTAGGATTAGAGAATGTGTGCGAGATCGAGACAATGGAATAAAACGCGGGACCTTCTTTTCTTTTCTTTTCTTTTCTTTCCCTTTTTTTTTTTTTTTTTTTTTTTTTTTTTTTTTTTTTTTTTCGTTTTGTTATTTTTTTTGGGGCCAATGTCAACTGATGAAGACATATTGAGGATTGAAGTTTTGGCCAGGGGGAGAATGAAGGGTATGAATTTCATGCAGGCTGCATAATCTGGGCGGGTAGAGACAAGTCGGGATGACTCCGGTCTGCGTTAACTAACAAAGCTTGGTGAAACAACTTGTGTTGACGTGCAAGCTTCAAATCACATTGCTCCATCTCTCATATTACGTGGTCCAATCGCGACGAGACAATGATCGATGCGGGCTAAAGGGCGATCAAGTTAATGATCAGCCGTTGGAAGTCTGTTCCTGTTGTTTGATGCACTGGTTTCTTCATGTCCCTCAAGGAGATCGAGACATTGTCCCAGCACTATATTGTCCACGAAATCAGATTAGAATGACCGAATGACGGGAAGTCATATTCACTTACCGCATAATATCTCTTCTTCCCAAACCCCCATTTGGTAGTCAACTAAGCCGTATTGCTCCATTTTGTCACAGAGTCGGACCAATTCTCTTCCTAGCTTTTGTAGAGCGGCTTCGCTTAAAAGCTCAGCGGGACGAACTCCTGTATCGAACATCTCCAGGGTTGTATCTTTCTGCTTTTGACAAATAGCAAGCCAGCACGTATTGAAGTTATTCCACATGTCAATTCGATCAGCGTGAAGGTCTTCTTGGTCGCGAACCAGCCCTAGAATCAGTCATTAGCTCAAAATTATTTTGCACACTCAGGCCTTGCGTGGGACTCGGAGCGCACGACAGAGCTTATGAGAAGTCATATGCTTACCCAGTTCCACTGCATTTCCAAGTAACCATTCTGACATCTCAAGCATAGATTCACTGGCATTTGCAAGACGGCCGGCTTTAATATCGTAAAATACTTGCTTTAAAGTTTGCTGGTAACGGTTGTATGCTTCATCGAGTCCCGAGGATCTCTGCAGAGTAGCTTCTTGTCGTTCTTGAGGATCTGGTCCAGAAGTGGAATTGAAGCCAGGCATGTTCTCAGCAAATGATGCTGCCACACCAGTCCGGCTCACTGGAGGAAGTTGAGGAAACCCAGGCGACTGATCTTGAGGACTTAAATATTGTGCTGAAGGGCCAGCTCCTCCTGAAGATTCATCAGGAGGGAAATATTGTGGAACTCCAAACTGGGTTGCCAAAACCTCGATGGCCGCAGACTGCCGTGGCTGGTAGTACGAAGACGGCGTCTGGTCATGGGGATTAATGTTATAGACAATATTGTGGTCATATTGTTGTAGTCGCTGCTGCTGTTCCTGCGGTGTAGATTGTTGCGTTGGTTGTGGGGGATTTCGTGAGTTGTGAAAACCTTGCTGATACTGTATTGAGCCGCTTTGTAGCTGTGAAGTATTGTAAGGCGTTGATTCAAAATATTCAGATCCGCCGTAAGGGGGAAGAGGGGTGGCCCCATCTTGAGGAGTACTATCGAGTGTTGTTCTCCTGAGAGGGCCTGATTGTTGCGGTTGTCGAAATCGGTCGGAGGATGCACCAGGAGCCTCGCGAACTACCCGACCGGATATATAGGAAGTGTCATACTTCTTCTGATGACCGTCGCCGCCATCCATCCCCCTAAACTGGGCTGAAGTGTTCCCACCCCACGACGGCTCGAGATTTGAGGGTCGACGCGTCGGAGGTGAGATTGGCGGGCTGGCGTAGTATTCCACGTTTCTGGTTCGCGCCGCCAGCTCTGCTATATATCCGAAGGACTGCTCGTTTATTGTTTGGGGTGATGTTATCCCGGAACTGCGGCGTAAAACGGGAGTAGAAGCTGTCCAACGATATGTCAACGTAATTAAGCGGGCCGCTTGGCTCAAGAAGTGCAATGACTGTGTAGATTTCAATCAGCCAAATGTAAGGGTAAGTTGATAGCTTGTTGCAACATTCCAGGATAAGGAAAGTGGACCAAAAAACAACAGTCGAATTCCAAAGGGAGGTTGAGGTCAACTTCAAAGCAAAGAGAAAATGTTTTCGGTCCTAGTGTTGCCGAAGAAAACAACTATTAGGCAATTGTAGTAATATGATCGGTAAGGAGTAAAGAGTCATAAGTCTGCGTGGTCATAAACGTTCGAATCTTTGGTGGATCGTGAACGGAATCATATCAGCATTGGATTTAATAAAGAACGCAATATGATTCAGGTGATGGGAAGCTGAAACTGTTCAACAACGGGCAAAACGAGCGTGGGCTTGGTTTAGGCCACCAAGCAATGTCTGAGGAAAAAGTGTAGATCGAGGAAGCAAGAATCTTAGCGGACACGGCTGTCGTAAGAGGTCGTTAGCTAACGGCTGCTGTGATAATAGAAATATCCTTCACAGCGGATTCTGGAGAGGCGGGGTATATACATCGGCTGAAATGATTATTTTTCAAAAGTCTGGAGGTGGCGTAATAAGTAATATATGAACCGTCTGGGATTGCTTTTTACCCAACTTCGGAACTGGTGGACTTGTTGATGTGGAGATGTCCTGAGCCTTATGAAACTTAGTTTCAACCAGCCGAGTGCCCCTATTTCGCAGACTCATTGCGTGGAACAAATGATGCGAGGCTGGTTGGAAGTATAAAGAGGTGAAGATGCAAAGTCGGGTGGCTATTGAGCGCTTATAATGCAAATCACAGTAGCCCAAACCCAAACTAATGGGCAAACAAATTCCCCAGGCACGTTGTATGCAACCGGCTATAAGTCCCGTCATCCCCCATCGACCTCTTTCTGTAGATGCCGTATATGGTGCGGCTGGATGGCCTGGATTAATCAGTTCACCTCCATACCGATTCTGATCATTTTCCTTTTAGGCAATGGATCTGCTCTGACCCAGACTTTCGTCCTGCATATCGGTCTAACATGAAATATGCTGGAAGACAGGACATACGCGAGGGGGTTCGCCCAGGAGTTTAGCGGTCAACCATTGATCCAGTATGGAAGCGGTATCTACGCCACGAGCAAAAAAAAGAACAAAAGGTTCCGATTTGGCAGGGTATGAATGAGAAAGCTATCATTGACGATTTTGCCGGTATAGATGACTGTGATTGGTTGGTACTCATGGCTTTAACGGCGATCATTCCTCGATTCAATCCTTGCCAGACTGAGCAGCCAATTTTGCTTTCTGTGCAATTTGCAGACTAATTTAAAGGTCCTTCTGGAATGTGAGAGCCCTGGAGGATGGGAGGTCAGCTGACCAGGAACTGAGACAGTAGCAGCGTTGACATCGGGATACCGGCAGAGGTAACTAAAGAGACGAATTGGCCATTTCCCCATCTACTTCAGCTAATTTGAATTTGGAACCGCAACATGCAGGTCGTGGGATCCGGACTGGGCAGGCCGAGAGCAAAAGGAACAATGAACACTTTTTTTTGGAACGCTGAAGGGGATCGGAGCAGGCATCGAAAGCAGAAATCAGGAACATGTCATAGTGGAGAATCGAATCTGGTCTGATCGCCTGACGTTAGCGCATCGTGGAATTGGGGGTTTCGAAAGTAAAAGGAAATAGAAGATAGAAAGGCAAAAAAGAAAGAAACGAGGAATGAAAGAAAAGCAAAAGCTAGCAAATTCCACCAAGCGAAACAGGCGCTGTACCTCCATACGGGAGGATTGGGATTACCTAATTAGGTGGGCCCCCTGAAGACATGAAGCTGAGTGGAGTGCTTTCTTTTTCTTTTTCTTTTCTTTTTTTCTTTCTTTCTTTCTTTCTTTTTTTTTTGCAAACTGCTTGACAGCCTATGAAGAAAACGGTTGACCAGTTTCAGGTACCATCTTGTTTTTCACGGAAGGGACCTTACCTTAATTCGCTGCCTGGAAAGATATCGATAATGCCTCACAGAGTCTTTCAACTGCAGCCAAGTTGCTGTCGAGATACCCTCTGTGTATATGTATGGCCATCACATTCATTCTCTAGTTATATGATGGATTTCCGAGGATAGAAACCCGAGGTAAAGGGACATCTTCATCCTGCTGCCAAGGGCCCGTTGAGCTAGCCGAACCGTTTCTGTTGAGTGCTGTGATGGTTATGATCCACAGCTGGCTCGTTGCCAGGCGAGATTTGTCACGACAATCTCGGGTCGAGATAGGTTGCTTTCTGGTAGTGTTTGTTAGACCATGCAAGCAGAGGGCACGTGGATAGGGATTCTTTTCATTGTACGGAACACTATACGGAGTAGTTCCCGTTATTATTACTATCATTATTGTTATTGTTATTTTCTTGCCTTCGAATCAGTTTCTTTTTCTTGTCCCCTTTTCAGCATCGGTTCGGCACTCACCATGGTTCAGACCCAAGTCGATCGAGGTATCAGAATGCGCCTTTCTTATTTTACCACCACTCTCTTTGGAAAGAGAAACACCGGCGATTCAGCCCCTAATACGCGTGACATGGGTACTGAGCACTCTGTACCAGCTGGCGTCTCCCTCCCCTGTGAGAATTGCGATGGCGTGAATGCTGCGAATGCATGAAAGCAAGCTTGGCTTGTTGGGCCGTTAGTCCCACGAAACAGAGTCCACCCGCTCCTGTCAAGTCTCTGATGTGCCTTGGGGAGCTGTGCAGTTGTAAAGAGTACGGAGCACCCCGTATGCCGCCAAAACTGGGGGCGCGGTTGGTGTTGATATCAAGAAAACACGCGGAGGTGGAGTGAGGCTCTTGGAGTGGTCGTCTCTTTTGCCCAGTTGGGAAATGTGATGTTCCAAGCTCCACCCGCGATCTTTCTTCTATTCCAACGTCAACTGTTTGTTTCCTCTGCCTCCAACAGCCAACAGCACCAACAATGATGTTGCCGCCCCAGGTTTTTCCCTGCACCAAGAGTGGCCTTTGGTATACTTACCCGTACGGCGTACAAGCTCGGATGCCGCAAAATCCACTTTGTTATTTCAGAGCTCACCCCTGGCTTCGATCTCGGTGGGTCGATAACTTAGTAACAGACCCCTCCACGCCGGGGATGTCCCTAGGCGCCAACAGAGGAGGAGATGAAACATGGTTGATGGCTATCAGTCTTAGCAAAAGCAAGACCCTAAGACATGTTACCCCCTTCTGGCAACAAGCGTTTCTCTTATCCAGAGTGTCAGGCGCCATGCTCACGATCTACGGAGTACTCCATACAGCAGTTGTTTATACCCTGCCCAGCTACATTCAAACGAAAGCTTTGGCAACCACAGAAGTCAGAGGTGAGCGGAAGGTTTCACCTCACAACCCTCCATATACTCCGTACATACAACTAGAAGCCGACCCATCACCTGGCCGGTGGCTTATCATTTTAATTATGTTTTTTCATGGCTACCCGTATTTCTTTCAGAGAACAGAAAACCTCTTCGTATTTTCGAAAAGAAAAGAAATCAGACTGCTGGCAGATTCCTAACACAGTGAAGGACAGCGCTCCCCTTATCTCGATCTACACCCTCCAGCTTAGCCATTAGATATGGGGTACGACCACTCTGCTCATAACCTTGTGAGGAAAGTCTTACCACGGCCAAAGCCCATCATCATAGCCCGAGGACCCACTAGACTTTTAGCGAAACCATGAGCACGTCATAACCACCTTCCTCGGCAGAAGCGAATGATATAACAGCAGTCAAAATACCTGGAGTTACTCCGAAGTACTTTTCCTTTAGTCGGTAAAACAGCGTTTTGGAAAGCTAATTGTTCCGGGCTGTCCATCGAATATGGTCTACATATTGACCGACTGATAACGGAATAATCCAAGCTAACTCAACAAATAACGTGTGGGCTAATTGGAGTACGTACAGACTGCTGTGGGTTATGGAGTATGGAGTTCTGACACAAGGGCAAACAGTACCTTGATGGAATCACGTCCTTCATGCGAGGACGATGCGAAATACTCCATCCGGGAAGTAAATGCTTTCATTTGTAACTGTGCAAGTTTACTTAGTATTCCGTATGTAGTTTCTTTCAGGGAGAAAACCGCTTTCCTTCGACACATTTCTTTCAACAGTGACCGACACCAGGCCTCGACCTGTTCAGTCTGCAGATTAGGACACGTTGGGGCTTGCAGATCATCCTTGTCCGCCAGATCTAGAATTTCGAGAATATTTCTCGAAGTCTCAAAGGCAGTCCTGGGTGGAATATAATCTGGCAGCGCCAAAGCCCACCCACTCCCAAGCCCATGCAACTCTCTCATATTGCGAAAATCAGCCTCTGGGCGTTACGCGCTGTCAAAGCCGAATTTTAAGCACCCAGTTAGTCTCAATGTTAACCACCATGATTTGCACGTTGGAGTTCCCCCTCGCTTTCTCCCCCTTTTCGAAGAGCTAGTTGCACCAGTACGGAGTACAGGCTCATCTCTTTCCTGGGTGGCTGATGCATACACGAGCAGCGCTTGTCACTGAAGAAGCTTCCTCTAGCAGACCAATAATGATAGTCGACGGCAACTCCGAAATTCTTACGTACATTTCAGGTGCAGGAAGTTAGCCTCCTCGTACCTGCGTGGAGCTGAGTTCTCACTATCCTACTGGCTAGTAATGAAGTTGTACCAAGCCACTAGGTAACTCAAGGACGCATTTCCCTCTTAGCCAAAGAATCTTGGGAATCAGTTCATTTCCTGAATTTGGAGATCTCACCTTCTGCTGGGCTCCCGATTAGCTTCCTGATTCTCTTCCTTTTGGGCTGGCAAACTCTCTTCAACGCTTGATCTTAGAAGCCAAGCATTCGCCCGTACTCCGGACATCCGTGTGGAGCAGCACTCTATTTCCTCCACTCAGACGCTGATCTTGCTATCTCCTCGCCAGAAGTATGTCTACCTTGACACGGATTAGACCCTTGTTAGGAGAATGAACAAGAGAAAGTTACTAAGAAGCTCGCTCAATCGAGACAAAAAGCACCACGAATCAGCTTTGGTTCCTTTTCGAGCAAATTTCCAACAATAGTAAGGTTATCGAAACAAGGAGGTTCGATAAAAATACTGAATTGCTCCTTTCATTCCTCTTCAAGTTGATGTTACTCTCTTGATAACATGAAGGAATGGGCAGAAATATCCCTGCGTTTTGTTAAGGTATCAGAGTGGGATTAGGCGTCACAGGAGATCAAAGCCCTGCGAGCTGAGGCAGGCCTCCTTCACTACATCGTACTGAGGAGAGAGAGCTTTACAACAACATCTAGGTGTGATGGGTGATGTACGGGAGATAATCAAGCCAATCTGCGGCATTAAGCGGGTCCTCTTCTAAACAAAATGGAATTTTGACTTGCCAACTCCTTTTTGCCTTCGTGATCCCGTCCGTCTTGAAAATGATGGCCGCGGTAAGTGTCGAGGCGAGAGCTGATCAGGAGAGTGGACAAGGGCAATTTTATGGCACGCGCCCTTTACAAGACTGATCTCAGTAGAGGTTTCAGGTCATGGGCCCCTGAACCGGAAATATGCTCCGCGGTCGAAAACACCATCAAAATGACAACACCTGTAGCAGCTTTCTTTTTACGCGCTTCTTGCTCCTTTTTCGATGCCAGATCCCCAAGGCCACTGCTATCATTTGGCTTGACATGGGGTTTACGCCACATGTCAGGTCGATACGAGGGTTTTGCATTGCAAGTGACACAAGCCTGTGGTTGAGATCAACTTGCCGCATGGTTGATCCAGCCATCGAGAGCTGCTATCTTTGCGCTTTCGGGAAATATTAAACGCGGCAGTTGCGACCCCAGAATCACAGCTTCGTATTAGGGACACGTCGACGTTCTTGCTAGGCTGCGAATCTGTTCCTCATATGATGCGAGATACCTACTCTATTCTCCGTACAGGCTACACAGAAACTAAACAGCTGGGAAGATTGTCAGCCGCCACCTATAGAACCCCTGGTCTATCTGAGTTAAGGAGGCAATTCCATTCCCATTTTCCTTACTTAACACCTCATCGGAGAGCCGTCTTGTTACCCTTGACTGTTTTTACACAAGAAGTGCTGTTAAACTTCCTTCTATCAAAAAAAGTGTAGTGAAGTGAAATCTCAGTTGGGGTTTTAATTAATTGTTTGGAAAAACGGTGAATATGTTTCTTCAGACGTACCTGAAGACTCATCGGTCTCTCTCTCTCTCTCTCTCTCTCTCTCTCTCTCTCTCTCTCTCTCTCTTTTTGGGTTAATTGGATTCAATGATTTGGATATGCTCCCCATGCATATACGATGCGCAAGGTTATTCCCGAGAATTTGGATATGGGCTCAGAATGTGGGCGTTAGCTGGATCTAAAATCTATGAGATTTATCTTTCAATGGTGCTGGCTGGAGCCAGCTTCTTGATAGGCACATCCACTCGTTAGTGCTGATCTTATGGGCTATGGGATTAGACATATTAGCGCAGCCGCACTTGCTAGATCTCATGTCAGTACTTCGTACGGAATATATCAATCCAAAATCGTGTTAGTTGAATAGGTGGGTTAAAATCCTAGTACAACCTCTTTAAATAGAATTACATATACGGAGTAGCTATAATAAGATATATTCCACAGTTTTGATCTACGATATAGTTCACAGTGATTTCACATAAGTCTAATACATAAGGTCTGCGCCATCTACATATTCCCCGAGAACACCGTGGAGACATGGAGTACTCCGTACATTTTCTCTTTCTCGAGAGTGTTTTTCCAGTGCATACCAACTGGTGGTTTTCAGAAATATCGTCCACGAACGACTTGAAGTGATGTAAAGGGTAAGAACCGATTCCGGAGGGTGGTGGGGTTTAGTGATTCCACGTAATATTTTTGCGAGCAGTCATAGCAGATATCAATAATCGTCTGAATACCATTCGCTCAGAGGGAGAGGGGGGTGGATGTGGAAAGGCCATAAACTATTGACTATTATTAACTAGGCTTCTACATGTGCAATGTATGAATATCGTTTTCATAAACGAGTGATAACGGGCTATAGCGAGTGCGTCTAAAAATACTACCCGGCCTGGTAATAACACATCATGTAAGTAACCGATAACGGCGAATAATCCTATTACCCAGTCCACACTTAAAATATACATGATAGATAAAATACAGTTTCAAGAGACTATAACTGAAAGAAACAGGATAGCCCCATAGATGCAATAAGAAGCAAAGTCGATGTTGATATTATCGTTTGACCCAGGCGGGCATCTTCCTTGACTTGAGCTTTCCCGGCTTCTTTCTCTCAACTTGACGGGGATCGGTTCGGATGACACCAGCTGTTGATAGATGTTAGTATGAATACATAATTTAAAACTATCCACATCAACGGGGAGGACTTACCTCTTCTCAGGGCAGATTTCAGACCGGGTTCATGGACAAGAAGTGACTTCGCAACGGCAAGAGTAACTGCTTCCGCCTGGCCGGTGATACCGCCTCCACGAGCAACAGCAAATACATTGTATTTATGTAGTCGATTCGTTGCTTTCAACGCCCACATTGCACTCTCTCTATCATGAATTCTAGGGAATACCTCTGAGATGGTCTTCCCGTTGATGATAATCTGGCCATCTCCTTCAACAAGATAAGCAGTTGCATGTGCAGTCTTTCGCCTCCCTATGCCACGAGATCGGCCATGCTCATCAGGCTTCCGTGGATTGAGTTCCCACTGGTATAGATTTCTCGGCCTTGAGAATTCTTCAATGAATTTCGAAACTTCTGCCGGCATTACTTCTGCCTTGATCTTGTTCAACACTTTTAAGCTTTTCAATAGCCTCGCATACCTCGAAACGGATATGTCTTCATTGACCTTTGCCAAAAATTGACCCCTCACCAGCCATGCTACTCGAGGTGCTTCCCTAGGGCCATAGCTAGGCAAATCCATGTATTTGGCTCTCAGGTATTCGAGCTTCAACTCGTAGTCTGTAAATTTGGGTGTCCCGGTAAAGTATGACCGGGAAACGGGTAGCATGCGAGTTGGCTGTCTGAGTGATCCACTGGGATCAAGCGGAGGAGCGGCATTGGGGGAATCGTCAAGGGAAGAAGTAGTGGTCGAAAATGGTTGGTATCGGAAGGCCTCGAATTGCGTCAAGCACCGTGGGAGCCGGAACGTCCGAGCTGCGAGAACCGGCCTCTGCCAGGCCATGATGGTGATGGAGGACCGCAAATGTCGTGGTATCTGGTTAATTGGCGCTGTGCCGGCGCTCTGCCATGTTTGCTTTGTCTTTGTCGTCGACAAAAAAAAGTTCATAATGGGCACTGGAAAATTTGATATCACATGACCTACGGGGATCAATGATGTTCCAGCGACGGAGAAACTTTCCGAAAAGATACTAACAACAAACCGAGTTTTTCTTCTTTTTTCTTCCTTTTTTCACCCCGCCGCAAAAAGTTCTCATCTTCTCATTCTCATCATCCTCACCAGCAAGCAAGCAATTGGAAGCTAAACGACTTCTCTCGTGTCTGCCCGTCATGTCGTTTGGAAAGATCTACGGTGTCATTGTATGCTCGATCCCTGCTTCATCCTCGTTCTTGTTGCTGTTGCGGTTGCGGGCTTGTAGCTCACTGCTAACGTCAAGACTTCTTTCAGGACAACCCACGCGTTTCTGCGTGCCGTATTGTAGCCAAGGCCAACGACCTTGATCTTGAGCTCGTTGAGGCTATCCCTGGTGCTACTACTGCTGAATTCCAGAAGATCAACCCTCTCGCTAAGGTTCCTGTCTTCCTTGGTGCCAATGGCTTCCTCTTGACTGAGTCTACTGCCATTGCGGTCTTCCGTAAGTACTCTACATAGGGACTCCCCTTCCTTCTACTATTTCACTGGGTGATATGATACCTCCCTTCAATTTTTTATGATGAGAAGTTCAATACTATTTTCAGTTATCCCTGGCTTAATCATGCTGTGTTGACTACCTTGACTCTGATTTTATTTTCATATTCTAAACAATCGTGACGTCGTTTATTTGAGACATATGGCATCTTTATTTGCTATACACTTCCACTAACGATTTGTAGTTGCTTCCCAGAACGAGAAGACTACCCTTCTCGGAAAGACCAAGCAGGACTATGCCTCCATCCTTCGCTGGATGTGCTTTGCCAACTCTGAAATTGTTCCAAACGTCGGTGCCTGGTTCCGCCCAATCCTTGGCAAGGAACCCTACAACAAGAAGGCTGTTGAGGAAGCCTCTGCCCGTGCTTTGAAAGCATTCGATGTCCTTGAGCAACACCTTACCAGTAACACTTTCCTTGTTGGTGAGCGTATAACTCTAGCTGATCTCTTCACTGCCAGTCTCTGCTACCGCGGATTCCAGTATGTCCTCGGCAAGGAGTGGCGCCTTTCTAACCCTGCCACTACTAGATGGTATGAAACCATTGTCAACCAGTCCGTTTTCAAGGCTGTTGTTTCTGAGCCTCCTTTCGTCGAGGAGCCATTGAAGAATGTCCCACCAAAAAAGGAAGAGGCTGCCAAGCCAGCTCCTGCCCCCAAAGTTGCTGCTGCCGCTGCCGCTGCCCCTGCTGAGGAGGAGGAGAAGCCAGCTCCCAAGGCCAAGCACCCTCTTGAGGCTCTCCCCAAGCCAACAATGATCCTTGATGACTGGAAGCGCAAGTACTCCAACGAGGACACCCGCTCCGTTGCCATGCCATGGTTCTGGGAAAACTACAACCCTGAGGATTATTCCCTGTGGAAGGTTGACTACAAGTACAACGACGAGTTGAAGATGACATTCATGTCTAACAACTTGATTGGTAAGCATTGCCAATGTTGATTCGGTTTCCAGGGAATCGGAATATTAATTTATGGATTTTAGGTGGATTTTTCAACCGTCTTGAGGGCTCCCGCAAGTATATCTTCGGTGCTGCCTCCGTCTATGGCAAGACCAACGACTCCGTCATCCAGGGAGCCTTCGTCATCCGTGGTCAGGACTATGTTCCTGCATTTGACGTTGCCCCTGATATCGACAGTTACACCTTCACCAAGCTTGACGCTAGCAAGCCTGAGGACAAGGCCTTCGTCGAGGACCAGTGGGCCCAGGACAAGTCTATTACTGTCAATGGCAAGGAATACGAATGCACCGAGGGCAAGGTTTGCAAGTAAACTGTCCCCTTTGACATTTTAGTCACCCCAGTAAACAAAAAAAAAAAAAAAAAAAACCTAAACAAAAAGATACCAGGTAAAGGAAAAAAGCAATTAGGTACATATCCATGACTTTATGTGTTTTGACGACGAACTTGAACACTGCCAAACAGTAATGTTCCTATGCCTGGCTGCTGTTAGTTGTCTACCCTAATGTGAAATGAGTTTCCTAACTTACCCATAAAGCAAATACCCACTAACCTAATGCACCAACGGTTTGTATTGTCTTCTCGTAGCCTGCAGAATTTTAGAATATGAAGTACCTTTTCCGTCATTGGCCAACGGGCACTGCCGCTTCGCGCGGTACTTGACGCTGAGTCAGTCGCTGGGACTCAACGAACCGCTTAGTTGTTCCTTACGGGTATAAATCAAACTGGGTCAGCTTTCTTGTACGCGGCTCCCTTGAGCTTTGCCCGCCTCCTTGTTGCAGCTCGCTTTTGACCTTTGGTTCGTTTTGGTTTTCCATCGTCGAGGTGCTTAGACCCTTCGCTTGTCCCTTCCGTCGTAGGGTTGTCCTTCTGTTGATTAATTGCTGCATGCGATTTTTTCGCTGCACTAATTAGTTGTTCGATGGTGAGGGACTGGGGCGCCTTGATATTCTTGGTTGTCTTCGTAGTAGTAGTGATAGTCGCCTTTTCTTGGGACGTAGAGAACTCGAGTGTATTTATGTCAAGAGAGGAGTGCATCAGCTCTTTCTCCCAAAATGCATCCACGTCAATGCTGTCACACTCCCCTTCTGGCCGTTTCTGATTCCACTCCCTCAGCTTGCGACTAACGTCTTTCTGGCGGGATAGTATATCCAGTTGGCGTATGACAGTGTTTAAATTCTTGATCTCGTCCACTTTACGGTCATTGGTGAATTCAGGTATCTCGATGATATTATGTGGTTGGGCGGCAGCTTTTAATTTGCTGTCGTCTATGAGGACGGTATTCGTTTGGTCCCAAACCTGAGTATCCTCTCCAAGTATCCGTGGAAGTTTCACTTTGTTACTCTTCTTTCGTGGTTTTGTATTCTGTGTAACCTGGTTGGGGTATTGGGATTGGATATGCGCGTCTCCCCACACTTTGTCAAGACGCTTATACACTTGAACTCTCTCCTTGTACTGTTTGGAGGTCAAATCAAGATCTTTGCGTGACCATACTCCGACCAATTGCTTTTTCATTGCGGGGCATAGAAGTTTATCCAGAACCTCATTGACTGTATGCGGTTGTGAGCTAGTCCAAATCATGACCTTGAAGTTATCAAATAGATACCGGAGAAACGTATCTAGGCCAGGACGCTTGGTAAATTGTGGGGGGAATGTACGACGTCTTCGGTATATTAATGTCCCGTTCATATCAAGGACAACAAGCAGCGGTTGTTGCATTTGTGAGGACTCTGGCCGGAGCTTAGCCTGGGCAATGTACTCTTCTTTTGGAATGGGCGCAACGGGTTGTATGTCAGGCGTTGGAGATCGCTGTGCTCTAGTTGAATACGGTCGAGAGCGTATAGGGATGAGATTGTTTGTTGCGACTTGGCCAGCGGGGCCCATATTTGTTGGCATGTGCGATATGCGACTGCTGTATGCAGAAAGGGAGTGATGTGCAAAAATATTGTAGGGTTGAGGGGTAGGTGAGGGCTGATGAAGGTATCTATGTATCACAGTTAAATCACTTAAATTCACGTTAATATAAAGCCAAAAAGCAGAACTCACGAGGAGTCATTATTGTTGTAAACAGTTCTAGGGAGTAATTCTAGCGGTTCATTGGTTGATGCTTGCGCATAAGAGTGAGGGTCAAACGCCTGCGATGAACTCAAAGGTCGGGGTATCTGGGATGAATTGGTATAAGCCCAGCTGATAAAAGTGCCCGGGTTTGCGTCTTCCAGTCCATTTGATATTTCAACATCCTGCGATTGCTCATGCTCGTCCACAGGTGGGAGCGATTGCTCTATGTCTCGTTCTAACATGACATGCGGTGTTATAGTAACAACTCTAGTAGATCTATTAGACCAAGGACAGACTTGTACTTGCTAAACCTCATGTCATTAGTACGTGGCCAGCTATCCATATTAGAAATATTAATACTCACTCGATAGTCGAGGTAACTGCAAGAGGGGATGCCTGAATATTGTGAATGATAGCTAATTCTAGCACCCCAGATCAGGTGATAATTCGATAACAAATGAACAAAGCCATACCGGCCCTTAAGCATGGCCGTAGGCTTGCAGATAATGAAGCCCACTGAAGTTGACAGGATGAAAGTAGTTACTCCATCACACCCGTAATATTTTAAAAAAATTTGGGATTTGACAGGATCACGTGCATAGAGATAAGATAACGATAACAATCAGATAAGATATCCACCGCCTTGGGACTTGGCGTGGCAGAAAAATAAACTTTACCTTTTTTGCGACTTCTTGCAGTGTTTGATATCGAAATTTCGAATATGAAGAAGACGAGATAGCAAGACAAAGCTTGCTATAATATATAATATACTGGCTACAGCTACGGGAGAATATCCAGAGCCAAAAGTGATGGCTCTTTCAGGCATACTGAACAAAAGGGTTACCGCATACCGGGCAGATGAGAATGAACTGGAGGACGACTTCTCAAGCTCTGAGGAATTGAACACACTGAGCAGTGAAGACGATGAAGATGAAGATGAAAATGATGAATCGGAAAATGAAGAAACAGTATGTTCATAGTGGTTTTGGACTTCTATGATATAGAATTGCTGGGTCTCGCTAACCAAACTCCCATTGAAATAGCCAGACAACACTTCTTCCGAAGACGACGGAGACAATGATATCAAATCGTCGCTGTCACAAATATCTTTCGGCGCCCTTGCCAAAGCCCAGCAATCTCTTGGACCTCTGAAGAAAGGGGCTAAAAGGAAGCACGGGAGTGAAGAGGAAGAGGAAGAGGAAGAAAACAATACAAATACCAAATACAAGAAATCCAAATCAGACGCCCTGAATGAGCTTCGCGAGCGAATCCGAAGAGCGAAAGAGGAGAAAGCTTCCAAGTCAGAGAGGTCGAGAGACAGTGAGCTATTGGATAAGAAACACAAGGAAGCTCGTTCTTCCAAACATGCGCCTGCGGTCCAATCAAGCAAATACGCAGTCAGTCGCCGACGAGTTGTTGTTGACGGAGAAAACGTGGCACAGGCCAAATCGAGGGATCCGCGGTTCGACAGTGCAGTACAAAGTTACAGCCACGGCGTCAAATCCTCATCTTACTCCACATCTCATTCTGATCTAGCAGCGGCTAAGAATTATGCATTCCTAAACGAATATAGAGATGCAGAACTGAAGGAACTTGAGGAAAAGTTACGTCGAAGTAAGGAAGATGATGAAAAGGCTCGGCTGAAAAAGATGATCACGTCTATGAAGGATAGGAAGAGGGCGATGGAGAACAGGGAAAGAGAGAGACAGGTACTGGCTAAACATCGGAAGAAGGAGAGAGAGCTGATCAAGGAAGGAAAGAAGGAGAAGGCGTGGTTCTTGAAGAAAGCAGATCTGAAGAAGGAGGCTCTGAAAGAGAAGTATGAGTCGATGGGAGCTAAAGAGAGGCAGAAAGGCATCGAGAGGCGGAGGAAGAAAGTTGCTTCTAAGGAGAAAAAGGAGATGCCTAGAAGTAGAAGGATTGTGGAAGGGTGAGACGGATATTATTGAGGATATTGACATAGGGTATTCTATCGTGCCTCTGCTTCCCTCTTGTAAGCATACGGTACTCTGTTTACGTCGAGCTATGATACTCGGCGTGGTTTAAAATGCTCAACTTGAAGCCATAGATCAAGCTTAACATAGTTGTAGATTATTATTATATGGGTCGGTTACATCTTTTGCAAGATTCATCTATGCAGACACAATAACGATGGAAGGTATAGAAGGAAAGATTTCTCGGAGGGGAAAAAAAATACTTGAATATGTTTGTTGGCTCCTCTGTTATAAATCCAGAGCAGGCGCATGATATGGTCAGTCATAGGAGAGATGAGAAATTGTGGAAAGAAAGGAGTCTGAGTGGCAAAGGGGGGAAGGGGGCGTAAGAAAAATAGTTATATATGACAGCATTAATCCAACCCAGCATCCATCCCAATCATGAATACCCAATATTATGCCACACTAAACGATTGAAAGCAAGGAAAAAGGAAAATAAGGCAGGGAAGGAGATGTTAAGAGATGTAAGTAACTTGTATGATAAGTGTAGTGGGGAGAGATGGAGAGAGCGAGAAATGTAAGGATAGAGAAGAAATGGCTGCTAAAAAAAAACATCAAAGGATAGAAGAGGAAATCGAAATGAAAAGGGCCGTGAGACACATCCACAGTAGCCAGCCCGCGAATGAGTATCGAGGCAAAAAGGGAGAGAAGGGGTTATAAAGTAAAACTCAAAGGTCGGAAGAAAATAAAAAAGAGAAAGGACGGACAACGAGCGCATGAGAGGGAAAAAATCCAGAGAAGACGTGCTCCGTAAAGAATGGGAAAGCGGTAATGATACCGAATAAGTATAGTCACATAACAGATAAAACGAGTGCAAGGCTGGAGCAAATGGAATATAAAGAGAGCTAAGAGAGTACTATGAATGGAACAAGTCCCATGCACGAGCACATAAACTTAAGAACTCTTCCTTCTTCCTTCGCTGGGTATCAGGCGAATCTCGTCCAGCTCCAAAGGGCCCATGTGAAGTTGGAGGTCTATATCTGTGCTCGGGGCCGTTTCCAAGAGGCGGGCTGCCATGATCCTGCTCATACTCGTTTCTAGTGCGTCGACGAGCACCTGAACCGGGGAATCCAAGTGACGATTGACTAGGGAATTGGCTGCTGGGTGGTCCGCCGCTAGTATGTGGTTGGTGATGTTGTGGTGGGTGGGAAGAGTGGCCCTCCCCGTTTCCGTTGTGGGCCCCTGCAGGTGATCGAGGGCTGTTGGCCCTGTTCCCACTGTAATGAACTATTCGGGGAAGAAGATCCTCGCGCCCACCAGCGAGTTCATGCACTGCTTCCTCGGCAGAACGGTATTCCCGGGGTCGTTTGGTTGCTGCGCTATTAGGTTGATTGGCAGGAATGCTGGGAGAAGGAAGGGGCCCATGGTTGTTGGATTGAGAGTGTGGGCCGAATCCATTTCGAGAGTTTGCTTCACGATCTCTATCTCTGTCTCTGTCTCGTGGGCCTAAAGCATCGGTGCCAAATACGTCTGATATTGGAGGCAACCGGTTGTTGGTCTGGTTGGCTGGGTTGTGATTTACCTGGGGGGAAGCGGTAAAATCTGGAGGGTTGATAAAACGGCGAGTTAGAGGTGGTGGCTGATGGCGGCCAGTGAATGTTTGGTTGAGCGGTGCAGATTGAATGACTCTTTCGTCGGCGAAAGTGGCAGCAGACGGAGCAACAATGGACAGCCCTGGGGGTGGCCGCTTCTTGCTCGACTTTGGTGCAGCGGAGCCAAAGAGATTTGATTCTGAGGGTTTGACTGAATCCGGACCGTCACCCTTGGCAGATTTCTGTAGGCGAGACTCAATTATAGAACGTTGCTGGTCTCTGACAGAGATGCTTCTCTGCAGCTGTTCTCTCATGTTAGGATCCTGCGTTTGGAACCCAGGGGATAGACATGCAAGGCCGACGTCATGCATGGCCAGTCCATCTCGAGCTGTCAACGGTCCCCTGGCAGTGGCTGGGCCCTGGCTGCTAGCTACAGACGACAGGTCTAGCTTCTGTGGGCGGTGCCGGCTTGGTCCAGTTTGCATGTTAGGGGACGGCGGGGATTCCTTTTTGATAGATATTTTCGGAGCTGGACCCCCACTCCTCCGGGACCTGGTATAGATATACAGGTTAGCCTTGGGTTAAAAAAAAAAAAAAGAAAGAAAGAAAGAAAGAAAGAAACAGCCCAGTGTTGTATATGCGCCAACTTAGCTGCACTGGCATGTATATACGGTAGGATATAAGGGTGTATAGAGAGAGGCGGAAGGGATGCGGGGGCCGGACTCACGAGTTGGGAGACCGCTTGTCGTCTGGAGTCGTCTTTTCTCCTGCATAATCGTGGACAGGAGGGCCCCTCGGCGTGGACACTGATGGCCGGGAGGTCGATAGAGGCGCCAGGGCCGGATATGTCTTGGGACTGAGGTCTCTGTCTCGGTCGACCATTGGGGGCAACGGTGCTGCTGTTGGGGGTGCAACAGCAGTGGACATGTTCACGAACGGGAGCAGCAGCCGGGTAGTTCAACGACCAGCAGTTCGATGGAGGCGGCGGCGGGTAAGACAAAGAGCTTGCGCACAGCCGGCCGAGAGTAACAGAGCGAGGGCGTCCTCCTGCTGTATAGTATCTTGGTGTATCGACGTTTGGGTGCGGTCGAGATGTTCGACGGGCGGCTGATATATCAGACGAAAGCCGCAGGTTACTTTCGACTCTGCGGCACGCCAACGCCGCCTAAAATAGCTCGATGGCTAAAAAGATAGGATCGAGAGAAGCGAGCGAGCGCGAAGAGCAGGTCCTGTATGAGGGTCGACCTGTCTTCCTGTCCTGATGCGCGATCGCACTATTAGCCGCCGTGACAAGAAGCAGACGCTGTGAGACGAAAGGAGAGTAGCAGCGACGACGACGATGAGGACGACGACGAGGACGACGACGACGAAGCAGAAGAGAAAGAAGACGAGAAGAAGCTAATCAACCCCAGGCAGGCAGCAGAGAGATCGCATCGACCGGAAGCCCACTCGCGATCCCTTAATCCCCTGGCATACGAGGTTTTGAATACCGTGGAGGGCGGGAAGAGGAAGAAGCGATACAAGGGACGAGGGGGCCGTCAAAAGCAATAAAAACCTGGTATCAGGGGGGGAGGAGGGAGGGGGGGGGGGGGGGCTTTTGCTCGGTCTGAGACTCTCTGACAGACAGACAGACAGACTGGCAGACAAGATGCCCGTCGGACAGACGGACAGGCGGACGCTGGTGGTCTCTTGCAGTGGCTGCTTGCCGCCGCTGGCTCTGCGCTGGAGGAGAAGGCTGGAGTTGCAGGGACGGCGGTTACTCACCGGGACGAGAGGCTCACAGCACCACGGCAGGCGACAGCGACATAAGGCGGATACAGAGGGTGCACACGGTGGCAGACAGACAGAGTCTGCGAGAGATAGAGGCAGAGAGACAGAGAGAGACAGAGAGAGACAGACAGAGAGAGAGAGAGAGAGGGCTATCGAGAGATGCGAGGAGGGCGGCGGCTAGCTGCAACAGCCTCACGAATCACACACTCACAGTGCACCCGGAACTCCCCTGGCGGTATATGTATATTAAGCGTATACGGGCGAGGGTCGACTATCCAGCAGGCAAAGCGTCCAGCGTAACGGATGACGGACTGGCCTGCTTTTCCGCGCTGCACAGCAATATAAAAAAGAGAGCGAAGGGGGGGAGAGGGACAATGGGGGCTTTGTCGAAAGCTGAAACAGGAGCAGTCCGTGGAGGCGACTTCTGCGCATCTCCTCTGACACGCTGAGCTACAGGACGGCCTCTTTTAAGGAAGGATACAGGTCGATGCTGGGCCTTACGAGCTGCCCGGAGCCTGGCCGCCGCGGCGTCGAGAGGTACATGCGGCCAGGACACTGCTACGGAGCACACTATCAGACTGAGTTACAGTTACGGATGTCGCTTCGCCTGCGTCCCTCATGCATACAACGACAGCATTAACACAGCAGCTATCAGAATGGGGACCTTTTCGGCCTTCCCCTGTGGGTGTATATGTATATATAAAAGGTACGGGTAACAGGGGGCGGTGGTACTCGGGAACAGGCTAGGCCTCACGACGTGCTGCTGCTGTTTCACCAGTGTTTCTCCACGGCTGCCCCCTAGCTGCATCGACGTGCTCGGCGGCCGCCAGCTTGTGATTCGAGGAGCAGTTGTTGGCTGAGCAGATGTCGAAGCAGACGTCGAAACAGACGTCGAAGCAGATATCGAGAGAGTGAAGACCGCCGGGCAGACAGACAGGCAGACTGGAAGAGGACAGACGGACGGGATAGGGGCCATGGCCGAGCGCCAGAGCCAGGCCAGGCTGGGATGACTGGAGAGGGAGGGACCTCCTCTCTGTATAAGGCAGTTACTTGAGATCCCTCCGTGATAACAAGGAATCTGAGACTCGACATCCATCTACGTGCAGGGTTTGCGCATACCATCCCCGCCGAACTATTGGATTCCAGAAGAGCTAACCCCCCTGGTGTGCAGAGGGGCCTAATCCACCGCCTGGTACATAGAATCTCGTCTGGAGATGCACTCCTCGCTCGCCCTGGCGACTGGTAGGAGAGCGTCCGTCGACCTTGGGGGATATCGCCTGCTACTCTATACTCCATACCTCTTGCTGGGTTTGCATCTGCACATCCCCTCGCACACTACTAACTATGGATAGCTATGGAGTACTGGCGGGATTTTCTTTGCTCAAAGGGGAGAATAAACGAAAAAGCAACGGGCAAAAAAGAAAAGGTACCCTTTGTTTGGTACTACGCCGTTATCTATTGGCCGCTGTCTGTGGCGGCTTTATGGCCTTTCTCATGACATGTCTGATATCTGCCAGACCTGATTGGAGCGACGGGCTCTTCGTCCCTCCCTTCCCCCCCAGTCCCCGGCCCCTTTGAGATGCAGATGCAGATGCAGCCTGTGCCCGCCGCTGCTCCGTTTGGTAGCTCCAGGGCTAGATCGAGCGGCCAACCATGAGCTCTCCGCCGTTTGGAGCATCTTCTTTCAGCAGAAGACCCAGCAGGCAGCGAGGAAGCAAAAAGCCAACCCTAAAATTATGGGCATCGAAACCTAACTCACGGACCGTTCCTCGGCTCCTCGAAATTTAGGTATATCGAGATTCGTTTTGTCTCAGTACATAAGTATAAGCTTGCCAGGCGCACAGGGATACGTCGATAGCCTGTGGACATACGGAGTATGTGTCTGTGTCTGTGTATATATTGGCAGGGCGCAATCTAAGACACTCGCTTTCCCCTCCTCCTCCTCCTATTCATCTTCTTCCTACTATCTTCCACTACTGTGAGATGGAAGAAGGGGTTGAGGAGAGGACTTGAGAATACGAGAGCGAAAGAAGGTCGCTCTGAGTAAGCTGAGGGATGCTGATCGACAAAGCAAGCCATAAAAAAGTACTCCGTATCAGGCAGACATATTCTCGTTCCTCAAAAACACCCAATAATACCTACTTCCATACATCCGTCCAAAAGGAAAAGCAGTGCCTGACGCTAAAGAACAGGAGTGGTTGAGATGGACAAGCTATTCCCACATTCAGAGTACCCCGAGGACCAGGAGCACTCCAAAACGATCCTGACTATCCACGTCCTCCGCAGCGGCCTGGCTGCTAGCTCAATCCTCTCCGTCCTATCAGGAACATTGACAACACTCTACAAAGAACCGTCTGCCCTCCTCTCCTCCCGGCATGGCAATCGGCTCCTCATCCACGCCAGTCGCGGGAGTGTAGCTGGCTTCCTGCTCTCCGGAGTGATGCTCACAACAACGATGTGGGGGAAAGAAGACATCGAGTGGCAGGACAGAGCCTGGCTGTTGCTGGGGAGTGAGGGACAGTGTGAATTCGACAAGTGGCTTGCCGCTGGAGGAGTGCTTGGAGGCCTGGGAGCGATGGCGCTCGGGAAGGGCAGAACCGCCGCCAGCGCAGCAGCGGCTATCAATAAGAAGCCCGCCGTCGTCGTGAAGCCGCTAGAGGCTATAATGGGCGGTATAAGCCTGGGAACAGCATCGGGGGCGGCTGGTTGCATTGCATGGAGAATAGGGGTTCATGGGTCATTCTTCTAACCTAGTTATCCTCGTTCATAGACCCTTAACTAATAATAATAATAATACTTACTCCGTGTATATATCGCCGTTTCTACCTCTCCCTTTCCATGCCTTCTACGGGGTTTGCATATCCGATAATTAATCTATATGTACTACACAAATTTTTCTGGTCTTAGCTATATTTTTGCGTCCATCAGTAGTCTTCCGTCCTAAGCGAGCTGTAGGATGCCGGCATGCATGGACATGGACATGGTCTCATGTAACTCTGGAATAGATTAACTGTCAAATTGCCGGTGGCTCACCTTTAAAGCCATGACTTCTACTCCTACGGAACACAACTTTTAACGCGGACCAAGAGAACCTCGGTGACCTCATGGGTGGCTAGGTATGTTTCTGCATTGTTTGAACCCCGAAAATATATAAATGAGCTACCTAAGTTTAAATCCAGCGGAGACAAATATTGACGCGCCTCGTGGAGATCAACAATGGATCAATTCAGCATCAAAAAGGGGAGGGCAGGTGCCAGAACGATTTGAGACGCCATAGTTATGTCAACCACCACCACTATGCTCTGAGACGTTGTCCTTGGATACCCGCTGGTTTCTGCCATCGTGCCATCAGGAGGAGGGAGGAAGCTTAGTTAAACGAAAGAGAAGATGTTCGTGGGCTTATCGTAACGTTCCAACTTGACCGAGGCGGCCTCTATGAATTTGTCAGTGACCTCGAGATTTATATGATCAACAGAGATGGAGAACTCACTCGTGCATTATAGCATCTGAAGATATAGTTTATCCACGGCGGTAGCAGTGGCCATCACTTCCGCAGTGGGTGGTGCCACGGGCGCAGCAGGCCCTTGGACAGCAGGAAACTGCCTGCCTGACACAGCAGAAGTTGTATGCACGGCAGTACAAGGGATGGCTGGGAGGACACTGAGCAGCAGTAACGGACAAGAGCTGGGAGCTGGCGTCCATATCAGAGTTCTCCTGCATCGGAGCCTCCGCGATCATTTCACTTGGGCTGGGGGCAGCGAGGGCGCCTCCAAGGAAGGGGATGAGGAAGAGGACTGCGAAGAACTTCATTGTGCTTTACGGGTAGTTGCTTTGGTGCTAGGATCCTGATTTTTTCTCTTTTTGTTGCTGTTGCTGTCCGGTCTTGCTGTTGAATTTCCTGGCTTAATAGGGGAGATGAAGGCCTCTTAAATAGCCATGGACTCGTGCATACATCCCGTTTAATACCTCTCACAACTATCCCCGAGGAGTTGTATCCTTCGCAAACAAACGTCCCCAGAACAGTTCATCAAGGGTATACTAGCCACTTTTAATCAACGCTGTGTTACGCCGTAGTCCTCTAGTCCCCTTCCCCGCGCCGGAAGGGCAGATCGCCATCATTAATTTGTAAATCATTTCCGAATCCCAATCAACCTGTTGTTGGTAGACATCAAAGCCATCAGAGATACCAAGCGTTATTGGTTGGTAGGCTTGCAGTTTTAACAGAAGGCGCAGGTGGAATACGATATTCTTGGTTAAGCAGCAGATCGTATACTGTACGACCCAGATACCACCCATCATGGACAGCTCCATTTCCGGCGTTTGTTTCCACTGACTCAGGGAGGAAACTCAGGCTGATTGGTCCGAGCTGCCTTTGTATCACTCCAGGAAGATCGTGGTATCAGCTGAGCTCCCGCAGAATAAAGGCAGAAAGTGGGTAAATGCGGCTCAATAAGACTAAATAAACCACGTTGTATGGTAACTTGACCCACAGGCAAGAGAACAGTATCAATGGTGGCACAGACTGTCCGTATCACATCAGGAAGCAAAATAGATAGCAAGATAATATCATCGTCTGCATATCATTTCGCTGCAGAGCGCAGGAATTTTGCGGTTGGAAAGATTTGGCGGCCCAGCCAGCCGGCCTAGAGAGATGGGTGGTTAGACAGAAAATACGGGAGAGCCACAGGTTCCGTATTTCTCCCAAAAATATGAGTGTCCAGATCGGCCCATGCAGACGATCGAGAGGTCAACATGGACAAGCCAGGGAAAATAGCGTAGGTTATATCGGAATGGTAAGGTTGCCACTATAACCACCTGTTAGTAGGACGAGGGAAGAGACACCCCTGGCAACTGGACCAACGTTGAATGGTATTATTTTGTATATTGTTGGTTATTGGCTAGGAATCAAAAGGATTCAGTCAGGCTAAGGGACACTGGTGACAACGAAACAGCCTAGTGTGATGTGTCGATAGTCAAGGCTGCCTATGCAAGAGAAAAAAAAAAAAAAGGAAGCTGAGATAAACTCATGAACACACGGCATATTGGGCAAAAGAAGACTTGACCTCCAGTGATAAGCAAGTCACTCCAGTAACGGGCCAGTTGAATACGACATACCTTCGAACCTGATCCAGTATCCAGCAAAACTCTGTGGCCTGTGCTTAGCCACTGCAGATCAGAACGCCAGACGAGCAGAACAACAATTTTTATCTCACTCTCACGCCTGGGTACCTCATACGTGGGAGTCAAAATGTGCAACATCTACCGTAGCTAAGGTTCAGTTGAACGTGATGGAAGATTGATGGAAAGCGAGCTGAAGAGGAAGTGAAACCATAGTGCTCTTAATTACCCTGCGCCAACTTCACTCTTCTTGAGGCTTGCTGTGTAACAACGAGTTGCTTCCTAGCCAATGTTAGCCGAGTTTGTGATAAGTTTCCGGAGCCCTGAGATACACACCCTCGTCTATTTTTAGCTCATGGCTGCAGGCTTTCTCCAAATCCTTTGCTTGTTCACGAGGTGTTTGGTTCTGGCCCATTGGCAGCGTAGGCTGCTTGGGAACAAAGGATCTGGAGAAGGCCCTTTGCAAGAAACGAGTGAAAAGAGAAAGCAACGCAGTTGCGTGCACTGAAGATTCAATGAATAGGTGAGAAAATGAAAGCATCGGTATCTTCATTTCTGTCTGCAGATTAAATTGCCTTGACCATTTCTGAAGATACTGTGGGATGCATTAACCGTTCAACCAATCTCCGCCTATCCTTCCTTTGGGTATCTCCATCGCGTATCCAATGCTTGGTGTCTGTCAGCCAAAAAGAAAAGTATGCATATACTTGTGTCGTTAAATGTTCATGCCTGGAGAAAAAATATAAGGAACAAATGACCATGACTAGGAGGCACCACCCATCCCTCCAAAAAAAAATGCAGACTCGGCATATGCCGGATGAATAGGAGGTGCGTCATTTTAACCATACTTCAACCCAAATGGGGTATAAGGAGCATGGAACCCCGAAAACCAACCAAGAACATGATCATGTTGTTGGCCCAGTCGGTTTGTACAAGATGGTGGTGACATACTAAAAATACTATCAGCATAAATGTAGTAGGACAGAAAAGTAACGTGCAGAAGCATGGGAATTGGGAGAAGGTCGCACTTTTCGCTTATATCTAGTTGTGACACTAGTCGCCAGGACTCCATTTTTGATACTGCTGGTCGCTAGGTGGTTTAAAACCGTATGATTGGGATAATTAAGCACACTGTTGTCATCCTTCATAGGAGTTGTGCTATTTAATATCGACCGAGCCAGGAACAGGGGTAGCATAGGCGGAGCTCGTGAATCCCGGATAACGTTGGCAGCTTGGTGGTACCCCTCACCGTCTTCATTGCGGTCAATGTCAACCAGGAACTGAGGAATGATATTACGAAAGTCACCCATTGGGATTTCTTCCTCCGGTTCTTCTTTGTCTGATTCTTCCTGAGGCTCCGTGGTGTCGATGGGTAGGGACTCCGGGAGGACTTTTGGGGGGAAAATCTCGGGTGGTATTATAACTTTTGGTGGCTTATCACTCTCTCTCCGCGGCCGCTCAATTTCATCTGCGCTTATTTCGATGTAGTTGACTAAGTGATTTGTGAAATCGACTGCAGTAGGCAATTGATCTGATGTCCGCATAGTGCCATCTACTATAAACTTTAGATGGTGTGTGCCCGGCCGTAGCTGGAGCACCGTCGTGAACACCCCATTTTCGATATCACTATGGTCAATCAGTTAATAAAATTAAGTCAAAAAAAAAAAATCTTCGGGTTTATTCCCTCTCTCAATCTTGGTAAGTGGATGGTAAACAACCTTTTGTGTAATTTGAACTTCCTTGCCCAGTTCACGAATGTACCAGTCACATAAACCTTCTCGCCGCCGCCTCTCCAGTCGATAGTCGTGGGAACAGACTTGTTAAACCCCGTTGGGACAATGGAGTCCAGTTCATCCTGGACAACGTCGTCTTCATCAACCGCAGGATCCAGTTCCGATTTCTCGATCGACACCTCAGGATTTGCTTTGTCGAATGCCATTGCGGCACCTAGCGAGCCGCTTGTGATCGGGGAACCGGGTGCTGTCATGGCATCGCCGATGGGTAGGGGTAGTCGTGGAGGCCGGGTGAGGTTGGAAGGGTTGGCATAGTATATGTTGACCGGCCTAGGCGTCGAGAGGGCCTCGCCCTGATCACGGTTTGAAGGAGCGGAAACGTTATCAGAAGCCGGAATGGCCGGCTGCGCATGAGCAGCCTGTGAACCCCGGAAGTGAGAATGAACTGGAAGATCATACTGGTCGCCTTCGCGATGTTTTCGCGAGTTATGACGTTCCAGTCTCTCCCCGCCAAAGCTGGGTGTCTCGACCGTCCGTGACTGCAGCCGCTGGTGGACAGGCGTCTGCTGTTTCAAGGCAGCATGGTGACCGGTAGCGCTCTCCCTCGAGTGCGATGGGTCTGCTGCCGGCGCCTTTGAGCTGGACAGCGCCTGTATCGAGGTCCTGCGGTTCACTTTCTTGTCCACGCCGGCCGTCGCACCGGGGGCTTTCGAAGGGGCGTTCCCCATGGTTTCGCGCCTCACTCGCTCATAAAACGGGGCGGGGCCTAAACAGCTCTGCCAGATCAGCCAGAGAAAGCACAATCTCAGTTCATTGCACCTCGAGCGTCGACACAGGAGTATGCGGCGTCTCCCCTTGCTGGCATCTCTATCTCGCGATCGTCGAACAGACGGGAAGCGATGGAACCTAGAGCCGCCTGGCGTCTCTTTTGGGCCGACAGTGGCCGGAGTCGCTGTTTTTCCGCTTCCGGCCGACCTCCCCGGCCGGCGCGGGCCCCTGCGTTCCAATGGAAACCTGCCTCCCATCGACCTGACATCCCTACAGGGCGGCCGCAACTATCGCATCTTGCAGCGTTTCTTGCTCGCCTAGAGACAAACAGTTGGGCGATTGCAGATAGACGCCCTCATCGGTTGGTGGATTTATCGCCTTTATCCCTCACTCGCCATGGAACAGGCTGATCTAGCTACCTGAGAATGCAAACCACCGGCGAGCGTCCAGTTTAGTGTTTGATAACCGAAAACACTCACGCGATCACTAAGGATACCCCGGCTTTAAAGGCAGTCGATACAGAGTACACTGGAAATCAAAGGAGCTGCCTACTGTCTTGGCCTGCTCCCGCTACTTTCGATGTATGGAGGGTGGCAGATGGCCGCCCACCTGGGTGTTGTTCTCTGTGCAGTCTTGATTCTGGGGATGCCTCTATACCACCTTAGCATATCAAACCTACTCGAAGACCGAATGATGGGATGGGCGTCAATTCTGACGTACTATACCGTCTATCCAGTCGTGTTTTTCTCGAACATAGCTATCTTTATTCTGAGCTTCCTGACAGCTCCGCTGGTAGAGGTCTCGTCCCATATACTTTACATCTCCTTCCTACCGTGGCACCTGTCTGCGAAACTGGAGGTACGTATCGAGTATTATAGATGGCATTTTTCGTTCTAGCGCGTTTCATGCTTGGTTGGGTCAATTTGCTAGATTTCTCTTCCTAGTCATTTTTGCAAGGATCTCGCTCTGTATGCTGCCGTGTGCTAATGCTATACTCCATATACGTAGCCTCTATACAAGTTCTTCGGTGTTGCAGCAGTGATCGGTATCGCTACCGGCTGGGCTCTATACCTGTCTAGCTCTTATATCTGCCTCCTACTCAACCTATCGCCCGGAACGGAAGCGGAAGCGGTTCCAAAGCGGCTGCCGAAGCGTAGCCCAAGTTGGGAAGACGAGGCTCCCGTCAAGTCGGAATGGGCCACGCAGTTCGTCAACGCAAGTGACAGCATAGGCGATTCCAGCTGGAGACGTAGCCAACCGGGACCATCAGGTCTAGGTCTCAGATCTCGCCGTCTAATGGGCGCTAACACAGCGTCATCGTAGCTTAGCTCGATCTTTGTCTTAGACCGAGACGAGGGTTGGGCGAATAGCTAGATCTCATAGATACGATCCAAGTGGTGAGCACAGGTCGAATAACACTCAGTGTACGCTGGCAGTACTTCTCCCATCGCTGTCTCTACATTCTACGGAAGTACTCCATACTGATATCTCCCTGACTCCACGTAACTACGCCAGTGTGACAGCTAGTCACCTAAGCAGAGACAAGAAAAATCTCCGGCCTGGTTAGCTGCCTCACTAGCTAACTAATTAACTTAACTAGCTACAGGCAGGGCCTTGCTGGGGGCAGCCCGTCTCCAGCGAACGGGCCATCCTTCATCGATAATGGAGTGCCAGCCTGACACCTTCGTCTTTGACATCCTCGTCCCGACGTCCCTTCATGTCTCTGCTGGTCAACTCCCCGGTCTCTCCAGCTGCTCGCCTTTCTGCTCTCCTTACTCCGTATGCCTCCAAGCATGTCCTTGTTTCACAGTTCGTATACGGCCGCCACGTGACCGAGCCGTGTGCAGCCTCTTATTGAACGTCCCAGCTTGGCTTGTTTTCTTAGCATTTCCATCTCAACCGCTGGAGTTGGACCAGCAGACGAGTCCAAGTAGGACGAAGACACCGACGTTCTCGTCTCTGCCTCTCCTTTCCTCCCCGCTCGCGAGATGTGAATGATATCAAACACTCGCTCATAATCACGACGTGGAAGACGACGATCCCCTTCAATAGAGCGGTAAGCCTCTTCCCCTGTCCGGCTTATTATGGCTTTTGCGTACCCACCGGCGCAAGACCACCTGCACTGACACGTAAAATCGGATTATTAACAGAAAGTCCTCTTCCTGTCGTCACGAAAGGGGAAACAAAACGGTCCCTTACCCAAGCATATATCGATGATGTCCCTCCGCACGCGGCTCCGGTTAGCCGTATCCGCCGGGATAGTGTTGATATTACTGCTCTACCTGTCAAACAATAAGTGGACGGTTCCTGCGCTGGGTTACCATAAGACTCCTGTCCATGCGCCGTCGAAACCCGTCGAGAACAGCCCACAACTCCATGCTTCCTTCTGGAGCGCATTCCAACCTGTGTTAGAGCGATATGCACCTACCTGCCAGCCTCCGAAGAAAGAGGGTAGAGCCGATACGAGTGAGATCGGCTTCCATCCTGAACGGAACGACCAGAAACGGCCAGATCACATTAGGATGCCCGCAGCTGACGTTCTGTCGATGAAGAAACTCCATACCGATTTCGTTGTCGAGGCCAACAGTGGTCGTCATCGGCCTTATTATGCCCCGGGTACTCGTGGTCTGGTGTCTACAGCAGGAGGTCCATATCTCCCTGTACTGACGGTTTCCCTCCGCATGCTTCGAAATAGGGGCTGCTCCCTACCGATGGAAGTCTTCCTGGCCACAAACGCCGAGTTCGAACCATACATCTGCAACCAGGTCTTTCCTGCATTGCAAGCTAGATGTGTCGTCCTTGAGAACATGCTCAAAACTGCACCCAAGGGCATCTCGATCTCCAATTACCAATACAAAGTATTCGCGATGCTCTTTTCATCATTCGAGGAGCTTCTGTTCCTTGATGCAGATGCCTTCCCTCTTCATGACCCTAATGAACTATTCCACAAGGAACCTTTCTCTTCTGGAAAGATGGTTCTTTTCCCTGACTTCTGGGCCTCAAGCGCAGCACAACAATATTACACCATTGCTTCATTACCAGCTCCCAACATGAACAAGCGGGCTTCGACTGAATCCGGAGAAATTATGCTTTCAAAGAAGCACCATGCAAAGACATTGCTACTTGCCGCATACTACAACCTTTATGGTCCCCAATACTTTTATCCGCTTCTCTCCCAAGGTGCCGCTGGAGAAGGAGATAAGGAGACCTTCCTTGCTGCAGCTACAGTTGTTGAAGATGACTTCTACCAAGTCAGCGAGCGACTACGTGCTATTGGACACGAGTCACCAGCTGGCTTGGCCGGTTCAGCCATGATTCAATTTGATCCAACGGAAGACTATGCTCTGACCCAAAAGGGACACTGGCGTGTCCTCAACGATTCTGTTGCTCCGCCTCCCAGGCCCTTCTTTGTCCATGTCAATGTTCCAAAGTTCAACCCTGCCACAATCTTTGGAAAGCACCCAATCGACCCCGTCCGAGACCACACGGGCAAGTTCATTCAACCTTGGAGCGTACCAGTGGAAACGATAAAACTAATGGGCGATGGTATCGAGAAACAGTTTTGGTCGGAGATGAAGTGGGTTGCCTGCGAACTGGAGAAAAAATTCAAATCCTGGGAGAAGCTTGAAGGTGTCTGTGATAACATGAAGAAGTACTGGAATGAGGTCTTTGAGAAGAAACAGCCCAAGCAATAGGCAAAACGTGGCTTTTCAAACTTTCCCGCTCCTTTTTCGCTGTATTTGTCTTCTTTCTTTCTTTCTTTTAACAAAAATCCAAGCCAGCCAGCTATTGACTTTGTTTAGAAGTGATTCGACGATATGATTGATACCTGTATGTTTTGGGATGTGATCAATGAACTTTGTATATAGCCATTTCTTACCTGGAGTTGAGGAGAATCAGGTAGCTTCTATTGCTTCTTCCCTGTTACTCCTTTCTATTGTAAACAACTTTAAAACTTGCGAGCTATCCCAATTCTATATTCTATCCTACAAAAGCCGTTTATTCTGTGTTGTACAATTATTGAGCTACAGGTATGTCATCTCTCCCTCTATATCTCTCGTCCACAAATTCTACCTTCTCCAGCATCTCTTCGAACATATCGCGACATCTTACCCTGCTACCAAGCCGAGCACAAAGTAAAAAGGCGCCACTCAATTTCCGATGCAAGCTGTAGGTTTCTTCAGGGGGAGGAGATAAGCGCTCGCGAAGCATAAGCGGGATAAACTCTCGAACTCTGTCCGTGATAGTTTGATCCCTGAAATCATACACCTCGGGAGACGATTTCATAAATGGCTCAGCGATAGTTGTGATAGATGATACATGTGCGTTTACCATTGCCTTGGACTCAAACCCAGTGAGATAGCCCAATTCCTGGGAAAGCTCACGGCATTTTTCACGTTCGTTCCGGGATGCGGCAGCAAGCAATCTAACATACAAGGATATGAAAGCTGCGGGATAAGCGCGGGATGCTCCGAAATCAAGGAGCTCGAGACGATTAGTAGCAGAGTTGTAGAGAAAGTTGGTCCAGTTCGGGTCGGTTTGCATGTACCGAAATTCGCCAATTTCTCGGAGACAAAGGCGCATGATTTGAGAGCCTATCCAATCGCGTTGAGACTGGGTGAAAGACTGGACCCTGGTTACTGCAATTCCATCCAAACGTTCCATGGTAAGGACTTGTTTCCCAGAGGCATATGGTATAATTTCGGGTATGGTAAAAATGTCGGTATCATCCTTCAAGAGCTCCTTAAATTTACGACCGCATTCTGCTTCGCGGATATAATCGCATTCCCACGCAAGCTCGGTTCGGGCGTTTGCAATTGTTTTATCAAGATATAGCCCTTTGGGTAGCAGACGAGATGCAGTTAGAAGTATAGACAAGTTGTTTAGGTCCGAATCTATCGAGTCCGCAACGCCGGGGTATTGAACCTTCACAGCAACGCGTTGACCTGTTTCCTTGAGGACAGCTCCGTGGACTTGTCCGATTGAAGCAGCAGCCATAGGAACCTCGTCAAAAGACTCGAATAAGTCTCGCCAATTCGGGCCTAGATTATCCCTCAGTACCTGGTCCCTTTGGAACTGTGGCATGTAGTTCGCTCTGTCCTGTACACGCTGGAGTACGAGTTGAATCGATTCAGGCATCACTTTAGAATCTATGCGTACAGTCAGTGCTACTTCAATCTTAAAACCCCTCAAGAGGATGTCTACTTACCTTGGAGACTTAACATCTGTCCTAGCTTTAGAGCAGCTCCTCTCATTTTGGATAATTTAGCCACTAATCTTTCTATATTGGCAGGGCTAAGCAGCAAGGAGCCAGAGTCATCGCCTCCAGTAGCTCGACGGAAGCCCGCTCCGACAACACCCATTGCCATGGAGGTTGCTAGCCCACCATATTCCCATAGCCTTCCAATTCGAGAAGATGGGACTCTTGACTGGACCATTTGATAAGCATCCTGAGGCGCGACAATATTGGTATTAATGACATCACTCTGGACTTCTGCATTTCCCGCGATATCCAGTTTTACACCTTCAACCTGTGTCTTGGTTTCTAGGGCAGCTTCAGGGCGAACAGTCTGTAGTTGTAACGCCGGAATAGTCTCAGGTTTTAAATTGACTTGCCCGGGTTTATGAATCTGGTTTTTGAAAAGAGATCTTGTCACTTTTCGGCTCCTAAATAGTTGTTGCATCATCTCGTCTGACATTTCATTTTCTTCATTTATAGCAACATTTTCTTTCTGTTCCGAGCTTGGGCTCTCATCAGGAACAGTCACGAAGCCTGCCTTTACGCCAACGCCTGGAGCTTCCGTAGATTCTATCTGAGTACCCGTCTTCCCAGTGTTATCGTTCACCTTCGAGGGCTCAGACCTGGATACCTCCCTTTCTCTTGCATTATTATAATCTGCTAGCGAAACTCCAGGTGTAGGGTCATCATCAAGCTTTCTTGCTAGATCAGAAGCAGCTTGTACCGCAAGGCTAATCCGTTGAATCTGGGTTTTCGCTTCCTTGGTCAACGATGATGTTCGCGCATGACGGTCGAGGGCATGCCTCTGCAGCACTATGTGCTTTTTCGCAACGCCGCGGGACGCATTGAGAAACGAGATGGCGTCAAGAAGACGGCGCCCGGACATAGCAGAGACACAAATTATAGGTATATCACTCTCAATCGCATCATAAGCCAGCAGCAAAGTGGAGGGCGTTCCTGTATATTGGTCCGTGAAAATGTTTGAAGTTGCTTGCTTGCATCTGATTGGCCAAGCCAGTGAGCTTCTGTCCCTTTTCTGCCAGGAACGCCTCCGATAAGAGCAGGCGATAAGAAACATCTCCTCCTCCTCCATCTTTCCTACAGCCATGTAGATGGCAAATTGTACAGTTCATTACCTTTACTGCTATATTGATCAAACTGCGCCGGGAGCACCACAATGACGGTCAAAGAAATCAAGGGTAACTACCAGGAGGCCGCAAGGGGAACACGGCCCTCCTTCAGTGCATCCATCCCGATCATGACGAACCAGAAGACAACGAGAAATGCCACAGGGGATAAAGCTCAGGGTATTTCCATCATCTGCACAGTCAAAATGGCCGGATTAGAGATAATATCATTGGGCTAACCGTTAACTATATAGTCCCCAGCTTTGAATCCGTTCCGATCTCCCACTCTCTCCTACTCCTCTCGGATTCTGCGCTCCCTCTGGGCTCGTTCGCCTACTCCAGCGGCTTGGAATCATACATCGCTCACAACAAGCCTTTACCAGCACATGTAACGCCATTTACATCCTTTAACCGCTTTCTTTCACTATCTCTTGCGTCCATTGCAAGTACTACGATACCCTATCTTCGCCGAGCACATAGACAACCCGAAGAATTGGAGAGACTGGACAATGACCTCGATGCGTCAACACCATGTACAGTCGCAAGAAGAGCAAGTGTTGCCCAAGGTCTCGCCATGCTGCAGGTATGGGAGCGTGCACTTAAATCATCAGCCATACAACGGATTCAAGAACACCAGCATGATAGCCAACATCACACAGTACGCGCGGTGGCGGTATTGGACCAGTTCTCGGAATCATTAAAAAATATCGGTGTAGATGAAGAGTATGATGAGGTTAATGGCACTGTTAGTGGCCATTTTGCCCCGTTATGGGCAGTGGTATGCTTGGCTCTGGACATTGACCTGGAACAAGCGGCATACGTGTTTATGCTTAACCATGCTAAGGCAGTTCTAAGTGCTGCAGTGAGAGCATCTGTTATGGGTCCTTATCAATCTCAAGGTGTGCTTGCGGGCAACGCACTTCAAAGGACCATTGCTGAGCTGCTGCAGAAAGAATGGTGGACTGAGCCTGAAGATGCAGGGCAGGTTGTCCCTATTATGGATCTGTGGATGGGAAGACATGAGTTATTATATAGCAGGATTTTCAACTCCTGACGGTTCTGCATGTACTTGGAACAGGGCAAACCATTTGTATATATCAATGAATTATCGATGAATCAATGTTAACGGGAAAGTACGTGTTAAAACTACTCGTTTTGACCGTAAATAGAGGCCATCGAGGTGAATACTCGGTGACTTCAGAATTAGTACATCATTGTACATCATACATGTAAACGTAGCATGAACGCAAAAGAAATGGCCTGCTGCCCAGCAGACCCCAAGGGCCAAAAACATCAAACACCCCGATGAGTGTAGGGAAGACAAACGTAGAAAAACTCCACAACCACGTCCGACCAAACCAGATCAACGAATAAAAAACGGTGGGAACATTAAGAAACAAATAGTTTTCCCTTTGAGCGCCGAGTAGCTCCCCAGATACCTCTCACAAGAAGCAAGAAGCCTTTCTTTAAGTCCAAAAAAAGAATGCCAGGAGTAAAGGTGAAATAACGAGGGGCAGTTAACGGCCACAAAAGGGGGGATAAACAATATAACAATACTGTACAGGAAACAGAAAGGTGATAACGAATGATTTTAAAGGGTAATATGCATGTGGTCGTTGCTGCCAAAGGATTTGTTGCAATTCGGACATTTACGAGACCTGGAGGTCAATCGCTCTTCAACGCATTCCTTGCAGAAGACGTGGCCACAGGTCTTGATGACAGTATTCTTGAAATTCCGCCGGCAGACTGTGCAGAGGGCAAGAGTCTAAGGTATTGCAGTGGTTAGTATAAATAATGCAAAATTTCTGGACAGGGTACTCACTCTTAACATCTCATATTCAGATGTATTATTGCCCAAACCACGGCTTTTCCAGGACTCCAAACTCTTCTTAGTATCCGAAAGGGTGACCTTGAGGCCTTCGACCTCACTCTCCGCCTTTCGGCAGTTATTCGTAGCTGCTGTGAGCGTTGCATCTTTGGTCGCTAGTTGACCCTTTAATTCGGCCACTTGTGATTTCAACCCCTGGATAACAATGGTTGCTTCGTTGACTTGGTGCTGAGACGTTCGATACTGGTTCGTTAGACTAGTCAATGCTTCCTTTGTTTCACTTAGTTGTTTTTCAACATTTGAAACAAGTGTCCTCGTTGCCGCCTCGGCCTCCTTGAGTTGTGAAATTATATCAGAGCTCTTCATGTTTTGTAGCCGAAGAGATCTAAGCTCCGCATCCCGAGCTTCTTTGCTCTGCATAGCCGCAAAATACTTCTGGTCGGCCTTGGATTTCTCGGCCATCAGACGCTGTGCTCTTTCTTCAGAGGCAGCTGTATCGGCAATTTTTTGGGATGCTAACTTGGAAGATTTCCGGAAAGCCATCTGCATGGATGATAGTTCCATATTGAGCATCTCATACTGCTTTTCAAGGGTATCAAACTTAGTCCGTAGTTCTTCATGTGAGAGTTCGCTGCTATTTGGTCGGGAATCCTTTACTCCATCGATTTGCAATTGCACTCGCTGAACCTCCTGCTCCAAGGACGTAATCCGGGATTCCTTGGCGTCTAACAACTCTTTCAATTGGGTGACTGAGTGCTTCTCCTGGTCTTCCACTGCCTTCCGCATCTGCTGATCTGCCAATAGCTCGTCTCGAGCATTCCGAATTCGAACAAGATTGGACTCTGTTTTAGCTAGCTGAGCTTCCTTTTCTCCAATGGTGTTTTGAGCCTCGTTTTCAATTTGAACTCGATATGCAGTCCGTTCGGCTTGTAGCTTCTCAGCTTCTTCACGTAGTTGGATATTGGTGGCTTCTAGATGATTGATCCGCTGAATGACATCTTCATGCTGAGATTTTAATTGTTTAAACAGGTCACAGTGAGCATAGTCCTCGTCGGAAAGTTTTGAAAGCTAGTATTGTTAGCAAGCAGGACCAATCATTGAACAGGGAAAGATATGTACCTTAACATGGAGTTCGGTTATCTGAGTCAACAGCTTGGAATTTTCCGCTTCCAGCCTTTCTAGTTGTTCCTTTTGCTTGTTGGATACTGCAAGCGTGGTATTATACAGCATTTCCATCTCAGTGGCCTTTTCGGGGTTATCAGTCGTTCCGTTTGTAGATGGCCCTTCATCTCGCTTTGTGGAAGAATCGCCTGACTTGTGGGGTCCGAGAATATGCTGTTTTTCCAGTCTGGCAACAGTAAGGCTCTTGGCTCGATCTATTTTCTTCTCAGCTACCATATATCTCAACGATGCTGCCTCTAGACGTTCTTCAAGTTGTTGCTTTTCTGCAATCGCTTTCTCAATGGCAACATTAATAGCCTTTTCGTCTGCAAGCTTCTTTGCGAGTTGGGATTGCAAGCTGGTGATATCTGGAGTAGCTTTGGCTGCGTTGGAAAGAAGACGAGATATTGAGCCCTTAATTTCGCTAGCTCGGTCTTGTAAGTGTTTTTCGAATGATTCATGGCCACTGAAAAGCAACGATGTCTGGTATGTGGGGTTCTCTGAGAAACGCGTTAGCCGACAAACTCTGGAAAGGGATATTCAAATTTTGGAGTACCTTCTGAAGACTCGTCTACCGAAGAGGATATAACTTTGACTTCATCAATTAACTATTTTGACACACTTAGTCGTCTGCATATCAACTATTGATAGGTGGGTGGAAATACCTGCTTAAGCCATGCATCAAGAACGCTGACATGTTCTTCATTATACGCCATCTTCTTAGATAGATCCTTTATCCGAGATTCGAGTGTTGTTTTCTCGCGCTTATATTCTTGCATCTGCCTCCAGATTGCATCTTTCTGATATCGCTGTGTGAAAAATGAATAATGCGTCAGCACCTTTTGGCCGAAAAAAAAATACGCGAATGCAACGTTATACGTGAGAACAAACACAGTCTCATCCATGGACATCGCATGAAGATAACTCGACAGGGCCTTTCTCACCTCAAGATCATCGCGCCATGGCATATCGGTGTCCGGGTGCGCCTTTACTCCTCCATTAACAGTAGTGGCTTGTTTCTTCAACGGGGGAGCCGAATCACCAGGATCCTGCGTAGCAAGTCGCTTGCGGTCCTCCATTTTAACAACAAGGCCGGACTTGGGTAGGGACACCGTAGGGGATTCGAGAGCCGTCATGGGGTTGGACGGGGGCTGGGAAATGTGTGGCCACCGACAAGCAGCGAGAAGAGAAAATGAGGGTGAGCCAGCAAAACAGTTCCGCAGAATACCGAGAGTGACGAGAGAGAGACGGGGAAAATGGCTTCGCCAGAAACCACGACGCTAACTGATAGAGCGGCTAGTTGTTATGGACAATGCAAAAGGACGAGCTGGACATCCTCAGTGAGGTTGAAATGTCCAGTTCAAGAAGAGAAAGGAGGATTTTCCCCGTCCCAGGCTAGTGCTCGTCTTGGCAATATATCACGTGATGACATGGATTGAAAAGGCTGATAGAAGGAGAATAGAAGACGAAGTGGGAAAAAAAAAAAATAATATAAATAAGGGATGGAAGAGAAAGACGAAGATCGAAAACACAGATGGAGCTGGCCCCGTAGAAGGAACGACAGCAGGTAACGAGTGTTTGCGTAGGAATGACCGGAAGAGGGCTGCTGCAATGCCCTTGCTGTGTACAGACCGCAGCCCTCCCATCTGTCCTTGTGCTTCCTAGCAGACGCCGTAAATCATCTAGACGCCTCTGGTTGAGAGTCCTGAAAATCGCCCCTCAGCGAGCATGGCCATGGAGGGGTCTTTTTAGCATGAGACCAGGAACCACCTTCGCCTTTTTTACCATTATTTGTTTTCTGTGGAGTCGCAAGGAAGAAAATGTTGAAAAAGAAGAAAAAGAAAAAATATTGGCATTCAGCCTAGAGATAAAAAGCTTATCGCATGATTAGATAAGCTTTACCCGTTCACTCAATTTATTGTGACTGCTCAACCCACCACACTTCGACATCGACATCTTTCATACATCTACAGGGACAGCAGCCATAGTTGCAACAAGTCAGTTTCGTTGAATAAGGGAAGACTAAAATTATGGCACAGCCACCAGCAGCTATGGCTGATACCGCTACAGCACCCCAGAAGATGGCGAAGCGCAAACGAGCAGCCGAGGATGTGGCTGCAGAGGTGGTAGCAGATGCCGTGCGCGAGAAGAAGCCGCGAACATCGAGAAAGAGGGCATCGACGCCAGAAAATTCGGAATCAATAGAGATAGTTTCTGCGGTAGTGACGATGTCCGACCTGTGCCGTGACTTGCGCACTGGCAAAACCTCCAAGCGTGAAATGGAGCTGAGAACAATGGACTGGGCTGAGATTGCTCGAAAGAAGAAAGAGAGAGAAGAAAGGAAAAAAGCCGGTAGTTCTGGGAGTCAGTCTGCCAAGGGAAGCTCCACGGATACCCCGAAACCAGCTGAGAAGAAGATGCGCCCGTCGGCCGAAGTTACTGGCCCACAAATGAGAATCGTCAACGGAGAGATTGTGCTGGATACGTCCTCGCTACAGATCGATCGTCATGCGGACGCAGACAGGAATGCAGATGATATGGAAGAAGTCGAGGAAAATCCGCTCAGTCGGCGCATAAACGCTGCTTCTTTTGGGAAACGGACCAAGCTCGAGACCTGGGACGAGGCAGCAACGGATTTATTCTATAAGGGACTCCGGATGTTTGGCACAGATTTCATGATGATCAGCAAGATGTTCCCCGGCCGAACGAGGCGGCATATCAAACTGAAATTTTCCAACGAGGAACGGCGTGAACCAGAACGAATCAAGAGGACATTGCTTGGTCCCAGGGAACCAGTTGATTTAGCAGCCTATTCGGAGATGACGAATACAGTCTATGACGATCCTAGAGCTATACAACGAGAACTAGATGAAGAGAAAAAGAGAATTGAAAATGAACATGCTGAAGAACAAATGGCGCGTGAGGAACAGCTCCGTAACCCTGGTGGGAAACCCGGCGACAAGGTATTGCCTAGTATTGAGGGTGAATCTAACGAAGCCCGGCGGCGACGGGAAAAGAAGAAGGCTGAACAGGCGAAGTTCGGAGGAGGAACGGAGGAGATTCTGGGCTCTATCGATGATTGATATGACTTACACTTTTCTAATGATTCAACTTCCGATATAGTTCTGTAGCATATTATGAAACATGGACCTTTTTCCTAGTAAATAGTATTGTATTATCTTAGAACTCTTGATGCGGTGCAGTGGCAGAATCCGACCTTTTTTTTCAAATAATATTATTCTACAATCCATAAAATGCATAGTTTATTCAGTCAAGCTTAGCGACGCCTTGTACCTCCAAACCCAGTGCTTTCCCTTGTTGAAGAAGAAAATGAAGGCCCCGGAGCGGCATTATTGCTGCCAGTCCTGAAGGTGTTATCTCCTCCTCTTCGTGAGCCTCTTCCCATTGCATACCCTGCAGCGGTACCGCCCAAAGCACCAGTCCAGAAACCTGGTCTCCACGATTGCCAATCATCCTTTGCGAACCTGGGCTGCTGATAATCGTATGGAGGCGGGGGGCCTGGAGGCCACCATCCGCCGCCACCACCACCTGCTCCTCCTCCACCACCTCCCGCGCCATTTCTTCCCCATCCTTGGCCTTGTATACCAGTACAGTATTGAAGGAGCTTAACAACAGCCATGAACAGGCCGAAAAACACAGCCATCCGGATAATAGTAGACCATATTGATTCGTCGTACCCGTCTCTATCATGGGGGATATGGCCGTACCGTTTTTCCCCCATACTAGTAAGCAAGAGCCTATATTCCACGCCGCAACTCCCCTTAAGAATCCATGGATCGTTGGAGTTCCGATAACCTTCGCAAATTACCTCTGTCCCTCCAAGCTTGAATTCGGGTGGGAGTTGTGCTGTGCAGGTCCACTGTACATCATTTTCATCATAGTCATACCCTTCGTTGGAACATCGGATGACGTCTGGTTTGTAGAGAGAGCATATTTCTTTAGATGGTCCAACACAGTTGAGCTGGGGTATCGCGGAGACTCGACGGTGGGTAGTTTTGCGATTCGCGTGGAAAGTAAGAGTTTGGACGTCTGACAGAAGGACTGCGTTCCTTGAAGGGGACTTGTTATTGCCGTAAGAGGCTACAGGTTGGAGGAGGGCTGATAGCGCAATTAGACAAGTCACTGCGGCAAACATTGCCATTCATGCAGCCGAGCTGTGAAACAAGAAGTAAGTCTGTGAGAGGCCCTTTTCGCATCTGGAAAATGATTCGTGGCTCGTCAGGGGCCCATACAGTCCACTTTCACCAGCTATTTATATTCCATTTGTTTGCTGTCAAGGACAAGTGGCCTTCTCTGCAGGCAGAAACATAAATAACGTTGCATGACGAAGTGGGAAGGCCGCGCGCCAAGAGATAAGATCAATCTGATAAGAGCACAGACCATGCCATTCAACTTCCACATAAACGTAGATTTCGCCCGCAGATAAAACCTGCAAAAGCAACAGCATATTCTCCAGCACCTAAGCCCTGTGCGCTGTGCAAGACGGAAGAAAATGGGCGAGGCAAGGTGGAACACGTAGCTACAATGTCCAGTCTCGAAAGTAGGTCAATCGTTAAAGTATGATTGTGTTGATCCGTCTCATGAACTAATCGCCATTATTCCTTGCTTTTTAGATGCCTCCTGCCCACCTCCGCAGCATTCGTGAGTTTGTCCGCTCGTTTTTATCAAGTCCATAGGCTAAACTTCTTGACCAGGCTGTCATTTACGCAAGGCCTACTGCTCGGCCAACTGTCTGTTGTCCTGCTGATAGGCGCGTTTATCAAGTTCTTCATATTCGGTGAAGCCCCTTCCTCGTCCTCAAGAGGCATATCGCAACGAGCGGCACCTCGCAAACGATCATATTCTGCCAACAGTACACTATTCCGAGATGCAGCTTCAAGATCGCTTAAAGAATCGGCCTCATCAAACGTCTTGCGTCCCGTTCCCTCCTCGTCCACAAATACCAAGTCTATCCTCCGAAAAACTTACTACAATGCCATCCCTACCAATTTCCAGAAAAATGGTCGGAATCGTCTCCATCATTCTACTCACCAACCAGAATCATTGGATTGGTTTAATGTTTTGATTGCTCAGTTGATCGCTCAGTACCGACAAACTGCATATTTGCTGAAAGATTCCCCCACGTCATCGATTCTTGACTCTCTTACAGAGACACTAAACAACGTGGAAAAGAAACCATCATGGATTGATCGGATTAATGTTACAGATATTTCAATCGGCGAAGAGTTTCCTATCTTCAGCAACTGTCGTGTTATTGCCGTCGATGATCCAAATTCAGATGGGGGGAGGTTACAGGCGTTGATGGATGTTGATTTAAGCGACGACAATTTGTCACTCGCGATTGAGACTAACTTGCTACTGAATTACCCAAAGCCGGCTTCTGCCGTCCTACCGGTTGCTTTATCAGTATCAGTTGTACGCTTTTCCGGAACCTTATGTATATCGTTTGTTCCTAGTCCAGGTACAACATCAGAGAGCAGTCCCAACCCGCCGTCTCATTCAGAGGGCCAGAATGAACCCCGACCTGGGCAAGAGGATCCTGGAAGGCCCAGTAGCAAGGATGGAGTCCGATCGGGAATACCCAAAACAAGCCTTGCATTTTCATTTCTACCTGACTACCGTTTAGACATTTCTGTTAGATCACTCATTGGGTCACGGAGCAGGCTCCAGGATGTCCCCAAGGTTGCGCAACTCGTTGAAGCACGAGTTCAGTCGTGGTTTGAGGACCGTGTAGTAGAACCCCGCGTGCAACTAGTTGCCTTACCAGGGATATGGCCACGGATGGGTCGTACTGGTGTTCGCGCGCAAGAAGACCATGATGCTGTCTCTGTCGACTCGGATGATCCCGAAGCGAAGGCAGCACAAAGTGGGTTCACTCCTGTTAATGCAAACCGTGATGGACCACAGACGTCCAGGGATCTAAATATGGACGGGCTGAGGTATCGGCGGGGTAATGAAGGGGGTCAGTCTACGGCAGACAGCTATGAAAACCTATCTCAAGGTGACGGTCACCCACGGCCGACATCTGGTGAGCAGTTTAGGATACCCGGATCATTGCCAGGCACATCTGCTATAGCATGACTATTCCGACACGTTGATTGGAAATGATCAGTACAGAATGAAGTTATTATTTGAATAATAAATATCAAGTGCATCTTATGTAGAGACGATATACCACTTTTTCCACTGCAGATTTGTATCTGAGCATTGGGATACCGGTGTACAAGACTGCGGCGTTCAAGATTACACATGGGCAGCAACATAGCTCTGTCTGAACGAATTGTTTTCAAGCGCTGGTTCGCGGTTCAAAGGCGTCCATTTCGGTTCATCCTGGAACAACCTCATCGCTTTGATATACTAGTCACAGAGCCATCAAGTCAAAATTATGGACTTATACAGATAACAAGGGGCTAAATCACTTACATTGCTCTCTCCCGTCGTGAAGCGATGGTATATCCCGGCAGGCAAGATAAGCAGGTCCTCCTTCTCAACTTTAATCCGCACCCACTTGTCGTCTCTGCTGCGAACATCGAAATATCCTTCGCCATCCAGGATGTACCTAATCTCCTCATCTTCATGAAGGTGCTCATCGAAGAATGATTTCACTTTTTCCTCGTAAACTGCACCCATTTTCTCGGGAGAGACTGTTATCTCATCGCGGTTCTTATAACCCCGCTCCGAAGCCAGGGCGTTGACATCATCAACTGAAGGGCATTTCTTATATAGAACACCTATTCTAGCGAGGTAGTCTGTGTCAACGGCACGGCCTGAGTCATGAGGTGCGCGCTGGTCGCCCTATCGTGACGGGGTTGTCAGTTGTGATCGATGGTGTGGGATGGGAGAGCCAGCAGCAGATGGAAGTTATACCTCAGCGTCGTCGAACCAATACGCTCTCATCCTGAGTCTAGCCGATGGGTTCAGAGAGGCAGCAGGATAACTTTTTAGGGCCCTGTGAATGATTGAGATGCTGACATGGCGATATCTTTTATCTACTTCCTTCAGCTCCTCCCTCGAGGGGTGGAAGCGATAAGATCGAGTCACGGCAATAATGATTGGTCCCTGCTTAAGCTTTCACAACTTTGGCTTGGCATAACTAACTAGTTATCTAATTCTGTTCTTCCGGCAGAATTTATATCAACGAAGCGGTTGGATGGTTATCCGATGATCGTTATTTTCCGAGCGAAAACGCGGTTCGCATACCGTTAAGCGCTACAATGATCAGGGTGCGGGTGCTCGGGGCGTCTTCTCGCCTATGTATAATACCTCCAACCTATAGACCCCCTCGACGGAGTTTTGCGACAGTAGGAGAGAGCACTCGGTATGTTCTACATATCCTCCATTCGACACCAGGGTACTAATAGCTTCTTCCTAAAGGCCTTATGATGTTATAGTCGTTGGAGGTGGACATGCTGGGTCTGAAGCATGTGCCGCTGCAGCTCGGTCCGGCGCAAGAACCGCCCTAGTAACGCCCTCCCGTTCAGACATTGGTGTGTGCTCATGCAATCCCAGTTTCGGTGGGATAGGAAAAGGAACGATGATCCGAGAAATCGATGCACTTGATGGAGTGGCTGGAAGGACAGTCGACAAAGCAGGAATCCAATTTCGAATACTTAACAGATCCAAAGGACCGGCAGTATGGGGCCCTCGAGCCCAAATCGATCGCGCACTCTACAAGAAATATATGCTTGAAGAATTATCCAACACACCTGGGCTTAGTATTGTGGAGGGGAAGGTTGCCGATATAGTTATTTCCAAGGAAAATATTCCAAGCTTAAACGGGTCCCAGGGCGAGATTGTAGGTGTCAAATTGGAATCGGGGGAGATGATACCTACCCAGAAAGTAATAATCACGACGGGGACTTTCCTTGGGGGAGAGATACATATCGGATTGGATGTCTTCCCTTCAGGTCGCATGGGCGAAGCAGCTACATTTGGCCTAAGCAAGTCTCTGCGCGAGGCGGGCTTCCAACTCGGCCGTCTCAAGACGGGAACACCACCCAGATTAGACCGCAAGACTATTGATTTCAGCACGCTTGAAGTCCAGCCAGGCGACTCCCCTCCAAGCCCCTTCTCTTATCTCAACGATTCCGTGCAGATTGGGGATAAAGGTCAATTGAACTGCTGGGCAGCTCATACCAATGAAGCATCTCACGCAGTAGTGCGCGAGAACTTGAACAAGTCCATTCATATCCGCGAAACTGTCAATGGCCCACGCTACTGTCCTTCTCTTGAGTCAAAGATCATTAGATTCAAAGACAAACCGAGACATATGATCTGGTTAGAGCCAGAAGGGCTTGCACCAAATGATGTGATTTACCCTAACGGGATTTCCATGACTATTCCAGCGGATGCTCAGGAAAAGATGCTGCGAACCGTTCGTGGCTTGGAAAATGTCACCATGCTTCAACCTGGCTATGGAGTAGAGTATGATTACGTTGATCCTAGATCATTGCGTCCTACCCTTGAAACCAAACTTATCAGCGGGCTGTATCTCGCGGGTCAGATAAATGGCACCACCGGCTATGAAGAGGCTGCCGCACAGGGTATCATAGCTGGAATCAACGCAGGCCTGGCTTCCCAGTCAAAGCCCCCGATGACTCTTTCCCGTGCCGACGGTTTCATTGGCATTATGATAGACGATCTTATTACCAAGGGAGTTTCTGAACCGTACCGGATGTTTACCACTCGAAGTGAATACCGCATTTCAACACGTTCAGATAACGCAGATTTACGCCTAACAGCGAAGGGCCGGGCTGCTGGCGTTGTATCTGATAAACGCTGGCGTCAATTCAACGAGACTAAAGAGCAGATGTCTTACCTACAGGCACTCCTTGAAAATACGAAATACCCATCTACTGTCTGGTCACGTAAAGGGTTTCCCGTCCGAACAGATTCTTCCGTCAGGTCTGCCTTTGAACTTTTGTCACATAATGGGGTTTCACTTGACGATGTTATTCCACATATTGAGTCTGCGCCTGGTACCATTCACTCCCTTTCTTCATTTTCTCCAGAAATTAAATCCCGAATGGCCATTGAAGGCCGATACGCGCCCTACACCAAACGGCAGGAAGCAACCGCTCTCCTATTTGAACGGGATGAGGGTATGCTACTCCCTCCGGACATTGATTACAGCACCATGCTCGGTTTGAGCACAGAGGAACGCCAGGTTTTAGAAAAGGTGCGGCCAGTGAGTATTGGTATGGCTCGCCGTGTTGAAGGTGTGACTCCGGTTGGCGCTCTGAAGCTGCTCATGCACGTTCGCAAGTTGAGGTTGCTTGAACTTAGGAAGGACGAATCTGCTTGCAGTATTGCTGACCGGGACGCAAGCACAGCTATGGCCTCTTCGCTCTGATTGTACTATTGTTTCTATATACCCATGGACACATATATGTCCCCCCTTCTAGCGTGTCTTTTCAACCTACTTTGTATTATATTTTTCGGGGTGCATACTTTGGCATAGATGGTACGGTACATGGCGTTCTCATTGTACGATAACAGATATCAAGCTAAATGTTTTACGACGCTTCTTTCAGCCCTTTCTTGATAATGTACTAATAACCACGCTGTAATAATTTCTATATTCGATACACCGCCTCTCTATTCTAGCGGCGGTTTAAGAATTCAGCTTTTACTGCCCATTCCAGACATAGGATCTAGCAGTGATATCCATTGATGTCTGTCCCGTCCAACCAACAACCAAATCTTCGTCAACATCTCGAAGAATGACATGGATATGTTCGATGCTAGCAACGGTCTGCCATTTCTTCTTGTTCTTGAACCACATCACGTTTTCTTCCTTGATGTTATTTGGACAATTCCCGTTTACCTCTCTATGTCTCTCGACAATTCTCTTGGTGAATGTCCTGTCGACAAAGTCTTCAATAAGCTTGCGTGACTCTGCAGTTGGGCCACCCTGGCCGTCCTCTTCAACTGGGATCCGAGTCTTGAGCCAAACAACCAGGTGGACGATGTTATGTTCGAGTCCATATGGCCAGTCATTGCGGAGAATTTTATAATCAGCTGGATGAGCAAACGGAGTTCCATCTTGATATTCAAAGGCCAGGCCAGTGGACGACTGAGTATTATTGGAGTCTTCAGCCTGTTCAGCTTGAGCCTTCTTTTTCCAGAGAAGGCGTTCCCGTAATAGGAATTCAATGACCGAGTCGTTGTTGTTTCTTGTCTCTCTGATCCAGAGAATGTAGTTTCTGAGGTCTGATGGTGCCCGGTTCAAGACAGACATGTCTCCCTCGGCTTCAGCATGCCTCTGTGTCAGTGACTTGATACCCTATATAGAATATTGCTCGAAAGGAGTAACAGTGACAGAGATGGACTACCTATGACATCTTTTATTTCTTGCCATGTATGTGGTATATATTCCTCGTCATTCAGGCCCAACGATTTGATGTCTCCTTCTGTTAAAGGGAACGGCGAGAGTTCAATGTATTTCTGCACACTCAGCATATTGATATAACTAGGCAGAAAAGGCGACAGATAAAAGATATGCAAGATCGCTTCTATTTATTGCTCGGGTCTCTCTTCTATCGTCTGTTGATATCGATCAATAAAAATTTATTGTTTCCTGATACACCCCTCATTTACAGGATTTGAATGGTTTGACCATCAGTAGTTAACTAGTTCCTAGCTGCCCCTTAGTTTGCTACACTGAAGAGCACACATTATAATTAAGATATAAAAGTGTTTAAGCAAGATAAAGGTAATAAATATAATAATAAATAATATACGTAAAAAAAATACCTTCAATAATTCTGGTGTTGAAAAATGTTAAAAAAAATGGACTGTCAGGGAATCGAACCCTGGACCACCCCCATGCTAAGGGGGTATTATACCACTAAACCAACAGCCCGGTCATGTAATCACATGACTGGGTTCTTATGAAAAGGGGACCCCTCGCAGCAGACGCAAGCTAGCTTCTTATACATATATGAGAAGTACAAGAGCGAGAACGTTAGTTAGAAGCAGCCATGCAAGAGGCAGCTTTGCGATAGCTCAACAGCAGCTCGGAGACCAGCTATTACTTGGTATATTCTACCAGGCTGCTGCCTGCAGCTCACTCTTCCCGTTAGCTCTTCAGTTTGCTATACCGACACACCGCCATGGACGTCTTCTCTGCGGTCTCCGGTTACATCTCTAAGATGGTTACCACTGGAGATACGGCCGGCACGAACTCCTCCTCGAAAATGAAGATACTGCTTCTTGATAGTGAGACCGTGGGAGACGCGACCCTTTTTTTCTTCTTGAAGAAAATTGATCTAACTGGTTGTATAGTTACCTATCGTGTCGACAGCCATGACACAGTCTGCCCTCCTTAACCATGAAGTGTATCTTATTGACCGGCTTGACAACCAATCCCGCGAGCGCATGAGGCATCTCAGATGTCTCTGCTTCGTCCGCCCTTCCCCCGACTCCATACAATTTCTCATTGACGAGCTACGAGCGCCTAAATACGGGGAATACTATATTTATTTCAGCAATATTGTTCGCAAGTCATCGTTGGAAAGGCTGGCAGAGGCGGACGATCATGAGGTTGTGAAATCAGTACAAGAGCATTTTGCCGATTTCCTGGTGGTTAACCCGGACCTATGCCATCTTAACGTCGGTTTCCCTAGACAGCGGATCTGGAGCCACTCCCCTGACCTCTGGAATTCGGATGCCCTGCAGCGGACCACTGAGGGTGTAATTGCGCTATTATTGTCCTTGAAGAAGACTCCCTTGATACGATATGAAAAAAACAGCCTGATGGCAAAGAAACTTGCCACGGAAGTTAGGTACCAACTCACGCAGGAAGAACAACTATTCAATTTCAGGAAGCCAGATACACCCCCGATTTTACTTATCCTTGATCGCCGAGATGATCCCATAACCCCTCTATTGACCCAATGGACATATCAGGCCATGGTACATGAATTACTGGGAATTACCAATGGTCGAGTTGATCTGAGTGAGGTCCCAGATATTCGTCCAGAACTAAAAGAGATTGTTATTGCTCAGGACCAAGATCCCTTCTTTAAAAAGAATATGTACCAGAATTTTGGTGACCTTGGTGGTAATATTAAGGAATATGTCGAACAGTACCAGTCCAGGACAAAAACCAATATGAACATTGAATCTATCTCTGACATGAAACGGTTTGTTGAGGACTATCCGGAGTTTCGAAAGCTTTCTGGGAACGTGAGCAAGCATGTGGCCCTCGTGGGAGAGTTGAGTAGGAATATCGGAGAACATGACTTATTAAATGTCAGCGAGCTAGAACAAAGCTTAGCTTGCAACGATAATCATGCGAATGATCTCAAGGTTGGTGCTCTAGCTTGTGTTCCATTGTATCTTCTCCATGCAGACACACTTACTTTTCATCTGCTAGTCCCTTCAAAGATTTATCCAATCCCCTACCGTGACTGTGGAAAATAAATTACGCCTTGTTGCTCTTTACGCCATTCGTTACGAAAAGCAACCTTCAAATACACTTCCGGTTCTTCTTGACCTCCTCACCGCTGCCGGAAATGTACCTCCACATAAAATTAACATTATCCCTAAGCTCTTAGCATACCACCATTCCTTGCAGGCGCCCCCAGTTGCTGGTGGGTTCTCAGACCTGTTCGAGTCAGCCTCCTTCTTAACCGGGGCTCGTGATCGATTCAAAGGGCTCAAGGGTGTAGAAAACGTATATACCCAGCATTCTCCACGCTTAGAGGCTACTCTTCAAAACCTGATAAAAGGCAGACTAAAGGAGCTTCAGTACCCTTTCCTCGAGGGCGGTGGGCACACCCGGGACAAACCACAAGATATAATAATCTTTATGGTCGGAGGAGTGACCTATGAAGAAGCAAAGATGGTTGCCCAAGTCAATGCTAGCTCTCCTGGCATTCGGGTAGTCCTTGGTGGGACTTGCATTCACAACAGCACCACTTTCCTAGACGAAGTGGAAGATGCTGTAGGCAACTGGCCTGAGCCTCCACCAACAACAGCGGCGGGGCGATTACGAGCTGAAATTAACAGATAACTTGCATTGCTTTTAACTATCTGACGAATTTTTTTTTATCGCTATAATGAAGAGTGTATATCGATGGTTCAAGGCGTTTATATAGGCAAATTTATCTCGTTTACCGCTCTATGCTTGCCTGCCCCAGGTGTCAAAAAAAGATGCCAAGAAATCATAAAAGCTTGATTGACACATGGAACATCAAACATCGTCATGCAGTCATCGGGAAGACCTCAACCACTTCACTCGACTTGTCTGCTGGAGAAGTCGGCAATTGCACAGCTTACACTCTTAAAAGATGGATTCACAAACTCATACATCGCCCGGCGTAACCACGCGGGACTCTGGGCTACGGCTGCCTTCCACTACAAACCCTCCTGGGCCCCAGAATCCTCCAAAGCAACTCGTATGGCTGGTAGGTAGACTCCGCAATGTCTCGCATATTTTACGAAACTATGGATATGTTTGTCTGTCATATTTGATGCGTAATAACGCCTGGTATATAGATCTTTGGCGCCACAGGCCATATTGGTCGTTCAGTGGTGAAGTCGGCCCTCGGCCACAACGACCTCGTTGCAGCTGTTGGCCGTACATTCGAAACGACTCCCGAGAGCATGGGACGTCTTCAACAAGAAAATAAGAATTGTCTCGGTCTACTGTGTGATGTCCGCACCAGAGAGACGGTCAAAGCAGCCATTGACCGCACAATTGCCCATTGGGGCCGAATAGACATTGTGGCCAACTGCTCTGGTTACGGTGTGATTGGGGCATGCGAGGATCAAGAGGAGTATGATATACGAAATCAGTTTGAAACTAACTTCATGGGCACGCTGAATATCGTGCAATTAGCCCTGCCGCATTTCCGGGAACGCGGAGCAGGGAGATATATCATTTTCAGCTCGACTTCAGGCGCGCTGGGCGTTCCTGGGTTAGGGCCTTACTGCGCTTCGAAGTATGCGGTGGAAGGACTGATTGAAAGCATGTTATATGAAGTCGACTGTTTCAATATCAAGTGCACGCTTGTTCTGCCGGGCCACATACGTCGTGACGACAATGACTTGATACCTGGAATGCCTGAGAATGCGTCAAATTACCTCACCTCGCCGTTGCCCGCCTTTGGACATTTTATGATAAAGCCGGCTAGTGAGCCGTACAGCGGAGTCACGGCCCCCGCGGCGCATGCGAGACGTATCTTGCAATGGCTGGGTGACAAACCGCCTACAAGTGCAGTGAAATCTGCAGAGCTTGTGTGGCAGCTGGGCCACTGTTCTTATCCGCCATTGAGGCTGCTACTGGGCACATATGCGGTAGAGAGCATCAGGGACAGGCTGAAATGTGTTACAGAAGAGATAGAGGATTGGAAGCATCTGAATTTTCCTTCAGCCGATCAGCCACCACAGGCAAATCCTTCCAAGACTGAAGGGGACTCGGCGATTAAAGAAGCAGACGATCAATTGGCATCTAATGATATTCAGGTAACGGATTAAAGAACAAACGCCTCGAGTTATCCGACATTCCCACGCCGGCTACCTTTTCCACTCCAGGATCTATCATAACCAACAGCCATGCCGGATCCACTATGCTCCAACACCTACCCCCAACCGTGGAAATAATGTGACACCATTAAACATAAAACCACCGATTTATCCGTGTTGCGATATCTTAACTCCCTATTTATGCCACATTGCCTTGTGCATTTTTATCTTTGATCCTTGTTATGAACCTTCGGAAATGAGGGTTACTTCCTTTTGAAGCGTATGCCATGAGACATCTTGAGGAAATAGGCGAATACTTTATCAGCAACGTCGTCAATTTTGTCATAACGGGCTCCTAGGCGATATGCCGCTGCTGTACCAGATATCACAGCTACTTCGTGCAAATTCTGGAAAAAAGAAATGACATATTCATTAGCTGATATTCTGTGACGGAGCTTATAGGATGTGCTTCTTTCTTTCTTTCTTTCTTTCTTTCTTTTTTTTTTTTTTTCCTTGAAAGAGAAACATGGAAGCTTACCGTGTAGGTCCAGGAGCCCGCATAGAAGGTATCATTTCTTCCGTTCAGAAACTTCATGGCTGGCACGAGCTTCGCAAAGTGTTGCCATCTATGGGAGAGCTGGTGCCACCACTTTTGCTCGATTATTTTTTCCTGATCGATAAGGTCTACCGTCCATACATGCTTCATTTTCTCGTCTATGAAGTGGCTTTGGAATATGTGGTCTTCGAACGGTGGCAAAGGGTCATCAGTGCCGTTTGGGTTCCGGAACTGGTACTGGAATCGTGTGCAGTCATATCCTACTTCCATCTTCTCTGGCCGTGCTTGGTACGAGAATGTAAAATAGGATGGCTGAAATCTGGATGCGGCGTCCTGTTCCCCCTTTGCAACCTTGATATGTTCCTTGTCTTCGAGCGTCTGGGCTTCCCCGCATATCTCATCCCGGTAATGGACCTCGAACTTTCTCTGAAAGTAGGCATGGTCAGAATGGGTAATGGTCAGGTCCTTGCACCATTTGGTTGTCCCCAAGACCATCTTCTCCCGCCACGTTGCCAGATCGCCTAGTAGGTCCTTTGCCTGGTCTCCCGGAATGCAAAAGACGATCTTGTCATAAGATTCCGACAGGGTCCTGTTCTTGATGCCGCTATCTCCAATCCTGTGATCTGAATCGATCCGGCGGGTTTCCACTATGATACCTTTCTTGTTTCTCTGGAAAACCTTTACGACCTGAGTATTGAATCGGATATTGACCCCCTTATTACGGAGTCCTTCTGCCCAGTCCAGATAAAAACGACTCATATTTGGATATGCATATACGGAGTGGTCGAAGGGCACGAGTGTTGACATGTCATAGGAACAGAATTTTATATCAGGGTCCTCGAAGAGGCCCTGGTAGAGCCCACATGGCACATCACGGCCCTGATTTCCCATGCCGAAGAAGATGGAAGTTGCGGGATAGATGATCTTGTTTCCAAAGTCCTTTGAGAAGCCGAAGATGCGCAAGAAGGCCTTTAGTGGGAGATGCCAGAGCAAGGAATACTGGCGGACTCTCGTGAGAAGTTCCCCGAATTTCCGTATCTCCTCCGCATGTTCCTGCACGACGGAGGTTGGAAAGACATTTGTCCAGAAGTTTTCCTTTCCCTTGCCAAACGCGAACTGCAGGGTGGCCTCCTGCGGCTCGTGTCCATATTCCCGGAAGAAGTTGTATGTGTGCCTGAATATCCCCGGGCCACCCTGGGCCCCGATATTGACCCAATCCGCACCGAATTTGGCCTTGTCGATGGCGATGGACTTTGCCTGTCCACCTGGCACGTTGTCCTTTTCGAGCAGGGTCACTTCGAACTTGTCCGGTTCTTTTGCGAGGGTTGCGGCGCATGACTAGACAGCACACTTGGTTATTATTCATTCTCCTATGCTCCATATTTTTTTCTATTTTTTATTTTTTTTTTTCTGCTAGAAGAGGCAGCAGGTATGGTAATAAGCCATTAAACCTGGCCGGGCTTCAAAAACAAGGAGGCCCCAGAACGAGCGAAGAGACACTCACCATCCCGGCAGCACCTGCGCCCACCACCAGGACCTTCAGCCTGCGGTCCTCCTTCGAGGAGTGTTTCGAGGCCATTCCCGACAGATAGTCCAACGCGCGAGAGCACAAGTTTGAACGTGAGAAAGATACGTATATAACTATGTCAGCCCTGTCTGCAGGCTTTATTTTTTTTTTAGCATCTGTCATTTGCTTCTGGTTGCTGCATGTCCTTGCCGAGGAGACTACGGAAGAGGCTACGAGAGAGTCTAAAGTGGCAGTTTTTGCGCAAGCAGGCGGGCTTCGAGCCTAACCATGGTTCGCCTTCCAGCCAGCTCATGTTTTCCTGCCTGTAGATCGTGTGGGAAGGAGAGAATTCATGCAATATCAGCCAGTCTGGCGGGTGTAACTTCCCAGTTCTTGATAGACGTAATTTATGGCCGTATCGATAACGTATGGCGAATTCCCCCTTCTGCAGGTTGCCATCGGTATTTTATTGTAATTTTACTTCACGTGATGCTCACATGCCGCCAGCTCCTGGAGATCTTCCTTCGCCAGGGGTTCTTCTCGGTCTTTGAACGAGCCGGGCAGAGACAGAAACAACAAACACCGCGATCAGAAACAAGCAAAGGGACGAGGGCAGCGTCGCAGACGTGATGGCAAGAATTGTGATCGGAGCTTGTTACTGGTTGACCGTTTTCCTGAACCACTGAACCGGTGGACAGGTGAGTTCAGGCCCATGTGGATGCCACTCTTACCCCAGACCTCGTATCTTGGGATTGCATCGAATATCAACCGCGCTCGAGCAATAATATCCACCCGTTTCAGCCAATATCCAGCCAGTCTATTGAATTCCAAGAGTGCTGGAGCGAGAACGAGAGGAGGAGCAGCAGCACCAGCATATTTGCCTTCTTCTTGTTACTATTATTATCATTCTTGGGAGTCCAGGCCTCTCCCGACATCTCGATCCGCGGTCAACTCCGAGGCGTTTATACCGCGTTTAAGTCCTGAGGGAACACGTCCACGTCTTTCTCTGCTTGCCTGGTCCCACGGATCAGGTATCATGGACCATGACCTGCAGGCCGCGATTGACGCCTCGTTGAGAGACGCAGTAAGATCTCAGACGAGTTTACAGCGGCGTAAATCTTCGGTTGTTGATCTTACTGGGGATTCAGATGGGGACGCGTCGGCGGCGCGACGGGCTGGAAAAGCAGCAGAAGAGGAAGCAGGAGACGATGGCTATGATGCAGAATTGAAGAGGGCTATTCAGTTGTCTCTGCAGTCGGGACGTGCTCCAGAGCATGAAACGATTGATGTTGACACCCTGGAGGCCGGAAAAGCTACAGCTACCCCTGAACCAAAGAGGGCGGCTTCAACATGGATAGCGGGCTTTGATAGGAAGAAGATGGAAGAAGAACGGCTTGCCAGGCTGGCGAAGAAGAGAAAGACAGGAGAAGATGGCTCTGCTTTAGCTTTACCAGCTGGAAGGCCGTTGAAGGCGTCGAGGCGTGAGCCGCCATCTGGGACTTCTTCGTCTTCTGCCAAGATATCATCCATACCCCTAGCTACAGCTACGGTGGCGGCAGAGTCTGTTCCTAGAGTGCCATCTACAGAGCCAACTATACAGTTCCCAGAGGGTGCGGTGAAGAAGACCTGGGCTTTCCGGTGTGAGAGAAAGGACGACATCAAACTTGAAGAAGTGCTGCAGCCGTCTGACCTGGAACTGGCGGTGCTTAGCTCGTTCCTGTGGGATATGGACTGGCTGTTGATGAAGTTTACCAACCCGAGCACGCGGTTTCTATTTATCATGGGAGCCAAGGGGGAGGAGAGGGTAAGCAAGCCAGCAGTCGAATTGACATTCTTGAATACATTGACTGATACAACCAACTGTGCAGCGAGCACAGCTGCTGCGGGAGACTGCATCGATGTCGAGGATACGGTTGTGTTTCCCGCCGATGGACGGGGAGGTGAACTGCATGCACTCCAAGCTGATGCTGCTTTTCCATGCCAAACACCTGCGCATTGTGATACCCAGCGCGAACCTGGACCCTTACGACTGGGGAGAGAAAGGCGGCGTGATGGAGAATGTAAGCAAGGCGAAGTCTATCTCTCTCTCTACCTTTTATTCCTACGGAGTATAGGATATAGAGTTGTTCCCCCCCAGCGAACGGAACATTTGTTAATGTTAATCTTCTTCTTATTTTTTCGATTTTAAGATGCTGTTCCTGATCGACCTGCCTCGCAAGGCCAACGAGACCATCGACGACACGACGCCATTCCGGGACGAGCTCGTTTACTTTCTTCGAGCGTCGACGTTGAACGAGAAGATCATAGACAAGATGCTCCAGTATGATTTTAGCAAGACGGCTAAATATGCTTTCGTGCATTCCATGTGGGTTCTTTTTCTTTTTATTTTTCCTTCTTTTTTTTCCTTTTGGTTTGGGTGTTAAGCTACGTTGCTTAAATACCTTTAACTTTTTTTTTTTATTTTTTTTATTATTTTGATTTTCTCCAGCACCTTAAATTCTGTTTCGAACTATTTTTGTGAACTCTAACTCTCTCGCTCTCTCTCGCTGGTGCTGGTGCTGGTGCCGGTGCTCTCCTGTGTCTCTGCAACCAAAAAACATAAAGCGAGGAGACTATATTTTAACTTAACTTGCGGATGTTGACTTTTTTTATGATCCGCGACCAGAGGTGGTTCGCATATAGGCTCAGACTCATACGAGCGCACTGGACACTGCGGGCTCGGCACGGCGGTTAAATCATTGGGTTTGGCGACGTCGCGGCCCTTGAAGCTGGACTACATTGTGCGTTGTCAACTGATGGGGAGGAAGAGAGATCAAAAGAGGCAGACCGAAAAAAAAAAAAAAAAAAATGGCGCGACTTGGACTGACTTGATTGACGTATCCTAGACATCCTCCGTGGGCTCGCTAACGGCGACATTCCTCCAGAATCTGTACTGGTCGGCGCAGGGTAAGTAAAATATGCCCTTGTTTTCCTTTGATATGCGCGTTTCTTTGCGGTTGGCAGGAAGAGAGAGAGAGAGAGAGAGAGAGAGAGAGAGAGAGAGAGAGGAAGTTGAGAAGTATGCATGAGCCTGACACGTTGTAGGCGACAACGGGACGAAACAGCTATCCGCACGAGCGGGGAACGCCCGGAGCAGCAACAAGAGCAGCAACAAGAAGAGCAGCAGCAGCGACAAAGATGACTGGACAGGGCGGATGAAGGTGTACTTTCCGTCGCGAGAGACCGTCCGCAGCAGCCGGGGCGGCGTATCGGCAGCTGGGACGCTGTGCCTGATGTCGAAATGGTATAACTCTCCGATGTTTCCCAGAGACGTCATGCGGGATAACCGCAGCGTGCGAGAGGGGCTGTTGATGCACAGTAAGGTAAGTAAAATATAATGAATGCAACATCCATGTCCACCACTAGTGAAGCATATGTACTTAGTACTTCTATACAAGTACTAGCGTGTTGGTTTACTCCAGTGGCCCCTGTCCTGCTACCAAGTTACTTACATGTGGGTTGGTGTTGTGTTAGGTACTGTATGCCCGGCCAGAAGGGGAGGCCCAAAAGGGCGAGTCTAGGAGCGCCGACTGCGCTGGATGGGCGTATGTGGGCAGCGCAAACCTATCCGAGAGCGCCTGGTAAGTGCTACTGTTACTGTCACTGTTACTCCAGCTACCACTGAGTACTACCACTACCACAACTACTTCCTGCTACGGAGTACTACCATTACTACTGTTGCGTCTTGTGAGTAAAGTGGCTGCTCGCTAACGAAGGGCCTAGGGGACGGCTGGTGATTGACCGCAAGACGAAGCAGGCCAAGCTCAATTGCCGAAACTGGGAAAGTGGCGTTGTGGTCCCCGTGGGCAGAGTAGAAGACGGCACGGAAAGAGGAGCAGCGTCAGCAGCGTCAGCAGCGCCAGCAGCAGCAGCAGAGCTGAGCCGGGTGTTCAGGGCGGCGGTGCCTGTGCCGATGCAGGAGCCTGGCCGCGAATACACAGAGGACGAGCAGCCGTGGTTCTACCTCGAGCACTTCCACGGTTGACGCTGCTTGGTATCTAGATGTTGGTACGGAGTAATAATAAATAATAAAATCAATAGAGAGCAGAGCAACTTAGGCTCATGCATGGGCTCACCGACTCCAGCACGCTTTTCTGCGGTATCTACCTTAACCCTCTTTTGGGTACGGAGTACAAAGTGCTAAAATAATGCTGCAGAAAGGGATAAGCATCGGTGCATGGATGGGCTCTTAAGGTAGCAACAGAGTAATAAAGCGTAATAATAATAAATAAGAATAAAACGATAAAATACTGACTGTCGTGTCCCAACGGGTTCACGCCCTCCCGCTGATCCTTAAAGCAACCATGTAAGAGTATACACCTACTTACTACTTAAAACCACATGCACCTTGTGTTGCTCCATCTGAAGAAGACAAGGTAAAAAAGAAATGCAAATTGTCACGCTACTTTCCATCTTCAGCTACCAGGAGGAAGCAAGTAGTTGTAAGTATGTATCTCATCTTGCACGGCGTAACTAGTATCTGCCCGTCAGCCAAACCTCCGAAGAAGACCACAACCACAACCACTCCCTACCCTGAGAGATAGCGAGAGGAAAGTCGAGACAGCCAGAGAGAGAGAGAGAGAGAGAGAGAGAGAGAGATAAACTAGTTAGGTTAGCCCTTGAAGGCCTGTTTTCTTTTTTCGACCTTTTCCCTCTTTCGCCGTGCATGCATTAGTCTGTCTGTTAGCATCAACCCTCAACCCTCAACCCCCCAGGAGCAGGAGAGCAGCAGACAGGCTGAAACAGCCCAACCTCGACCACCAGCCAACCAGCAGACTGAACAGACAAGAGAAACACAGACAGAGAGAGAGACAGAAATGAGAGAGTGAGGAGTGAGAGTGGATGAAGGGTCTGACCGCACTCCACAGCCATGGCCACGGCGAGAAAGTCAGGAAGTTTGAAGCCCGTCCACGTCCAGGCCCATCATCAAACAATCGACATGCAAACGAACGACGCAGCCAAAAAAAAAAAAAAGAAGCCATCCTCGTATTCCGTCGGCCGTTCTCCACGAGCCAGCAAGCGAAAAAGCGAAGGAAAAAAAAAAAAAAAAGGCGCATCAGGGACAGGGATGGGACGGGGATGAGCGTCAGGATGTAAGTAAGTAAGGTAAAAAAGGACTCTGCTCTGCTTGCTGCTATACTATCCTTACTGACATACATAACTTACATTAGAGGACATGGGCAGGGGCAGGGGCAGGGATAGGGGACAGGGATGGACAAGGACAAGGGGAAAGATGGAGGAGAGGAAGAAGCAGACAAGACGACGACAAGCAAGACAAGAAAGACGATGAAGAGCGAAGGACGACGAAGAGGTCGAGGCCAGGGGGACCATATTCCGTCCATCCGTCCACCCGTCTGGCTGTTTCTTCGTCGTCGTCGTCGTCGTCGTCGTCTTCTTCATCGCCGTCGCTCTCGTCTTGAACTCTGAGCTTGCTTCTCTCTTGACTTTCGGCTGATCCCCTAGCATGTCAGATCTCTATCTGGACTTCTGTCTATACACTACAGTACTCGGTATCTATCTGTACTATTATTATTGTCTAGTATAGTGTTATTGTCTACGGGTACCGACGGAGACGGCTTGTCATGTAAGTAGTACATATGCAAGTCACAGTCACAGCCAGAGAACGAGACGCCTTGGAGACAGAGAACGAGCAGAGGCTTGCTGGTGGGCCGCTGCCTGCCAGTCTGCTTCTTCAGGCGGCATCCCTGGCAGCCCAAGGCAAGGCCGTTATGAAGTCAGACAGACAGACAGACAGACAGAGAGAAACAGAGAGAGAGATAGAGGAGCCTGTCATGTTCAACCTCGGCCGTCGTGGTAGCATCATCCCGTCGTCATCGGCCTGGCCTGGCTGTCATCATCCATCATCCATCCTCCATCATCATCATCATCATCATCATCATCCGCCATCCGCCATCCACCGTCCACCACCCACCATCCACCGTCCTGGCCCCGGCCTATCAGAGAGAGAGATAAGCGGGTGGAGGGCAAGGCAGGCAAAGACGGCACGAGGAGGTCTTCTTCTTCTTCACTGTCGTCTGTCGTCTCTCCTCCGTGCTGCTGTCGTCTTATCTCTGCGGTCCAGCGTCTCCTTCCGTCTGATATCAACATCAACCATCTATATCAGCACCCATCATCCATCCAGCTTCAACTAGGTTAACTCCACGACGCCGACTCCCTGGCCATGGACTGGACTGGAAGTGTAACTTAACTCTCTTCTGGCCTTGCCCATCCCATCTTTTTTTTTTTTCGCCTCCTTCACAAGCAAAAACAAGCAGAATCGCAAAAAGCAACGACTTACGCAGGAAAAAGCAACTCTACTCTGCTCTGCTATCAAGCCCAGTCGTCAGTGGTCATTACTAGCTGATACATGCCAGGGAAGAAGCAAAAAAGCAAAGAGTGGCCTTCCCCCCCCCCAAGAGAGGGACCCTCGCACCCTCCATCCATCTCCCTTCGAAAAGGTTGGCTGGCTTGCCTGGCCTTTTTGCTTTTTCGCCTGCTCTCTCTCTCTCTGTGTCCGTCTCTCTCTCTGTCGCTGTCTCTCTGTCTCTCTGGTGTCTCTCGCTGTAGGGACATTATTGCCATCTCTCCATGGCCAACCTGGAGAAAGCCCAAAAAGAAAAAAAAAAAAAAGAAAAGAAAGAAAGAAGAAAAAGAAGAAGAAGAAGCAGAAGTAAGTCTCTTTTTTTTTTTTTAACTAAAAAGGATACTCCGTAATTCTGGGACTTCCCTTTCGCTTTTAAGGTATCCTCCCTCTCGCCAGTAGTGGGTGGTGAGTGGTGAGTGGGCAGGGCAGCGCGGCGATGGAGGGAAGAGGGCAGAAGGAAGGCCAGAAAAGAGACGAGCTGAAAGTGTATATTCATGCTTAATTTTACGCTTCTTGGAGCCGCTGCTGATCATAGAACGAGCGAGGTGAAAGGAGACCGAGTTGCAGTCGTAGTAGTAGTAGTAGTAGTAGTAGTAGTAGAAGTAGTGGTTAGAGATGGAAGATGGCAGATGGCAGACTTGGAATGACAGCAACTGGACAGGCAGCAACTGGGACTTGGAGACGGGTGAACCATGGCATGGTGACAGCCAGTGACAGACTGACAGCAGAGTAGACGGACAGACAGACAGACAGACAGAAGAGTAGACCGTAGAGCAGAGAAGAGAGAAGAGAGCAGAGAGCAGAGAGCAGAGAGTAGACGGCGATGGAGACGCCACCGCCACGAAGTGACGGAGATGAAGAGGAAGCAGGAAGAGACAGACAGCGAGAGAGCGAGAGAGAGAGACGGACAGCCAGACGGACAAGACAGCAAGCAGAAGAGAGGCCGGCGGTTAGAGTGGCAGCGAAAAGGCGATAAAGGCGAGCATCCCTGGAGTCGCTTTTCTTCTTCTCTTCTTCTTCTTCTCTTCCTCTTCTCTTCCTCTTACTTACTTCTTCTTCTTCTCTTCTTCTGCCTTTCGACTTCTTCCTCTTCTTCCTCTCGCCTTCTCCCTCTCCGGCCGTCGATCAGCTTACATAGCTCGTCGGCTGGTTTGCTCTTCTCTTCTTCTCTTATTCTCTTCTTTACTCTACTTCTTCCTCTTCTTCTTCCTCTTCTTCTTCCTCTTCTTCTTCCTCTTCTACTTCTACTCCTCTACTTAACCTACGCTTGATCGACTCTGACTTCCAACCTAGAGTCGAGTCCCCGAGTCCACAGCCAGATCCAAAGTCAAGCTAGACTCAGAGTCAAGAGCCAGGCCAGAGTCAAGCAAGGCCTCCTCCCTGTCTGACTTCGCCAACCTAGAGTCTGTTGCTCGCCGGCTTCCCTTAGGCTCGCCCGACGTTGCTCAAGCGCCGCCCTTTGACTCTCGTCCGCTGCGTGCGTGCCTTGTGTTAATTCTCAGCAACACCTCAACTTTACCACAACACCACTTTCTACACCACAACAACACAACCTCTACTACTACTACCACTACCACTACCACTACTACCACCACATCTTCCACTACAACATCAATACCTCATCATGGGCAACGGCTCTGCGGCCGTCCTCGAGCCGACGTACACGGGCTACGTCGCCTCGACTCACGACGCCCTCATCCTCTTCGAAGCCTGCCTCACGGGCGTCCTCCACCACGTCCCCCGCCGCCCGCACGACCGCGAGCGCGCTCAGCTCGTCCGCTCGGGATCAGTCTTCATCTACGAGGAGAACGCCTCGGGCATCAAGCGCTGGACGGACGGCGTCACCTGGAGCCCCTCGCGCATCCTGGGCAACTTCCTCGTCTACCGCGAGCTCGACAAACCTTTTCCTCCCGGCGAGAAGAAGCGCGCCGTCAAGAAGGGCAGCAGGCGGCCGACCCAGTCTGCCAGGGCCGGCGAGCCATACCCGCGTCTGCAGGACAATGGAACCCCCGTCAACGGCAGTGTTGGCTCCGTCGCCAGCGTGACGGGCTCTGCCTACTCCCCCGGCGCTCCCTCGCCCGTCGCCGGCGCTGGGCCTGGAGGCGCTGGTGCTGGCGGGCCTGTCTCTGGCAACGGGACGGGCTTTGCCCCCGAGCGTGGCCAGCAGTCGGAGCTCGAACGCGCCCTCGTCGGCTCCCTCGTCGACTCCTACGGCTTCAAGGACTCCGGCCTCGTCAAGAAGACCATGAGCGTCACCGTCTCCGGCGTCACCCACCATCTCGTCTCCTACTACAGCGTCGACGATGTCATGCGCGGCGTCCTCAGCCCCCCCAGCATGGTCGAGTCCCTCAGGTATATCCGCCCTCGCCAGGAACTCACCACAAAGCAGAGCTTCCGTGCCCCCATCGAGGACCCGGACCAGCCCAGCCTCGACGACGGCGACCCTTCCCAGTCCCTCTACGCATACCGTCCCAATCCTGCTACCGCCGCCGCCATGGTGCCCCAGTACGGCATGCCCCAGAGCACAGGCTACTACGCCATGCCGCAACCCTACTCCTCTCACCACCACCAACAGCAGCAGCAGCAACAACAACACCAACACCCTCATCATCAGCAGCAGCAGCATCCCTCACAGCAGCCGCAGCAGCACCACCCGCAACAGTCTGCGCATCACCAGCACCCTCACCACCAGCCTCCTCCTCCACACCAGCAACATCCTTCCCAGCAGCCCCCACCGCCGTCCGTGCCCGGCTACGGGGTCGCGCCACCACAGCAGAACCCTTATCTGCAGCAGAGTCCCGCTGCCGCAACCTCAGATCTGCCCCCCAAGTCGGAGGAATACGCTTCCTACCGTGGACCCTCAGCTGCCGCCGCCTACCAGAATGCCGCTGCCGCCGCCGCTGCTGCTGCCTATCCTCCCTCCTCGGCCGCTGCCTCGGCCGCTCCTCACATCTACCGCACTCCAAGCATACCAACGAGGCCGGGACCCTCAGACATGCCGCCTACCTCTCTCGACCCGGCCGGATCTCCCAGCGCGGCCACAACTTACTCGCGCGCCAGCTTTAGCCTGCCCGGTTCCATAGACTCAAAGCCTCAGACCTCCCCTCCACAGCAGCAGGCCCCCAATCCTCAGCAGCAACAGTCCCAGCAGCAGCAGCAGCAGCAGCAGCAGCAACCACTCGACAGGTCACCATATGCATCCTCTTCCGCCAGACGCGAATCAGGGTACTACGACCAAGCTCAGGCGCAGGCGCAGGCTCAAGCTCAGGCCGCTCATCAGCGTCGAGCTTCCATCCAGGCTCCTCCACAGCAGCAGCAACCCCCTCAACCTCCACAGCAACCCTCCCAGCCATACTACTCGGGGACTGCCGCCACCGGCCAGACCTCCTACCAGGGGCCTCCTCCCATGTCCACCTGGGGAGCCACACACGGACAGGCCATATAACCTCTTTCCTTTCCTTTTTCTTTTCTTTTCATTATTACTCTACGCTTTTTCTTATGCTTTCTTTTTCATATCGACATTGAAACAGTAACCCCACGCGAAAGGACGAAAGACTGCTTTTTTATCCATTTTCTTTTACGCTCACCAACCCATACTTCTTACACACTGACCCCAACTCAACTCTAAAATAAAGCAATAAAAGTTCTATCTCTCTCTCCAAACGCCGAACGAATGAAGATCATCGAATGACCCCCCCCCCCCCCCCGGAGTCGACCTCGACGCGCGACTCGACCTAATAGGAATGACGCTCATACACACATACTCTCTCTCTCTCTCACACACACACACTACGAGTTTCCAAAAGCAAAATGGAAAAAACCGACCAAAAAAATATATATTAAAAACGAAAAAAAAGAAGAAAGGAAAAAAAAAATAATTCCCCCTCCTCGGCATACAACAAACTAATCAGTTTCCCTCCCTATGGAAAATGGTGGTATTGCAATGGGGGAAAAACAGTTCTCTACTGCCTTGACTTGTCTGCATGTATGCACGTTTGCCTGCTTGTTCGCTCGCCCCTTGTCTTCTTTCTCTTCACACTTTATTGACTGAACTGACTTGACTTGATTGAACTGCACATACATACTGCACAAACTCAACTCACAAACGCAAATGATGAATGATTCGATTGTCCTCTCCTGTCCCTGTCCTGTTTTTCTTGTTTCTTTACTCCAAGTTGTCTTGTCAGTTCTCTCTCTTTCTCTCCCCTGCCCATGCTCTGCCCAACCCCCCCCAACCCCAACCCCAACCCCCCTTTGCCCTTCCCTTATCTGTCTTGTCTTGTCTGTCTTTCTTGTCTTTCTTGTTGATCTTGGATTATCCTTTCCTTTCTGCTGTGTCTTCGAGTGGCTTATCTCGCTTTTCGACCCCCTTTTCCTTTTTTTTTTATTACTGCTTTTCCCCTGTTGATGCACATTAACTGACCCCGTACGTACTTACTGCTTTACTTACTTATCCTTCCTATCAAATATTTACCTTTACTTCACTCTCTCTCTCTATCTTCTCTACTCTAACACTGGGCTTGGCCTGGGCTGTACATCTTTTGATCGTAGTATATGTATATGTGTGGCGGACGGGACACGGCGGATGGACGGGTGGCAAGATAAAGGACACGGGGGAGAAGAAGAAATACCAGCACTACCCGCTACTATTTCACCATCTATCACCATCCACCTACTTCTTCAACCGTGGATGGCCTCTACTTTTGACTTAACTACCTTTACTTTCCTGCCCTGGCGGATCTTACGTTATCTCACCCTTACTCTCACCCCTTACCCTTAAACCCTTAAACCGCCAAAAACAACCTCTACGCTCTATCCCAACCTAAGAAGCATTCCGGGGTACGCGCGCAAATGTGATGCTCGCTGTAGAGTTGTAGATGGCACGGAGATCAGCTCGATCCCTTTCCGCTTTCCCTCCCCTCGGTGGCGGTGGGATCATCCCCATTATGCCCACTCTATTAATGAATGCCCTTCTAAGTATAGCACTTGATAGACGCAGACAGCCAGGCCCATGCATGTGAGGCAGGATAAAGCGAAAACGGCCCCGTCTGCTACCTAGTACCATCATGTAAGTTGTCCCGATCGATGGGCAGTACAGGACGGGAATACATGTTATCGATTATCGGTGGCCGCGGCCGGGTGACTTTAGAGAATATCTTCATGCATGCTTTTTTTTCTTTTTTTCCCTCGTAATGTAGCTGGAATTGAGTTTCGTCGTGAAGAACTGCTTGACTTTCTGCTTGAGTTACCTTTTGATGCATGTCTGTATGTATGTATATGTAAAGTATGTATGTAACCTCTGACGAACTGCCGGAGCGCGCTTTATGCATCTCGACGTCTATCCTTGCGCTGCTTAGGGCTACCATCTCTATCTGCACCATCTCTATCATCTGCTACCACCTACTATCATCTTCTCTATCGTCTTTTCTATCGTTTTCGTCTTTTATACCAACATTTCCTTTTCGCGGGGCAAAAGTTAAATAAAAGCTGACTCATCTTAACCCCACTTACTAAGCAGTATTATGTAATCTTCAGCTCGCGTGTCGCCGCGCTTGTCGCAGCCAATCAGAAGCCCAGCCGAGCGCCCTTCATACTGGCTTTTTTTTTTTCTTCTCCATCTTCTCGCTCTCCTTTTTCCGTCGTCTCTAACAAAAGTATCTCCAATCTTGCCAACACCACGCTCTCTACGCTCAATAATACAGACGGCACATGCATGGTAGATTCCAGTGTGATATAGCATGGCCCGCATATGATATGATATGATATCCAACTGACATTACACCCACCCCCCCACGCACCTCGCCTAAACAGATCGCCAGGCCACCACATCTACAGGCAAGCAAGTACAAAATCAATAACCGAGCCATAAAAGAGACTTTGGCTTTAATTAATTTAAAATCAAATATTTTACTTGCTTTGCTTGCTTATTCACGCCCGGCGGCCATGGCGACAAGATACCCTTTGCCCATGCGGAACCCCTTTGCCTTGTTTTCGGCCTCGGTGACCACTCCTGCTCTCTCGGCCTCTGCTGCTTCTGTCTCGAGGATGGGTGTGAGGATGAGCGTGCGGGTGCGGGTGCTGCTGCAGCTGCAGCCCGGTGGTGTCCTCGATGGCTTGAGCCAGAGCAGGTTTTGGTCGGGTCTGGCTGGACATGGACATGATGGGTTCCGACATGGTTGCACGGCATCGGAGGCGAGGATGCGGTCTTGTGCTGGTGCTGGTGCTGCTGGTAATGCACAGCTGAAGCTGACAGGGAACGTCCGTAGCCTTACTACTGCCCCTATCTGTCGCTTGCATCTCGGTCTTCCTCGAATTCAGCGGTAGGGATACGCCATACCCCCCCTTTTCCATCTCCCTCTCCCACTCCATCTCCATCTCCATCCCCCCCACCCCCTTTACTCTTCCCGTACCCCCCTCCTACACCCTTTTTTGGCTCTGTTTCGTCTCGCTTTGCATTTGCATTTCCCTGTCTTGTCCTGTTACTGGTCGGCAATGCCGGCCTGCTGATTGATTGATACCTCATACCCCATACCACACCCACACCCACACCCACACTCCCATACCGCACACCATATGATACACCCCATACTGATGGATCCGGCAGTGCGTCTCCTTACTCGTTCGAGCCGCGGAGGTGGGTGCACCACCCCACCGCTGCTTCTGGGCAGAACACGGGAAACGAAAAGGAAAAGGAAAAGCCGTCTACCAAGGCTGTCGTGCATGAGAACATCTACACTATACCCAACATCCTCACTGCTTCACGCCTGGTAGCCGCCCCCATAATCGGCTACTCCATCCTCACAGGCAGCCATACTCTGGCTCTCTCGCTCTTTGCCTACGCTGCCGTCACTGACCTGGTGGACGGCTACATCGCCAGAAGATGGAACCAGCAGACCGTCGTTGGGACCGTCATCGATCCCATGGCCGATAAGTTCCTGATGACTATCGGTGTCGTCTGTCTTGCCATGAAGGCTGCTATCCCGAGTACGTTTTCAACTCACTTACTTTTTTTTGCTCGAATATTCTATCTAAGTGTGTAGGATACTGGCTAACTAACGGTGATAAGTGTGGTTGGCTGGTCTTATACTGGCTCGCGACGTCGGGCTTGCGTTTGCAGCCATATACTACAGATGGATATCTCTGCCTCCGCCCAAGACCATGAAGCGATACTGGGACTTCTCTCTCCCTTCGGCTGAAGTCAAGCCCACGGAGGTGTCCAAGGTTAACACGGCGCTGCAGCTTGCTCTGCTGGGCTCTGCGATGGCCATGCCAGTGCTTCCCGAGGCTATGATGACGGCCTGGTACCTGCAGGAGGGCATGGTTGGGTTACAGTGAGTCTCATCCCTCTCGTTCTTGCTTCTATCTACCCCTATCTACACTATATCCCCGGCATAAAACTACGCTGCGGCAAGGAACTAGTACATACGAACACAGGAAGTGGAAAACAGAGCTTCCCGTCCGCTCAGCTGTACTTAAGCCACTTGCCGGTCGGTTAGTAGTTGGGTGGGTGACCACCAGCGAATCCCGACTTTCGTATGTTTTTATTTTTTTGGTCTTTTTTTTGTTTCTTTCATGGATTCGTCGTTTTCTTTACTGACCGAGGTAGATATCTCGTCGCATTTACTACCTCCTGGTCAGGCCTCCAGTACATCTTCAACAAGGACGTCGTTCGCATCCTACACGATAACAAGAACACGAACAAGGACTCAAGCAAGGACTCGGACTCCAAGACGAGCTGACGGCCTCCTCGAGGGCGAACGTGTGTATGTCTATGTGTGTAATTATATCTCGTTGCAAGCGTGGCATGTGGCATTTTCTGGTTCTGCTCTTTTGGCATGGCTTCTTTTGGTCATATATCTCGGTTGGAGCATCTCTTGTAGCATACTCGTTTTCTATCTATCAGCTGAGCTTCCTCAGACTCATCAGGACACTACTACTATCTTTATCCTCGTCTTTGTCTTCGTCTTTTGTCTTTGTCTGCTTCATCTTCATCACGCTGGATTATCAGCAGGACAGGATCAACGTTTGTCCGCCAAAAAGTGTTGAAGCTCAACAACGTGGAACAAACGACTCGGAGCTCCATCCAAGCCCTACTTGCAATTTTTGATATCGTCTATCTTTTTTTTTCTCCATCCTTCAATCCTTTGCTTCGTCTCTCCCTGCGATGTTCAGCTCCATTTTTACCCCCTGTTGACTCCTCCTAGCCAGCTAGCTAGCTGCAAGTGCAAGCTGCAAAGATGCTGCCCTATATCAACGCCCGTTCGTCCCTCCCACACGAAAAAAGTGTCCTCTCTCTACCTGCTCATATCTCGTTATTGACTCTGCAACAACAGCTTTCGCCGCCGCTGGAGAGGTAATCGGCGCATCTGCTGATGAGCGTATGTACTCACTTCTACTCCTTACTTCATACTCGAGGCCTCTTGTCCTAATTCACAGTAGTGAAACTCATTACCTCGTTCCTCCTCTCGTACCCCCTCGCAGCTATACTAAAGCGACTCCCGGACTCTCAACCCTGGAAGAAAAACGCCTTCATCATCGCCGTCTCGCTCTTCTACCTGGTCGGTCTCTTTGATCTCTGGGATGGCGTCCGCACCCTCCTCTACTGCTCCGCAGGAGCATATGCAATCGCATACTACGTCGACGGCTCCATGATGCCCTGGGTTGGCTTCACATACCTTATCGGATACATGTCCGTCAGCCATATAATCAGGCAAATCATCAATGACCCTACTTCCGTCGACGTCACCGGTGCTCAGATGGTGCTGGTCATGAAACTGAGTGCGTTCTGCTGGAACGTGCATGACGGCCGACTGCCTGATAGCCAACTTAGTGAGGCCCAGAAACACGCTGCCATCAAGGAGTTCCCCAGCTTGCTTGATTTTGCCGGTTACGTGCTGTTCTTCCCCTCGTTGTTTGCAGGTCCAGCGTTCGACTACGTCGAGTACCGACGATGGATTGAAACTAGCATGTTCGACTTGCCTCCTGATATTGATCCGTCCAAGGCACCTCCCACGCGGAAGAAGAGAAAGATACCCAGGAGCGGCAGACCAGCTGCTTTGAAGGCAGCGATGGGACTAGCGTTCATCGGTGCTTTCATTGTGTTTGCGCCCATCTACACTACCAACTTGCTGCTGAGCGAGGAATTCGCTGCCTACAGCTTCTTCAGGAAGATCTGGGTGCTGTATGTGTTTGGCTTTGCGGCAAGGTTGAAGTACTATGGTGTTTGGTCCCTGACTGAAGGTGCTTGTATTCTCTCTGGAATGGGATACAACGGTGTCGACCGCAATACAGGACAGGTGTACTGGAATAAGCTCGAGAACGTCAACCCCTACGGTCTGGAGACCGCCCAGAACCCCCATGCGTTCCTCGCCAACTGGAACAAGAACACGAATCACTGGCTACGGAACTATATCTACCTCCGCGTCACTCCAAAGGGGAAGAAACCCGGCTTCCGTGCAAGCTTGGCTACCTTTGCTACCAGTGCTATCTGGCATGGCTTCTACCCAGGTTACTATCTGACCTTCATTCTAGGCTCTTTTGTTCAAACAAGCGCCAAACGTACGCCCAATTTTTTTCATTTATATTATGTTAACTTCCCCTGAATACCAAAATATACTAACAATCGTGTTTAGATTTCCGCCGTCATGTTCGCCCCTTTTTCCTTACCCCTGACGGTACTGCTCCAACTGGTTTCAAGATTTACTATGACATCATCAGCTGGCTCGCAACCCAGCTCACAATGAGCTTCACCATCGCTCCATTCATCCTTCTGGATTTCACCGACTGCACCACCCTCTGGGGCCGCGTCTACTTCTACATCATAATTGGCATCGTCGCCACACTCACTTTCTTTAACAGCCCCGCAAAGGCCCAATTAATCCGCAAGCTAAACAAACGTAACAAGGTTGCTACTGGCAAGGATGCAGAAGTACCTGGCAAACCATCTGATAGGCAAGCCGCTAATGAAGCTGCTGCTGTCAGGGCAAGGGAGAAGGCCCAGGCTGATGCCAGGGAGGTGCAGGCCGGCCAAACACCATACACCGAGCAACCCCTCGGCCTGCCCAATGATTTGGCGCAGGACGTTGAAGACGCCGTGAACGAGATCAAGAAGGAGATCGAAACCAGGAGACGACGTGGCAGTGTGGTCACGATGCCTACTGGTGCAGAACTGCGGAACATCCTTGAGCAGAAACTAGGCAAGGCTCCTTTTTAACATACCGTAATGAGATATAATAATGTTGGGTGGTTCCGCGGTGCTATATCCTGGCCTTAAATCATGCTACCACTTACTCCCTTTGTTTTGCATGCGTCTTTGCTACTGTTATTCCCTAATTAGAGAGGACGGAGGATGGTTGACGGCTTATCTTGGTTGCTCATTCTCCTAGGATCTCAGCGATTTTGAAGCACGCCCTATGTTTATACCCTAGAACGACATCTACTATGCGCACAACGAGCCATTCACTCGAATAATTGGTTTGATTTCGGTTGGTCATCAGAGTAGAGAAGAAGTAATAACACGTCATCATAGAGAAGGATGGAGAGGGCTGACATAGTGTGGTGAACATTGCCAGAAATAGAAGAACGAAAACGTATTTTCAAATATTAATCGGCTTTTTTTTTACGTCCATTTTCAACATATTGTATCAAGCCACCTCGTAGGGATATAGAGTGACAAGAGGGATTGCAATTTTTATAAGCGTAGTGCGTATAGAAGAAAGCAAGTGTTGAGTTTGGCAATTTGATCGCAAAAGGAGAAGAAGAAGGTGGGTGATAAAATATGGTATAAAGTCGAAGGGCAAGAAAAAGGTGGTTGAAGAACCAGAAACTAGTAGTTTCGACGAATGAAAAAGGGGCCATAGGTGTAGGCGAGTGTGTGGGAATAGGGCTAAAAATAAAAAATAAGTAATAAGGTATACACAGCAGGGTTTAAAGGGGGGAATCAAATAAAATCCAATAGTATAATGCAAGTGAAAGGACCCGAAAGTAAAGACGGAAGCAAGGGATTTGCGCGCTTTCGTTAAATCGTATAAAGGAGAGATCATTCTCCTAAACGTGCATTGTTTTGGTAAGACGCAAAAGACGAAAATCGGGGAAATAAAGCGAATATAAAAAGCCAAACCATCATAGATAACGTGGGACCATAAACGGTTGGATATGTATATATAAACGTGCCATATAGAGATCCGTTGCCGTATTAGAAGCGTAAGGGCATAAGTACTAATTAATGTTGTTTTACAACATGAAATCAAAAAACGAGGTCATGTATCATAGGGCGTTTCGTGATCCAAGAACGGATAGTGTGATCTATTATGGATGTTAGTGAAGGGCTCATAAATATATGGAGAAATTTTTAATGAACATACAACTATTATAATGATTGACAAGCCAACTGGTGTCATGCAACGGTTCAGATTCCGCCACCATCGGGCATTTTCGTAACGTAAATTATCAGCCAGGACTGCTCGATGAGCAGCCGCTTTTTCAATATCTGGCTGCCCTGGCATTCCATTCTCAACAGATGGTGGCTTGATTGGCAAAGGCAGAAACGAGGCAATCAACCAGGCTGTGGTTGAAGATATTAGAATAGATGGACAAACTTGTCAACAAAGAGTTGTAAACATACCTAATGGAAAGATAAAACCAAAGCAAAAACTGAGCACCTGCATGTTTCGTCTACTCCATATATATTCGCCAGATTCGTCGTAGGGTGGAGCCTTCCATATTTTCCTCTCAGTTGAACGAAATCGTTTATCTGTATACAGATGTGGTGACCAGACGCCCCTGGGTGTCACTTCGCGAGAGGGCTGAGGTGTAATCTCATCTTCTCCAACAATACCGGCCCAATGTGTTCTTGGATCACGAGAGTCTCGTCGGATGGCTTTTGGTTTAGGCTCAACCTGGGCTTGTTCCGGTTGCTCCACTTGTATTTCTGCTTCTGGTATCGGCATCGACTCCTGCCGCCGTGCTGGCTGTGATTCTGGCTGGTCTTGTCGTTGTACAGGCTGGCTCGCTCGGCGAGGCCGTGTTCGGGGGCATGAGATATTTCCAGGCGGTACACGAACTACAGCTTGATTTGATACTTCCTCCAAGGGTTCTGAGTAGGAAACCTGGGTCACAGCAGGGATTTCTCGTGGGGTATTTGGTCTGCTAACATCAACTAGAGAAACAGCCGAAAGGAAGGCGAGGTTTCCACCTTGATAGTATATCTTTGCCCACTGGGGAATAGTAGTTAGAAATTGACTTGCTGTTGACCCCGACCGACTTAGAGAGCCTCGCCTTGAGAGGGATGACCGATAGCTGAGGGTGGCGGATGTCTTATGCTTTAGAACACGCAAGGCATGAAGATGGGTAATGCGGTCGCTAACCTCATCCATCTCGGATTCATCCATTGCTGAATAATCTGGCATCTCGGATTGCTGGCGTGCGGAGAGCCAAGATTGCTCAGTTTCAGTCACCTGTCGGGATCTCCCTTGGGTACCATCAAGGGATAACGAGGGAAGATTGTGTCGCTCATCCATTGGAATTGACATGTCAGACGAGACGGAGGACAAGTCCGGGTTCCACCGTCGAGTTGGAGGGCGGGCTACTGCCAATGGCTCTGGAATGGAGACCATGGACGTTTCTGCGTACGAGCCGGACGACGAGGGTGGACGTAATATTGGGTACTGTATAGGAATCCCGCTGTCCATAACGGCCTGGATATCAATATCTGATGGCATGCTGGGTAAGGAAACATTCCCTTGGCTTGACCGCGCATTGAGATCAAGTGTTGATGTGGATTGGTATGACCTTAGCACTGGGACAGGGGGGCTTGAGGGGATGGACGGAGTATGGGAATCAGAGCGGGCCGCGGATGCTGGTTCTGAAGTAGTGCTCGGCCCTCCTCGATTGCGGATATACCTTATCGCCGTTCCAAACGAATTTGCTGAAAATAACGAAGACTCAGAAGCACGAGTCCTGACAACGTTAGGAGAAGAGCCAATGGGAAGCAAATTTGGCGACGAACTGTTCAACGGCACCAGGTTGGGGCTGGATGTATACCCAATCCGGGCAACATTCGAGGACGAATTTGAAGAGGACGAGTGGCCACGAGTAATAGAACATCCGATTAGGAGGGAGCCGTCAGATGGAGGAGATCTGCTTGGAGGCGTACGACTAGATCGTGACAACTCTCGTTCCCGTTCATTGACTAACTTGATAGTAGTGGCAACAGGCCTTGGAAGCGCGGTTACGCTACTGCGGTCAGAAGACTTCTCCTGATCATGATCGTTGCCACTATCACCACTCTCTGAGGCCTGTGGGGTGACTGAGCGAGCGACAGTGGTGTTGCTCGACTTTGGATCCTGGCCCCATATTGCGCTTGAAGTGTTTCCCATAAAGGTGGAAAGGTCCGAGGCGCTTCCGGTGGGTTGTTGACTGGAACTGGAGGATTCTAGATCCGGAGAAACGCTGGGCCTGGAACTCCAGGCATTGGAGGGAGTAATTGTTGAAGGAGTCCCGCTTCTAGTTATACGGCCTTTGGCCGATGAGGAACCTGGAGGCAGTAGCACATGAGCGGGCTTGGTAGGATATGGGTTAGCAGAGTATATGTCAACATCGTCTGGATTGCTGAAGACATCATCGTCCTCCGAGTAGTCAGTTTTGTTTGATACCAGTCGAAGCGTCGGTGAAACTGGACGGACAGGCGAGGGCGGGGAGACGACATTGTTCTGCGAGTTTGTTCGTTGATGGAGTGGACGGCGTTTTGGTGTTGACCTTCTAGACGAAGGGGAAGATAAAGACATTATCGTGGGCCCTAACTCGACGTATTCCTCATCGCATTACTCCACGGGAAAATGGCCGCTGAAAATAAATAAATAAAAAAAAAAAATCTCCCAGGGGGGAGAACGGTGATAGTATGTAGAGTGGGAAATAATATATATAGAAACAAGAATATAAGAACAAATGCTCCACGAACGGCTGGAGAAAGGAGTGCTGATATGGCGGCTCTAGATGGTGAAGGATCCCGAAATTAAGGCTGAAAAATCGAAGCAGGAATGGTCTCGCAGTGAGCGTCGAGGAACGAATTAATGAATAAATGAATGGCAGGGCGTCTAGAGAATAGCCGCCTTAAGGAGCTGGATGCTGGACCCTGGGGGGCTGCAGTTGAAAGACTGATGCTGGAAGTGTTTCAAAGGCGGTTAAATTTAGAGTGAGCGTGGTGTGCTAATTGGGTGGCACGTAGAAAGCTTATTAAATGGGTAGAATTATGGGTGAATTATATGAATATATATAAAGAGCGACGGTGAAGAAGGGAACGACAGACAAGAAACAATGGCAAAGAGAGAACGAAGAACGAAAAAGCCGAGAGACGTCGAAGAGTTGATGTTGGAGAGAAAAAGAAGATTCGCTCAGCCGAGATGAAAAAGGGAGAAAGAACGCAAGGCAGTCACGGGGTCTTAGTCATCAGGTACGTGGAGGGCGGTGAGCGGGCCGTTTCTTTTGAGTTTAAAGTTGGGGACCCACACTGGCAGAAATCGAGATAAGATCAAGATAAGATAAATATAGATCAGGCGGTGTTGGGGAGGACAATGATGAGGATGAGAAGCAGAAGAAGATGGTGTTGTTGATAATAGTTGAAAACAAACACGGGCAAAAGAATGGGCGAGAGATGCGCTGGTTGAAGGACAGCTGCAGAGCTGGGTCGGGTGCGGAAAGAACCCTGGGTCGGGCACGCACGTCTTGACTGGTTGGGGTCGAGCAGCGCGCGTCGTTGTACGGAGTTTGCAGAAGGGGAACGATGTGCTCCACTCGGCGTACCTTGTTACAGTCGGCTGCCAGAAGTCACCACGCCAGACCCACTGCTTAGAATGATAGCAATATAAGGATTACCCACTATGACTTAATCAACAGAGCTTTTTTCTCCAGCAATCAACAATTTTAGATTAAATTAGACACAGGTGGAGAGAAGAGGAAAAACATTAGACAAAATAATATAAACAAACAATTTATGCCATAAAATTTTTTCTCATATGCTCGTGTAAACCCTCGGAATGGCCTCTGCAGCGACAGGGTAGGGTTGCTTGTTGAGCAGTGTATGTCAGTTCTGCGATTGTCGAGCATATACTTAGACAGCAAGAAGGCTGAATTTGACCGTGAAGAAGAAATACAGCCCCCAGTCAAAGCCTTGAAGAGAGCCGGTGCTATGGTGAAGCAAGTGGCTTTGTGGATGGCTGAGAGTGAGACCTGCTTTCCGCCCTGGCGCTCGCGGTTTACGCCATTGACTTCTCCGATGGGTGCTAACATGCTAGACTTCTTAATAATGCCTAACTCTGATCTGAAGCAAGAAGAGAAGCATGTTTGAATTTGATACAGACTATCTAGAATATCTAGGTGCTTGAGTTGAGGTACAGTGCATGAGCAAGCCATGACTACGAGGTCGCTTTTGGTTTTCACTTTCATGCAGGTCGTTCTGTAACTTCGTCTCCTAGCCAAAGATTTTAAACGCCACCATTTCCTCGCGGTGCAATTGGCTCAACAACGGAAAACATACTTTTTTCCCCTGAATATTTTGCGACTTGCCTCACTTTTCATAACCATGCTTACCCCATGTGATAGCTTCCGTACCATATGGTATAACTGGCATCTACATTATTCGATAGTGATCTCAGTTTCCAGTTCTTCAAGCTATGATCGCCTGTGTGTCACACCTTAAAAGTCCCGAATCCGGACGACTCGGAAGAATATGTCCTGAAGATGGAAATACAAGTTCAAATTATTTATGTAACGATATAATAGGCTATTGGAGGATTAACGAAGCCCTCGTAACCCAAAAATATGTGAGCTATTGTACTTCGTCAAGTGCTTGGAAACAGGTACAGCAGTACCCTGTTCTCGAGTCCTTCCCTGTATTTGTTTATTTTAGTGGGAATCTGTACAACCAGCCCAACAGCTGTCTGATGGAGCAGATGCAAATGTCAACGAAGCATATGCTGTGTGCGCTGCTATTTCATGCACTCACTGTGATGTACCCACTTGGAGAACATGCCGTTTCTTCTCCTGCACGTCTGCCAGTCCTGGAGCGCCATCACCAACATTCTTCAACTTCTCATTCGCGGCGAGGGTTCCCCTTGCAGAAGGAGGCACGGCATTGAATTTTTTTGTGATTGCTCCTGGTAAACTCAGAAAGGATTGGCAACCAGGCACTCCACCCCCAAAGACAAGCGAAATTCCGGTCCACAATCCAGGAGACTGGGAACGGGACTGTGTTCGCTTTTATGGGAAAAGAAATAAACCCATTCTCGGGCCTTCGGACCCTTTTAACTGTTCTCCATCTTCCAGCGCACTTTGTCTCTTCTGGCGCTGGATAAACGGAGCTGTTGTGTTTGGAAATCCGCCAGTGCCGCCGGCGTTGTTGGTCAGGAGTCGCTGGCTGAAAAGGCTGAAACAAGGAGGACTAACCTAAACGAGACTTGTTTATTCACGTGATATATTATATAATCAATATTACGTAATATGGTAGAATTACGCAAGGAAGACCCTTTGACCCTTTGTGAGGGAGATAAAGTGAAGGTCCAGACCGCCAAGGCACATGACCCTTGCCAGTTTAAGGCTAACTACGCTTTGGGCGACCACCTCGAAAACTCCGTCTTCACGCCCCGAGACAGTGTCGACTCCCTGTGGCTGCACAATCCTGTTTCTTGAGTTTGCCTTGCTGCCTTGCCTTGTGAGCACCTGGACCTGGCTTCATTGGAAAGCCCTGTCTTCATGAAGGTCGGAAACATGGCCTCCGGTCTCTTCGAGAGGTTGAGGCATTACTATCATGGTGACAAAGGTACGTGGCAGTAGAAGACCGAAGAGGGAGGAGGATGCTGTAGTGGGTTGCTTTAGAGTATACAGACGATGTTCTGATAATAGAATCAAGAACCTGAGCCTCTTATTTCAGTGACCACTGCTGTTTGGTGTTCGGTACGTATGCAAGTAAATCTGATAGACCGCATATGTTTCGATTCGAGGCGTGGGAATGTGCTAACTGCTATCAATAGATACTATGCACGATTTTATATGTTGCTCCATTGTATACCTCCAAGGCGACTCGGCCAGGGCCAACATTGAGCCGTGATGCGCCGTCACTGATCAAAGCCCGTATCCGAGCTGTAATGGTGTCATGCCTTTGCTGCAGCGTGGCCACCTTCTATTTCATCGTCCGTAGTGGGAGGAGTACTCCCCTACAAGCCTTTCAACTTCTAGGATGGTGGCCGATTGGACTGCCAGAAATCGGAAAGAGTCTTTTGCTCACAGCCTTGTTGTTCATGGGTCCATTATTTGAAATGGGAATTGCCGAAGGTAGATGGAGGAACTGGGTTAGGGGACGAACACTGGTCCAAACTCTTCGTTCCTGGACAGGATGGAGAAACTACGTTGCTGTCAGTCAAGGTCTCCTTTTCTGTGTAATGCCGCAGCACATCATAAGCTAATGAACGAGTAGGGTCCCATAACTGAGGAAATAACTTTCCGGTCTATTATCATTGTATTTCATCTAATGGCGAAGATGTCCCCAGGGCGCATCGTGTTTCTGACTCCCCTATATTTCGGTATTGCGCATATTAACCATTTCTACGAAACCAAGCTAGCGCAGCCAGACACTCCGCTTATCCCAGTTTTTGTCCGTTCGCTCTTCCAGTTCACTTATACCACCATATTTGGATGGTATGCCACCTTTCTCTATTTGAGAACAGGTTCCCTTCTAGCCGTTATGCTAGTGCATTCATTCTGCAATTACTGCGGCCTACCTCGTCTATGGGGCCGTGTTGAGACATCAATTCCGATCGAGAGCACTCTAATCAGGGCTGCCAAATTCGATGAGGACGAGAACATATTTGGCAGGGTCGATGAGGTAACTGGAATTGGTTGGAGCGTCGCATACTATATCCTGCTGTTTGCTGGGGTGGGATTATTCTATTATCAGTTTTGGCCGCTGACGGAATCTTCAAAGGCGTTGGTGTCGTTTTCGCCTAAAATGCATTAAGAGGTGGACAGACCGGGGTATAGGAGTGATGGAGCATCTTGAGCGCCTCTAATTATTACTTTGTAATATGCTGATTTTTTTTTTTTCTTAGCAAGTGTTATTTTTTTCTTAACAGAAGTATTTTCGAGGCTGATTAAACTAATGCTTTTATATTGATGAGGTACTGTAGTTAGTCAGTTATCGCCGAAAACCCGTTATTCCCGATCGGTGTGGAGATAAAACTCGCGACGTCAATGCGACTGAAATTTCACTTCGCAAGAAGACTCGGATTCTTACCTATCTTCTTCAATAATTAATGCGCAAAGAGTAAACCCAAGTCTTTTGATTCAAGAGACGATAAGGGACATTACAATGCGCGGAATACGCGGCCAGTGTTTTCGTGTTCGGCAAATACATTGTAACCGATATTCAACTTCACGACGCATCTCAATTCCTATTCCTCCACCGTTCCCCGTCGTGCAGTCATGCCCCGAGCCGACGTGCTCTTGTACGGCAACGCCTGCCGGCCTCGAAATTGACCATGACCAAGATCTTAACGGCACCATGGCGCCTTACGCCCAACAAGTTCTCATATCCACCGGTCAACGAGATTGGCGAAGCCGAATAGAGGAGGATGGGCTAGATCAGGGATGGGGTATACTGGGCAGCCGATTGAAGAAACTAATGTTTCGGACAGGGAAGTTTGCTGATGTAAATTCCTCCTCAGCTTTCCCTTGCCCCTTGCCCAGATCATTTCCAGAGAGAGCGTTATCCTAATCAGCAATTTCTGAACCTACAGCCTTATAATAACATTGTCATTACAAATTCCTCCTTTATTCCCTCGACCGATAAGTCAGATACATCTCGCGCTTCAGCCCTCCTTTTTCCAAGCTTCAAGTACATTCCTGATATCCCACTTGATGATGCTGGATTGGATCGATTCGTTCGCGCATTCCTCCTCCCAATAGTCCCCCATAGAGCGCACGAAATTTTACCTGTCGATAAATTGGAAGCAATGAAAAGGCTTCCAGAACTTCAACCTACATTTAAGTCTATGAAGAGCATAGATCACTCGCCTACGATTTTGATTTGTGGGCACGGAGGTCGAGACAAACGATGTGGAGTTATGGGCCCTTTGCTTGAGTCGGAATTTAGCAGAGTACTAAAAGATGAAGGTTACACCGTGGGAAATACCCCAGTTGATAAGTTGAATCACGCGAATATTGGCTTGATAAGTCATATTGGCGGTCATAAATATGCTGGCAACGTTATTATATACATACCCCGTTCCCCGGGGCCCAACTCGGGGGATGTTAACGCGTTGGCTGGGAAGGCTATCTGGTATGGTAGGGTAGAGCCGAAGCATGTGCAGGGAATCATAAGAGAGACGATTTTGAATGGCCGTGTGATAAAGGACCATTTCCGTGGAGGTATAGATGGAGATGGTACGGTGCTGCGTATATAGATATGTTCCAGATGTTTTGTGTATATAGCTTTTTCAACTCCATACAGTACATACAGCGAAGTTATCAAAAATATATTCTTGCAGGTAAGTTGGCTGTAGGCTGCACATAAGCTCCTGCTCTTTTTCGTTCTTTAAGATCGGAAGCGATCTGGGAGGCAAGCTTTCGGGCCTAGGCAGTAGCTAAATTTAGTAACTTTTGAGCCCAAGATTTTGTGGATCAAAACCGAGATGATTCATGATTGCTCATCCGGCGTCTTCATGAACAACAACGAGCGGTGGCAATGTGTGCCTTCAAGGCGAAGCGAAAATCACGATACATTCTATATTCCCATCTCTGCCCCAAGATGGTATATATATTACGGGGTCGACTCGGCCTTTGTCGAGTCGTCGAGATCTTTCCATCCAAGTTCGACCCCTGACAATCGCCCTTGCCAGCTAGCTCCCTTAACGTCCAAGTAAAGAATTACATCTCATACCATAAAACTGGCTAACGTCGGAGTAGCCTGCGAACAACCACTAGCAGATATGGGTGCCAAGTTCCCTTCGTCTTGCAGACTATGCGATATAGCCCTTGATAGCCCAGGGGCTTGGCGACAGCATGCGAGGAGTGAATTACAGTAAGCTTGATCTTCTCATTGAAAAAAGAAAGAAAACACAAAACAGATCCCTAACATTTCTGCAGCATACATAATCTTCGCCTGCGAGTAGCAGAGCCTGGAACTACTATATTGCCCTTACAGTCAAGGACAAAGACCATCAGCCCAGACCACGATACCCCCTCTGAAGATGGCTCAGATGGAACAGACGAGGAGCATCCTTGGTTGTTGGAGTTTGATCCTGAACAATGCCTTTTCTGTGGTGAAGTAAGGACATCATTTGATGACAACATTTTCCACATGTCAAAGGCGCATAGCTTCATCATACCATATCAAGATCACCTGGACACCGACATGACACCCCTTCTCAGATACCTATACCTTGAAATTTTTGAGTACCACAGGTGCATATTGTGCTCTACTCGTCGAAGAACAATTGAAGGTATCCAACACCACATGATGGCGAAGGGCCATTGCAGATTCGACATTAATTCGCACACTTCTGGCTTTTATAATTTCCGCGAGGCACACAATAAAACAAAAGTTGCAGGTATTAGCCCATTACTGCGGCTATCTCCGGTTAGAATTCGCGGCTATCGCACTCGGGCGTCTGATAAATATCGTCAATCGCTGGGGCGCAGAGATTCCTCTCCTCTATCGCTTGCCAAGGCAACAAACGAACAATGGACTACTGAAACTGAAGATGATAACCCAACCTCGGCTTCCCGTACCCAGTTATCACGACTCAGTCGAGGTGATCAGGAAGGTTTAGCGCATCTGTCCAATCCTGAGCTACGATCATTGCTTGCTATCCGAGCGAAGCATATTGGCCAATTGAGTCGAAAAGAGACAAACGCCAAATTGAAGCTTGAGAAGGCTGGAAACATAACTTTGACTGCCCATTTTAGGGCAGATACCTCTAAGAGATTCAGGGGCCCTTGGGGGTAGACGAGCTGACAGGAGTTCAACTTTGTATAGTAGTTTAGATCGGATGGTCACTTCTAACCCTACGTAGCAATAACTAATTCAATGGTTAATGGCTTGATGTGAGAGTAAAGAGTAGTAGCAACCTCGTAACTGTAACCTAGTAAAAATTATGGGGATATGGAGACGAACATTCGTTTAGTTATTCCAGCTGTGCCTTCCAGGTCGCTATAGTAACTTAGGTGGGTACCTCATGTCTTGTTATCAATCTGATAAGATCTGCACTAGCCAAGATAGGAATGGCGCCGGAACGAGTCATCTGAAGGTCGTTTGAGCTCATCGTTTGCTTTTTTTTTCCCCCTTCATTGAGAGCCGGGGAGAGGAGACCTTCAAAGAGAATGAGTTGGGGCTGCGATGTGGGTTCCCTGTGCTATTCGAGGCCATATTCGATTCGGCGGACCACCTACGGTCTCGCATCACCTTCTACAGAAGTTTCGGAGTCTCCCTGTTCGCACCGCAAGCACGTATGCCAATGCCAACCAGCCGTCTAAGAAGCTAGACCTTCTAGCCATTGATAAAAGATGGAAAGAATTATGGGAGGGCAGGGAGGCTTCGGTTCGATTGATGAGCAGCAGCAAGGAAAAGGCCTACGTGCTGCCCATGTTCCCCTACCCATCCGGAACCTTACACATGGGTCATGTTCGAGTGTACACGATATCCGACGTTCTAGCTCGGTTCAAACAGATGAAAGGCTATGATGTTCTACATCCTATGGGATGGGATGCTTTTGGGCTCCCCGCTGAAAATGCTGCCATTGAACGAGGGATCCATCCCGAAGGCTGGACAAAACAAAACATAGCGAATATGAGGAATCAGTTGAAAGATTTGGGTATACGATTCGATTGGGATACGGTACAGCATCCCTTTTAATAAATTTGTCAGATCACATGGAACTTGGATAATAGACTGGATGCTAATTGGTATTTTTTTCACTATACTATAGGAAGTTATGACTTGCTCGCCTGAGTTTTACAAACATACCCAGAAACTGTTTTTAATGCTTCACGAAAAAGGCCTTGCGTACCAAGCGGAAGCCGTTGTGAATTATGATCCCGTTGACAAAACAGTTTTGGCAAACGAACAGGTATTAACAACTACCTATGCGAATTGGTGAAGCGTTCGCGGCTGATAAATATGCTCCCCAAAAATAGGTTGACTCCAATGGATGCTCTTGGAGGTCTGGCGCGAAAGTCGAAAAACGGGAGTTAAAACAGTGGTTTTTCCGGATAACTGCTTTTAAAGAAGCATTGCTTAAGGACCTCGACTCATTATCTGGCAGCTGGCCGGATAGGATTCTGACAATGCAAAGACACTGGCTAGGAAAGTCGCGAGGTGCCCTTGTCCCATTTACGTTATCAATTCCGGGAGAAACTCTTGATATCGAAGTTTTTACCACCCGCCCTGACACGCTCCATGGCGTTCAGTATATTGCACTGTCGACCAGCCATCCAGTGGTAAAGAAAATGGCTGCCAACACCCCGGGGCTCCAGGAATTTATCAATTCCACCGGTTCACTACCGCCCGAGACGAAGGCAGGATTCAAACTGCCTGGAGTCAAGGCTATCAACCCAATTTATAATCTTGAAAGAAACCCTCATTTACCATCTTCGCTTCCGGTTTATGTTGCACCTTACGTCCTCCCAGATTACGGAGAGGGGGCGGTCATGGGGGTCCCTGGACATGACTCTCGTGATTTCGGATTTTGGAAAGAAAATTCTCCTACGGAACCTATTGTTTCCGTAGTTATGCCATTGAAAACAGGCCCAGACTCCAATGATAATCACGGTGCCGACTCGGCGTTTTCAGGGCATGGACAAACTACTGATATATGCGGGTCTTATAGCAAGATGCCCTCAAAAACTGCTGGTGAAAAAATAATCAATGATCTAAAGGATAAAGGAAGCCGTGCTAGATTTGCCGAGAATTGGAGGCTACGAGATTGGCTTATCAGTCGGCAGCGATATTGGGGTGCCCCTATCCCGATTATTCATTGTGACAGCTGCGGGGCCGTGCCGGTTCCTGCTAGTCAGTTACCAGTTGAACTTCCTGCTATTCCTGGGTCTCAACTGAAAGACAAGACAGGAAATCCTCTGGAGTCGGCAGACGAATGGCTACACACTGAGTGTCCAAGCTGCAAGGGACCAGCTACGAGAGACACTGATACCATGGATACATTTGTGGACTCCTCGTGGTATTTCCTAAGATTCTTGGACCCGAAAAACAACGATCTGCCGGTGTCGCCCTCGAAATCTCGCCCCGTGGACATATACATAGGAGGTATAGAACATGCTATTCTCCACCTTCTTTATTCTCGGTTCATCTTCAAATTTCTTGCTGCGGAAGGCAAGATTGAAAATGCTGCGGACCCCCCGGAACCATTCCTCAAATTATTGTCTCAAGGCATGGTTCATGGCAAGACCTACTCAGATCCTAAGACTGGTCGATTTTTACGGCCAGGTGAAGTTGACCTTTCTGTTAAAGGCTCCCCAGTGCTCACTGGGACCCAAATTCCCGCTAACATATCTTTTGAGAAGATGTCAAAGAGTAAGTATAACGGAGTAGACCCGAATACTTGTATTGAGAGTTATGGAGCAGATGCTACGCGTGCTCATGTTCTCTTCTCTGCCCCTGTCAGCGAAGTGTTAGAGTGGGATGAAACCAAGATTGTGGGCATTCAAAGATGGTTCAGCCGCATTTGGAAGGCCGTGGAGGATACCGGCAATTCGCTCAAAAGGGCAAACTTCTCATCAGCCCCTGATGCTCTTTCATCTTTGAATGACATGGCCTTGCCACCGCTAGGCAAGCTCTCGGAAACTGAGAGCAACCTCCTTCTTATGACAGACAACACAATATCATCGGTGTCATACTGCCTGGAGAAGAATCAATACGGCCTTAATACAGTAATATCAGATCTGATAAAACTCACCAACGCAATTGCAGCCGTGCCTTTACCCGAAGAATCATCGAAAACATCTCCTTCAGCACAATCTGTCACACCTTTACATACAACCCTATACATCGCACTAAATTCTCTGCTACGCATGTTGGCGCCGATTGCCCCAGCTTTCGCTTCAGAATGTTGGGAAGTACTACACATGCCTCTTTTTGAACGCGTTGACACTGTTCCATGGGTCCTATCTTCTCCATGGCCGTCTGAATTCTTGTCGGAATCGGATATCAAGCAAATTCGCTCTCGTGGAGCGAAGACGGTAGCAGTTCAGGTCAATGGGAAACTCCGGTTCACTGCGTCTGTGCCACCCTTTTTGGCCAACAGTACCACCCCAGAGTCAATCAGCAACGAACAAGAGCAGGAGTGGATATTATCTCACGTTCTCCGGACTAAAGAGGGAAAGGTTTGGCTCCAGGAGAAAAATAATTGGGATAAACGCAAACGAGTCGTCGTTGTGGGAAGTGGAAAGGTCATTAATGTTGTTTTCTAGCGTGGTTAGATAACTTGTATATGTATAATACTTTGGATTTCACAAAATAGAGGACTGCCATTTATAGAAAGGCAAATGAATACTCAATTTTCAACTCTCTTTTCAAGCTCGAAAAGCATGTAACCAACTATATTCAATATTCATCGTGACATCTGATAAACCAATTATTTGTATCTAAAAAGACTGTGATATGCGTTTAAAAGGGACATCAAAGGAGAGTTGCATGTTAGCCAGCCACCGGGGGGATTAATCGACATAAGCGAAAGTAATAACATCGTATGCCCCAGGCAATACAGAAAATGTGGCTAACATGTCAAATGTAGCTGGGGATAGAGAGAATCAAAGAACGAGCATCCAGCTCCAAATAGGAGATATAACCAGAGGGACCGGTCCCATTCAAACCAAGGAGATATTCTGTCAAGAAAGGATCTGGCAAATCCTATCAGATAGGTAAATAGGAATATTATGTTTCAGGCCCGGATCGGAGATTAGGCGAATGAAATAGGGTATACAACATTGATTTTTTTTTTTTTTTTTTTTTTTTTTTTTAAAAAAAAAATATCAAACCTCATATCCAAGGCGAAGATTGGTAAGTTGCGGGAAGGGGGGATAAATGGGCACTGTGTTGCCACTGTGTCGAATAAGAGCTAATTTGACTGTCTCTTAGCCGCATTGCTGCTTCAAAGAGCACTTGCTGGGGATCTTGCGGTGGAATAGGAGGAAGCATCTTGTCCGTCAGTCTCCGGGGCGTGCCTGACGAGTATGTGGAGACGGATGGTCTTGGGGAAGCTGAATACGGCTGGAAATAGACTGGTCCAGGCTGCGCCGGCTGCGCAGGATATGCTGGGGTGGGCTCAAATTTGTACGTATCATTGGAATGATAGTAGTGGTTTTGTCGATGATGTGGATATGGAGGCTTCAACAGAGCGGAATCCAGGGATCTTCGAAGGCTGCCGGACCTGTTAAGTGTTGGCGTTGATGGCATGTTAAGCGGTTTCTGGGAAGAATTAGGTCCAATTAAAGCTGGGGTTGACACATTTAGTCGAGGATTCATCGGGTACATTCCGTAACTAGGTGGATACAGTTCAGCGGGTGCAATAGCTGGGCTGAACTTCGGGGAATGATAAACTGGGGAGTTGAATGCTAGTCTTGGAGTTTGCGGTATGGCAACGTCGGGACAATGCATTTTAGGTACCATATCGTTGCTATGATAGGATGCATTGCTCGAGACCAGCGTTTCCTTCATCACACTTCCTCTTGTTTCTGATGCAGCGCTTCTATGCGGCAGAGGCCCAACAGAGCTGGTTTTCATTTCCTTTCGAGGAGGAAATTCTCCTGTGTTTGGTTTTGGGATTCCGGTGACCCCCAAGCCCGACTTAGCCGAAGGGTCATGGGTTTCCTTCGGCATAGCATTTCGTAGCGGTATGCTGTCCATCTCCTTTTCTATCCGCTCGGGTCGGTACACCTCTACAATACCAGAATCTGCTCCACCAAAGCTGCTCCATGTGCTGCGCTTATCCCATATATGTCCATCTGGAGAAGTCGATAGGCCGTCTCGGGGTCCCCGCAAAATGAGAAATAAAGCAGAATTAGCAAAACCAAAGATGTGAATTGCAATTGAGGAAACGAGGCCAGAAGCTTGCGAAGGCCGATGGCGTAGAGCAGATACATAGAATGGCAATGGGGCAAGCTAGTTAAAGATGTTTAGCACAAAAGAGAGTCGGATTAAGGGGAGAATGAATGTACTAACGTATAATATGGATCCAAGTACAAGATGAAATATGCCGTGCTTCATAACTGTCCTTCGATCTCGACTTAGCCGTCTTGACTTGCGAAGACGGAACATCAGAACCGAGATGGTTGCAAAGTAAACTGCAACTAGCAGAACCGTTAAACCAGTGGCAACATCAGCCCATCCCTTTACCCACTGAGATGGCTCTGCAGAACATCTGCTATTCAAGTTTGGTTTGGCTGCGGATGGTATCCAGGTTAGTATTAATAGGAGTAATATCACTCCCCCGCAACTCAAGGCAAGCCAGATGCCCTTTGGAAAGTTCTTGGAAGGGATGACTCCTCTCAGGATAAACGTTAGACACAACGCAAGAAGCATATATGCATTAATCCATGAAGCTAGGGTAATAAATTGGGATCAGCAATCCATGTGCGATGTAAAAGCGTGAAGGAAGAACTCACTAGTCCAAACAACCTGGGATGAAGTTTTGCAGCTATCACCATTGATGGGTCGATAACTGCTTGACTGTGAAGTGATGAACACCGTTTCCTGAATGATTGAAGTTATCGAAAGGGAGTACGGAACGACATAAGGGTTCGGTATGTGAAATAAGATTTTGAAAGGGTTTCTAAATATTATAACAGTAAGTAAGTGTTAATATATGTATAAAAGGTGGGTAAATATATATATATAGGGGACTGTATACCTTTGGAAAGATCGGGTTTTCCGTAGTATCTTCCAGTTATCAAACAATACCACAGCAGATGTGACAAATGATGCAATCAAACCAAAGGATGAAGTAGCAATGATGAACATGCGACGCTCCAAGTCTTCCACGTTGGAAATATTATATTCACTGTCCATAGTTTGGGTACTGCTATTCATACTGTTAATTTCGTCCGAGCCTTTGAGGTGTTGAACTACGGAAAGATCTTGAAATAAAGATCAAAGTAGAACAATCCTCAGGCTCGACATCGACGATGGCTACCCTCTATCCTTCCCGTACAGTCTGCCGGCAAGATAATCGTGCGGTAGGAATATCAAGAGATTTAAAAGGCAGCTTGAAGTAGCAGAAAAGTTAAATGAAATAACAATTTTCCCCCGATGCCACCGTATTGAAGAGAGAAAAATATACTTGCAAGTTTCCAGGTAAGCCAACCTCGACGAGAGAATGTCTGAGAGACAGGGCCAGATATAAAAGTTTTTTCTTTCTCTGGTTGAATAAGCTTGAAATAAACGTCGTCCGTAGATGATGCATTGCCAGGCAATATGCATCTGCACTAACAATGTCAGCTATAGCTAGATGCCCTCCATGATAGGCCAAAGTGTAGGGCCTCCCCACCGTACGCGTAGATGAAAAAACTGGCAGACCCCAACTTTTCAGGTCGAGATGCTTGCATTACATAGTAAGCTTGCACGTCGTTTATCAAGCCATGGATATGACAATCCATATCCAAGGTGGAGCTCCCGCAACAGCTGCAGTGGATGGCATGTTGTAACTATGGATATGCATCCTCTAGGCGCCAGTCATGCACGTTGCACAGCGTCGATGCATCCTAGTGGCTACATATTCATAATCAGAGGGAATTTGGGTCCATGTTATCAATCTAGCTGCATTCGAAATTGCCTCTCATAGCACTGAATCTTCCTGGTTGAACGGGGTCAATATCGTGAAGTTTTGGGGTGGAGAGGAATGGTCCTCTTTAGGGGCGGGAAAAATGCCACCTAAAGGGTAATAAATATTGGGTATACAAATCAGCTATACCATCTCAACTTACGCTCTCGTCAGTTGGATCTGCGGTATGTGAGTAGAAGGGTGAAATGGAGGAAGCCAAAGAGGATGCAGCGATGCAAGAGGCAGATGCAGGAGGTTTAAGTAAGCATGCATTAGTCAGCTCGAGCCCCCTAGTCAATGGATCCACTCCGCATTGGCCTCCAGCGTCAACGACGACGACGACGACAGCCTTTCTTTCTTCTTCTTCCTAACAACAACTTGATATCTCAAGCTTCACCTGGCCTCCTTGTCGGAAGCCTGCAGAACCGTCCTCTAATCCTCGCCGGGCTGCCGGACTGTCCGGTCTCGTGATTTATCTCGTTCTTCGCCTATTTTCCTGCAGGACAATGGCCTTGTGAATGAAGAGTGGCTGTTCCCAATGCCTGCTAAGCCTTCTTGGCCCCAAAACTCTGGGTATCATTGTCCCCCGTTACGCTGATATGTCGCAGCTGACGTTGAGGATGATGATGTACGGAGTAGCCCATATAACGTAACTGTTCACGTCCGTCGCCTAGCTGGATCCTAATGTACCCACCAAGCGTGGTTATCACACATGAATAACTCTCCCTAGGGAACAGTCCAACAGTCCGTGCAGCGTTGTTTCAACTCTATACCTGGCGGCGCCTTGGTGAGTCAGGCTCTATTATTTCTACGGCTCGATCGGATAATTGGATATATTTCAGACTCAGGGCCCTACAGTTGGTCCTCGGCATCCCATACGTAGCTTGTTTTATAGTATATGGGAGCAGGGTTGATCTGTACTCCGGTATATTCTCGGGCCTGAAGCAATGAGATCCATGACTAGAGAATATATCTGCTACAAGAGCTCGTTTGTCCATGATTCAAGGATGCTACTTGATTGGCTCTGTGCGCATAACCACCGCCTATGGTTGAACCCAAGATCCAGGTGTAGCCTTCCAAGCCATAGTGTGCTAATAATACTCCCAGAGGGGTCTCGTACCAACATATACCTGATGCATTATGATTGGCTACCACTACGACAAGCTCTATATCCTACCCCGGCCCGGTTGTCCGGATGATTATTTGAAAGATACCCGTTATACCTCTAAGCCAACAACGATAAGATTCCGGGAACATCATGGCGTTCTCTCCTACAATAACTTTAATGTGCAAGGGCTGGCGCATTGCATTGGATGCATGTATTGAGCTCTTTACTTGCATATACTTGATGGCGCGTCTCTGCAAGGCCAAGAGATGGAACCTTTATTACTGATGATTTGTGTCTATAATTAGATGCGGCGTTGTTTAAGCTAGATATGGTTTGGACAGCTGCCTCTCAAGAGTTATGTGGAGGTTAATAAAACGGGGAATGCACGATTCTGCCCGTGCTTCTCTACGAAATATATTCTTTCTCCCAGAGGAAGTGGAAAAGCGCGGCTTTGAACACACAGTTTTCCCAGGAATTCTAGTCCATAGTTTTCAATCAGACCCGGCATCGCCGCAGATAGGATGAAAATCTATTTGGGCCATAGAAACAAGCACGAATTACTCGCGGAAAGCCTTGACTATTTATTATTCCTGTTAAGAAACACGAGAGTCGAACTACATTTCATCTTCAGAGGTCCTGATGTGAGAGAAAAGGAAAGTAAGGAGACAAAAGTAATTGAAAGAAAGATATCAAGACCTATCATTATGCGCCTGATGATCCTGGGACTAAAGGAAAAGACAACCTGTCCCGGCCTCATACGCAGGAGTATCCCACGGGCTCCACGCCTGTCCACATACACAGAGATCCTTGACCTACTTTCTCTCACCGTATGCCTTAGTGGCATAATCTCCCTTGTGGACGATGAGGTCTTCAGGTCTATAGTCGTGTTTACCAGACAAGTATGATTCAAGGATAGCCTTGGTGCCTTCAGCATATCGTATCTGAGCGTCGATTGTTGAGCCAGACATATGAGGCACCATCGCGTTACCGCCGCCCCATGGACCCTGGATATATCGCAGTGGGTGGTCCTTTGGAGCTGGCTGAGGGAACCAAACATCACCACCATATCCACGGAGGTGGCCAGACTTAACAGCTTCAGCCACATCTTCTTTGACGACGATAGCGCCACGGGCAGTGTTGATGAGCCAAGAACCTAGAAAACTGTTAGCATCCAAGGTAAAGCAAAACTACATTGGGTGATGTGAACATTAGTTGACAACTTACCCTTCTTCATTTTTGAAATCAGCTCCTTGTTGAAGAGACCTCGCGTCTTCTCATGCAGTGGGCAATTGATGGTGACGATATCGCATTGTCCAAGCATCTCCTCAAGATTCTCAACCCGACGGCAACCAATCTCCTTCTCAACCTCTGGTTTCAGTGGTTGGTAGTCGTAGTAGAGCAGCTCCTTGCAGTCGAATGGCTTGAGACGACGCAGGACACGCTCTCCGATACGGCCGACAGCGACTGTGCCAACAACCTTGTCTTCAAGATCGTAAGAGTTCTTAGCAACGGCTGCCACGTCCCATTCTCCACATGTGACTTGTTGGTGTGCCGGCACAAAGTTACGGACAAGGAGAAGGATGGTCATGACGACGTGTTCCGCCACAGACACGACATTGCAACCGGTCACCTCTGCAACTGTGATGCCGCCGTTGGTCTTGTTGGCGACATCTAGATCAACGTGGTCTGAGCCTACACCGGCAGTGATGGCAAGCTTGAGCTTCTTAGCTTTGGCGAGGCGTTCCTTGGTCAGGTAACCTGGGTGAAAGCTGAAGATTATACAATGTTAGCTTGAGATTCTTGGCTAATTATTACCTTGGTAGAGAACATACGGGGTGGTGATGATAATTTCGGCGTCAACGAGCTCACGGTCGAAAGTAGAGTTCTCTCCCTCCTTGTCGGAGGTTGTAACCAAGGTATGACCATTCTCTTCAAGATACTTCCTCAGGCCGAGCTCGTTCTCTGTCGTCCCGAGCAAGCCAGGCTGGTCTTTGGCATGCTGGCCACCCTGAAGAAGAGTTAGTTATGCTCATAATCAACAGGAGAGGTTGGGAGTCTTACATCATAGAGTACGAGAAGGACCTTGACCTATATTTTGAAGCTGTCAGCACATGAACTCCAGTCAACAGCGAGAAAGCAAGAAGAGGATTTATCTAATGATATTCCCTGAGAGACAGATACCAAAATATGATCTGAACAAGGCACCTACCATTGTGTCTTGAGTGTCTGAGTGATGATTATCGTCTTGAATTGGGCTTTAGCAGTGATTATCTGACGGTAGATGTTAGCAAAGGAACAGACTTGGATGTTTTTCCGGGAAGATAAGCACCCGGTTTGCCATCGACAGCTATCACCTACCTAGAAAAGCTTCTTAAGGCCTTTGACCTAGGACAGAGCAATTAACTGTGATGAGAAGAGAAGCAAAAGACAACCATCTACGAGGCGGACGAGGTCAGGTTTATATGGACCTGAGGTCCCTCCCATTGCTCCAGCGGCGTTGCCCCTCTACTCCTCCCTATTCTCTCGTTAATCGTCTCTTGCTCGTGCTCGAGTCGAGTAACACTCTACTATGCTTCTGCGTGCGGGGTCTGCATGATGGATGCCCACCACCATGAGGCCGATTAGGATCCGTACACCCATCCCACCTCTGTGTCTACCTGGTAAGTACCTAGGCACCGGCTCAAAGTACCGAAGAGCTGTATACATGTTCCTTTCCACCTCGCCGGGCCCCTGTCGACTTTCCATATTTCTTCTTCTTCTTCTTCTTCTTTTCGCTTTTGCTCCTGGTTGCGATCGACTAGCTTGGAGAAGGGGTTTTACCCCTCACCTGCTCGCGTGATGATGATGTAATGAGGGGTAATTTCATCTTTCTCCAATTCTACCCCAATAAAAGTAAACAAATGCTGACGTAATAACTAGGCACAGCAGATGGCCAGAGAGAAAGAAGCACAATTGATATTATTGATAGGGCCATCAGCTGTTGTTGCTGCTATATTGGACCAAGGAGAAAATGCTACTTTCAAGAGGACGATTCAATACATGGTTGGACAATGCGCTGTTCTGTCTATTTTTATCTCCAGGGGTCAAGGACAGGCTGTGTCGGAGAATATCCACTTTAACAACTTAGCGCCAGCGTCAGGGATAGTCGGCTACGATGGTAGTGACACCACAATACTTATCAGCTAAGCTCTTCAAAATAGCACCCGAATAAATCATCGGTTTCCTCTCTCGATTCTTCAATTCACTAGACGGGGCTGGATGACAGATAACATCAAGATGAGGGGAAGCTGCAATGTGGACGCTCCCATAGGTACAGCTATACTGGCTCCGTTTTCACTTGCGCAATTAACTTATATCAGGCATATATATATGGGGGGTGGGGGGGGGGGGGGGAACCAGGGCAGCTCTGCTCCAGCTTACAATAGGCCAAAGGGCGAATTTCTGACCCGACACTGTGGAGGAAGAGAATATGAATGACCGGACGTGACCATGGCATATCGGCGTAGCAAAAATAGCGAGTGACCTTTGGCCTTTATGATAGCCACGTCTATAGTTTCTTCCAAGATGTCCTCATATTCAACCACATGGAAAGTTGGGTACTGTCTGTGACTCCAAATACAAATATAATATTCCGATATCCATTCTCAGCTTTATAAGGGGCACTAGAAATGAAGGTACAAAGCATGCTATCCTTATCCTATTGAAAGTCTTGGAACTTTATAAAAGTGATTCACTATATCTCCTTTCCTCATTTTTAGCGAGATGTGGATGCCATCTACATCCCTAACCCATGATTCTTCACTAACACGAATAAAGATCTTAAATAGCCGTTGGTGAGCTCTATATATAGTTTCAGGCAGTTTCACAGTTAATAGCCCAGGGAACAGGAGTGCGGGAGCAGATTTGTAGAGAGAGGATGTCTAGAAACTCTAAGAGGAGGCGCTAGAGGGCAGAGAGCTTTAGGGACACTTCTATTCCATTAATGATGGGCACAGTTATAGGTTATCTAGGAAGATATAGCTGTGAATATTAGTCTCACTGTGAACTTCAGCCTTCTAGTTTGGATAGCTTTTCATGTCCTTAGACAGCTAGCAATAGCGCACAATGTGGTTGATGTGGCTTGATCGGAGATTGTATACCACAAGGAGCTATAGGATAAAGATGGAACTACAGGCAAGGCGAAAGGAGGCAGAAGGGAGCTTAGGGGAGATGGTCATAGCCTTACAGAAGAGATATTGCACTCTTTTATAGGAGAAAATGAAAAAACGTGAATATAGACTGAGGCTGCATTCTGGCTGTGTTATTGGGCTTAGATAGAAGAAACTGAAAGTTCCAGACCAACGAGCCAGCATTCTCTGAGGTATCGAGCATTTTCTAAGCAAGAAAAGGTAGGGGGAAGGAAAACCATTGTAACTAGCTAGACGCGCCAGAGATGAATATGCAGTGTCAATTATATTATATAGCCAGTTTCCAGAGGGTATAAAAGTCCAAATGAATATAATCTCTATAATCAAAAGTCCAAAGATAAAAAGTAACAAGGCTCCTAAGCTCCAAGCTTGATGAAGATCCAAATGTCCACAGCAGCAAGCGAAAAGACAGAGAAAAAGAGCTGGAAAAAAAGAGATAGAAGTAGGCAGCGTCATATCCGCCTAGTTCCTGGGGTATCTTCCCCATCGCTGTCTGGTATGAAGCCATCCTCCAGTTCCCGGGCGAGCCGTGCCTCTCTCCGCTCCTGGTCCAGGGCCTCCCGCCTCGACTCGCTCAGCTCATAGCCATCTTCACCGTCATCGTCGAACAAGCTGTCTGAGTCCTGTTCGTGGGCTAGGCTTCTGTGTCTCCATGACGAAGGTAGGGTGATGTTCATGAGGGCGTCGAACGTCCTGTCTCTCAGCGAGGTCGTATGCACTGATATGGTATGCAAGGGGAGGTACTGGGAGTATCGCTGCCGGTGCAGCCGGATGAAGGGGGCTATGACAAAGGATATGGTCAGGTAGAGGACCAGGGATATCAGCGCCGGAATGAACAGTGTCTATAGTAGCTGAGTGTTAGCCTGATAGTCAACCCGCGGGGTCTCTGTTAGTAGCTGACCTTGATGACACCGGTAGCTCCTCCCATTGTAACCAGCAGAGCTACCAGCGGGTCATCTGCAGCGCCGTCGTCTCTTCTCACGCTGTCTGCTCTGCTTCTGCCTTCGTCTTCTCTGCTGCGTCTGCCTCGCCGTCTCGTCATCTGCCCTCCTGTCGATGGCTTGCATGAGGCTTGCGCAGTGCCTGGACCACGTGACCCCCTAGCCGCTTCTGGATGCGCCTCTTTTTGTCGCTTCGTCACTTTTGCCGCTCCGTCGACTTTTCTTCCCCCTGAACGGCTTTCACGGCGCTTGTGAGAGATACAGACGCTGGATCCGTGACTGTCAGACACCGCGCGATGGAATTAGAGCACCGGAGCCCGCATCACATAGCAACCTGGAGCCTGCCGACCCTGTTTTCCTGCGCCGCCCTGACCGTCGAGACAGCCGAGCCAGAGCTGCAGGCTTAACACACCCAGCTATTTACGTCGCTATCCACATGAAAGAGGATGACCGGCCGCATCTGGAGGAGGATACAGTGATCGCCTAGCCCGTCATCCCGTCACTGCAGACCGCGCGAGAGAGACAGAAAAAAACCTGTCTTCGTCTTTCCCATGCGTTGCCTGAACGGTGTCAGGTGCATAGTCCAGAAAGCCACTCACAGAAATAACTACAAAATAACTAGCTAGTTAACTACTAAATAACCGACCGATTTCACTCCCTTCCCCTCTCCTCTCTTTCATATCCCTCGTTCGCTCTCATAGAAATTACCTTACCAGCACGACCGATCGATCCCCCCCAGATTTGTTCCTATTCCCCCTTACCACCAGATACTTGGGCAGGCCGGTAGGCTGTGGCCAGCTTCATGGTTTGCCGGAGACGCCGTCATGACATCAGATAAACCGTCGAAATCGTTTTTCGGAAGGAAACTGCACAAGGAACGCCAGCCCGATCTGCGCGCTGAGACGCCGGAATCGTTTGGTGCGGCTAGCAGTGGATCGGGATCGCGCTCATCGAGATATTCGAAGCGAGAGTCCGGCCTATCTGTCGATTTAACCGGCGATACGGAATATCTCTCAGGTGTGATAGGATCCATCCCGTATGACAGCGTGCCTGTGCGAAAGGAGCCAACCCCTTCCAAAATGGGTAAACCAAACGACTACCACCAATATCCCCAGTTTCAGGGGCATCAGCCTGCGAACGGCGCAATGCACCTATCTGGACCCCGGCCCCCGCCAGGATCCTCAGGCACCACCGCCTCATACTACTCTCAAAGCGACAAGGGGGTGAAATATCAAGCGTGGAACGGCCACAACGCCTACCCGACCACAGAATCCTCTAACCCTCGAACCTCCATGGACCAGAACAGCATCTACTCCGCAATCTCGTCCGCTCCTCGTGGCTCGACTCATACTATCAGCACAGACAATGCGTCCCGTTACAACTACCCCACACATCCTCAAGATCCCCGGAATCAGCTGTCCAGCTCATCGGGAAGCCGTCCTTCTACCTCGTCACGATCTGACTGGCTTCCTCCTCAACTGCCCATTGTGTTTGGTACTTTGCCGATCTCAGCGGATGGAACGATCCAGAGACCCAAGGATGACGCTGTCGTGGACCAGATGTTCTATGAGCTCATGATCAAACGAGGGTGGCAGAATCTCCCCGAACAGGCCAAGAGACAGATGTTGGCCTACCCGACGTCGAAAAAATGGACTTTGGTTCATCAAGATCGCCTGACGCAGTGGCAAGGGGAGCAAAAGCGGCGCCAACAGAATAGGCAAACCGGCTCTGGAGATGGAGGCAAGGGTCTCCTTGGACGAGCTGATGAAGAAGGCAGCCCTGAGTGGTATGTTAAGAAGGTCATGGATGACTCCATCACGGCAAAGGAGTTGGGGAGTCTAAGCGTAAGCTTACGAACACAACCAATAAGGTAAACCGATCATACTAAATAAATGAGCTTGAAAACACACCAATTTGTATGCTAACAAATATGTTCAAATAGTTGGGTAAAATCGTTTGTTGAGGCCCAAGGGCAGATTGCTTTAACAAGCGTACTACTGAAGATAAACAGAAGAAAAGCATCAGGACCCGTTCCGGTGACCAATTCAGGAGGAGATAAGGATTTGGATCGTGAGTACGACATTGCAAAATGTTTGAAGGCATTGATGAACAACAAATATGGTGCCGACGATGCGCTTGCCCACCAGCAAATTATTGTGGCCCTCGCAAGTTCTCTTATATCCCCAAGATTGACAACAAGAAAGCTGGTCAGTGAAATCTTGACCTTCCTCTGCGACTGGGCCCATGGTCAGGGACATCAAAAGGTCCTTCAAGCAATGGATCAGGTTAAGAATATGCAAGGCGAGACCGGCCGATTTGATGCTTGGATGCGAGTAGTGGAAGTCAGCATTGACGGAAGAGGCAAAATGGGCAGTCTTGTTGGCGCAAGTGAAGAGTTCAGAAGCGGCGGCATAGGAATGGAGAACCTCCTTATGGAGTATGCTCTAGCAACCATGTTTTTGATCAACATGTTTGTCGATGCTTCAGAAGATGACTTGCAGCTTCGATGCCATATCAGAGCACAGTTCACCGCTTGCGGTATCAAACGACTGCTTGCTAAGATGGAAGGATTCCAGTATGAGGCTATTGACAGACAAGTGGAACGGTATAAGGAGAATGAAGGGATTGACTACGAAGATCTGCTTCAACGAGAAAGCAGTAGTATGAAAGATAGCATTGAAGGGGAGGTCAGTGATATGAACGACCCTATTCAGATCACCAATGCTATCATTAGTAGGCTACGGGGAGATCGTTCCCAGGACTTCTTCATTTCTGCTATGCAACACATGCTTCTTATCAGGGAGAACTCCGGTGAAGATAGCCACCGAATGTTCCAATTAGTTGATGCAATGCTCAGCTATGTCGCCATGGATAGAAGGCTTCCAGATATGGACCTGAAGCAGAGTCTCAATTTTACCGTCCAGAGCCTCCTTGACAAGCTTCACACCGACGCTGAAGCAAGAAGAGCATTCGACGAGTCCCTAGAAGCTCGCCAGATTGCAGAAGCTGCAATTGCCGAACGAGATGAGATGAAAGCTCGAATCGAAATGGGCGCAGATGGCCTAGTAAAGAAGCTCCAGAAGCAAATCGAGGAACAAGAAGCGGTAATCAGTCTTCAAACCCGGCAAAATGAGTCCTTGAAAAGTGAATTGGCCGAGGTCCAAAGAATTCGGGGACAAGAGCTTCAGAGGAACGAACTTGAAACTCGGGAGCTGTACCTCATGCTTCGGGATGCACAGGATGTTGCAGCATCGAAGTCTAAGATGACTGGTACTGGAGGTGATATGGGCACAATGGATCCTACCCAGATGAATGGTATTCTTGACCGCGAAAAACTTATGAGCCGTCTTGAACGGCAGCTCGATCGAGCAAAAACCCAGTTCAAATTGGAAGGAAAAGTTTGGCCTCAGAATGGTCCATCAGACAGGCTTCGAGAACTGCGCGAACTGATGGAGGGAGACTTCTCTCATGACGCCGAAATTGATGAGGAAACCAAGCGCAACTTCACTCATAGTACCTTTGGTACTGTTTCGAGGAAGCGTAGCCAGGCCCTTAAAGGTAACGCTTCTAACGACCAGGATAGCCGGGATGGAGAGCTTGATGATCTAGAGGAAGAGGGCGAGGAGGCTGTATTTGAGAAGGGTCGGTTGGTAGAGATCAGGAGACCAAAACTCGACCCTGAGCGTGCCACAGCACTTCTTGGTGAAATTGCTTCCAAAGCAGGAGAAAGAGAAAAGGAGTTAGAAAAAGAAAAGGAGAAAGAAAAGGAAGAGCAAGAAAAGGCCTCGACACCTCCCGCCGAAGCTCCTGAGAATAAAGAGACAAAAGATGCTGGAACCGATAATCTTGCCGGCTTCAATGGCCCTCCACCACCACCACCGCCTCCTCTCCCTGGCTTCGGAGGGGGGGCACCACCTCCACCGCCTCCCCCAATGCCTGGTTTTGCTGGTGGTGCTCCTCCACCGCCGCCTCCTCCCATGCCCGGCTTTGGAAATGGTGCACCACCACCTCCTCCCCCCATGCCAGGAGTTGGAATGCCCCCTCCACCGCCTCCAATGCCTGGCGGCTGGAAGAAAACTTATCTCCCAGCTGGACAAGTTTCTACAGTACCTACGGTTAGCTTACCATTTATACGCCCCAAAAAGAAGCTCAAGGCACTTCATTGGGACAAAGTTGATACCCCTCAAGTGACCGTCTGGGCTGCTCACGCACCTACACATGAGGCCAAGGAGCAGAAATACACTGATCTTGCAAAGAAGGGAGTTCTCGATGAAGTCGAGAGATTGTTCATGGCCAAGGAAACGAAAGTACTTGGTCGTTCTGGGAAGAAAACTGATAAGAAGCAAATCATCAGTAGTGAATTGGTTCGCCAATTTGAAATTGCATTCGCCAAGTTTTCTCAAATCTCAGCAGACGAGCTCGTTCGCAAGATCATTCATTGTGATACAGAAATATTAAATAATACCGTTGTCATGGAATTCTTACAGAAGGACGAGCTGTGCAATATTCCTGAAAATACATCAAAGTTGATGGCTCCCTATAGCAAGGATTGGACCGGGCCCGGAGCTGCTACAACAGAGCGAGAGCAGGACCCTTCAGAGCTTACTCGTCAGGATCAAATCTACCTCCAGACTGCCTTTGAGTTGAACCATTATTGGAAATCAAGAATGCGCGCACTTAACTTGACTCTCTCTTTTGAGCAAGAATACGATCATATATCCTCCAGTCTACGGGAGATAGGACAAGTTTGCGAGTCGTTACGTGATTCCGTCTCCTTGATGAACGTGCTTGGACTCATTCTTGATATTGGTAATTTCATGAATGATTCCAATAAACAGGCCGCTGGTTTCAAACTCAGCTCTCTGGCTCGTCTTGGTATGGTCAAAGATGACAAGAATGAGTCCACTTTTGCAGACCTCGTTGAACGTATTGTTCGAAATCAATATCCAGAGTGGGAAGGGTTCACCGACGATATTGATGGCGTGATACGAGTCCAGAAGGCCAATGTCGATCAGCTCCAGCTTGATGCAAAGAAATATATTGATAATATCAAGAACGTGCAAATGAGTTTGGATTCTGGCAACCTGAGCGACCCAAAGAAGTTCCACCCGCAAGATAGGGTAAATCTGATCGTCCAAAGATGCATGAAAGACGCAAGGAGAAAGGCGGAGCAGCTGCAGCTCTACCTTGATGAAACAAGCCAGACATACGACGATATCATGGTGTTTTACGGCGAAGACCATACAGATGAAAATTCAAGACGAGAATTCTTCCCCAAACTTGCGACCTTCTTGCAGGAGTGGCGCGTAAGTCCATTGAATCCTTTTTCTTTCTTTTTAAAATTCTATTTACTCGGCGGTGTATACTGACTTTAATTTCATAGAAATCCAAGGAGAAAAACATCTCTTGGGAAGAAAATAGGCGGCGCACAGAAGCCTCCCTTGCTCGCAAGAGGGCCAAACCAGGTCTTACAAACGGTCTAGATTCTGGTACACCGACTTCGCCCACGTCAAATGGTGCAATGGATTCATTGCTGGAGAAGCTGCGTGCTGCTGCTCCCCAGGCTAGAGATCAGCGTGACAGAAGACGTCGCGCAAGATTGAAGGAGAGGCATCAAGTACGACTTGCTTCTGGACAACATGTACCCGGTATAACGGTGAACGATGGCCAGGATAGCGAGAGCACTACGACTGCGGAACCAGCCGCAACCCCCAAAGATGATACCCCACAAAATTCGCAATCCAAGGGCGAGGACATCGCGGATCGCGCTGCCAGCATGTTACAGGGACTTAGGAGTGATAATGACTCTGAGGGCAGCCGTTCCAGGAGACGAAATAGCGCTGAAGAAGCCCGCAGAAGCAGGCGGATGCGACGACGTGCCCCGGCAACAACATCGACTTCTACTAATAAAGAATCCAATGATAGCCCTTCACTGCTCTCAGCGCACCCTGAACCTGAAGGTGGAAGCAGACGAGACTCTTCAGGAAGCACTGCATCCGCGGTGTTGGGCGAAACAACCAATGAACCCGAAACTTCACCGCGGCCTTTACCAGCAACTCCCGGTGGCACAGATTCCAACCCTATCACGATATCCGACTAAACATATAGAGCTTATGCATCTGAACTTCTTTATCTTTTCTTATTATTCAACATCTCCCCTGCTGAATTTAGCGCGCTCTATCCCCCCTTATTATCCGTTATCAACCCCTTAATATGCGTTCTTTACAGAAGCATTCCCGTCATCGTAATCTTCCATTTCGACATCCATTTCACTATATACACCATTTCACCCATGTTAGAGCTCGTTTCCTTCTACTTCCTTATCTTCCCCTTTTAACCATGATCCAATGTATGAGATTTTTCTTCTTTCCGTCCTTGCCTTTTTACCCTCATGCATTTGGTACCCGTGTTACAGGATTTTGATGTCTGGCTATTTTCCTTCTGTTGGACTTGGGCCGGATCTCCTTTTTATGATCTTCTTACAGCCTCGTCTCATTCCCCTTCCCTTCTTCACCAACTGTATCTCCTTTTCTAATTTTCTTGCTGAGACGTGTTAGTTAACATTATCGAGCGGTTGGACCTCTCGCAGCCTTCTAATACTATCACTAGAATTTTCTAGTTTTCTCCTTTCCCTAGATTTTGAGCTCTCCTCGGGGCTTCACAGTCCCAGTTCCCCTTGCATATTTACTTGCTGCGCCCATAGCACTGTGATTTCATTGACAACAGTGACTTTATGCCCTTATGTCCAGCCGAGTGAGACACGGCAACACGGGAAACCCCAGGCCCATTAAGAGTTGGAGGAGGACGACAGGATTACCTGCGACTGCCAGCCCTGTCGCGCGATCCTACAATAAATATATGGAACGGGCTCCCATCTATATAAGATATCCACTCCTATCTCTCCCTGGTGCTGGATGCTTCGGCAAACTGGAGTCCTATGAAGAATATACCCGCAAGCTTTGAACGCAATGCATCCAAGCATCCTGGCCGTACTATGGCTGTTTCTTCCCATGCTCTGCCTCAGTGCGAGAAACGCAACGGGTCTGCCTGTCCCCAAGTCCAGACTCGCAAGCGTAATCAAGGACTGTACTCCCCAGCAAACACAAACGCTAGTTACAGCGATAGAAAGCGCTCGCGTGGCTGTTGGTCCTACTTTTCCTCCGATAGATTCATAGTTCGACTGACCAGGCTTGCCTAACGCCTCCTGAACAGCTCGCCGCTACAGCCTTTCGGTTGCGAGTTCTTATTGACTTCCTCGAGAGGTCTCCGAAGCGAGGAGACCGGATCTCTGGAGATGAAAAGGTGGTTCTGCGCACCTTCGAGACCGTCTTTGGCCAGGTCTGGTGGGCGCCGACGAACGATGAAGCCAAAATGCAAAACAAGCAAGCAATCATTCGTGTGAAGAACTTTGCCCGTAAGGACCGGGTCTCCTTGCCCGGCAATGCGTTTTTCTTTCCCTTGTCGTCCCATTTGGCTTCTGAAGTTGATTGCTTGCTGATATTGCGTACCTTTAGACATCGCGGCGGCGGTGTCCAGGAGACTATCGCTGCAAGACACCACCCGCCATGAAATGTGGTGCGGCGAGAGAGCCATGCTGCGCGACCGGTCAAGATTTCCCCAGCCGCTCCCACCGGATATTCGTATGTTTCTTTCGATGGCACTTTACTTTTATAGCTGGTTCCTGGCGGTGCGGCATACCTTCTGACTCTACTACTCCACGGACAGATCCTAGCGAAGATGTTACGTTTGACAACCGTCCTCTAGAAGACTTGGGTCAGACATTCATCTTAGGCGACGGCTGCTCAGATCGAGTCACTGCCTATACATACTGCGCTCCCCCGATTAACGCATTCATGGTAATCACTATAATATGCCCGGAAATGTGGATAAAGTGTAGGCACGAGCGGTGTTCCCAGCCGCTGCAGATGTTTCGCGACAAAACATTCCTTACGGGCAGTTCTCTGGACAAGCTGTTTCTTGACAGTACCTTCGCTTCCCTCATTCTTCATGAGATGTCTCATGCGCGAGTCATTCATCCCGGCACTGGAGGAGACCGTGACGGAACAGGTAAGGAGCCATAGCTTTCAATGAAGCCTCCTAAACCCTAGCAAAAGATAATTTACATCGTTTTGACAGATGATTACGCTTACGGTTGGGATAAATCGATACGGCTTCCAGTGCGCGAGAGGTGGAAGAATGCAGGCAAGCCGTCCATATAACTCCCTACTTATTTCTTATCTGCGCCACCAGAGATTGTGGTTCTTACGCTGACTTGCATTCCTTCTCACCAATATAGATAGCTTTGCAATATTTGCACTTGGTAAATGCAACCCCGTATCCAACATAAAAACATCGACCCCAGGGCTAACAGGACATCTCAAGCAATGTATCTACACAAAAACGACTGGTCCACCGGGCTGGCCAAACCCGTTCCCCCAGACGGAGGCTTGGGAGACCCCGACGGTGTCTAGTGGGAGGATTGAGAGACGAGCGGGTACGATGAAGAGGTGTCAAGGGAGGGCCCAGAACAGTACGAGTAAGATGTTGAAAACCATTCCATATCCCGACTAAATCGATGTACTCTCCTTTCCCAATGGTTTTTTTCCCTCATAATCGGCTGGCACGGCATGATAGAATTGATCTGGGCCTTTTCTCTGGCATCCATCAGGAATGATATGACTACATAGGGCTGAAGGTCTCACCAGCTCCATTTCCTAGCGGCATCTCGGATACTTCCTAGCCGATTATTTCGTCACTTAACACCATGGTTAAGTCAACTACTCGGTTATATAGTTAGTGATCATTCGGAGATCGGAGATGGACAGCAGGATTGACACCTGAGTCACTATCTTCCACCAAACATGGCTAAGGCAGGCAGCCTGCTCGTCAGGGTTATTATGCCTTGGGAAACACAGCTGAGCAAGGTTACATTGTAGCGTAAGGCAAGGAATAACTTCCCTGTCAGACATTCATGCCTGCACAGGACGTAGAATCAAGCCCTTATTAGTTATCAGGCACCAGCCCCATCGCCCACTTCAGCCCTAAATCAACACTCCAGGCTGCTCCCCCCCAGCCATCAACTAGCCACACAAGGCTCAAGATGGTGCGAGTGGTTATTATTGGTCATGACGAGTCAATCCCAGATAAATATCCTAAACACACTGGAACACTCGTGGCATCTCCTCAAACTCTCTGATCCACGCTCCTCCTCGTGGCATGCCCGGGATAGCAGGGGTGGGAAGAAGACGGACCCGGTCAGGTTGATACCCGCTTCCATTTCAGCTGTCTGCTGCGGCTCGAGGCCTGCATATACAAGCCCTCTAACCGATGATCGCGTGTTTCGAAATGCATTATTAATATTGACGAGTTCATGTCTGAATGGACGGTCATGTTCAGACCCTGCATGCCATTCCATCTCTTGATTAACTATCCCGACTCCAGTGCCTTCGGCCAGGCACCATGTGTTTCCATGGATGAACAGACGAACGCACAAAGATGGTTTCCTGCACGATCAGCCTCCTTCCTTTGCCGTTTCGTTATATTCATTGTAACCTGATCCGCTTCTGTGTCTGCACCGGACAGGTGGCTAAATATAGGAACTGTACGGACTTTTTTACCGAGACGGTATATTGAGCCTCTGATAATGTCAATAATTAACCATCGTTTATCGCTGTTGACGCTCTTGATGTCTGCAAATCTGCAATGTAACTGCAAACGTATAATATTATATATATATATATTTTCCCCGGATAGACTTGGGGAGAAAAGGGTGAGAAAGAGGAGGCTATGCGCAGCCCGTAAGCAGCGGCGGACAGCTTGGTTCCTTGCATTCTCACCCTCCCTTTCTCTCACCCTGCAGTGCTGCAAGTCTGGTTGACGGTAAACAAGCTGCATACTTGTTTACTTATGTGCTCCGTAACGGGAGCAGAATATCCTCGTTGCAGGAACAAAGGGGCGGTTGGTACCCTTTCGAGACAAAAAGGAATGAGGGATCTTCCGGCAGGATGTTTCCAGTGTAACGGTGGTCGAACCCAATCTTCCTTTTGCTTTCATTTCTTTTTCTCCTTTTTTTCATTTGCTTGGATAGTTAGTTATTTTATTTTTAGACATCATGCGTGGTCAATCGTAACTAACTAGTGGCCATGATCTCGGGTCAGCAGATCTGATAGCGGCCCTGCGGTCATATCGAGGCCAACATACGTTATACGGAACGTTATATCTGCATACATAGTTGCCTTATACATCGAGTGCTTGGATGTAAGTATCCGCTCCTGGACAGGGACATCCGTAAAAGGAACCCGGCATAATTCGCGATATCTGTGTCATCCTCAACGGCGAGACATCTGTCCGCGCTCGATTCCGTGTGACAGTTCAGGCTGCAGAAGAGAGCAGAAAATTCGGAGAAAGGGCTGAATCAAGTAACTGGTGCTGGGTCGTCCATTTTCCAGCGCCTTTCTCTTGTATAACTAACATTCAGACAGCCATCTTGGAGGGGGGGCCGGTCGTTGTAAGAGGGCCAAAAATATAGAGATTGCGTGCAACCACCGTAGAGGGCCATCATGACGCCTTGTACTCCATGTCCAGCAAGCCTTCTGATTTCACGCTGTCAAGTGATTCGATGAGGCCCCTTTTCCTTCTCAAGAAACACGTTTATTAGCTGTTCTTGCTATTGCTGCTGTGCTATGCTGTGTTGATATGCTGGGGGATCGCTTGCAGGGGATGAGAAATCTAAATTTATCTCCCTCCGTAGTGACGGACAGCGGACATCCCAACCTGCAGGCGTAGTAGCCAGGTCTCCTGCGATAGTTACCCTGATCAGTCATCGAGGGTCGCTACTCTTCCCATTTTCAGCCATGTCGTCTGGACCGTCTCACGCTCGATGTCATAATGAGCAATAGTTAACCACTTATCACCACCACGGCCACCACGATAACCGGCTCCTTTCCGACACAGCCGCAGTAAGAAAAGCCTCCTGCACACAGTAGTTATGCTGATTAGCTGGCTGGCCGTCTTTCCCTCCGACCTAACTAGCAGTGAGTCAGTCGGTGCCCGTCAAGGCTGGTGAAGGCTGCTGAATGGCCAGGATCGAGTACGAGGTTGACGTGATGCTCGCTCATCCTGCCCCCGGCAAGGCCTGCGAGGCCTGCATGGCCCGCCAGGGGTCCAGTCCACGGCCTCCATCGATCTCTTCCAGGCCTGAAGGGGGGCCGCCCGTCTCCCACGCGCAGGAGACGCAAGAGAAAAGAAAAGAAAAGGGAGAAAAAAAAAAAAAAAAGGAAGCCCACGTTACGCCGAGCAGCTGGCATTACCCTGCAATATGGGGCTCGAAGGAAGGCCGGATCCCTTGTTCAACCCGTTCGCAACAGCGTTGACTCGCTACCAGCTCATCAGAAGAAGAGAAAGAGTAAAAAAGAAACAGAACGAATAAGAGACGAGAAGAGAGGTCTGGTTTCTCTTGGGCTTTGCTTTTTTGCAGGTCTAAGCCTTGCTGACACTGACGGTTCTCTGCCTCAGCCAGTTATCGACTGGCCGCTGCTTCTGCCTGGCGTCCCTCTCGTCTCATCCTTTGGCCCTTTCACACGGGTGTGCTGTTGACTAGGGAGTGAGTGTTAGCTAGCTGGCGAGCATGGGAATCCCCCGAAGCATGCAGAAGGTTGCAAAAAAGAAAGCAGCCGAGCGAGGGAGAGAACCAGCAGAAGCGCAGAGAAGCTGATTCATAATGCTTCCGAAACTGCAAAAATCGAGGAAGAGAGACAAGCCAGGCAGAGGGAGGCTGATGGATGCTGGCGGAACCGTGAGTGACATGCGTCTATCAACCATAAAACGGAATACAAAGAGAAGACGTTGAAGATATATAAAACGCCTCTCTTTTCGCCTTCTTTCTTTCTGCTTTTCCCCCTTTCTCCTTCTTATCTCCATTGTCTATCCAGCATCAGCAAGCATATTCACGTTCTTCCTATTATCATACATACATATATATATATATCTTTATAATAATATCTTTTCAGCGTGCTTCCCGGCGTTTCATAACCCAGTGGCTGCATTTCTCCTTTGAAACGGACCTCAAGTGAACCGTCTCCTTGCTTTCAGATCATCAAGCTACGCCCTGGACCTCAAGGATATAAATAATTGGCTCCTTCATACTGGTTTCCTCTTCCTGACCTCTCTGGATCGTCGCTTGATATCCAAATCTCCACTAAGCAAAGTACCTGGACATCCAGTTCGTCTATATATCTCCCAACACGCGGCGAGCCTAGACTCTCAAGGCGCAACCATTTCACCGTCAAACATCCCGCCAACTTCAGGCTTCACCACTCAAGCAACAATGGGTCGAGGCGGTTACAACAGCCCAAGACGACAATTAGTCAACCAACAAGGCAGAGGCGGCTATAATAGCCCCCATGATGGAGACGGTGACGATGAATCCTAAAACGGGGGAGGAGAAGGGGATTTTTTCCCCAAAAAACAATATTCCCCTATTCTTCTTGCAAGATGAGGGATTGATTGATGCCGGCCATGAATCTAGCGACTTTGATCCACCTGGGGATTCATTTCTTCTTCCTTCTACACTTTGGGCTTTCTTTTCACGAATTCGGCGGGCGTGCAGGAGCGCAAAACCGCCTATGAGGAATGGCTGGGTCTTTGAGCTCATTTGCCAACACAGAATCTGCATCCGGGACTTGCATTAGTATCGAGGAGAACATTTTTTATTTTTTTATCTTTTTCTTATCTTGCATTAGACGGAACGACTGTGACAACAACGGGCACTTACTTTTCGAACACAACTCCGAGCACACTCTCGACATCACCACCTTCACCACGGCCAGTGATCTTTGAAAGGGATTCGGCTGCAAACCTCAGGTGTTCCGCGGCCATCACGATGTCGACGTCCTTCTCCACTTGTTTTATTATCGTGTTGTTTTTAATACTGTCGATGGCATTATCAGGCGTTATAGAACCCTCATTGATTTGGGATAGAAAGTCGTTTAGGTGCTGGGCACATATTTGTAGATTAGAGCTTTGTCGATGCGTTACCCCTAATGAATCTTCCCAATAAGTTTTATCAAATTGTTGACCTATTTCTTCTCCATCCGATTGTAGGCCTGCAGGCGTAGATATCTCCTCAAATGTGCGTATTAGGCCCTTAAGAAGCGATTGGATGCCGCCTGGATCCTGGCCAGTGGAATTTTGAGCCTCTTGACAGGATATCGGAAATATCAGGTCTGGGTCTAGGCCTCCAAAGATTGCAGACACCTGAGCTTTATAGTTAGGCATGACATGATATCCTGGCTTCACGGAGAGCATGTCCGTTTTGTTGATGGCCACTAGGACCTTTTTGTCAAGCTTGAGGCAGCTGTGGACAGCGCTAACAACTTCTGGCTCTAAACTCAATCCTTGTTCTCTCGATCCTTCAACAGAGAGCACGACCACCACTACATCAGACTCAAGAGCCCGAGCTTTGGCACGGCGGATCCCTTCTTCCTCAATCTTGCCGACTGTCGAAACCACATGACCCTGGGCGGCAATTTGGCTTTGCGATAGCTTGGATCGTAGTCCGGCCATATCGCCAAATTTACACAGCCAACCCCCAAGGTCTATACCGACATCAACAATATCTCTCGTGGTACCTTCTTCGCTGCTTACAATAGCAGCATCCCGTCCAACAATCTGATTCAGTAATGAGCTTTTTCCAGCGTTTGGTGCTCCCAGGAGTGCGACCTTAATACCACTCCTGAGAAGCTCACCCTTTGATGCGTTCTCGATGTGTAAATTTATCTGATGCAGTAGACTATCAACTTGACCGGTAACAGAGGATATAAAATCGTCCACCGATTCGTCGAAATGTTGGTCTTCAGAAAAATCTATTAGAGCTTCCAGTTCACCTCGAGCATACAAAAGCTGCTTTCTCCACTGCTCGTACCGCGTAGATAAAGTATCATTTGTACCTCGAATAGCAAGTCGGCGCTGTTGTTCTGTATCCGCAGCTAGTGTATTACCGAGAGCTTCAATCTGCGGCAAGTCGAGGCGGTCATTAAGGAACGCTCTGCGGGTGAACTCTCCCGGTTCGGCGTAACGAATAGATGCTGATGGAGCATCTCCAGGGGTTGCACATTTTGGAATCGCGCTGAGGATAGACTTGATTACCGCAGGGCCTCCGTGGACATGCAGTTCGAGCACATCCTCTCCTGTGACTGTGTTGGGTGCTGGAAAATGGAAGACAAGTGCGCCTGAGTCTAGGGCGTTATCAGCCGATACTGGTTTGCCAGGTTCATATATTGTACGAAGAGCGGCAAATCGAGGTTTTGGGAGTTTTCTGTTCGGACAGAGAGCATTGTATATCTAAAACTCCGCTAACATTAGATTTTACTCAGTTCGACGGGAGATCTCGTTAACAGAACATTTACACACTGGAATGCAATCTGGTCCCGAAATTCGAATGATGGCTATAGCAGCTCTGCCAGGGGCAGTGGAGAGCGCATATATAGTGGTTGGCTTCTCATCCTGAAAACATGATGCCCATCTCCTTTGAGGACCAACATGAATGGGTGGTTTGAAAGCTGGTAGAATATGCGATTGGGGTCGACCTGAATGATTTGACGGTTGAATACGGCTCCAGGCCATATAAATGGGCTGCACTCCGCAGCGGCCCCAAGTTGATATCCTCCACATACAAGTAGGGCTGATAAAAGACACTGTTGATAGCTGTTGGTCGAGCTGGTGAGCTTGCTGTCGCTGCCGTCCATTTTGTTGAGTTGATATATCACGTGATGATAGATGCGGCTCTTCGAGAAGCTAATATCAAAAAAAAAAAAAAAAAAAAAAAGGTAAGAAGAAAGGAAAAGATACCAAGATCACTAACTTAAGAGTTCACCGAAGACCCAATCTACCAAAGACAAATCATTTCAACCCGTTAATCGATATAACTACATAGGTTGCACTCGAAACTACTCTGCACGAACACAAAATGCCGGGAAAAGTCCCAGAGGATGAATCCATGGTCGATGCGCAACCACTCGAAGACCAAGAAGTTGATGTAGAGCAGCAAGAATATATTGAGGATGAAGAGGACGAAGAAGACGAATACATGGCTAATGACCAGCAAAGAATAACCATTGTGAGCTTTTGAACCTTTTCCATGGTGTTACTTGTCGAGGGATACAGTATTTATTAACCACACTGCCTTTACATAGCTTCCTGGCGCCATTGAGACAGCTGCCTCGTTCCAGTTCGAAGGCGAAGATCATACTCTTGGGAATGCGCTACGATACGTCATTATGAAAAAGTGAGATATATCTGCTATGTTGTTTGCCGCGCGGATGCAACAAAATGCAAGTCGAGGCTGCCCGCTGATATATTCCCGATAGTCCCGACGTTGAATTTTGCGGATACACGATGCCCCATCCTTCAGAAGCTAAGATGAACTTGAGAATCCAGACTTATGGTGAGTCTTGCGTCTTCCTACGTTTTGATATAGTTCCTGACACATTGAGCTACTTGCATCTACGTACCTAACCTCTTCCTAGATTCGACCAATGTATTCACGGTTCTAGAGAAGGGACTTAACGACTTAATGGATCTATGTGATGTTGTTACGGAAAAGTTTACCCTTTCAAGGGATGCCTTCGAAGCTAGCAAGATGCAGCAATGATGCGGAAAGTATATAAATGGGAAGGATTCATTACGAGGGCATTGTTGTATCATTTAATACCAGCTTAGGCGCAAGGGGACTTTGGAACTGCATTGGAGGGTTTATTCAAGTATTTTTTTTGACTTTTTGTTGTCTTTCTGTAGCCTCAATACTCTAGTTGAGAAAACTGCGTAAAGAAAGTATAAGAAATATAAAGACAGTGCTAGGATATATACATTTCACCGCCTTCATAGCAAAGCCCCACCTCACAATAGTACAAGTTGAGAAGTGTAATTGTTAATTTCGTCCCTATATTAGTATTAGTCTAGTGAGCTACTTTGAGTGAGACGGAAGGAAAATATGCCCAAACAACATACCTCCATGAAACCAGACATGAAGTTCTTGGGTAGTTTGGCTGATGGGTCTTCCTCAGCTCTGAAATATTTCATCAATTGGGACAACTGTTTCCAATAGTTCATGGTTTCCTATAACGCACACCGGGTCAGCATTCTAAACAGAAGAATGAACCAGTGGCTAGCTCGGGACATGTAATACGAAGGGAATCGCCAGTGGGAAACAATGGACTATTATGAGTAGATCGTAGGCGCATATTCGTACCTGAAACTCGCTGTGGCTTTGGAATAGAAGAACATCGACGACTGGCAGCTGATTTACATATCGGTGTCGCTCAAATTCTTGTCTAATCTTGGTTCGGATGGCGGAGACGGGAAGTTGAAGAGAGTACATAGTTTGGATCTCAGGAGACTGTACAAGCCACAAATGGATACCATTAGCATTTATTCCGTCCTCAATGTATAAATTATCAATTATCACCAAGAAGGGAACCTTGCAGCACTGTCTGTCAAGCATGCTGCGGAACCAACATCGAATGGATAGGGAAGCCAAATATAACGCAATCAAAGGGAGACTAACCGCCCGAAGCCATGCTCGGTATGATCTAAGTACTCTTTTCTGCGCATCTTTCCAATTGACGGCTACGAGTTTCCAGACAGCGGTTAGTGAGTGTCCACGAAAGCGAGAGATTGGCCACTGCAAATAGGTTGAAACCTACAGGATCGCGTCCGCTGGGCCAAATAGGTTGGATTCAAGACCATGTTGAGTTGCAGCTATGAAATATCTTGCTATAAACACAGCTTTGAGAGAGAAACGAAAGTCGGCTTGACGTTGCGGTTGTTTCTGGCTCGTTCAATTCACGATCGCCGACATCCTTGGCGTCTAGGCTGACTAAGCGAGATACTTGCAGTACTGGCAATACTGTGATAAACTGCGTCCCTATGGCAGCAATGCAGCGTAAATTGCACCACCAGTGATCTCAATCGGTTTAGTAACTCATATAAAGTACGTCTCTTTTCATAATGCTTTTTTAAGTCTCACTGTCAAGCTGCTTGAAGTTGTCTTTCATTTCGTTGCTTAAACCCGAGCTCTTGGCGTGCAATGAACTCTAATTGTGAATTCTTTTGACTTTTTTTTTTTTTTTTTTTTTTTTTTTTTTTTTTTTTTTTTTTTTTTTTTACCTGATATCAAACCAGGAGAACAGGCGCACTCTCGATCAGGACATAACGACGCCATAACACAAGCGATCATCATGGCGCCAACAAAGCCAGCTGGCCCGTCAAAAGGGTCAAAGAGCAAATCTTCAAAATCGAAGTCTACTTCAGCTGGAAAGTCATCAACAAATCGAGTATCTAAATCGAAGTCCAGCACAAAATCTGGCGCAAAGCCCAAACCAACAGAGGTCAAAGCGAAGTCACGCTCAGCGCCAGAAATGTTGAAAAAGAAGAAGAAAAGGGTGTATACTGAAAAAGAATTGAATTTGCCTACGTTGAACAAAATCACACCTGTTGGTGTGCAAAAACCGCGAGGCAAAAAGAAGGGGAAGGTATTTGTCGACGATCAGGTATATCTCCCATGTTAATCTTATAGCGGTCTTCACGCTACCCCTAGAGGAACGTATTTATATTAACTATGATCTCAGGAGAGCATGATGACCATTCTCGCCATGGTGAACGCGGAAAAAGAAGGACAGATAGAATCCAGGATGATAAAGGCTCGGCAGATGGAGGAAATACGCGAGGCAAGGAAGGCCGAGGCGGAAGCCAGGAAGGAAAAGAAGAATGCAAAATTGGTAAGTAATTTACTGCCCGGCCGCATATGTTGTTGGCATGTAATCTATATGTTCCACATCTAACAGTTTAACAGGAGGAGACGAAAGATTCACTTCGAAAGTCGCGCCGATCGAAAGAACCTAAGAACAACAAGCATGAAGAACAGAATGACGTGAAATCTAAGAAAGGGGTGAAATCTAAAAAAGTTGCTTTTGCCTAAATGAGGCTCTAAAAATTATGAAAAGCGGCATTCCCGCTACAATACAAATATACCCAGAGGCGGAGAATTATCCCCAACCTTCTATATAAGGTGTGGCTATCTTTAACTTGAGAGACAAAAGAGGGCCGTTGCCAAACTGAGAGAAACTCAATACCTATAACGGAATTCTGTCACCTGGATCTCCGAACTTTGCAGTGGGGTGGATAATAGTTTGGTTAATACCGTAGGGGAAAGGATGCGGCTATTCTCCGTCGTCCGGGATGGGCATATGCAATTTCCGCCTCATGGGCGTGAAGTCCGGATGGGGACCATCAACTCTTTCAGGAGATGCCGCAGGATTCAAGTTACTCTTGCTCTCCATCTCCTCCTCCACTACTGTCAGTGGAGCATCAAGGTCGATTTCAGAAGCCATTTTATTGAGAAAATTGACAACCTATAGTCCATAGGTTAGAAGTCGAATCTCCATGGGCATTATACATGGGTGGAAGACTTGGTGGCGATGTTCGAGCGGATGACATATAATTGAATGAAATTGTTAAACTTACGGGTTTGGTGAACCATCTTCCTCCTCCGTACTCAAACCAGCTTAGGTGACCTCCCCAAGAAGTAGTACACATTACTGCGTACGGGGTCTTGGTCATCTCAAGGTATGGTAGTGCTTCTTTTGAGGAAATCTAGGCCACGATGTTAACACCTCAACATCCTATTATAGTGGGCAGAGTTTGATTTCGTACAGCGTCATCTTCCGCCTGGATGGCAAAAAGGGGGATCTTTACTGCGAACAATGAGTCAATGGAGGAAGCATCGCGATAATAAGCAGTTTCAGTGGGATAACCCCAAACAGGTGCTTGTAACTCTCTGAGAGACAGGTTAGCAAAAGCTTTTGGGTTCAACCACTAAACGGACAAACTTACCTATCAAACTCGTGAAGATAGGTGGTTTTCCGGACTCGTTCAACATTGACTCGAGGGTGCTCCCGTAACTTGTCGACATGTCTTTATACACTGATAGTTAGAAATATAACACCTCGTTATACCTGGGGTATTTGCGTACTGTTCAAAGAGCCGCCTCATACTCGCCCCCATAGTTTTAGAATATATCTGCAATCCCACCCAGGTCCTTTGCAATGCCAGTGAGCTAACTTCAAGATTCCAGGGATTTGAGCAGACGACTGCCGCCTTTAACTGGCAATCCTCGCCTTCCTCTCCAACATACTAATCGTGTATATATGTGTATCAGTAACCTGTATGGGCCGTCATAGATAGCAGAAAATTGAATAATGATATGGCTTACGTTTGTCAGGATATTTGCGCCCAGTGAGAATCCAATTCCAAATAAAGGGCGGGAAGGAAAGTTCTTCCGTAACCAACGTACGGTCTGTCGGACATCCCAAGTTGCGCGCGCATTGTATAATATCGAACTTGTAACCTTTGAATTTGCACATCCTCGGAAGTTAACAACACATACTTCCCAGCCTTGCTTGTGGAGCGGATCGACTATATTTCGTAGGTATGGTTCGTGCGATCCACCGGACAAGCCATGTAAGACAACAAGCATGGGCTTCTTATCATCAGACGGGAGGGCTGAGAATTCTTCCTTTGTAAAGAAGCTTGTGCGGGGAGATGGGTGTGTTGAGTCTGGTGGAGTAGAAGATTCAAACGTGCCATTATCTGACTGCGCAGAAGTAAGGGAATTGCTTGTCTTATTGACGTCGTAAGGCGGAACAACAAAATCCACTTCAAAGCTCCCACGATAGTCGGGACTGTCTCCTTCAAACCGCCATCGCTTGTAGTAAACCGGGATATCATCTGTTCTCATAAGGGTCCACGCCGTCTGCAGATGCCCATTGAACAAGAAAGGATTTAGCTGGCAATCAGCGGGTGTTGCAGACTTGCAGAGGTCAGCAAGGGAGATGTATTTCGACTCGTCCACTCCGGGGCCTTTCTTCTGTGGTTTCCGCTTTAAGATGACAGATTTCCCGGCATGATGGAACGATACCCTCCCATTAGGGAGAAACCAGGAGAGAATTCCCATCGGTGTATTGCGTAGACAAGATATCTTGGCTTTTGGATATGGCACAGGCAGGTGTTGTTCTCGAGCTGTCTGTTTGCTATCCAGACAGTTGGGAGGGGTATATAAAAGTGTTTGTCAAGATCCTGCAGTGAGCCACGCTAAAACGAAAAGGGTCAATGGATGGGCAATAAGCGAGACCGGCTTGTATCACTGCAATCAAACCTCTATGAGCAGAGCCGGGAGAGGGAAAAAGTTGTTCAAGGGCCTTGCAAGATATAAAGACTGGGAATCTCCGAGCTTATCTTATCAAAGCTTTCCATCTTATTTCCTTCAGCCGAGGCTCGCACATAAATTTTATGCTCGGTTTTGTGGAAAAACTCTAAATAGAGGTAAATTTTATACGAACCTTAATTGCTCTATCTACAGAGTTGGAATGCCTGTGCTACGTGAGCTAGGGAAGAGGGATAACAAAGGTTGTCATAATCGTTAGCTACGGGGATCTTCATTAACGTCCTGTATATCGTGAAAAGCAGAAGAAGAAGGAGCAGAAGAAGGAGAAGAACAAGAACAAGAGCATCGAAGAGGGCAGTAAGGAAGGGAAGCGCACACTCCTGAGGGATAGGAAGGAAACGGGGCAACATCTAACAAGGTAGCATGTCACACGAGGCTCTCTCGTGCTGTTATTATACAAGGTAGTCTAGAATGCCATTTGCGTCGCTGTCGTGGTGCATTGGTATCGAAGGATTGCTGGTAGCTATCATGATGGTACGCGTATTTATCGAATGACGGGGCGGCTTTCTCTTCTGTCGGTTCGATTATTGTGTTTGCAGCCTTGACTTCCTCTACTGTAGCTCTAATTTCGTACTCTCCTGCACAGTGAATAGTAATGCCAAGGTTTATTTGTTTTTGTTCCCTGGGGCCTAGAACCGGAAGTGCTCGTTGAAGCATCCCGGTACAGGATAGGCGTCTTGATAACTCAAGCGCAACTGTATATGGTTGGTTGCGCAGAGTGGGTTGTATCCGGATGATGGGATGAATGGGCTTTGAAGAGCGGTTGAAAAGTGTAGTTTGAAGGTTGAAGAATGTGTCGGTTGGAACGGAGAATCTTGACTGGCCTGTTTGTAGAATAGTCGGGTATTGGTCACTGCAGGATGCCTGGTCGATTGTTTTCTGCAGCGGCAGAAGATTGAAGCTTGGCTCTATGTCGTCCACTCGAAGTGCACTGATCATACGATTGGTTAACACGATCGCACGGAAGTCAATAACTCCCTCACGGCCCGTAACCTCATCCTTCCATAGCCCATGGAGGCTCTCGAACAATTTTTCACGAAGCCAGAATGCTTCTCTCTTGGCGGTTTCCGCCTCATAACTTAGCTTATTAGCGCTGACTACAAACTGCCGTCTATTTGCAGCATTCAATGCCGGAATTTTCTGGTGGGGATCATCCAGGTATATCCGTGGAATAGCTAGGGCGAAGCGAGAGAGGTGCCCGGGTTGGAGTACATCAGAGACTTCCTGTAAATGAAGAGTCGAAGTTCCGGCCTCGGAACTATCGATTTTTCCCTCAGTAGTCGAGTCGGTGACCTTCAGATAAGCAGATATTGGGTTAGGCCACGAGTTTCGTAAATCTATAACCAATAAGCAGTAGTCAGATCCTGTGTATTTTGATCCGAGTTCAGATATAACCGGTGATATCTGTGGATCATTTCGACCACCGGCAGAAACAGTCGAAGAGTCTGGTAAGGCGGCATATGTTGTTGGTTGCTTTTTTGATATTTTATCGGAGGATGCATCACCGATCCATCCAATATGACCATTGAAAGGCAGGATCTCGCACCGGGAAATATTCAGGCTGGCATTGACGGTGACAGTTAATGGTATGCTGATTTGCCTGGTATAAAAAGTGTCTGGGAGTTCCGAAGGCGACGCGCCAATACATGCATAATCAACTTGAAGAGTGGCTGTTCTAAGGCCTGGCTTGCCTAAAACTTCAATTGTAAACGTCTTTGATTCACCAGGGTCAAGGGTTGGTATTTCTTGCCCTACACCGGAGGTCCGTAAACGTAGTGGCGGCCGTTTCAACATCTGATATTCCAACTCGTAAATTTCTGTAGGCAGGTTGTCTTTGTTGTTTAATGCCGCTTGTAGATGAGCTGTTGTAGAATCTTGAAAAGTGAAGAGAAGGAGATCAGCAGGGCAATCGGATGCGTTATGTAATGTAATCTCGAACAAGCTGGTTTCCCCTTCTAGCATCATTATTGCAGATTGTAGAAGCGAGGAGCTTCGCACTTCAATCATGGGTTGCGCTTTGATGATATTCGCAGACAAAGTCGTAGCTTCTGGTGGTTTTCTCGAAGGTATTGCTCCTTGGGATGTGTTCGAACTCCATGAGGTAGGCCGTGATAAGGAAGGGTCCTTGGCAGCCAAACCTCTGTGTTTGAGCTTGGTTTCCGCCACGGATTTCCATATCTTCTTGAAGATAGGGAATCGCCTTTCTCTGCAGAACTTCACCTTAACAGTGCATCCAGTGATTTTGAGCACACCTTCCTCCGCAGCCAATAGAGTAACCCCGATTTCCTGGAGACAAAATGGCGCAAGGAGGAGATTTGAGGCACTGGCATCAAATGAAATGCCTTCACCTTCAAGTTGTATGTGTTCAATCTCGAGTTCAAAGTCGAATGGGTTTTGAAGAATGACCCTTGCGGTTGCAGGCTCGCCAGCAATCAATGGTGCCTCGGCGGTTGGTGTAAGGGGCTTGGAGAATGCATTGTAGATAAATGGTTCTGTTTCAGCGCCCTTTTCAGCACTAAAGGTAACCCCAAAGTCTTGCTTCGTTCGTCGAACAGGGCGTTCTGCACTCGAAGGTTGTATTAGAACATCGCGAACCAAGAAATCGTCCCAATATTCAGCTTCCAAATCCGATACCCCAAGCTTGTGTGCAACACTGACTGTGCGTTTAACCGTATTGTATAAACGAGTTTGCTCGTCGGGACTCAGAAGTGGCCTGCCCTTCTGAAGATCTGTGGTGAGCATATATGTGCCCTTGGCGGCTTGTAGTAAGGCAACAGTAAACTTCAAAACGCCTGAAAAGTCAGGTAATGCTTCACAGAAGTTTATACAGGATTTAAGTATTTCAATCTTCAGAGCCAAGTCGCCATATGTATCGAGGGCTGAGTTCTGAAATGTACGCTCAATGATTGCTTCAATTGAGTCATAGTCAAAGCCATGCCCATCGTACTTCCATTCACTGTTTATCCGTCCGTTGGTAAGCTTAGCGCCATAGACCCCTCCAATAAGAGACAGAACCGATCTTAAACCTGATTCCATATTTGCAGGACCAATATCCAAAGCGTTGATGTCGAAAGAGGCATTGCTGAGGGCAGATAGTCCTGCAGCTGGATGAATTCCAATTTCTGCCGCACCAATCTTCCTAGCTTGTACAAGCCCAGGAATGAGTATTGAGAAAAGCTCCTTCAGAACGAATGCCTGCTTTCGCTCCATCCCTAGAGGTGATAAGACAGCAGCCACGCCAATGAATATCTGAACCGCATCCGTCACAGGGACATCCGAAGATATTGAAGATGGGAGTGCACGGAATAGGAAAGATGTTATTTCTGTTTTGCGAAAAGTGTTAGGTTTTCTTTGTTGGTCGGGCAGTGATATGCGCTCTAGGGGTTTATTCAAGACTACATGCTGTAGACCGTCGGTATCAAGAGAACCATCGCGTACTTGCATGGTTGTCAGAAGCTTTGCAAGTCTTATGACTGTTTCCGAGAACACTAGCTGGGGAAGCGGTTCATCCGTTATATTAATAGCTCGATTGTAGAGGCTTAATATATAGTTGGAAATGTCAGGAATAATGCTCGCGAGATTCTGGAGAGCCAAAGATCTAGCTTCAGGTTCTGACTTTCCATGAGACTCGATGTTTCCTTGAGCTGGGGTAGATTTTGCGACTACCCTATCGCCATTAGGAAAACATATATGAGGAATCTTCAAAAGTAAATACCGTGTCTGTCAGGCATATAGTCTAAAGTGGGAGCAATCAAAGGAAGGCTGCATACCTGAAAACTTGCACCCACCCACCCAAACAGAAGAAGACAGATCAATATCGCTTCTAAGGCCTTTGCATGCCATATATAATCACTCCCAGACCTGGCAATTGAAGCGCCTTCTATAAGATCTTTGAGGGCTTCAGGCCATAAGCCTCCTTGGAGGTGGAGTAGGCCAGTAAGAACATGAAGACGGCCCTGGAAGCGAGATTTTGCTCTCTCGTTGGATGCAAGACTAGAAACTCCCACGACTGAAGATCGATCTCGACTATGTTCCTTGGACCCGGGTTTGGAACTAGAGCTAAGGGCCGAAGTCGTTTTGTTCGATATTTGGATTGAACGAGTGATTTCATCGAATGTGGTAGGTGATTCATGGTTGACAATTGGGGGCGATTCGGTGCCTTCCAAGGGTTGCTCAGTTGGCCGTGACGGCAGATGTGCTGGCATCGTCATTCTGTGGGAGAGCTTGTCGGGTGACTTAGCATCTAAAGCCCGTCGTGGACCCCAAGATGATACCTTTGGAGATTCAATACTTTGCCATTGCGGTATTGATTCTGAGAACTTTTGTAGCCCTCCTAGAACTCGGGCAGATATATCACACATTACCGTCTTCATGGTGGTGGGCCGTGATGCCTCCGGGTTGGGTATCCAAATTACCTGCTCAGGGCCAGAAGCTATGTTTTCTAACCCATCATAGTCAAAAACTAAGAGCTGTTGGAGTACAGATTTGGGGTAGTCCGTGTTTATCCCATCTAGCTCTTTAATAAGCTGGTCAAGGCCCTCCGGGCTAGGATGCTTCTTGTGTCCAGTTCCACCGGACTTCTCCTCAAGTGGATCATTCCCATCCCGATCTTTTTTTCTTGTGATCTCTGTGCCATCGGCAATTGCTAGAATGACAAGCGGCTCCCTGAAAAGCTCAAATGGAAACACTTCCAGGTGGGAGATAGGGGATACGGATATAGATAGGTCGTAGATAATCATTCCAGATGGGTACGCAAGCGGGGAGAACGAATCTAGAATCAGCAAATGTTAGCTATAGGGTAAACCATTGATATGAAGCTTTTCCCTTCGGTTTTAGCAGTCTAACGGCTTCTCCATACTCTTGCTTGAACTCCCATCTGGGCTCACATCTCCCAGACGAACCACATTGTGCGCTCGAAGTCGCTCGGCGAAGCCTAAGAACCTAGATCGCCTGATTCTACCAGTAGGAAGTAACAGGACCCGTAGGCGCGCCGGCGCAATAGGGGAAAGGGGGTCAATCGTCATTGTAACATTGGGATCGGAGGCTGGTCGTAGAATCGATTCACAGCTGGCCTGGATTGCGCGCGAGGCGGTGTTTAAGCATCGCAGGGGCAAATTCAGGTCGTTAACTAAGCGGTGGGTAGACGTCTATCGGCGCTGGACTCTGCAAGTGCGTTAACAGCTCAGGCGTTTTCATCGATCGCGAGTCTGGACCGTAGTTAGCGCAACTAGCAGTTGCAGTTTTTTGGGCGGTTGGCGTTGACATCACCAACTTTGCGTCTGTCACATGAGCTGGAGCTGTCGACACTTCGGCGTTATGGGCACACTCACACGTTCATGAAACAAAAACAGCACGAACGCCCGTTTATCAGCTAACCACCAGTGCGGGATACAGAGGAGGTATTCGACAAGCTCCATCTATCTGATATCATAGCTACTTTCTCGTCCACTGCTTTGTTTGTCCCGGAAAGGCCGCGAGGTAGGATCCTCTACGTCATATCTGGCTGGAGCCTAGTCGTTCAGCAGGTGTACCATTCAAGCAATGAGGGGAATGAGCCGGTAGTCGTGAGGCCTTGAACATATATTCCTTAAGTCTGAAGACCTGAGATATGTTATGCGAATGACGTACTATGGCAAACAATATTGATTTTACCTCGTTGAAGGCCAGAGCCATTGGATCTGGCCTTGATGAAGAGGCTGTTACAGTGAACACTCGAGCTCTAATTGACAAAGTGCTAGCACGATATTCTGGAGAATGGTGATTATTTTTCTCTTTCTGATTGTCATCCGGGATACCCTATCCAGCTCTGACACTCTTGCTTAGGACCGTGTTGCGAGAACTCATACAAAACGCCTCGGATGCCTCGGCCACCAGAGTGGTAATCAAATTCGAAACTACGCCGTCTATGACAGTTCCTGCACCTACTACTACAGACGACAGCTCACTAATAAAACATGTTATATCACATCACACCATAAAACGGCTCACGCTGCGAAATAACGGTACTCCGTTCAGTGCCAATGACTGGGCTCGGTTGAAGCGGATAGCAGAAGGGAACCCAGATGAAACCAAAATAGGGGCTTTTGGTGTTGGATTTTACAGTGTATTTTCTGATTGTGAAGAACCATTTGTCTCTTCTGGTAGGGAGGCGATTGCGTTTTACTGGAAAGAAAACGCACTTTTCACACGTCGTTTAAAACTAGACGAGAGAGACTCCAGCCCTGACACGGTCTTTGTGCTTGATTATAGAAATACAACCTCACCAATCCCGGGACTCATGCCTCTCTGCCAGTTTCTTGCCAGCAGTCTTACCTTTGTTGGACTAGAGGCTATAGAACTTTGGCTGGATGGTTGGAACCTGTTAAAACTCTCAAAGAAGCTTGCCCCAGGCGTTCCGGTTATGATACCCAGAGACATATCAACCAAAACTCAGGATGGAATAATGAGGGTAGCTGATATAACCCGTGAGGTTGCTCAGCTGAATGCTACGTGTATGAAGGCGGTAGGTTGGAAATCTCCGACTAATTCATCTAGGTACGAAGGCAACCGTGTACATGATACTACAGCATCTCTAAGAAGCTTCTTTTCCCGACTTACTGGCTCATCCACAACTGATGATAAATATTCAAAATCTGAGAAGTCTGGCCGGAATGGCACCGAAGAGAACCTTCTTGCTTACAATAATTCCTCCGTCTTCCTCCAAATCACTACCGGCCACATCAAGACATCAGTTTCACAATCTTTTAGCCACGAGTTAGAGCGGGCAACAAAAAAGCCGCCTCCAAAAACAACGAGGCTTGCGATACTTACCACGTCATATACTGCTTCCCCCATTTCGGCGAGCCCTGACACACAGGACATCTTTAGCAGTGTTACCCCATCCCGTTCTGGAAGAATTTATATCGGTTTCCCGACTCACCAGACCACAGGCTTGAACGCGCATGTATCAGCCCCATCATTGATTCCAACCGTGGAGCGAGAGAGCATAGATTTAAATGCTCGTTGGGTTCGTACTTGGAATCTTGAGCTTCTGCGAGTTGTTGGGATTGTTTGTAGGATTGCTTGGTCCGCTGAGATGTCATCCCTAAAGGATCAACTTCTTTTCAGGCTTAAAAAGTCCGGAAGGTCTTATCTTCAGAAAGAAGATATCAGCGCAGTTCTTCCGGAGACCATTCATATTTCAAATCAGTTTGTCTTTCGGGAGTCAACTCCAACTTCACAAGTACGGCAGGTGGTTGAAGATTCTTTCTGGACCTGCAGCCAGAATGCCTACTTGGAGATCCTATCTACTCGTGGTATCCTTCCAAGCCACCAAGTCCGGACTGCGCCAAAGGACCTTAGTTTTATGGATGGAATTCCAGTTCTCCCTGAACAGTTGGTCTCCGAAGCTAGGGGATTTGTTGGAAGATTGATTGAGTTCGGCTTAATCACCGAAGTCACAATAACTGATATCAAGACCGAGTTAGAGAACAAGGCCTTAACCTCGCCGCAGCTGCATGAGTTTCTTTCATGGATTATTCAGAAGTCTAAGCACGGGGAAATTAACAATGCCACAGTCAAGTCGCTTCTTGCAGTTGCAGTGGCTAACAACGAAGAAGGTGATAGAGGCTCCGCACTCCTAGTATTAAGAGATATCAGTTGCTTTGCCAATTTGACCCGTATCTCACCGGAATTGCCACTACCCCCTTTTGTTCTTCCGCCTAAATTTTCAAAACCATTACCAGCGCCTGGCCTATTGTCGATCGGTTGGCAGGAACTGCAGGTCGATACTTGGGTCCAGTGGCTGGTGCATAACTCCTCTAATCGCAACCTTTTACCAGCTGAACACGATATAACCCGCTCGCGTGATTTTGCTATCCGTGTTCTCCCGGTTGTGTCTAAACAATGGGATTCCATACCAGCTAGCTCGAAGAAAGAAATAGTTGATTCTTTGCGGCAACATACGGTCATCCCCACAAAGACGGGGATGAGTAAACCACAAGAAGCCTACTTTCCTTCAGTCCGGATCTTTGATGATCTTCCAGTTGTCACCGGCCTGAATGGCGTCAAAGAGAAATTTCTAGGTGACTTGGGTGTGCGAAAAACTGTGGACATTAGTATTATCTTTGAACGTCTTTTGAACAATTCCAAAGATAGGACAGATACGGGTGCAGTATCCCAGGCGAAATGGAGCCATGTCGAATTGATTAAATATTTAGCTTCTGTTCGCCAGGATATACCCCCAGAAGATATAACAAAGCTCCGCAAGGCTAAAATATGTTCTGCAGAGACAAAAGGTGACGGAAAACCATCCGAAGAACGTTATCAAGTTTCACAACTGTTTGAGCCAAACGCCGCTTTCAGAGATCTTGGTTTTCCTCTCCTATACTGGCCCGGAAAATATCTCCCCTCAAGCGCCGAGGGCAAATTTTTGGCCTCTCTTGGGTTGAAGAGCATACCAACAGCGGCTGAAATGATTAAACTCATGGCATATGCTGCAGCCTCTAATGATTTAAGGCTTCTCGACAAAGCCATGGGTTATTTCATTACAAACCATGTCTCCAATAATTATGCAAATTTTGACTATAGTCAATCCATGACTCCGTTCCTACCAGTAGAAGGGGGTGGCCTAAGTAACCCTTCAAATTGTTTCACTGCCGAAGGAGCTGCACTGTTTGGGTTTGACATTCTTCGCAGGGATTTGCATCCTCATGCTTTGAAATTTGGAGTGAGTCATCACCCATCGATCAACGAATGTATCACCATCCTCATTAAAAAACGCCCGGAATCGAAATCCCAAGCAAGAGCCCTTTTTAAATATATGGCCAGCCGTGTTGCTGAAATTTCACCTCCATCTGCCGCACGCATTGGGCAAGCCCCCATAATCCCTATAGACCGGAAACCCCTGACAGAAAAGAGCACTGCCACAATGCAATACGTTGCTCCTCGCAACTGTTACCTCGGTGATTCTGACGAATATGGAGATATTTTTGATTTTGTGGATTTTGGCACTGAGGCAAACATATTTCTCCTTGCATGTGGCTCCAAGAGGCAGCCAACACATTCTGAACTGGCTTCTATCCTTGTTAAGGAACCTACGAGGATATCATCTAAGCTGCAGAGCTCTGAAAAGTACCTGAAGCTATTACGAGGAATTGCAGAGAACATGCCAACAATCAGAAAGGACAAAGCCCTCTTCGCAGAGATGAAACGTGCTCCATTCCTATTCGCAAGCAAGGAGATTCCTCGGAGTTCAGACACCAAGAAGTCACTTCTAGATACGGGAGAATCTAGTGATGATGAAGAAGAGGAACAGGCAATTAAGGAGTGGCATTTAACAAGTGCCGCGGATGCAGTTATCGTTGATGACTATTCCAGCTTTAGCCTCTTCAAGGAGAAATTGCTCGCAGCCCCACAGGAAGAATTACTCGAAGATATGTATTCCACTCTTGGATCTTCCAATTTGAGCAGTTTGATTGATGAGACAGCTCAATGTGGCCAACTTAGTTCTGACCAGCGCAGTGCATGGAAACTACAAAGGCTCATATACGAGAGGTCTAGGCTCTTCTTGCATGACCTTCCGAGTAACACGATACGCCGTGATACTCGATGGTTAGAGAAGAACCTAAGTGTTCAGACAGTGCGCAGCATTAAGCTGCGACGCTCTCTCCGGGGCTGGGGAATGTCCCACGTAGAAGACCGCAGTGCTGTAATGACACATAAGCTAAGCAGCGTTGTTTTGTCAATTGCAGAGGGCAAGCTTGATCTATATCAGATCAGTCAAGCTCTCGTAAGCATTATATTATCGAGGCCGAAGCTTCACTCTACACTTACATTAGAGATGTTGTTGAAGACAGATCTCCTGGAATTACGGGCAAGAGGGTACAATGTCGAAAGAATTCTCCGTCAGAAAGCAGCTGAAGCAAGAATTGCAGAGCAACAGCGACAAAGCCAGCTTGAAAAGGAGATGCAGCAGGCACGAGAAATGCAAGAGATGGAAAAGAAAAGAACAGAAGAGCTTCAAGAATCGCAGCGGCTTGCAGTTCAGCAACAGCATGAAGCAGCCATGCCTGGTATTTTCCCGGATTCTCCTACAAACAGCTTGACTAGACATTCATCTCCGCCTCCCATTTCGCGGCCAAATGAAAACCAACCTCCAGGTGGTCTCCTTTCCGATTTAACAAAGAGGTTTGGCCTGCCGTTCGATTTCCCTCAAAATAACTTGAAAAAGCATCTGTCCGACAGACTTACAACCCGAGAAGAGGAGAAAAAGGATTCTCTCCAAACTATTACTACCTCCCCAGGGGCGTTACAGTCGCAATTGCAATCCGCGATCAATGCTTCACAGCCATTTACATCAAATGAACTACGCAGTCAGGGACAACAAAAGGAAATCGAAGAAAAGAAAACATATTGTGATGAACGTCCTGCGCAAGATCTCAAGTTCTTCTGTCTGCTGGGAGGTATCAAGATATTTATTGGAAAGGAACCCAGGGATCCGGAAGCGTTCATTCGTGCTAACCACTCTAACGTTGAGTTATTTAGCAAAATACTTACAGATTGTGCAAAGATCTTTGGGCTTCGCCTAGAAACTCTCAGCATATTCTACGATACCAGTGGGAAAACGATTGCTTTTAACTCTGGTGGCAGTTTGTTCTGCAATTTCGCCTATTTTGAACGCTTGCACCTTGAAAAAGTTGTTCGGGACGAAAGGAGGGAAGGGTTAGTGTACTGGTTCGTGATTTTATGCCACGAACTTGCACACAACCTTGTATCCGATCATGGGGCGGAACATGGCTTTTATACGTAAGTTTTGGCTACCCCTATTTCTATAACCGAATTGAAGCGCTAATTTCGTGGCTGTTAATATAGTGAGAGCCTGGTTACCCAATACTTTGATAAATGCATTCAGATACTTGCGGCAAGATAAATAGCAAGATCCTCACCGACAGATATCAGCCACGGTTGTGGACCATACTTCCATCCTGGGATAAACAGAAAGTTCTCCGCAATTACGCCGTTGGATTTTCCTGAGAAACGCGGGTATTCTAGCAATCATCACACCGTTACAAACTGTTACAGCGGCTGGGTACCAGCTTCGTCCAGGGAAATTTAATTAACCTCTTGTAAATTATTATTATTATTAAATAAGCTAATGGTAGATTATAGGAAAGGATATATATTCCTTTGATCATAAGAATATGCTTGTTTCATAGAAGATGTCTATATGGGTTTGTCTATGTTTCGCGTATATACCGAATGTCTATGTCTCAAGCGATATGGCATATACGTGGTAGCTTTGTCCCCATTGCAACCGACCTTAAATGAGAACCAATTTGGAGAGTTTCTCGAAGTTTGGAGTTCCCAGTCCGGTAACTGGGTCCCATCCCTTGGTGGCATTCCAGCTGGCACCGGGGACATATGGGGTAGGGAGGTGGCTGTACATATCAGTTCCGGTACAGCCATCGGAGCCACCGTGAACGATGTCGGTAAACCCGCTTCGACCGATGGTGTAGAGCCATGGGTTCAAGAATCCCATTCTTGGTTTATTGTGAGCGAGACGGATGGAGTTGAGAATCGAGACTACACCAGCGAAGAGGGGGGCAGAAGCACTGAAAGTTAAGGTTAGCCACAAGGGTCATTCCAAAAAGTACCTAAAGTAACTGAGTTCTCGGCATGGGGCAAGACTAACCTAGTTCCTGAGACACCAATAGTCTTTCCATGGTCACGGGTGGCGAACTTATAGGACTGGGCAGCGACATCAGGGAAACCACGTCCATAAGGGTTGTACATGCCGTCCCACTTTCCTTTTTCAAGTTCATGTCCAAGGTAATGCCTAACATCGAGCTCTTGGTACCATGGGCGAGCAAAACGCTCAGAGAAACCACCGGATGAGAAGTGGATGGCAACTTCGGGGTTAATCTGGCGGGTGCCTCCAACAGAAGTGACGAAGGGGCAGGCAGCTGGGAAGATTGGGTTGAACTTAGTGGTGTTCTTTCCATCGTTGCTCTGGCATGCACTGCCAACGCCGGTATCACCACTGCTGAAGATGACGGAAACACCTCGGGCACCGAGACGGCCAAACAGGCTGCAGACAACGGAGGAGTAAGTCGGGGGAACACTTTGCTCATTCTCGCCATAAGAAGTGGACAAAACGGCTGGGAGTTCAGAATCAGGGAGGTCAAGAAGATAGAACAGTTGCTCAATGTAAGGCTCATTGTTGTTCTCAGTGATGTTGGGCTGGTCGAGATCTGGAATGAGCTTTCCTCGTCCTGCGGTACCGTAGTAGGTGGAGAGAGCTCCGGACAAGCCAATGGCATAGTCAACATCGAGACTGGCTTCAACACTGTCGAGGCTAGAGTTTTGTTCATTCTTTGCACCTTCAATGGACTTGAAGTCGAACGTAGTTCCCTTCAAAGAGGGAACGAACATGTCAATGAAGGTGCTGAAATCGTCAAGTCGAGCATATTGCTCAAGGTATCCGGAGATTCCAAGTCTGTTGCGGGGGTCCTTCTTAGCAAAAGTGTTGCCCATCTTGTAAAGTTCTCGAATGCAGTCGGGGGTGATAGTGACATTGCAGTCAACATTCGCAGAAGAGGTTATTTCAAGGTCAGAAGTGAAGACGCTGCTCAACTCAGGGCGAGGGGCACTGAATTTGGTGGTTGGCTGGACCATTTGAACATATGGAGCAGCGGATGCAGCAACTGAATACTTTAGAGTACGGATAATCTGGCTGCCGTCGGCGGTGTTCTTGAATGTGTAGAAGCGGGTATTGAACAGCTTCTCGGCTGTAGCGATGCTGGTGGTGAAGGTGAGCCAGTCCGTGTTGGCCTTGACAGAACGCTTAGAGATACCCTCGGAAGCGAGCCAGTTAAAGACGGAATCCTTCACTTGGGAAGAAGGCTGTAGGAAGGCATCAAGCTCCTCGCGGCTCATGAATTTGCCATAATCAGCATGTTTGGGGTTAGAGATATCCATAACCCGCTGCTCGAATTCAGCGGTCTTACCCTGCACGAGTGCAAGCTTGAATTTCATCTGCGTCGATGGAGCTGGGGAGCCTTCCTGAACCCATCCCTGAGGAACTCCATTGAGCTGTTCGACCACATGGAAATCATTAGAGACATGAGAGGTGGGAGCAGCAGTGATCAAGGCTGGCAGGCCGATGAGACAGGCGCCAATGGCCCGAAGGGTGAAGGAAACCATGGTTGGGGAGGGCAATTGAAGGCAGTCCTGTTGACTATGACTTCTCCGGCTGTGGCTGTCACTCTTTCAAAGGGAATTGCGGAAGGGACAGGAGGGTGTTATATATGCACCAGCTGAGCAGCAATTTCCCGCAGCTGCCCGCTGGCTTACGAGAAGGCGAGTTCGGTTGGAGAAGAGCTTCTGTTCTAGAATGCTGTTCTTTCGTAAGGCCCAGGAAGTAACACGATGTGCATGAAGTCAGAATCCTTGCAATGCATGTACTGATATTATTTCCCCGGGCTTGTTGCGGGTCCTCGGACTCGAGCAGAAGCGTAATATTACTTTCTCGTTAAGTAAGTTAGCAAGGGAGTTGACGTCGGAGAGACCACCCCTTGACGGGATCAAAAAAAAACTGTCAACTAAATAATAGCACAAAAAGAGGGTCTCCTGTCCCCTTTAAAGGAACTCTGTCCTTCGGGCAAGGATTAGGCAGTCCCATCCTTTCCTTGAGAAGTGCCCAGTGCCAGACCAATCAATGGAATCAGCGTATCCCATCGCCAGGGGAGGACAGGCAAATCCCCAGAGCTGGAGGGATGATCGGCACCATGGCAAATCTTGGGGAATGAGGGTCATTGGAACAGCCTGGCTGAAAACCGCTAGTTTGGCAATCCGTGCACCATTCCCCCCCTTTTTTTGGCAGATCGATCATCAGGCAACACAAAGCAGCTACATAACTATCTGCAGCCTTCCGCGACCCGAGAAAGAAACAAAATAGCGCCCTTTTCTCCGTTTGTGACATGCATCTTGAAGGCCCTGAAAGGTTCTGTGCCGCGCTCCGCAGGTGGGCGATGCGTGTGCATGGGACCGTCGAGGAGCAAAGAGGGTCCGGGATGGAAGATAAGTACAGTTATACGGACCAAGGCCCTCCCTGTCACAGTTGCATTGCTCTCGTAAGCTCGCGAGATTGGTCAAGCATTGTTTCCGGCCGCCAATAAGAGCTTGGTCCTAACAAGCAATATACAAGCTCGTGTTTCTCCACCCTTCGCTCCCCTCAATGTCTCAACCGTAAGATGCACACAGCCCGACGCAGCTGGCAAACGAGAGCGAAGATGTGATCACAGTCGGGTTCGCGGTCACGGTCGATCAAAGTGGTTGTTGTTGTTGGCTCGCATTTTTGATGTCGGAGGTCGAAATAACCTCCATCTGTGCCTGGCACGTGAAACGCTTAACTGACTAACTCGCCAAACTTGGTAGCCGAGGGAAGACGCACGTCAAGCTCGTCGTGTTATTATTTCATGCCCGACGGGCTTTTCTTTCGATGGCTTTTTTTTTTTTTTTTGTATCTCTCCACCGGTGTTCTGCTTTGCCTCTGCTTGCTTTGGAGGCCGGCAAGGGCAAAACTCATTTCTCCGGAGTTCCTTCGCCTACATCTACCTTGGCGTCCATAATTTCGCTCCCGCATACGCAGTCCAGGGTACGGAGTACGGGATGCGGAGAAAGTCTTTCCACCTTGCAAGAGAGCAGCAGCTCGTTAGTTTAATTTGCTCCTGATAAGGACCGGGATCAGAGAAACCCCGCTGGGGCAAATATGGCCGAGAACAACTGGGGATATCGTGATTGACACTGCCAGTGCGGAGAATATTCCTTGCCCTTAAACGTGCATTTCGTGATGTTGCGCATTATCTGATATGAGTCCTTATGCTGAAGATGGCCTCCTGCTTATCTTCCGGATGAGCGATCCTGGCTGACTTGCCTTCAAGTGGTCTTACCATTAGCTAACGCTTTGTCCCGATTGTTCCAGTTGCGTCCGTGGAGCCGCCGGGATCTCGAGGGCTTTCTCAACTTTTAGTTACCCTGTTACCCTGGCCAAATGAAGGTATTAACTAAGTAGCTTCCAGTTAGTCCCGCCTGCAGGTCACAACGGAAGAAACGGCCTGAATCAAGGTTTGTTGGCGAGGGCGACAACAATAATACTCTTGCACCCCTTCCGAGGAAACCCTTCAGATTACCGAGTGGCGCGGATGTCAGTTAACCATCGAGGCGGGAGCCTGCGGAGCAGCGGAGGTTTGGAGTTGAAGAATGCAATGGTGATTCTACTTACCTGCATTATTCTCCAAGTATAGCTAGCTTTTTATTATTTTATGGCTCACCGTATATCTCAGGCTCATTTCAAGCATCACGCAATTCAAAGTCTTGAGCTAGATGTGGAGGCAGCTCGTTGTCGCTTTTTCAGAATCCACATTCCTGGAAGATATATTCAGTGATATGATAACCGACTCACCGGCTAGCTTCGTCTAGAACATATATATCATGCTATATTACTTTATATCTGCAATCCCATGGATTGACGTACCATCAATACCCCTTAAGTGCCACTGACCCACTGTTCAGAGTAGGTAAAGTCTGAGCCTGCTCATTGAGCGCTCGCCTTGAACGTGCGTATACCCGAAAATACAACATTTTTTTTTTTTTTTTTTTTTTTTTTTGATATGATAAAGAAGCCTTCCAGTCCATCATCCATCCCTGGAGGAGCAGTTTCTATTATGATTCACTGAAAACTGGCCGTAATTAATAGAGCGATGGGTTTTGTCCATACCATTCCATTATCTCAACCTATTTGGCATTTAGAATAAAAGAGGCTAATGACTATGAGATAGGATCCCTCTATCTAGACATAGCACCATGTCTTTTCCCTTTATTGCTAAAGACAAATACCAGATACCAAATACTTCAGCTTATTTATCTCTTATTTTATTCATGTTATACACCCAAGTGGATTTTTTCCATTTTGTTTATTGTACTTTTATCAACCTCCCCCTTTAGCACTAACTAGTTAGTATTCTTCAGCCACTTAACAGTAGCTTCCTTTTATCACCAAGACACCCACAGTCCTGACTAAAAAAAAAAAAAAAACATACTGTCTCAAGCAGCATATGTTGGACCAGGCTTATCCGAGTGATCAAGAAGTCAAATGGCTGAGTACTACTATCGTCCTATTATTGGTTCGAATAACGCGTCAAGGAAACACTGCTGACGCACTCGTATAGGTTTGGCGGAGAAATAATCAGTATCCGTGCCGGAGAGAGTTCATTTCATATCCATGAGAGTTTGATAAAGGAGTCCTCAACCTTACTGCACTCGTTGAGGAGACAGAAGGAGGCCAGAGGGAATGTGTACACGTTGAGAATACCAGGCGAGTACACCGAGGCTCTGCAGTGCTATATCAACTGGATATACCGACGCGTCATCCCCTGTGCCGATTCTGAGCAGCAGACGAGAAAAGAATCGATAACCTTGGCCAAAGCCTACATCATCGGAAAGAAATTTGGAGACAACGATTTCCAAAACGCCGTTATCGACGAAGTCATAGAGAGAGCAGGTGGGAAATGTAACGGCAGTATCATCCTGCCCGACGCGGAGACAGTCCGGTTTACTTATGGGGAATCGGGGGGGTGTTCCGGCTTCAAGACTCTGCTGGTCGACTTATATGCATCCTACGCCATCAATGGCTACTTCTACAAATCTGCATCCAGCAAGTACCCGAAATTGTTCCTCGTCGACATTCTGTCTGCGGTTGCGGACATGCAACGCACCGGGCGGCCAAGCCCAGCTGAAGGAGGATCAGGCAACATCTGCAAACGCTTCCACAAGCACGCTCAGGGGACAAAATGCTAGTTACTTGAATGGTCAAGATAGTTGTTGGGGGACGCAAGGGGGACGCGAACATGTAGTTATTTGATGCGGCTTGGAGGAGTAACTAGGTATAGGCGATTCTGGCGCTGATAAGAATTATTGCAAACATCATCATGATAGCCCGAGCTAAGACAAAGCATCTACCTGCATAGGGCCCTCTTTTTATATCCTTCGCCCGTAACATCTACCTAGCTCGCTGCTCGACGGCTTTCGACTGTGAGCCGTTTCATCGGTGCCTGCGGCGTTGGGCATTGAGTTTTGGTGGAGCCGCGGAACCTTCCAGCCGAGGCCGCCCTGGAAACGACCATCAAATTTGGCCTCGCGACGTCAACTCTTCTGCCTGCAGGACAAAGGGGAGGAAAGAGAGCAAAAAGAAAAACAACAACAGCATTCACTCGTTTCTGCTCACTTTTCCCTGCCTCACTGGCTCGTCTTTCTCCCTCTCTTACACTCTTTTCTTCTTGCAGCCTGTGTTTTTCATCTCATAGTTACTTGTCTTTGCTATCTTAAGAGCCGCAATATTCCTGGCCATGTCAACATGAATGCTGGCATCTAGCTCTCCAGAACAGCTATCCAGAGAAAGAGTGCTAGTTTGGACAACTATCCCATAATAATACATTCTTTAGCAGGCGTAGAAGAGCGAGGAAGACCCTCTCTACGCCCTGGTGGCCTTCTTGTTGCAGGCCCGGATCAGTCCAGAGCGGCGCTGCCCCTGCCCCTACAAGCGAGGGTTTGAACACTCCTTTGATTCTACCTGCGACTTCGCCTATTATTCAGGCAATATTTCTGTGTCTATAGGCACGCGTCCTATCTTATTGCCCTCTGTCCTTTAATACCACTAAGGGAACTATCTTGTTTAGGGCGGCCACACCAGCGTGCTGCTCCATCTATGTGTTGTAGAGATGGAGATCTTCTGTCGCAACCTCCCAGAGCAGGTTCAAGAGAAACACCTGATAAAGGAGCTCAAACCCATCTTAGAGCATTTCCAAATTCATGTCTTCGACTTCCAAAAGGTGGGCCGGAAAAATGGTAGAATCACTGTTACTGATGTTAGGAAAGGTCAGCGCTTCCTCGACACATATGAATCACGCATGAAACCCGTCCGAGGGCCTGGCAGGCCATCTCGCCCCCCGGCTACTCTAAAGCTATATGGGATGCCTGTTTATGTGAGCAAGAGCACCAACATACCCCATAAACAACTTCTACAATCGCTTTGTGAGGAGGAAGAGGAGCGACTGAACGCGCGCTTTGCTCCCGCTCCAAGATCGATTGCAGGGAAGATTGACCGAGTCAGGCATTTTAAGGTCACTATGATGTCCTGTGGGTCGTGGGACTACCGTGCAAATCAGCCAGTCTTCGTTGAATACTTTCGATTTCCATGCCCAGGAGTCATCCACATTGGGAAGACTGCATTCGAAGCTCTCTTTACAGATATTCGGTCCATGGTAAAAACCAGCTTGGAAATACCCTACTGGAATGTAGCTGACGATATTTACGTGGGGGCTTATGCGAAGCCATCTGTTACGATCACCACAGAGGTCGCCCCAAGGTTCTATATCTCTGATCCAATAGAGCAAATGAAAGTGCAAATGGCAGCATTGCTCCAAACAAAAGGGCGGCCTCCACCACCAAAGAGGAGAGTCGGGTATATAACGTCCGGCCATGAAAAGATTTCCGCGAGATGTTTTACATATAGGTTCGCCCTCCAGGACCCTCGAGATACTGGTGTGGTGCGCAACTTAGCCCATGACCGAAACGTTCCCAAGATGAGCACATGGAATGATATGTGCGTTTATCCTCGACGGCCCTACAAACTTCTAGACAGGGAATTTGGAGCCTATCTGGTGCGTATGCCATTTGACTACCGTGTCAAATTCCAGCTGCTGAAACTCGTATGGAATGGAGAGCTTTCGCTGGACCAAGCCTCGCTACTTCTCCCAGCCGTCCACCGGCTACATCAACAGCATTCCCCTGACATTGTTGCTCAGGCACTTATGCGGATAGACGGAAATTCAGTTTACCCGTCACCTGGTGTATTGGCCTCTGATGCTGGTATTGAAGCACTTACCGAGACCTTGGAGGATAGTCTAGATACCATCTTAAAAGCAAGAACTGAATGGGACATCAGTCTTATGCACGAGAAAAATGTTTTGGTGCATCGGGCAACGGTTACTCCTGCCGGAATCTACCTTTCCGGACCATACGCAGAAACGAAGAACCGAATTTTACGCAAATATTTAGACAACATTGACTACTTCATTCGTGTCGAGTTTCTTGATGAGACAGGCGACCCTGTATTCTTCGATCCAAGTGCAAACCTGGAACAAATTTTTCATCAAAGATTTGCTGGAGTTATGAAGCGAGGTATTGAAATTGCAGGCCGTGAGTTCGAATTTCTTGGGTTTTCTCACTCTTCCCTGCGGGCCCAAACCTGCTGGTTTGCTGCCCCTTTCACTACAGCAAACGGTGACTATCTCAATGCTAGGACAATCATCGGCAATATCGGCTACTTTGACCATATACGATCTCCTTCCAAGCAAGCAGCTAGGATTGGCCAAGCATTCTCTGATACTCTTACCTCCATATCTGTCTCTAAGGAGGTAGTCTGGATGAGAGCACCAGACGTTAAAAGAAATGACCGTATCTTCAGTGATGGGGTCGGAGTTATATCTTGCGATCTAATGCACAGGATCTGGAATGAATATGCGCTCCGGGAGAGGGTGAAACCGACAGTTTTCCAGATCCGAATTGCTGGTTAGTCAACTATCTTACACACCCCACGAAACCAAATTCCTCTTACATACGGCATATATGTCTCTCTTGGCAATTTAGTGTAATGTGTGCTAACTTTTATATATATTCAAGGAGCCAAAGGGATGGTTTCTCTGGATACCAGGAGAAAAGGCGAATTCTTGATGCTTCGAGAGTCAATGGTCAAGTTTCCCACGGATGATCTATACAACATTGAGATCTGTGGGGCCGGAATCAGAGCATTACCATTTTACTTGAACAACCAGATTATAAAAATTCTGGAAGACTTAGGGGTTCCATTTGAAGCTTTCCACCAATTACAACGGGACGAGATAAACTTTCTTTATTCGACCTTCAGTTCCACAGAACGAGCTGCCAAATTCCTCGAGGACTCACCCGTACCCAGATCCCTTCGGCTACCGTGGTTGTTCTTAGTTCTCAAGGGATTGGGAATACGGTATACCCAGGACCCTTTCCTGAAGCGAGTAATGGAGCTCACTACATTGTTAAGGCTTCGTGACCTAAAATATCGTGCAAGAATCCGCGTTCCCAATGCCGTCACACTCTACGGAATTATGGATGAAACTGGCTATTTAAAGGAAAACGAAATTTATTGCGTTTATCTAGGGGAAAACGGTCGACGTGAGATTCTCGTTCGTGATAATGTTGTTATCACACGGTCACCAGCTCTACATCCAGGGGATATCCAGGTTGTCAATGCAGTAGACGTCCCAGCAAACTCGCCTCTTCGCAAGCTACATAATTGTGTTGCCTTCAGTCAACACGGTGATCGTGATCTTCCAAGTATGCTAAGCGGTGGAGATCTTGATGGCGATCTCTACAATATTATCTATGATACCCGGCTAGTTCCTCGAAAGACTATTCCACCTGCCGACTATCCTCGAGTTGAAGCCAAAGAGCTAGATAGGAAGGTCGAAACTGAAGATATCATTGACTTCTTTGTTACTTTTATGCAGCAGGACCAATTAGGCCGCATTGCAACTACACACCAAACAATTGCGGACCAGTCGGAGTTCGGCACTTTGGACCAAGCATGCTTGAAACTCGCTCATTTACATTCCGTTGCGGTAGATTACTCAAAGAGCGGGATAGCGGTACGTTTATTGTCCGACTCTTCTCCCATTATTAACAGTAATTCTCATACATTTACAGGTCAATGTCTTGAGTATCCCCAGAGCCCCGCGAGTCCGGCCAGATTTCATGGCCCCGAGTCCCAGATTCCGTGTTGCAGATAGCATTGAAAGTATTATCGGTGAAAAAAAATCAACCATGCAGGATGATGACGACGATGACGAAGACGACAGTGACCATAGGAAAATTCGATACTACAAGAGTAATAATGTTCTAGGCCGACTCTATCGTTCTATCGACGAGCGAAGCTTCCTTTGTCAGCTACGGGATGCAGGAGCTGTTGATATCAATACCAATACAAACGTTCTTCGCTCGATCTGGAACTATGTGCTGTCAGAGGTGGATGGCTTTCTCTGGACTCATCTCACGGGGATATTTCATGATATCAAGGATATGTATGAGCCACCATTCATCTCGTTCTCTCGTGATATGTTTATGGATATTTATCAGGCTGACGCGCTGGGAATTATTAGTTATGAGGATGAGCTTCGCGAATTAATGCGTAAATACTCAGCCACGCCCTTGAAGAATTCTATCTCGGAATATGAACTGTTTGTCGGTACTATTCTTGGCCACGGGCATAAGCAACGTCGGAGAGACAAGGATAATGCAAAAGAAATGCGGGATGGTGAGTGAAATGGACCCCCATGAGGTTATTAACAATGAGAAGAAGGAAAAAGAGTCATATACCCTAACATTTTATCACATTTTGTTATAGAATACAACCGACTCGTCGAGTTCACTATTTCTATTATCAGAGGCACGGAATCAGGGGGAACAGAAGCCCTCGAGCGCTCGATTGCCTGTTTTTGTGTGGCCATAGACGGAAAAAGCTCCGGACAGAAGCCAGGTGTTAGAAGCACGCATGCACACCAAGACAAACTCCTCAGCTTCCCTTGGATAGCTGCAATGACTTGCCTTGACGAAGTCGACAAGCTGCAGAGATATGCCCCTATTTAAATCACTTCTCAGTGCTGGCCACGCCAGTCTATTACACTCCCCCAACATTCCTTTATTTATTTTGTTTCTACTTTTTTTTTCTTTTCTTCAATTCCCTGACACTACATTTTTTTATTAACGGCCACATGGACGAACAGGACGGAATGGAATAGGCAATTTGGAAGAAGGTCTAGGGTAACTAAACTAGGAGAAATACTCGCTATGGCTCCACTCGCCAGGCTTTAATTTCCTCTATCCAATAATTTAATTCACTGCATTATTATTATGTGCCCCTGGCAAGCAAGCTTGCTCCCTCTAGGCTTTTCTTTGGCGCATGTCAATTTGTATCTCGATAGAGCGTGACGTCATAGCATGGAGTTATTAGCCTGTTGCAAACAGTGCAAACACAGAAGCCGTGGTTAAGTCAAGACTCAAAACCTCCTGGTCCAACCTACGATCGACAAAGCAGCCGTGTTCCTCCGCCTGGGTCTTTAGCTCTCTGTTCTGGTCTCTGTTCTGGCGGGGCGGCAAATGATGAATGAGGCTTGGTCCTCATCGACGTCGCCATCATGGAGAGCTCGACCGATGTTGTTTTGGAGGAGATAACATGGCGGTCTCCCCAACACGTCCAGTTAATGGGCGGCTTCCTCCACTCCAATAATAGTGAGATCGCGCATGCTATTACTTTGCTCTACTGTCAAATTGAATCACAACTAATAGCATGCTTCTGGTATCGTAGTTTTGTTCTACTTTGCAGAATCGCCTTTCTTCGATTCTACCTCGAATAATGCGACTTTGACATTGCAAGCGATGCACAATGAGAATTTTCGTCAATTCATCGAGACTCGGGAAGCATTTGAAGGGAGGTTAAAGAATATGCAAGGCCTGGAATTTGTAGTAGCTCAGGATCCTATACAGGAAGCTGCTGCTGCTGTAGCGGCTGGAAGTGCTCCGCAAGAACCATCGAACATATGGGTTATCAGGAAGCAAAATAGGCGCCGGCAGCCGGGTATGCAGGAGGAGGTCCAGATACTGGCTACCTACTTTGTTGTAGGAGATTCTGTTTATATGGCACCGTCATTGATGAGTGTGGTCGGACGCCGAATGGTAATACCCCCACCCGCACCAGCGACAACCGGCCATTTTACTAACTAACGTTACGCTTAGCTATCTACTGTCACGTCTCTCACCAAGGTACTCCCTGTCGCATCGAAACAGCTGCTTTTTACGCCATCTCACGGCCATACGTACACTCCCCCAATTCAGAAGCATACAGAGGCAAGCCAAACGACTGCCACTCAATCCGCACAAGCTGGAAAAGAAGCCACTCCTGTACCCGGTACCCAAAATACAACACCTGGCGCAGTGTCGCCGCCTTCCAAGCTAGGCGCAGCGGCAAGTCAGGATATGAGAACTCTTGCAGATGCACTCAATCTCCTCTCCCGTTACGGTGACGAGTATATGGATGAGATGCCTTTGGTCGGTGAACCAGGGTCCTTCATCATCTCAAAGAACGCCGCAAATACATTGGCAGTTCCCGGTACTGAGAACCCTTCTGGCAGTGTCGGAGCGACCAAGTCCATTGTGCGATCACCATCGGGGACTCCAGTGCCAAAACCGGGAGGACCAGATACACCTAGTGCCTCACCTGCACTTGGAGGTGTGACTGACTCCAATCAACCTTCAATGGGGAAAGGTAAAAAGAGGGCTATCACCAGCACGATGTGAAGCACTTTAAAGCTCCGCCCCTCTAGCAGAGGAATCCTTACAGCTCTCAATAGCCAAAATAGCGGAGCCAAAAGTTACTTTCCTAGCTCTGGGTTTATACTCGCTCACCTGCAGCCCACTGGGGACCTACCTCTCTTGCAATGACTCTTGAGAATCCGAGATAAAGCAAACACCCTGTTATAGTTAACCGCCTGCATACTGGTGAATACGATGCCGTTGCAACGCCGTCATAAGTGACACGCTTAAAACCATATTATAGACAGAAATGAGATTCTTTGATCGACTCCTTGTGGTGGCCCTCGACGTAACTAAGCATATTACTAACCGTCTATGGAGTACTTTAACTATGTGAGGCAGCCCTACCATGCTGGGCCCTCAACTTTCCTATCAAAACCACGCCACCGTCAAGATGTCTGCGGCTTCGAACCAACCACGCCCTGTCGTCTGTGTCTTGTATGTATATATATCCCCCCCTATATTCTCCTGTTCCTACACCCACGCTACGTATTTAGCTGTAGGAACCCCGCTGACTGACGTAATAGCTGCGGTTCTGCTGCTGGGAAGTCCCCCGCCCACATCGAGGCAGCCCGCTCCCTCGCCCAGCTGTTCCACAGGGAAGGAGTCAAACTCGTCTATGGAGGAGGCACGGCTGGTCTTATGGGAGAAGTTGCTCGGACCTTGGTCTCACTTTCAGGGCCCGAATCAGTTCATGGCATTATCCCGTCGGCTCTCGTAAAGATTGAGAATGGCCACCAGACCCCACTGGCTTCTACCGACAAGCGTGCTGGCAAGTTGCCAGAGAGGACTGAATCTACGAATGTCAATACTGCAGAGTGTGGAGGAAAGAGCAGCTTTGTAAATCCGGAATATGGTATGACTACCATCGTACCGGACATGCATACCCGCAAGCGTATGATGGCCGGCGAAGTTATCTCTGGTGGTCCGGGAAGCGGGTTCCTGGTTTTGCCCGGAGGATTCGGCACGATCGAGGAGGCCATGGAGATGACTACATGGAATCAGCTGGGCATCCACGACAAGGGGATAGTTCTCCTGAACATCGATAACTACTGGGATGGTGTTCTTGCGTGGGTTGACAAGAGCGTCGAGCAGGGTTTTGTGAGCACTGTGAACAAGGAGATACTGGTGGAATGTAAGAATGTAGAGCATGCTCTTGATGCGCTGAGGAACTACAAACTAAGCCAGGGCCGTTTCGGGCTAACCTGGGAGGTGGAATTCGGAAAGGATAACTAAATGTTACATGATCTCGGATCTGGCATGGTTCCATCTGGATGAGTTAACTACTAAATATTTCATTGATAGACTAGAATTGTTTGGCAGGCAACGTTTCAGCATTGAGAGAATTTGTCACGGAGGTTCATTGTGAGATGAATAAGCGCTTCAAATAAAAAGCAGAGGAGTATCTCCTGTTCTTGAACATAACTATGTCTATGGGATCATTATCATCACGAATCCACCTCCATTTCCTCTGACGGCTTGGTCTCGCCCGATGCCGTCTCTTCATTTGCACTCTCAAGGAAGGCCGTCACGTCTGGTCCATCGTATAGCTTAAAGGTATCAATCTTTCCGTTGGTGGCCGCACTTGGGACACCAGTAACACCCACAGTTGTGTTGTCGATTGTCAATTCTCGGTCCTGTGACAAGCTCTCCTTCAGAGCCTTCAGCGCATGGTTGATCAAAGCCTCACGGCCACAGTCGGCAAACGAATCCAAGTTCCGCTCTAGGTATGTTCTAGCCATTTGGCTTCTAGCTCCAATTGCGCAGGCAACCATCTCCTGCGTCATGCCGGAGGGCTGGAATTCGAAGAGGTGAGGCCCGGCTTCATCCACGCCTGCAATCAGTAAACCGACGCCATATGGTCTCTTTCCATAAACCTGTGTGTTTGTTTGGGCACGGTCTCCGATTCGGCTGACGATACGTTCTACTTGGAGAGGGCGGCCGTATGTCATCTTCGAAGCTAGGGATTGTTGTTTCATAAAGTTCGATAGCACACGGGCGTCAGAAGCGAGACCAGCGATCGCAATTCCCATGTGGGAATCAACTGCGATGACCTTCTTTTGGTATGACGACAGTTCCTCCGCATTTCGCTATTTGGCATTGTACTGTTAGATATGACCGGCCTAATCTAGTGGGTGGATGGCTGCTATCCCACCTTGAGAGCGGCCAGGACAGCGTGTGTCTTGCTGACTATGCCGACTACCACCGAGCCTTGCTTGACAGCCTCCTGTGCATATTCAACCTGAAATATCCGGCCTTGGGGCGAGCTATTCTGGTTATTAGCAACCATATCTCAGTCTCTAGATACTACAGGCGGTGCCAACTCACAAAGTAACGGAGTCGTTGTCATAGTTGTTTCTAAACATGGCTGCGGTGGCGTAGCAATGACAGTAAGAGGACGAGTATCGACGAGCAAGCCGCTGCGGAGGGAAGAAGGAGGTATTGCCTGTGGAAGACCTGCTGGTGTGTTTATGATGGGCCTTCGTTCTCTTCCGCTGCGTCAAGGCAGAAGAGACGCGGTAGCTCTCAGCCCTTTTAGGGTTAGCGCCAGAGCTTCGGACAGTTGGGCTGCTTATGTAAGAATTTGCATCGTCATTCGCAAGTTCAAGCCGCAGGAAGCAGCAGGAAGACGCAGGTAAAGCAGGACGACGAGAGCAGAGGAAGATCGAACGCAAGACAGCAGTATATCAGCTTATTGTCGAGCTCTATTTTGCCAGTTTGTTTTTGATGCGACGGTGATACGACTGCCTGGTCCGCATTTGACGTCTGTACTCTGCCATCGAAACAGGCGCCAGCCTCTCCGTCAGATCGATCTATCTCTCTGCCTGTCACGATGCCGGGCCTCAAGACTATCATCGCTCTCTCCTTTGTAAGCTCGCAGAAGAAATTTCACCTACTTTGTTTGGTCATCGGGGCCCCGCTAACCACCTCTTATAGGTTCTTGCTATCGGCTTCCTGCTGGTTATTCTCTCCGCGGCCCTATGGCACAACTACCTACCACTCCTCGTTGTTGCAACATATGTCATTGCACCAATACCGAACTGGATATGCAGCCGATGCGCAAGCTCGGATGATTTCATGGAGAGCTCCAACAGCGGGGCGGTGGACTTTGGGCGGTGGTTCACTGGTTTCCTGGTAGTGATGGGAATCGGTATGTGCGGCTTCTATTATATCCCAAACGAGCGTGTATATCATACGCAATTTATAAGTCACTTGTTCTTGTTCATATGCTAATTAATATCCTACTGGTACTAGCTCTCCCTGCGGTATTGGCTCACAGCGGCTCAATCCAGGTCCCGGCGATGATCATGTCAATTCTGGGTGGCCTATTAATATATGGAACCATCATCAGCTTTTCGATGTTCTTCCAGGAAACGGAAGAATTCTAGTTTCTCAAATGTTATTTCTTGGCCTTTCTTGCCTACGGATTGTTTCCCCTCAGCATAGATTAATAACCTCGGTCGGAGGCTGTATATACATGTCTCTTCAGACAGGTAAAATTCCAGCTTCGATCGAATACTCTCTATTCCCCGAGCCTATCCCCTCGGAATTTAGACCCGGAATCCTTCTTTATACCCTCCCAGGGCTGAAAGTTCATCTCTTTGTTTGCTTATGATCACATTCGGCGTTTTTATGTTTTGATCTGACTGTATGATAACTAGCCCTTTCCCATATACTCTTCCCATTGAGCTCTCATGGCATATTCCCCCCTTTTTATATTTACTGCTTCTAATTCTCCCCTAAGTTGGAGAGCAGACTTGCGAATATCAAGTTGCTTGGATTCATGGATCCATGGATGGTCACGTGGCCGTAACAATTTACACGCTTGAGAAGCCGCGATTAACTCCCAGTAGTTAAACTAATTAGACATTTATCTACTTCCGTCTATCCTCAATGAATATTATATTTTTACGCAGTAGTTCCATGCTCTTATATTGCATGTTATATGTTCATGCCAGTTAGATGGAGGTGTGGTCTGGCGCCATTGATGTTGACTCTGGCTCAAGCGCGTCTTTAACGGGTAGGCAGATGGGTGCTCCAGTTGTCCCCCAAGAAGGCAGATTACTGACCTGGCACCTATATAGGCGTACGATTAATTAACCCAGATCCCACCAGCCACAGTAGCTTATCCCGGAATGCGAAATTATCCTTGAGAGCCTATGTCAACCCAAATCGAATACCAATTGTCTGCTTTATTGGCCCCTCGTTGGAACTCCATAGCTCGGACTGCACAACAGTAGATTGGATCAGACACAAATTGTTGCGGACCTATCAGACAGCAGAGGATGGTTATGAAGAGTTCTCTTCTCCCCAGCAATGTCCTGTTGGCATTCTTGTCCACGTCAATGAGCATGTACCCTCCCCAGAGCTGAAGACCCAGTCGGCGCGGCAAGAAATATCAGACATCCTTATATTCGGAACCTTGTCAAGGTCTAGCCCACAAAATGAGCGTCTATCACCACCATACCCCCCTTCATCAGCAGTTGGAGGCCAATTTTCTGGGGAGCCCTCATTACAGCTAAGGGTATACGCCATTCCTCTCTGTTCAAGCATCTTCACTAAGGCCCAGTCATTATCCACTCCCCCAAGCAACGCAAAGTACAACGCTTCTGGAAACCTGGAAAATGAACCATGTGGTGAATTTCTGCAGAATATATTTCGTTCCCCAAGCCCAAAGAGGAAGCGGGTTGCAACCTTATTCGAAGCGGCTACGGAGTATCACAAAAATGTTAGGAGGAAGGGAACAGCAGCAATGTCTGATTATCTCAGAAGAGAAAAGTCTTCCACGCCTCAACTCCCTCAACTTCCCTCTAACGTGAAGATAAAGCGAGAGAATGAGAATAGCGCGGATTTTGCTTCAAGCCTGAATGATGTCAGCATCGCTAGAAGGCGTGCTGCTTCGACTACAAAAGATGTGCGTGTAGGGTCCAGGAGATCCTCACTCCATCGCCCTGGGTCATCAACTTCTCAAGCCTTAAGCACATCAAGCCGTAAAGAGCTACTCACTTCGAAAACGGACGGCTCAAGCCTCCATCTGGAGCCCGGTCAGAAACCAAAGAACCCGCACCCGGACTCCTGCGAAGACATCGCTGCTGCCAACAAAGCTTTATTGACCCGTACGATTCTCACCTGTATGCGTTTCTATGGCTTCCGTCGGACACATACTAGAAATACTCAAATCGTGCATTCTTCCACACGGGATATACCAGAATCCGACTATCCAGCTATAAAATGCGACTCTAATCTAGCCAATGATAGCCGTGCACAGAGAATCTCTGTCCCTGGGAATCTTCCTCCGTTTGACGACATAGGAAAGTTGGACACAACAAACCATATGGATGGTTTTAACGGTGGAGAACCTGCCCAGCCAGATGCTGACGGAAATGATGATACGGGGTTTAAGGAGATGTATCATGCCACCTACCGTGCTTCTACATTTGCTTTGAGGCGGTTTTTTAAACCATCCGTTCAAAACATTGGGCTGTCAGGAAGTTCAGCTTATGTCAATGATATTCCTGTCCTAGGGAAAGATAAGGCAATGACCACGATAGACTCCGTCCTAAAGCTATTCTGTGAAATGTCGGAAGGGGAATAATCAACTATATGTAATAATATATTAATGATTGATGAATACAACAGCCCGGTTCCTTGGTAACGTTTTTGCCTTCCTTCTACCGGGATCAGGATGCATTTAGCCATCACCGCCGCTAAAGAAAATACCCACTAAGTAAAGGCAGGGAGAATTAGAAGTAGGTAGAAGCATGTAATGTAATAGATGGTATGATATTATATATATACAAATAATATAAGAAATAAACAATTTTTATCATCTGCTAATGCAGATGGGCTTTCTGCCCTGTCCTGCCATGTATTCATGGTAATAATAATTATGTTTTTTGAAAAATAAAAGGGCCCCTTGTTCTTTATGTTCCTCAGACTATTAGTAAATGAAAATAAGTGACTCAAATAGAGAAGCACTGAAGGTATGGTTGCACAACTAACCTTTGGGGTATCTTTTGGGAATACTAATTAAATAGCGCCCGCAGGCCGTCGCGAGAGAACGGAAAAGCTGAGGTGCTATGGAAATAAACATTAGTTATCTCCTATCCTAGTACATAAATACCGAGATCAAGGGGTGAATACCTGATATTTATATCAGCAAAGCACCAGATGAGTCCACAAACTGAGGTGGGCCTAGTCGCCCATTTGGGCAAGCCCTTTATTTATCATATTAAGATTTTTACCTGCCGAGATAACTTGTCAGTACAAATAGGAGAGGGTAAGAGAAGGACACGAGCCATACCACCGAGCTTCATAGGGTAGAATATCCCCGGAGAATCTGCTCCAGGAACTGGAGAATGTTTTAAAAGCATATAAAGCTTTTTATATATCAGCATTTGCTGAAAGGGCGCTTTTAAAAGCAATTCCAAAAAGGTAGACTACTCTCTGGGCTTTTTATATATTGTACCTAATAATAGTACATTATTATATTTTATAAAGCCCAGCGACCCCGGCCAGTATGACTGGAGTCGAGTCTTGCGTGAAGACCAATATCTGGCCCACGCCAAAGAATGCCTATAACTTCTAAATATTGAAGTTCTTATAATGGCATTTATATATTGCCTATAAAAAGGAGGCATATAAAATTTATATTCAAGACAGCCACTAGCCAGCATGAGAGGAGTATTTGTGAACAGGATGGTGTAAGATTTGTGGAAGAAAGAGAGGGAGAAAAAGAAGGAAGGAAGAAAAATCACAAAATAGTCGAGAGAGCAGGAGGTATTTATACCTTCTCTCACGTGCAGAAAACGCGCTAGAGCTAAGCGAGGATTCACCTGGCATAAGTGACTGATTTAAACCGTCACGTTGGCCTTCCAGATAGATGTTCCAGCCAATAACAAAGGAAGGCCAGCTAGGGCATATATATCTGGAGAAACATCTAGCAGGAGGCTAATATAATGAGATAGACTGCAATACAGATTATATGCAGCTAGATAACAAGAGGTACCATTTATAGAGTATAGGAAAGTTATTAAAAGGTATATGTATTTAAAGCATGAGTACTAGTTGCAGCCAGACACCTGTATCTACCTCCAGACAAAGAACATTAATCCATTCTCAGATTGACGTCTAGTCTAAGGGGTATAATCAAACTGGGCAACTGTGTAGTATACTCATGTAGAATATGTTGTTCTCATCATTCTTTGCCGTGTAAAGTAGAGTGCCAGAAACACAGAAACAGGTATCGAAGGTTGGAGGTTGCTTCCATTACTTGAGTAGAATAGGTATTGGTATTTTCAGGCAGTCAGCTTCTACCCAGTATTTACAATCAGCTTATTGGGTGGGTATAGGCATCAACAAGTGGTGCTGAATTCTGGAAAGCAAATGGCCTCCAGCCTTCGTGGTTGATGCTTCCACCAACTCTCATCATTGACTTCGAGAAACAAAAAGTCATAAAGGGAGCTTGGGCCAACTTCATAACTATCGTAGCCACGTGATCAGGTAGTTACTTATTACAAAAGCTAGTGACGTTTTGGCTTTCAGGCGCCCGTGATGCTCTTTTGCAGGAAGCCGGCGTTGGTTGACCAAAGGCATAACCACCGCATACTCAACATTGACCCCGACAAGGGCTGGCTGTCGTTTCTAACCTGTGCATCTCCGAGACTCTTCCGAATCTGCTTGATTTGCTCAACATTTAGAACCCCGGATATCCCGCGACTGACTACACGGATACCTCCACCATGGACGACTCAGACAACCGTCTATTCCGGTTTACCAAGTGGTTTAACAATGCCAACACTCGTACATCTGGCATATATGCCTCTGGTGCATTGGTATGAACCTCTGCTTCCCGAGTTTTCCTCGACCGGCTGCCATCTATCTTATTATTCTGCTGTTCCACACGTTCTCGAGCTTCCGGAGATCCGTCAGGCTAACATGTTATTTCACCTCCCATCTAGTTCTCCATCGGCCTCTTCTTCCTTATCGACGCAGCTTCGTTCTCTCACAGCCCCAAAAATGGCTCAGAGGTGCATGTGAAGTTTGTAGACTGGATCCCTGGCATCTGCTCTGCCTTGGGGATGCTTGTCATCAACTCTATTGAAAAGTCACGCCTCAGTGCGGATAGCTTCAGCTATTCTGGGGATAGCGTGGCCTGGAAGGCGAGATTTGTGCTATTCCTGGGCTTCGCGTTGTTGGCTGGTGGACTGGCTGGGAGTGTAGTACGTTCTGCCCTCTTATCTCCGCCTGTGACCGTTGTTTTGTCGAAGGACTAACGTTTGCCTTTTAGACGGTCCTGGTTCTGAAATATGTCATCCACGGGTACCCGCTTCAGACGCTTTACTTTGGTATTGCAAACGTTGTTGCTAACGCATTGGTGATGATGAGGTGAGTTTTGTAGTTGAAGTATGAACTGTCTATGTTTTTTTCAAAGCTAATGAAGTAATGTCTTTTTCTAGCTCTGCCGTCCTGTGGATTGCGCAAAATATGGAGGATGACTATACATACACCCTTGCTCTATAAGACCGGAACCACCATTTTCGAGATCACTTTGTTCGGCTTGTTTCCATCGTTATGTTATCCATGTTTTCCTGTTTCGTATTTATTGATCCTCCTGTAGAATATGTTGAGCAATGATAATATTATAAACTACTCTCCGTGCATCAAATTTTCTGGAAAGAGCACCTCAAATTATCTATTTGACGATAGGGGTTTTTTATATGTGATAAGAATCGAGATGCTCGGACAAATGGGTATTATCATTAGATTATTTGATTCATGTCCGTTTGGCTACTTATCACGTCTGACCTCGCTTTTCTATGGTCGTGACGAGAGTTGCTATAGGTTGGCCCAGCTGACTAGATGCATGTCTAAGATTCTCCGGGTATCCATCTTGAGGCAATACACCCTCCAGGAGGACTTATAGCATTGACTTCCTGACGGCTAGAGATGCCCTCCCTGCCATACTATCCAGGCAGTCCCTGGGAAACAGGCCTTATGTGGAAAGCAAAGTATCTTCGTCTGTCGGGTATCTTGTGACGGTGTAGCTCTGGCGATTGTTTGAAAAGAGTTATTTTTTTACATCCAATGTAGTTCAAGCCTGCTTTAGATGTGCAATAATAGCGTCTATCTTATCCATATCACCGGCATCGATTTTCTCATCCGCGCCCACAATCTCGGCGGGCAAGTGTTCTCGCAGCTGATCTAGGGCGGGCTGGTAGTTTCGCACACACGAGGATATAGCGTACACCGCCTTGCGACGGACAGTAGTATCGCTGTCCTCCTTGGCCATTCGAACTAACTCTGGAATAACCTTTGCTTCCAGGGCCTAAACGATACATCAGCAACAGCTACAAAAAACAACGGATATAACGTAGGGCCAAAAGCATACCTTCTCTTGAGACTTTTCATTATTCTGTACTGCTGTTCCAACACACCATGCGGCCATTTTCCGTATCTCCGCCTCCTCATCCTTCAACGTCTCTACTAGCGGAGGCCAAAGGCCTAGGGGGTCCATATTATTCGCATTATCCAGATTCTCAACCAACTGTTCAAAATTGTCAAAGGCGATAAGCTTATTTTCCAACGTTGTTTCGGAGGATCGCACGACTTCCATTGCGGTTTTCATGAGTTCTGCGTCCGAGGGGGTGTTTGCTAGCAGGCGCTGGAGGGCTTCTGCATCAATGGGCTGTCTATGGGCTGGTTGTTCGGTTCCGTTTGGCTGGCCGTTGGCCGCAGGAGTGTTTTCGATACTCCATTTGAGGAGGTTGTTCAACGAGGGGTCCATGGCTCTGAGAGTTGGTCTTGCACTGAATATCAAGGGAGTGGCTCGTTATCGATATAAAGAATAGGCCGATAGAGGGTATAACTCGAGAGCTTCAATCGCAAAATCCTTGGACTGGTTATTTGACTTGCCCGAAAATAAAATAAAATAAAAAAATAAAAAGTTGTTTGCCGTGAACAAGCAACTTCATGAAGCGCCCGCAATATTCGATAAGCTTCGATCGGTCCACTTTAGATCTCTGATTACATAAGCAATATTCTTATCAAAAGTGCTGGCTTTTCGTCCGGTTAGACGAATAGAAAAAGGGAGAGAGGAGACGGGTAGATGAAGCTGCTGCGGTATCATGGCTGCGTTTTTATAGGTTGCTTTAGGCCATGTATACGGAAGAAAAAGATGAACGTATCAGGGGAAAAGATGTGAACGTGGGAGGCAATCGCACCCCCGAAACGAAGCGGCGCAAGGTGATGGGATGGCTCAAGTCAAATCAAATGAAAGCACGATGAAATAGTTACTAGAGAGGACCTGAACTGGCAGAGGACAAATTGAGGTAGCAGCAGGTCTTTCATGGCCGTTTGATAACGACCAAGCGGGACGAGTTTCTGTATGGACGAGGATCAGAAGGACGCTTGGGGAAGACTTTGCAGATCAAAGATCAGATAAACCCTTCCGTTCACCCCCATCCCTGCGAACATGTCCGTGCTTCGAGTGAACTGTTGGGCAAGGCTGCTCGTAAAAACGAGACTCCTTGCCCCCGACTCCGGAACGCCGGGTAGCATGGGCAGAGTGAATGTGTATACGCCAGCAGCAGCGAACTGCCAGGTGGGAAGTGCTGCCGGCGCCTTCAAGCATTGGATGCAGTCCTTAAGGAGTCCATTTCTCCGCTCGTCGGCTGAAGGGTGTTGACGCGAGAAGCCAACGCATCGTCTTCCCCTTCGACTGTACTCCGTAACTACTCCGGGCCTCTTCTTCTTCTGAGATAACTAGTTATCTTCTCGTTCGTCATGTTGATATCGTTGAGCCCCTTTTGCAGGCCAACTTCACGTGACCTGGACTTTTCCTAAGTACTCCATAACTCAAGGGGCAGAGATGAAGCAGGCGATGAAGGCAAAGAGATCAAGCTGCTGAGATGTTGGGGGCTTGGGATGACGCTGGGTCGAGTAGTAATTATTATTACGTAGCCCCCCTACGCAACTGACTATTGAGCAGGCTTGTGGTTTAGTGAGGTAGCGGTGGGCGAGCAGAGAGAGACGGAGACGGGAGAGACAGGCTAGGCAGCATCATTCTCCAGGGCCGTGAAGCGCTTGGGAGCAAGCGTCCCCCGAAGGCAGCGACATTTCCCTCCATCTTCAGAGCGCCAGCAGCCGGTAGTTAATGAATTAATGCATCTACCTGGCACAGCGCCATGGCATCAGCGGCCGGAGTGCACGATGCGGCAGGCCATGTACATTGGCCATCGTAGCAGCAGTAGAGCGAGGCAGCCATATTCCTGCCACGCATGACGACGGCTAGGCAGCAGCAGGTCTATAATAAGATCTCTCGACTTCAAGCATTATCATCACCATCACCATCATCATCCTCATCTACCAGCATCGACTTCAACTCTGCTGCAGGTAACGGTGAAGGACGAGGCTGCCGCCCCCCGAACGAGCCAACCAGGAGGTCTGCTGGCTTCCCACACTAAAACCTCACTAAGCCCGCTTCGCCCTGCGCTCCACCAAACCGGCCTGCGTCCTCCTTCTTCCTCTCCTTCTTCCACCACCGTCTCTCTTCTTCTCCCTCAGTCAATCTCAACAACACCATCCATCTCCCACGCCCATCAACCCGCCATCTCCCTGCTTCCGCGTGCAGGCCGCTTCGCTTCTGTCGCCGACTCTACGCTCGTCTCTTTCTCTTGTCGCCTTTCCTTTTTTATTAACTTGTACTATCAGCCACCATGGAGGGTATGTTGCGAAACCAAATCCCCCCCCAAAAGCTCTGGCCCTCCCCCCCCTACCCGCGAGACACCGTCCAGCTCTCCCCCTTTCAGCCTTCGTCTCCGTGCTCCTTCGTCCTCCTGTGCTGCTCGCTAACTCGTCTCCCGTGTAGAGGAAGTTGCTGCCCTCGTCATTGACAATGGGTGAGTTCTGCGTCGTCCTGGCGATCCCGCCGTGCTGCCTGTTCTGAACACTTTGTGTTGTTTCGCTGTCTGTTCGCCACGCAACACCACAACAGCAAGCACAGCGCCAACATCAATATCAACCCACCCCCTCACGTCGCACTTGTTTCTCAATATTATCTGGATGGTTTTTCGATGGATAGAGGCCGCTTTGTTCCTTGACCTCTCTGGCGGAATGCTGACTCGATTCCTCCCTACAGCTCCGGAATGTGCAAGGCCGGTTTCGCCGGTGACGATGCCCCACGAGCTGTTTTCCGTAAGTTGGACCCCCCCATCCCCCTTCTCATACTTGAGAAGTCGAGAGACAATGTAGTGTCAGGAACCCCAAGCTAACTCCCGTCTGCAGCATCCATTGTCGGTCGCCCTCGTCACCATGGGTAGGTCTCCTCAAACTAGTTGTGACACCGCCTGTAGAGTGGGGGAGACCAGCTGCTAATCAAGTTGAACAGCATCATGATTGGTATGGGCCAGAAGGACTCCTATGTTGGTGATGAGGCACAGTCAAAACGTGGTATTCTAACCCTGCGATACCCCATCGAGCACGGTGTCGTCACAAACTGGGATGACATGGAGAAGATATGGCATCACACCTTCTACAACGAACTCCGTGTCGCCCCAGAGGAGCACCCAGTTCTGTTGACCGAGGCCCCCATCAACCCCAAGTCCAACCGTGAGAAGATGACCCAGATCATCTTCGAGACCTTCAACGCCCCAGCCTTCTACGTCTCCATCCAGGCTGTGCTCTCCCTCTATGCCTCTGGTCGTACCACTGGTATCGTCCTCGACTCCGGTGACGGTGTCACCCACGTTGTCCCCATCTACGAAGGTTTCGCCCTGCCACACGCCATCTCCCGAATTGACATGGCTGGCCGTGACTTGACCGACTACCTGATGAAGATCTTGGCCGAGCGTGGCTACAGCTTCTCTACCACCGCCGAACGTGAAATCGTCCGTGACATCAAGGAGAAGCTCTGCTACGTCGCCCTCGACTTCCAGGAGGAGATCCAGACTGCCGCCCAGAGCTCCAGCCTCGAGAAGTCCTACGAGCTTCCCGACGGCCAGGTCATCACCATTGGAAACGAGCGATTCCGTGCTCCTGAGGCTCTCTTCCAGCCCAGCGTCCTCGGTCTCGAGCCATGCGGTATCCACGTCACCACCTACAACGCCATCATGAAGTGTGACGTCGACGTCCGAAAGGACCTCTACGGAAACATTGTCATGGTATGTTCTCCCTCCCTTCTTCTCCTCCTTCTGCAGTAACATACTCTACAGATATGGTACTAACTTGTATGTGCAGTCTGGTGGTACCACCATGTACCCAGGTATCTCTGACCGTATGCAGAAGGAGATCACTGCTCTTGCCCCATCGTCGATGAAGGTCAAGATCATTGCTCCTCCAGAGCGTAAATACTCCGTCTGGATCGGTGGTTCTATTCTCGCCTCCCTTTCCACCTTCCAGCAGATGTGGATCTCCAAGCAGGAATACGACGAGTCCGGCCCATCCATTGTCCACAGAAAGTGCTTCTAAAGAGGTGGGTTGCCTGCCTTTTTACTACTCTTTCATTATTATTCTCGCATTGCTTGTTATTTCAACGCCTACCTTTGTCTTGCCGGTGAGATAGCAACGATAGCTGCCTGGAATCGAGCTTTGTTATGTTAATACGGACTACGTTGAATATTTTAGCTTGACGTCGGAATAATTGATAGATAGAGAAAAAGAGAAAGCGAACAGCACCAACAAAAAAAAACCCCCCACACCCCCTTTCCCCCCCGCAAAAAATCAAAGGTCACAACTCGGTGATGCATGTTCCATGGCCATTAACTCCGTACCGTACTCGCAGTCAACTAAAAAAAAAATAACCTCTTTCTTTATCTATCCAAATTCTCTCCTTTCTTCTCTCCTTTATCAAAATCCTTTTCGACGTCCATAGTATTTGAATTCAAGTTAAATATTTACTTCCTTTTTCTACCTTTGGTCTCTGCTTCTTGCGTTACTTAACTCATTACTTTGGGATTTCTTCCATCTTCAGCTCGAACTTCTCTCTGTTTCTTCTTTGCCGAGTCTTGATCTCCTCCGCTGCCCCTCTATATCTTCACGTGACCTGGCCTTGGACAAAAAAGCACACTTTCTCTTTGCTCTATCTATAAACGCAAAGCTCTATCATTCCATCCATTGATTACCCTACAGGCCACATAAACACAAATGAGACTGTCAGTGGCTCGAGGGGAAGCAGACAGAAGCAAACCAACATGTTCAAAGTAATTCGATCAACGCAAAATGTTCCCCCATTATTCAACGAGCTTCCAATTTACTTCTCTTGAGGCTGACGTGGACAATGTAACGCTTAGTAAGCACTTATGCCTGTTTTAGTTTGTATTAGTCAGCGGAATCTTATCTTATCTCCATGAATATAAAACGAGCAACCTTGGTAACTTAAAACTGCACTAAGTATGGAATCTAGAAGGTTTATAGTAAGACGGTTATATAGAAGATCTTTTGACAGACATGCAAACATATATCTTTTAAGTTCTTGAGCTCGTAAATCAGCGAGAGTCTAGGTATATACATGGCCACGGCAAAGCAGGTCAAAAAAGAAGAAAGATTTCCAACCCTTAAAGCGCCTGAACGAATGGTTATAAAGGTGAATCCGGCACCTGATAACGAGGGTATATATAAAAAGGGATGCTCGTACATGATCTAATGCACGGCAGAAGAAGAGAAGATAAAACAAAAGGTAACAGAAATAGAAAATCAAAGGTAAAAGGTGAAAGATGAAAAGGTCAAGAAGGGGGCGCTGGTGGATGGGCCCAACGAAGGTAGAGAAGTAGAAAAGAAGAATAAAAGGCCATGAGAGCGTTAAGAGAGATGGTATATGAAGGGAGAATGGTAGATCATCATCGTATGGCCGTATAGGGTATGAGGTAGGGGAGGGGGGGGGGCAGTAAGGTATGAGCAAAAGCCATCACTGTATCAAGGGCCTGCCTGAGCTCGACTCAAGAGGAGCTTTATCAGACCGAACTCGCGGTCTTTTTTACATTTTCATTTGGTTTTTGATGTTGTCGTATTGCGATTGTGGGTAGTTGAGCTGGTTCTGGCTCTTGTCCATTTTCTCGCGGCCTCCAAGGCGCTCGATAACCTGTTTCACCACGCACGTTAGTAATCGACTTTTCCGTCTAATATGGTAAAGGGGGTGTGGAACTTACAGTTTCAACAAGACTGCCTTCGCTCTTTGGCTTGTCGCCGCTAGTCTCCCACCACATGGTGCCGCCAAGGCCCATTTGACGGAGATAGTTGGCCTTCATTCCAGCAATCTTAGGAGTATCGTAGCTGATGAAGAGCTTCTTGGCTGGGTCATAGCTGTAGCTGGCAACTTCCTGCTCACATTCTACAACCTTGGCGCCTGGTTGTGGGAGGGACTTGTAGTCCCAGATACCATTCTCGAAGCTACCTTCGCCCACACCGCTGAATGAAGCACCTGGCTTCTCCTCAGTGCTGGTAAAGGCGCGACCATAAAGTGGCATTCCGAGAACAATCTTCTCAGGCTTAACACCGGCCTTATAGTAAGCGAGGAGGGCATCTTGGGTATTGAACTTGGTAGCTGTCTTGTCAGTAGTAGAAGAAAAGAGGTTGGCACTGTGTCCAGAGGTTTGATCCCAGCCACCGGAGTAGTCATAGGCCATCAAGTTCCAGAAGTCGAGGTATTTGTCCATTTCACCGAGTTTCATGACATTGTAGTGCGAGGCACCTATAAGCGATTTTGTTAGACCTTCCACATACGTATTAAGAATTTCAAGAGACATACCGGCTGGGGAGGCGACGGTGAGGAGATACTTGTATCCATCTCCAATAGACTTGGAGTACTCATCCAGTGCCTTGAGTACCCGTTAGCAAGGAAAACATGGACGTCTCAATCATTCAGAACATACCTTTCTAACTTCAGCGAGGAGCATGACAAAGTCTCCAGCCTGCTTCTCATCTGCAGGGTACTATATTTGCTCTTCCGTCAGTATATCTAATCTTTAAAGTAATTTTATTTTGTCGGTGATGTTTACCTCCCAATCGACGTCAATGCCGTCAAAACCGTAGTCCGCAAGCATCTTGACAGCTGACTTGGCGAAGGTTTGGCGTCCAGTATCAGTGCTAGCAGGTCCACTGAATGATTCCTTGTAGGTCCATCCTCCAATGGAAACAAGGGTCTTCATCTGACGGTTCTTCTGCTTCATCAAGTACATCTGCTTAAGGGAGCCGAAGAGATTGTTGCCCTGAAGACTTTGGTTATCCCCATCGTAGATTTTCTGAGTGTTGGAGGAGTCCTTAAAGAAGACTTCGCCCTCAGGGGATATGCCGGCAAAGGAGTAAAGGATATGAGTCCATTGGTCTCCCTCTAGATTCTGCGGATGGAAGTTGCGCCCATAGATGTCCTGATGATTGTACCCGTCAGTATGATTGTATGATTGCAAAAAGGAAGAATATTTCCTTTGGTATTCATATATGTTGACGTACCCAATCAGCATAGTACCCAACTGTCTTATAGCCACCGTTTGGCACAGGGCGGGAAGAGTCACCATTGGGGGTTGGCCTCGCAAAGACACCACCAATGTTAGCAAGGCAAGCCAGGCCTAGAGTAAGAGCAGAGAATAGCATGTTGAAGGAATGAAAATGTAAACTTAAAAAGGAAAAAAGGAGTGTGGAAAGGAGATCAAGGCCTGCTTGTCCGATGGAATGATCTGATGTCCTCAGGATGCTTTGATCATGATCAAGAGCAAGAGTGGGAAAAAAGAGGGTTCCCGGCACAATTATTTATATCACGCTCCCGGCCTGGAGGAACGGAGGACATGGTCGAATATCCACGGGGAAGAATGAAACCCCTCTCGGCTCAGACCGAGAGTGCCGTATACATCGCTGTCTGCTTATCGAACCATGCGTAAATGCACGCGGATGACAGTGGGCCTTCATCTATGCCTGTCCGCCCGCCCGTCCCAACGGGGATTGAAGAGAGTCTCTTGATTACTCTACTACTATAGTAAGGCCCGGCACAGAGTTATCTGCGCCATGGGGTGGATATGGAAGACATGGGGTAGTCAACTGTTAATTCGCGCGCCAATCAAGCGTCAAGGAATATAGATGAGCCAGGGCCCCAATGCCTCATCGGTTTCAAGCGAAGGGTGGTCCGAAGAGTGTGAAATTTGATTACTCCAATCCTCCGTGCATCCCGTCATAAAAAGTGAATAACGGTGGGCGTACGGAGTACTCCGTAACGTATCCCATTATTGCGGAATCGACAAAGAAGCAGTCACTGCGAGTGTGGTTTTCCTCGATAACTAGTTGACTAGTTTGCTGCAGAGACGGATATAAATGGGACAAGAGCATCGAGCATACCCGTTCCGAAGAGGCGTACGTCACCGTTCCCAGGATATCAAGGTCGGCTAGCCCTGAGAGAGGACGACTAATTGACTAGTCATTGCCAGAGTAACATTCTGGATGTGCAATGCAGTGTGCCTGGCCTGTGGGTTTGGCCGTATAAGCCTCGAACTTCCAGAAATCCCAGTCGAGTCTGCCCTCTCGCTCATGCCGTCCGGCGGGGCATGACGCTGTCCCTTTGCCTGTTGGACCATCCAAGCAATTGGGTTGGATGAAGGGGCCCCCTGCCGCAGGAACAAGCCCCAGGGCCGCCCCTGGCCTGGAGGAGCACACTGCCCCGGCTAAGTACACTCTGTCGGGCAAGGCGCAAGAGGGACTTTCGGGGGCCAAGCGCGAAAGATAGGCAGACGCAGCGTGGCCGAGGTACCCCCAGGGCCCTGCATCTGCCGTACACCGACTTGTCATATGCGGAATGCGGTTCCTTCTGAGGGATGATGCAGTGCGTAGTTGACAATTTATCGCTAAGCTGCTTATACTCAGTGAACGTCATCCATGCTGCAACGCTAGCGCTGGTGCGTCGGGCATGGGAATAAAGAGCATTGTTCCCCGCGAGACGAAAGTCTTGGACCTCTCTTTGTCTTTGTCAAGGGACGTCCAATTTCTCTTCCCCAGAGAAAGAAATGAATGTATGGACTGTGCTCCGTAGGCTGTCAATTAGATTGAGGGGAGGCTGCCTGCGTTACAAGCATAAAATCGACGATCCCCATTTCGTTTCACCTTTCGCCCGAAGGAAGGCATCGATATAAAGTAACCCGCCCTCGTTTCCTCCAGACGAGGGACATAAAAGGCACGCCTTGTGGTAGGCTGTAGACGACTGGCCCTCTCGCATCTTCAGTCCACACAGCAGGCACCAAGCCTGCTGAACGGCCAACCGTTGGCTGACCAAATTCGTATAGCCGATATTCATGATAGGCTGGACAGTCTGTCCTCGCAGATCCAAAGAGGGCACATCCTTGCCATGGCCCGAGGATTATTTGAGGGATTACGATCTGCAGGAAATAAGCAGTTGATATGTTTCGTTCTTCGGAGTCTCTCGCTCGATGTAGCATGTTAATATATATCCAGCTCAATTAAAGCCAGGCATCCCCAAGAGACGAATAGTAAGCGAGAGGGACCGTCCTCTGCGATTCAAATTCTGGCCAGCGAGAGGTTAGGCTCGTGTAATTAAAGCCTCTTGAAGGCCGTGTCAGAGGTGGTTGTGAGAGGCGTACTTGGTATAGGGTAATTCCAACCAAATTAGCAGTGATGTCGGTTGTCAATCACTCAATGGCTATTCGCGTATGCCGATACTCGCACAGAAGACACAAATTTCGAGGTCTAAGACAGGACTTCATAGACGCAAGATCCCTAGACCTGCGTATTGTAAGAGGATCATGCTGCAGCGGATTTTCTAACTAGTTGCTGTGCGCCGGCTGTAACTAGCTGAAGACTTAATAAGTACTCTGCAGAGGCAGTAAGATGACTGAGCAACCGTCGCTTGAACCCTGGTTAGAACAAACTCAGCCTTCTTGCAGGTGAGCAGGAGGAAGAAGAAGATCGGTCAGACGACGGATGCTGTGATGCCAGAAAGAAACGTCCTGTCTCCTGTAACATGTTATATTTGACGGTTGACGCTCAGGGACTCTTCATCTACCTGGAAATGTCTTATTAGACCACCCGCCACGGGAGAGGAGAGATCGGCTCTTCGTTACCACACCTGTTCCTATCCAGATTGGTTTTTATTTCGTCTTGGAAGAGGAAGATCCTTGTTATTCGCCGGAGTCCAACTGTAAACTATGAAAAGCTCATCTCCAGGTTTATCTTAAGTAGATAAAAGCAAAAAAGGAAAAACAAAAGTAAAGAAAAGAAATCAAGCGCTTTTCATCTCGTTAACTAACAGTCGTCCCAGGTTTGCATATTCCGGAGCACACATCCCTTATCATCTCCATCGGCCTTAGCAGCCAACTTTCCGATAACATAGACCGTCTCATTGAGCTCTTCAAGATACTTCTTGATACTAGCGGATTGAGACTCGTCAACCACGACGACCATGCCAATACCGTTGTTGAATGCCCTCGCCATCTCTGACCCTGTTACATTGCCGGTCTTTTTCAACCACTTGAAGATGTCGGGTAGAGGCCAGGAGGAAACGTCGATGTCAGCCTGAAGGTTCTTGGGCAGAACACGAGGTATGTTCTCGACCAGGCCGCCGCCGGTGATATGTGCCATACCCTTGACTGCTCCCTGAGGGAACTTGGTTATAGTAGCGAGTAGCTGCTTGACGTAGATGCGTGTTGGAGTGAGCAGGGCTGTACCCAAGTTCGCGCACTCTTTACCCATTTTGAATGGTGCAGGGTCGTGATAAGAGAGTCCCGACTTCTCCACAATCTTCCGGATGAGTGAGAAACCATTTGAATGTGGTCCGCTGCTGCCGATACCAAGAAGCACGTCACCAGGCTTCATTCCCTCTGTGTCTGGAAGTAGACGATTTTTAGAGGTGTCGATAGCACCAATAGCAGCTCCAGCAGCATCGTAGCTGTTGTCGGTGAAAAGACCAGGCATCTCCGCAGTCTCACCTCCAACTAGAGCACAACCGGATTCCACACATCCGTCGGCAACACCAGCAACAAATGCGGCCGCAACTTCGACCTCAAGTTTCCCGCAGCTATAGCAGTCGAGGAACATAAGGGGCTCAGCACCCTGAACCACCAGGTCATTGACATTCATAGCGACAAGGTCAATGCCCACTGTGTTGTGAATGCCCATTTCATGGGCAATCTTAAGCTTGGTGCCAACTCCATCAATCGCTCCAATGAGAGTTGGAGAGGATTCATGGAAGCCAGATTTGCATGATGATAAGGAGAATGCACCTCCAAATCCACCGATGATGGCGTCAGATCCGGGGCGGCGAGTTCGAGCCACGTTAGCCTTGATTTGGTTGACAAGTTCATTGCCAGCATCAATGGAGACACCCGCTGAGGCGTATGTTAGTGATTCTTGGGTAGTTGATGTCTTTGATGTTTTAAACGCGCGATGGGCAATGTCCTTTCTATAATGCATGCCATCAAAGTGAATTGTGGAGATGCCGGAGTACGACGCCTTTACGGCTTCTTCAAGAGTGTCTGCTGTTGCAGTCGCAGCAATGACTCGCCCACCAGAGGTCTTGAGCTTGCCGTCAGCAAGCGTGGTACCGGCGTGGAAGATCAAGGTACTGTCTGCAGTCTTGTCGAGTGTGATATCTCTACCTTTTGCGTAAGACCCGGGGTAGCCCTCAGCCACAGCAATGACAGTGGCGGACGACTTAGACTCTACCTTGAGAGTTACTCCATCAAGCCAGTGTTCTGTACAGGCAACCATAACTTCAGCTAAATCAGTGTCATCACTCAAAAGTGGCAGTAACGTTTGAGTCTCTGGGTCTCCTCCTCTGACATTGTACTCCAATACCTTAGGCCCGTTCTTGGTCATCATTAACCCGGTAAACAGTATTCCAACAAATGGTGTGCCTAGAAGCCATTAGTTGACTATCTCAACGACCAGAGGGGAATATATTGCCATACCTTCCTTCCTCATCCCGTCAATCGTAGGCAGGACAATGGTTCTATCAATAGCCTCGATAACAGCCTTGGAGGCAATTCGGGTTGGGGCGTAGCATCCCATACCACCAGTATTGGGGCCCTGGTCACCGTCAAATACCCTCTTGTGGTCCTGGGCAGGAGGCAACGATCTGATGGTGTAGCCGTCTGAGAAAGTGAGAATACTAAGCTCATCACCCTCAAGATATTCCTCAATCACAACTTCATCGCCTGCATCTCCGAACTGGTGGTCCACCATGATTTCCTTGAGGGCCTTGAGTGCCTCCTCCTTGTTTTGGGGGATAATGACACCTTTACCAGCGGCGAGTCCGCTAGCCTTGATAACAACATCATGGTCAACAGAACCAAGATACTGACAGGCGGCCTTGTAATCGGTGAAGTTTCCATATCGAGCTGTTGGGATGTTATGGCGCTTCATAAAGTCTTTTGAGAAGGCTTTGGACCCTTCCATACGAGCAGCAGCCTTAGAAGGTCCAAAACATCTAATGCCGACTAGGACCTATATCAGCTGCGGCCGTGATCCAAAATATTTGTAGAATATCACTTACCAGCCTGGAAGTATTCCTGAATGCCATCAACAAGGGGAGCTTCTGGACCGGGAACAACAAGATTGACCCCGTTCTCTTTAGCGAACACTACCAGTCCCTGGTAATCATCCCCTTTGACGGAGATATTGGACATTTTGGAGGAAGCTCCTCCATCTGTGCCGCCATTTCCAGGGGCGCAGAAGACCTTCTCTACCGAGGGGGAATGACTCAACTTCCATGCATATGCATGTTCACGCCCACCGCTGCCAACGACAAGGACGCGAAGCTTTTCTTGTAGCATCTTGGGCTATTCGAGGTTTTAGACCGGCTACGAATTTGTTAGTATATCTGGTGCTGGAAGCTCAATTGCGGGCTATGACGGGACAGCTAGCGGAGTCCCACTGCCGGAGGGTATCAAATTATTAGAGGAATTGCCTTCAACGCGACAAGCCTCCCGCTCGCTCAAGAATAAAAAAGTGGACTAGTAATGTATCCTGGATTTGGATTACAGCCCTAGTAACCGTTGAGAGCATCTCGTGGCGCTTGATATCATGGTGATCGAATACACCGCGGGGCATGGAGGGCGCTTATCACAGAGTAACACCGCAGCAAACGGAGGCGAAGAGCAGATCGAAAACATATTATGAAAGCGTACACTTACAATTCGTCCCAGCCAGACCAAAAAAATCCCCTGATATCAGGTCTTTTACCTGGCTATTAGCACTGGATATGAAGAAATGCGACGATTTTCGACTTATTTCTTCCCCTTGAAAGCTGCAAAGTTTTTCCGCGAGGTTTTTTTAGAGTTTGGGGTTCCACCAATGTTTGCGGCTCCTTTTGATTCTATTTTTGACGACTTCCAATGTCTACGCCGGCAGACTCAGCAACATTGGGATGGGCGAAAGGTGTATCTAGATGGGCAGATATAGCTGGAAAAGGAGAAGACTGATACAATATTGTCTGGAAGGCCGGGCTGTCGAGTCGTCGGCCGGTTAGACGCAGCCTTTGACAGCTAGTTAGTTAGTGAAGCTGGTTATTTACAGACAAGACTGCCATGTTACAGATTATATGACCAAATAGGGTCCAATCTCGTCAAAAACTACATTTAAACAAGAGCATTTATCTTCATCTTGCCGTCGCTCAAATCGTTTCTAATTTTATTTTATTTTATTTATTTATTTTTTTTTTTTTACTATATATCAACTTTGCCAGATAGTGCAAACAGTGCAAACACAGAGCTCTCCAGAACTTTTTTCGAGCTTTTCTTCAATGCAAAACAAAATCTCGACTTTCTCCACGCTTCGGCTCTCTTAATTCTCTGCCTTTTCTTTTGATATTGTATAGCTCTTGGATAAATTCTTCTTATCGGTGACTTTTCTCTCCGTGACGCGCCTTTTACCCCGTTGGATATAGTGTTCTCGTTATTTTTTCGTCCATGAAAAATACCCTCCTCTAGATACGGCGCTTAATCGACTGCAATGCTGTCTAGGTCGGTAAGACGGCCAATATGCTCCTACGTTTGTCAGTCATGCCTGTCTAGAAGCATTACACCCTCCTCTACCGTTATACGCCGTCACAACCATGCCACTCTCCCCATACAACCAGACGCATCCTCCCAGTCCAACAGCATCGAAGTAAAACCGAATGAGGGTGGAAGCAATGAAGGATCAGGAGCTGAGAAATCTTCCGGTGGTAAAAAGAAGGGAAAGGGGAAAGAGAAGGGGGATGCGAATAAGGTACGTTGCTATCTATCGCATTATACCGTTTAATTGACCGTCCGGCAAGCTGACCTGTGCATGATCTCCAGGCAAGCAAATCTAGCAAAGATGTACCATTGACACAGTCGGCGAATACGCAAATTGCCCCGGAGGTAGAAGCGAAACCTGCCAAAACCCGAAAATCAAAGTCGAAGGCACGGAAGAAAAAGGCTGCAGCGCAAGCCAAAAATCTGGCTAATCTGGCTGGCACCTCGGATGAAAATATAAAGAACATGATCCTAATTCAGCAAAAATCAAAACTTCGACTGAAAAAGGTATGTGATGCTTCATTTTTACCCATTACATTAACCCCGTCTAATTACGTATGCCTCATTAGCTTCGACCCAGCAAAGTCATAGCGGCCCTCAACCTCGCAGCACAGAATGGAAAGTCAAAGTCTGGCAAAGCGGCCAAGGGTGGTCTAGATGAGTTTGCTCCAGTGAGGTCTGCATCTCCAAAGCTCACAAGCGAGGTTACTCTTGGGGACATTGAGATACTCCGTGAGTTGGTTCCATTCTAGTATATATGTTCTTATCTAACGTTTTCCTTTGCTTCTCCCGTTTAGCTTTGAACACTGAATCAGATGATGTCCCGTCCCTATCGTATGGATTGGACAGGGTATTATTCAAGTATGTCTGCATTCTATTCCATCAAAACATTCAGCTAACCCAGACTAGCCCTGGCGTTTATCAATTACAGGATCCTAGGACGATGGTTTATAACTTTGACCCGTACCTACGCGATATAATGCCCGTTTCCGAGTTCGACTTCAAAGCCTTGAACGACTACATTACATCGTCGAAGGATACCGTCCTCAAGGACAAAGCAATTGCGGCCGGCAAAAAATACATTGGATCTTCATCTAGCATGACCGGTGTGCTTTCACACTTCCATTTCTTACTATCCGAATGGCGAGAGCTCAACACATCTCATTTGTCGAACTCTTTCCCGGCCACCTCGAAAACCTACACAAAGCTTTCTCGGCTCCCAGCAGTCGTTTTTCTGCGGTACAGAGATGGGGTCTATGCTGTCGACGCTGATAAAGAATGGGACACTTCCAATGTTTTGATGGGATTAGGGAAGTCCATGGAGAAATTGCTCACCATACCTAGAGACCAGTACGAACGCTACCGGAGGAATAGCCCGGATAAGATACTGAAAGAGGACTCTCCTCCCGAGGTGTACCACTATTCAACCTGTGGTGATTTCTTGATGAGATCCCAACTTGATGCATATGATCCTCGTCTTCCCGGCACTGGAATGTTTGATCTGAAAACCCGTGCGGTAGTTTCAATTCGTATGGATGCAAGAGAGCCATGGAATGCTATGGGATATCAGATAAAAACCCGCCTGGGAGACTTTGAGTCTTTTGAGCGCGAATACTACGACATGATGCGATCTGCATTCTTGAAGTATCACCTTCAGGTCCGTATTGGCAGAATGGATGGGATATTTGTTGCTTTCCATAATATCAAACGAATATTTGGATTCCAGTATATCAGCTTACCCGAGATGGACAAGTGTATCCATGGTCAAGAGGATACAGCCCTCGGCGATGCAGAGTTCAAACTCAGTCTCAACATCTGGAATAAAGTCATAGACGTGGCTACTGAGGCATTTCCTAAGCAGTCGCTGAGGTTTCACTTTGATACCCGAGAAACGCAAAATCCGTTTATGTACATTTTTGCGGAACCCATGACAGAAGATGAAATAACGAAGATCCAGGAACGAAACCTCGATGAGATCCAGGCTTACGAGAAGAGGGTGTTCTACCCTGAGCTCCTTGAATCTCAACAGATGGATTCCTCGATTGGAGAAGCTGACAATCCCACCAAGCAAGAACCAGAGTCGAAAGAGTCCGCCTCTGAGGATGACATAGATCCTGAAAAGCCTTTACTTGCCATGGCACTATCAATTCGCAATTTTGTCAACGGTAAGGAAGTGGACAGGCCCACCATGTTCACTGCCAAGGATACATGGACTGTGAAATATCAGCTTGCCCATTTTGGTAAAGAACGAGGATGGACGCTGTATAATGCATGCAAGAAACGGCGATCGAGGTTCCTTGGAGCACTAGAGGACGAAGAAGCACCAAACTCGGCCTTCAAAGAAAGATTGAACGCAATCAGTAAAGAGGGACAGAAATGGAGAGACGAGATGGATAAAATCGAGAAGGCAAAGGGAATTATTCAATACCAAAGCTAGACCCTATACTCGATTTCCCGTATATACCCTTTCTGAGTTCAGTTAATTTGTTATCAACACTGGCAGACCTTCGGCTCCCTTCTTGGTCTTTTTTTACTTTCTTCTGAAGCAAAGAACCTACTTGTATTATGTTCTACTATCCCGTTGCTGATATTTTGCATCTGATTCCCCTATACCACCATAACTCCCCGCATATACGGCGTTTATGAACCCTTTATAGATCAAGCATGTGGAATGACCCGAAAATATATGTATTAATATTATCGTCATGCCCTCGCGGCCATGTCAACATTTCGATATTATAAACCAGAGCATCTTATCGCCCTGAAATGGAACCTCCTATTGCACAATTCAACTCGGCATGGCTCTTTTTATAGTCACATTCCGAGGTGCCTATCCGTTGTTTTCTCTTTGCAAGTGTGGGCGCCCGTTGAGCGCCTAGCAGGCCGTATCTAGGTCAGAGGTACTATATACCCAGAGTTTTAGGTACCCATGGTGCTCAGTTGATGAGGTGCTTTACTATGAGGCAGGAAGGACTGACCCAGGGGTTTGCAGGGTTCCCTACTGCGTTTTCATAATCGCCAAACAGTATATATATATATATATGTTTATAGTTGGATGTATCGAGGCTGATGTCAAGATAGCCTGCAGGTGCACATGTGCGAAGTTGCAATTGTATCACCAATTACGACAATTGAAACGCCCAGAAGCCGATCAATCTTCCATGAGAAACATAGATACATATAAAGAAATCAAATCCCACATGATAAAACCTAGTTTGAAGAGGTAATGAATGAAGATGCTTATAACTTAAAGGATAACACCTCTGTGACAACCCTCTGCGTTGTGCATGTTATATTTCTGAAAGTCCCTCAAATTGGCTATTCTTATTTACACTCAACATAAGTACCGCTACTAACTGATAATATTTCTATATATCATTGTTGGCTAGTCATAATTTTGATAGGATGCGATATCATTCAAAACACTATCCTACTTCATTTATAGGTACTGCGCTTGAATCACCATTCCGCCTATCCATTTATCTGACTGCCAATTATATAGTTACCCGACATCAAATTGTAGATGAACTAAGATTCCTAGCTTGCACTAACTCACGGATTAGCCGCTATAATTAACCGGAACAGTTGCTTAGGTGTACTCAGGGAAGATGTAGGCGTACCTGCAGGAAGCGTTTCTGAAGATCTAGGGACCCTTCCAGCCAACACAGCTTCCGCGAATTGGGTTACAGTCACAGCCGGATGCGCAGTCCGCCCTGCTCTTGCATCTTCCCCTACACTCGGGGCGAGGGTCGCCTGGAAGGGGAGCATGACGCTGGTTGGGAGATTGCTGGATATCAGCATTTTCCTGTATGGGCATTGGGCCAGCAATGACGACTGGCAAGATAGCAGCCAGGAGACCGGTTGAAAGGATGCTAATGAACTTCATCGTGATGTGGTTGGTATCTAAATCTTTGTGTTAGGTTACGAGGAAGTAGAAGTAAACGAAATGAAGGGAGCACACGCACAGAATAAGTTGGATTATAGCTTGCAGTAATAACTTGGATGCGGGTGAATGAACACTTGAAAGGAATGTAGAGTGCCTGTGACGGATTGACTCCTTATATATGTTGTCTCCCTCATACGGTATTGCAGCAGGTAGGATGGGTTAGCATGGCCACACCGCGGCCGTGAATGCAAGCAGACTTCTGCGAAGGCAACAATCTTCAGAATAGATCGCTAGATGAGAGCTATTTTCTGCCCGTCTCGGCTCCTGTCTTGTCGGGCGACGAGCAAGGCGATCTTCTGTTAAAGAAAAACGTCAATCGGGCGACTGGAGGCCACAATGAGCGCAGTACCCAGAGTTTCCCTCGCCGTCTAAGGAGCATACAACAACTCACGAATAATCGGGGGCACAGCATGGCTCTGCAAGTAGCTAGAGTTCTAGGTATCACGGAGTCATCTGATTAATGTGATATGGCGAGTATGCTGCCGGGTATCTCTGAATAGGGGGCGAGTAGTGTTACAGATCGTAGCGCCCCCAAAAAAGCGACTGATGAAGAAAATAACTGTCGTAGCAAATCGATAAAATATTTGATACACGAGAGTTGGCCGTGCTAGAAGCTGGCCAGTGATTCCTGGAACTGCAAACCGACCTAGAAACCATAGGATACTTCTCCCTTGCTTGATGCACGAAGATGGAAATGTGTTGATAGCCACCACCATGACCAAATCCGGACATAACAAAGCGGATGATAGCGGTTTCCAGCATTATGGCCAACCTGATGGTGGCTGATCTGGATAGATTGGACGAGGACTTTCTATATTCCTCATGTCTGCTTTGCGTTCTTCACCATGGATCGATTTATCCGCATGTAGCACTCTGCTACTACTTGCACCAAAAGCTGCGGGTATTCGCGTAGTTAGTATCAAGTTTTAGTTCGCTTGCATTTATCCCATCGTATATATGGACTTCAATATATTAATCAAGGGAGGCGAGCTCAATCGAGCAGTCCTTGAATAGAGCTATCAGGTAGAATTGCTCCTTCGGCGGCAGCATCATTACTCGCTATCGCTTCCAATCTCTAGGAAACCTGGATAGACTGCATGGACGGCACCTGGAGAGCATCACCTGTGCCAGCACAATTGGTGGCACTTTGACGACGGAACTGCCTTGGTCCTTCGCGCTATGTACGGATGTTGGACATAAAGCTTCTGAAGAGAGACATGCAGGATGGTCACATCGTGAAAGGATCACCAACACCTCCCGTCTCGGGACCGAGCTAGTTCAAAGAGCTCGCTTCACCCTGCTATGTCTTCAATCTTAGACTCCATTCTGCGAGTGTTGGCATTCATGCAATGTCCGGGGGAAGAAGCAGGAAGTTGCTTTTTTTTTTTTTTCTCCTCAGAAAAGCATTTCACCTAAGTGATTCTCATTCAAAGGGTCTACTTATCGAGGGACTGGTGTACTCCGTACTCCGAAGCAAAAGACTCATATCAAATCATCATTTCTGGACTGTGTGGCCCATAGTTATGTGGAATTGACGGGGCTTTTCAGGACTATTTTCCCCGTCCGATCACCTCACACGCTTCATCAGCATGGCCAACTATATGGATCAAGTGTGTGACAGTTCAGCTTTGGCCCAAAAAGGACGGTCAAGACGCGCGCCCTTGCTGCTGCTCCATCTGCTCCCCCTGTCGATATGAATGAACCCTTGTTAATTTCACTGCCAACCAGCTTATTTTTCGCCTTCCTTTCCACGGCCCCCGAGCAAAGAAAGTACGAGAAAATTCCCTTCGTCTTCTGCAAAATCATAGCGAGAGATCCCAAGCGGCCTTCTTACCCCATCTTTCTTTCCAGGAAGCATGCTTGCTTCGCGAAATTGCTGCTGGGATGACAAGCTTTTCCATATTCAGGCGACTCGGTAATATCAGTCAAGGATCGCAGCTATTGCCAGGGGGTGAGAGAGGAGAAAAATCCCCACAGGCCAATTTAACCCCACAAATCGTCAAATATAATGTCGGCAATCTCTGTCACCAGACAGAACCTGTAATCTCAGGAGCTGGAGGTATCCAGGCCGGGTGAAGATGCGTAGCCTCAGCGGCGAAACCCCAGGGCTTCGGGGACAGAGCCGACTTCAGCCCTATCCACAGAAACAACTTACTCAATTAGCCTTGGGGACAAGGCAGATGTTTTGTGAAGCAGAAAGGGTGCCGTCTCGATGCTGATGTTGCCTTAGGAGAAAGAAAAACACCTCCATCTGCAAGCTACTACTGAAGAAGGCACTCGACCGACCTTATCACAAAATTTCCAACTCTCGTCTTCCTCTTTCCCGCCTGCTAGGTTGAAATCTTCCGGAAGAGAGGATAGCTAGAGCCGCCATGGCACTCCCGTTCGACAGTGCTAAGTTATCGAGGCAATTTTTAGCCCCGATCCCGCCTAACTTCTGGTTGCTTGTTTCAAGAATCTCCCTTAATATATACAAAATAGGGGGATTGGCGAGTTCCAATTTGCCACGATTGCGGCCAAGAGACAAAGGGTGCTGCTTGGGGTGAGCCGCTAGTATCGTATTGATCTTGATCTCATCGCAGTTGTTTGTGATTCGAGGAATTTGGCCATTTTTCTTCTTTCTCCTGATGGAAAAACGGGATAACTTCCCCCTCACTGCAACCACCTGTGTTTTTGTGGCACAGAAGTTATACGTGTGCATGTACCAATGTACGCTGATAGTGTATAACTCTATGCTGGCTGGAAAAAGCAGTAACCTTTAAAAACTGGGGACCCTGGCCGGTTTTAAGGTTGCCCAAAAGCCAGCGATATTATTTTGGATTTTCGATTTTCATGCTTGAGTTTTAAAGTAAGAGGGAGCTTGTTGCTTGGAAAAACTCAGGACGGAGCTTCCCGTGGAACCTCCGTAGCATAAACCGATCATGTCCGATAGGGAGGAGTCCGATTCTGCGGTTTGCCGTAATATGAGTAACGACGGAGGTTTAAGCATTGGGGCTTTCGAAGTGAACCAGCCATGTGCCTAAATGAAGTTGGCAGCACCACCCAAACGCCCTGGCGTTTCTCGACAGCAGGCCAGATATTGTTTCTTCTGACAGAAAACGACGTACCAACGCACAGGGGCCATCCTAGCACGAATGACACGCTCCTGTTCTGTGCGACTTGGAGTTCCCAAAAAGCCAGCGAGTTGCAGGGATGCTGCAGAGGGTACAATTGACATCATGTGGCTCCACATTGAGGACCTCCTTTTTCTTTTCTTCTCTGGCTATGATGTGTAGACCCGCTTCATCCCAAGCTCACGAACTTGACTGTGAGATCAAGTTTGGATGCTGCCTCGCTGGACAGCTGTCAAAATACGGGTGCTGTCTGTCTTGTCATCGATGAGGCAAATACTCTGCAGTATCTTCGTATCTGGCTGTAGTGTTTTGACCTCCTTTTTTTTCAGCAGACGACGTAGGGATACAACCGGCAAAGGAGCCAGGCCGGATACATATACTTACAATACCGATGCATCCGCGCCAGCCCACGGACTGAGGAGATCAAACTCAATTCCCCTTTCCAAGCTAAACTAGCTAGTCCGTTAGTGAACTAGTTAGCTAGTGGACGGTCACTTTTTTAGATGGATCGGAGTGAGATCGCGGATTTGTTGTCCCGAACAGACTTCTGGGATGGCATGCATGAAATTGGGGCCTTGGCCGTAAGTTCCCGAGATCTCAACTTGCATCTGGAAGGCCTCGCCTCCTGGATTGGTTGCTGATGCTCTCCTTGTGATGTCGTTTTCCTATGGAGGTCCCTCTGGCTGGGAGCTCGCTTGCTTGCTCTGGCAGGAGACTGACTCCTCCGTCCGGGTACATGTCCGGGCTGATTATTATTATTGCTCGCTCCCAGCAGCACCAAGGCATGCCCGGTGGAGTCCTCTGTCAAGTCACTCCTAACCCGTAGCTTGCTGGTACGGATTTTGTATTTTTGTATTTTTTTTTTTTTTTACTTCACTTTTTTCTTTTCCAAATCTTGGAGCCGGAGTGGCTGAACCGGTGCGTGGATGGAGCTTGAGACATGCCCCGTTGGCGGCTTCATCTTCATCAACAGCAATCATCCTCGTCTCTCCGTCTCTCTTTTTTCTCTTGTCCCGTTTTCCTTTTTTGCGTCTTTTCTGCCTCTTCCTCCCCCGTTCTTTTTTTAAGCCTCTTCACGGTCTCATTCGTCTCTCCGTGTGTGTGCGTGTGTTGTGTTGTGTTTGTCTGCCCCCTTGTCTACCTGCAGGGGTTTCGTATATATCCTATCTCCGTGGGCTTCACGTTGAGATATCTCTCAAACAGCGAACGCGTTCCCTGTCCAGGTACATAGCAGTAGCGGATGAGGTGGCTGATTTCACCGCAATGCTTGTACCTTCTGTAGACCTGTTGATCTGTTGATCCTGCATCCCGTCCGAAGCTCGAGAGAAAAACCGGCCGTCTGAGAGACAGAGAGGAGGACGAGAGCTGTCCAGGTCGTGTTTCGCGGCCCGCGAGAGGCAGCAGAAGACGCAGACGCAGACGCAGACGCAGACGCAGAAACCGCCTCCTGCTCGCCGTCTCAGGCTCTCTCAGCGATGAGCTGCTGCTAAAACAAAAGCTCCGCCGGCTGTATCATACGAGAAGATCGATTTCAGGCCTCATCCCCGACGTTGCTTTTTCCTCTGCCTCATTCGTCTCTCGCTCGCTCGCATCGTCGCCTGTTTCCCTCCCGTTGCCTCTCTGGCTTCTTTTCTTTTTGCTCCAGCTATTCCTTTTTCTCTTGAAACCTGCGCTGGGTTGGCCTCGTCGAAGAAGCAGAGCTGCAGCAGCGTCGCGGCGCCATGGCTGAACGGTCGAAGAAGCAAAGAAGGAAGAGTTTTGGCGTGTTTGGGTCCACTGGGCTATTGTCTCTGGAGTCCGCCTCACCCGTCGCCAGCTCTCGACTGCTGCGCGCCGGAGACCGGGCCTCTTGCGATGCATTAACGCTGGCTCGATATTACGGCGAGCGTCGCGGACAAGCGGATGCGCTGGATTCTGCGGCCGGAGCCCTCGACCAGGACGACAGCCACCTGCGACATCTCGACGGCCGGCCTCCACCTCGCTACCTCGACCACGACCACCACAACCACCGCCAGCACCGCCGCTGGCAGCAGCAGCAGCAGCAGCAGCCATTGTCATGGGCCAGCAGCAGCAGTAAGGAGGACGAGAAGCTTCGAAACAGGAAAACACGCTCGGGAAGCAGATCCTCGCTGCTGAGCCTGGCGTTTGTCAGGCCGCGTCCAACCAGCAGCGCCGGCGAGATGAAGACGGCCACAATGGCCACCACCACCACCACCACCACCACTACAGCTACTACGACAGGCACCAGGCAGAGACTGTCAAAGGCCACGGCGAGGCCTCTGTCCTATTCACCCTCGCTGCCCTTCCAGGAGGACGAGCTCAGCCTGCCAAACTTCACGCTGCCTCACTCTGCCACCGAACCCAATATTCGCTCGCGGGCAAAGTCTGTCAGCCGCACTCTAGGCCGGAGCTCTGTCTTTGGCTCTCTGAGATCCCTCAAGTCCATGGATGACGACCAGAATTCGACCAGGACAAGATCCAGGTCGACGTCCAGCAACGAAGATGACCTCCCCATCATGCGGGAAGCTGGCAATTCCCGCGTCCACAAGCTGCAGCAGCTGCAGCACCACAACAGCAATAATAACAACAACAACAACAATAACAATAACAACTACCCGCCACTGGTAAACCGGAGTTTTGGCATAAAGGTCCTGCATCACGGCGAAGTGCAGACTGCAGGGGCAATGTGGCGGAAGAGAAGCCATTATCTCGTCCTGACCGAGTCTCACCTCGTCCGTTTCAAGAGCCAGAGCAAGGCAGCCGAAGTCTTCCCTTCCATACCGTCGTCCTGGGGCCGGAGTGCTGGAGCAGCAGCAGCGTCAAACCGGCTTTCCATGGTCTCTCTTGCGTCTCTACACGAAAACCAGCTCACAGGAGGAGCAGCGGCACTGGGAGGCGGCGGAGAGGGCGGAATAGGCATTGCCCTGAACAACATTATAGCCGTCCACCGGCTGGATGACGGGAAACCGTACTTCTCAGTCGAAGTGTGCTACGTGGACGAGAAGAACCCCAGAGGCTCAGCTATCCACATCCAGCTTGCTGACCCGCAGGAAGCACAGCTATGGCTGATGGGCATTCGGGCAGCGGCAGAGACCGCCATATCAATTGAACCACCCGTTTTTGACGATGACACGATCAACTATGTCACGAACGTCTTGGAGCAGGAGAGAGATTACGACCCAAATTGCTTTGGACTATATAGAGTCGTCCACCGGATGTCCACCAAGCAAGGCAACCGCGCATCAACAGACGATATCACAAAACTCGCATCAAACACCTGTCTCCTTGCCATTGGAGTCCATAAAATACATATCTTACCTACCAACACCAAATCATCCAATAGAGCTTCTATGGCATCATTGGTTGAGCTGGATTTAGATGCGTGTCTAGGAATAATGGCTCTATCCTCTATCTCAGTGCAAGCCAGCGACGATACCTTTCAATTGATTTTCAGGTAAGTATACCTACTTGTTACAAAGCATCTACACTACTATCATACTCGCTTTCCTACCTTTTGAAAGCTAGGCTAAATGTTCCTCTAGGATACCTTTTAAAAGCCCATCAATAGTTAATCTATCTTCAAGCTACTCAGGCGAAATTGCACTATTGCTGAGACAACGAGCAGAGTACCTAAGACCTGGATGGATACATCAACCTTTTGCCTTTAATGTGCCCCCTCACGTCCAGGCTCGGGTAATGCCGCCAGTTACTTTCGAGGAGGACTATGGATGCTTTGACCGGACTCTTATTGCTTACTGCGCCGCATACGATGTCGATACCTCGAAGATCCGCTACATGGTAGACTACCACTGTGAAGATGCGCCAGCATTCCAACTACTTCCTCGGGAAGGTTGCCCGGATGGAGGAGGATATCTGCTTCTGGAACTACTTGCCGTTTTCCGTGCGCTACGATATAACGAATCATTCGCCACTATCTCATTTGCGCGCGTCAACCTGGATATCCTTCAACAAATGCGCGACCCTTACGGACCGGATTTTGACGCCATGCGCACTAGATCGAATGTGGCGGTACATATCCCCGGACAAGAGGAAATTGCCTCGCTAACCCAGGAGGTACGAGCCTTAGCTCTCAAGAGCAGAACGTTACAGCGCATGGACTTCTCATACTGCTTGACCCGCTCCGCAAAGGCGGTTGGGGGTGAACGCGACCCTGGATGTGGTATTCCAGAGGCCGTCTTCCCCCTGTGCCGACGCAACCTAACCCGGGTAGACTGGCTTGCTCTCAATGGAATAGAACTTGGCGACTCGGATCTGGATTATCTTGTCGATGCAGCGTCTCAGAAGACTTCGGCACTCCGAGCCTTTGAAGCGAACAACTGTGGCTTGCAGGTCCACGATCTGAACCTGATTTTGTCCACCCTCCGAATCCAGAAGGACACCCTCAAATGCTTGCAGATTTCGAATATTGTTGGACGATTGAGTCCAGACCAGTTCCAACAGCAGGCTGGATGCCTGAGAAATATCCGGAAGCTTGAGCTTTCTCAGGTTTTGCGGACCTCAAAGAGTGAACCTCTCCTTTCGGCTGAGACATTGCTGAACTGGGAGCTGGAGGAACTATGTCTGAACAATACTACGGTCAACGAACAGACGGTGGAGTCGATTGCAATGTACCTTGCTAGCCCGGAATCCAAGAACCTTCGTGAGCTGCACCTGAACCAATGTGGAATTACCGGAGGGGATGTCGCTACGTTGCTGTATTTCATGGTTGATGAGGAATTAAAGCCTCGCGATATACACTTGCATGTAAACGACAACCGGCTGGCCATTGACTGCGACCTTATGTTCGCTTCAATATCGCAGAACCGGACCCCAACTCATCTCACGATGAGAAGCATAGAGTTTCAGCGTGATGAGGACTTTAGGCATTTGGTGGAGGCGCTTGTTCAGAACAATACCTTGCGGTATCTTGATATCTCTAGGCTCTCTATCCCTCACGATGCCGGTGCGGAGACCTCCAAGGCCCTTCAGAGAATGTTTGAGCAAAACTCCGCCATCCAAGAACTTGACATCAGCAGCGAACAGGCTCATCTTGACGTAAGCAGGTTTGGAATTGGATTGAATCTTGCCCTGACGGGATTAAAGAAGAACAATACCCTGAAGGTACTGAAGATTGAGCACCAGAAGCTAGGTGTTCAGGGGGCAAATACACTTGCATCTGTAATCGAAGAGAACAATTCGTTGGTTGAGATACATTGTGAAAACAACGAGATCAACCTGCAGGCATTTACCATTATAGTCAATGCTATACAGAAGAATAAGACCCTGTTGCACGTTCCGTCAATGGCAAGCGACTGCAAACGATCTCTTGCACGAGTCCAACGGGAAATGGAAGCCGACGTGAAAGAAACTGGGCTCCGGTCGAGTCTCTCTACTGCATCTTCGATTCGTCGATCTGTGCGTGCGGCATTCTCAGGCTCTTACAGTAGCAGCGGTAGCACCAACAGTGGCGGTAATAAGTTGGTCAAGTCGCACCCTTCGGTATCACAAGGGGGAGCTTCCCCTGGTGTTCGTCGCGCATCATCTGCCACTCTCGGAACTATGAATTGCGTACAACCTGGCATGATGGCGTCTGCAACCATACCCCAGTTCACCCGGCCGGAGATCAAATTCGCTATTGAAGCACTTCAAAATAAGTGGAATATCCAGGAAGCTCGTCTCCAACGCTATCTCTACCGGAACTACAACATGCTGCACGGCTATGTTGACCAGGCTGTTGGTGACGATGACACCAAAAGCGAGGGACGACCGGCCACCGCAGCCAGCTTGGCCACGTTCCTCAACCAGCTCTCCCTCGCGCCTGTCGAAGACATGAGCCAGCGAGATGGCACATCTGTTGCAGCCGAGACGCCGTCTAGCGACGCATCAGCCCTTAGCAGGTCCGCAAGCTTCAAGACTGCCAACAATTATATTATTGAAGACGCAGACACGTCAAAGGACGACATTGGCGCTGTAGATTTCAACTTGGACTGGTCGTTTTCACAGTCTTGTTCGAAGCAGAGCGCACTTATTGACCGCGTCCTTCCGGGCTCAGGTTTTTCGTCCCAGTCACATATCCAAACCGACGAGCTCGCGGTGCCTGTGTCCACCCAGCCTCGACCGGCTCTCCTGCGTCCAACCAGCAGCGTACGTAGCAGCAACTCCACCAGCAGCGTCAGCATCAAAACCAACACCAGCATGACAATGGACAGGGCTCCGGTCAACGGGCGGAAATTCGGTACGACACGGACACCATCGCTACGTGGCATGCTAACTGCCAGAAGCGCAAGCAAGAGAGAAACGCAAAAGAACTCCGACCTACTTGGGTCTTCCAACATTCCACCACAGCTAGATTGGAATCTTCCTGATATCAACCTCCTTTAGACGAAAAGCAAAAAAGCTCACGGCATGACATTGTTGAACATCTCCCGCCATGAGCAACCTTTTTTTTTTTTTTACACCTCTTTTCCCCCCAACACTCATAGACTTCTTTTCTATTCATTTCCCATTCATTCTGCATGCCCCTGCCAGGGCTTGAATCTTTACATTGCCAGCAGTCCCCCTTTTTTCACCATTTCACTTCAACACGATACCCCTAATTTTATTACCCCCTTTTTCTTCTTCCTTCCTTTCTACTTGATGAAACATACTCATACGCTTCGAACGAAACCCTTTTCGAGCCAAAACCTGTCCTGGATTGACCGGAATGATATGAACATGAGCTCCAGTACATACACCGACCAACCAGCCCCCTTACCTTTCTTCTGCATGAGTGCATTTGGTCCATGCCATCCCCCCGCCCCCCAGCTCTCGAATACATTTTCATCGGGAATGAGCATCTCCTGCATACTTCTCTACATCTGTTTGATTCTCTTCTGCTTTTTTTTTTTTTTTTTTTTTTTGTTCTCCTTTATATCATTGTAGGCGGTTCATCTGGTTCCTGGGCGGGATTTTTCTATTGGGCGGTTTTATGTCTTTTTATTTGCATATCGCTTTACGGCAGCTAATTATGTTCGAGTATAACATCGCAATCTAATGCGTCGAGAATAGATAATACTTGTCGTCTATCAATCTACAATGAAAACATCGTAGCCATCCTAGGCACCTCTAGTAATTGACTGTCCGGCGGCCAAAAGTAAATCCATCACCAACCTCCAAAACCAAACAAGCCAAAGCCCGAGATCAATATCAAACCCGAAGCAAACTTGACATAGCAAATACAGCCAGCCAGCCAGTCAGTTACTCTTGACCCCAGCTTAGGGGTCTATCGCAGCCAGATATCAATACACCCGACGGAGCCAACAAACAATGCCGCCGCCGTCCAACCAGCGGGCGGACATCGAGCCGCCTCCGCAAGTCACCAAAGAAGCCACCATGGGCTTCATCACAGGCGCCGTTCGAGTGCGTTAAGTCATCTCTCTCCTTTTGCTTTCTTGCAGTCAATTGGCAGCATCTATACCCCTAGATACACCATAGACTCCCCGCCCGAGCCCTCCCTCCCGTACATAAGGGACATACATACATACATACCTAGATCGGTCCTATTGATAATGACGACCCTCCGCACAGTTCGGCGCCCTCTCGATCCTGGCCCATCTGATCCTCTCCCTCCCGCATCCAATGCACTTTACATCGAGCACATCCTCCTCGTCGAACGCAGCGAATGGCAAACCGCCGCCGCCGCCGCCGAGGCCGACACCGACACCGCTGATATACCGACCTCTAGTGTCGTTTTCGAACTCGATTGCACCGATGTCGAGAGTCTACCGTGGTCTGACGCCGCAGTTTAAGACGTTTATACAGATCAGCATCATGACGCTTGGGGGCTGTATATGGGCCGAGAAGCGGGTGGGCGAATACCTGGATGTAGTCCGGAAGATCAAACGGGCAGAGAGGAGGGCGAGAGATAGCTGATTATATATATATTTTTTTGGGTTTCTGCATCTGCAGCTGCGGCTCAGGCAGGGTGTATAGTATTGGATGGACCGGGTAGCTTTGCATCTTGGGCGTTTATACGGTTGGGTTGTGTCTCTACTCATTGCTTTACTCTCCTCTTTGTACATAGTGGTAGACATGGTAAGGATGTTTTTCACTTGTCTCTATCATTAATAATATTGAAGAGTGTCCCTCTGGCTCTGGTGAGGGATAGTGAAACAGGAGTACATTGAAGAGTACATTGAAGAATAAAAGGTAAAAGGGAAAAGGGAAAAGAGGGTGTATGAAAGAATACAGATGCGATGCCAACAGAACGCTGCAGTGCAATGAACTCATACCAACCCAAAGAGAGGAAGAAAAAACCAAGCTGTGAGCTGAAGCGAGAAGAGAGAAAAAAAGGGGAACATGGTTAAAGAGAGACCGGTGTGAGAAGGGCCAGGCATATCTAACTGGTACAATGCTTCCAAACGCATTCTGGGGCGTGTATGCGCATGCTGAATAGTGAAGGTATCAGGGCGGCCTTTTAAGGTGTTTCGATTCAAAAAGAGGGGACGGGGTAGGAATATTAACATTATCCTGATTCTGGGGGAGGCAAATCCCAGTCCTAGAGGCCGTAGAAGTGGTCGTGATGGCGATGATGGTGACGGTGGTGGTGGTAGTGGAAAGGGGCATTAAAAGGTCGTAATATGGTCTCTCCGGTATATATCAAAAAAAAACATATCGACGGAATATTTTCACAGAAGGTGGAAGGTCCCCGGGCTGAGTTTCTTTCTCCTTGTTTTTGTTTTTTTAAGTGTCTCTCTCTTTCTCTTTTCTTATTCTGTTTCTTCGGTATGAAAGGTCGGATGTAATATTATTGGGTTGGGCCGCCGTCGCCTTGTCCCTTTTTATTTCTTACTATCGATTCCCCAATTCGTACGGCGAGTCTGGTCCGATCTCTTCGTCCTCCTTCTTGGCATGTGACCGTTGGAAGAAGAGCGGAAGGATGCGCATCTTGCGGCGCGAGGGTGAGAGGGAGCGGCGTGGTGACGATGTGCCTGATGCGAGGGGTGTGTAACGGGCGTGCTTCGAGCCCAGGGACAGGACGCGACGGTAGATTCGCCAGAGCGCCAGGCCGACGATGCCTGCCGCGAGAAAACCGGAGAAGGTGATGAGCATCCAATGGCTCCCCATCTGCATGACCAATGTCTGGTTAGAAGAAAAAGAAAAGAAAAAAAAGATACATGATACAATGAAACATCGGCGAAACGTACCCAGAAGATGAGCTGTGCGTCCTCGCCGTGCCAGCTGCTGCCCGGGTGGTGAGTGAAGAAACTCCAGGAGTGGCGGTTGTACGCATCCTGCAGCAGCACTCGCACACGGTTGACGCCGTCCGGGTCGGTGTTCTTGTATTCCTTCCAGATGACGGAGAGGAAGAGCGGGCCGGTCGAGTACATGACGGTGATGTAAGGGAGCACCCAGGCGCGGTCGTATGCCTGCAGTGACTTGATAACCCTCAGAAAGAAAGGGTGGTTGGGGACAGAGCCCATGGCATCGTTGGAGATGCCTGTAGGGGCTGTCCGGCGTACCCAGGCAGGGTAAGAGAGCAGCGGGTCAAGGCGTCGGTTGCAACCCTGCATATATCGCACTGCATTAGCACCAATCGCATTCTTCTTCTTGATGTTGTTCGTCTTCGTCGCCTTCTTCTTCTTCTTCTTCTTCTTCTTCTTCCTCTTCTTCTCATTCGTATAAAGGTAGATAGGGGGTAAAAGCGGGAGATGGGGAGGCTGATGGAGGGGTACAAACGTCGTCAAGGTCAATGTATGTGCCACCGTAGTGTGCGAGAATGAAGTAGCGGATCGAGTCCGCCCGCTGGATGGGAAAGGGGTAGTTGTCGAACGTGGTGAGGAACCATGGGTAGTGCTCGGCGATGAAGTCCCTTGATTTCTTGTCCGTCCAGAGCTAGCGCGGCCTGTCAGTTGAAAAATAAAGTAGCTAGATAAGAAGGATAGAGGTACGAGGGAAGCTCACGATGTATTCGTAGTCCGGGTGCATCTCTATGCAGCCGTTGCGCGGGCCAACCCATATCTCGGGTATGCTCTCGTTCTTGTAGGTCTGGTGGATGATCTTGGGGATCAATTGGGGCCGCAGGTCGATGAGGCTGGAGTTGACCCCGGGGAGCTCGACGTTCTGGATAGCGTCGTCGGTGGCATCCTCGACGAGCAAGGTGAGTAAGGTGAAGACGCTGCGGACGAGGAAGAGGATGATGACCGTGTTGATGAGGAGGAAGATGAGCAGGCCGCGCCGCATGGTGACTGCTGGAGGTGTTGGAGGAGGAGGAGGAGGGAGCTCTCTGGCGTCTGCTAGGAGACGAGCGCGTTACTCGTCGTAGTCGATGCCCTGAAGACCGCGGACGAGACCATCCAGGCTGTCGTCTAACTCGATATCTCGCTGTCTTGCTGTCGTTTCTGTCTTTTCTGTCTTTTCTCTGTCTTTTGGCTGTCTTGTATGTCGTTTGTCTCTTGCTCAGCGCAGCAGCAGCAGAAGGAGTGGAAGATAAAAAATAAAAAAAAAAAAAAAAAAAGCTGAAAATCCCCCTTGAAACCTCGCAATGGCCCAAGGAAAAAGGCCCGGGATGCGTCTTTAGTGCAGAGCAATAAATTATGGGTTTTAAGGAACGGAGCAGACGCAAGGATCGAAGCCCCTGGACTCGTATCGCTAAGACGGTCGATCAGCCACAGCAACAGCAACAGCGCGGTCGCAGCAGCAGACGAAGCACAAGACGAGGCAGCAAGCGAGATGCCAGACAGCAGCAGCAAAAGGACAGGCACTCACTCGCTCGCCGGGACAGAGTCGAAAGCAGGTAAGGACGTAAGTGAGTACGAAGTAGCTCTCTCTGCGTCTCAGGGATATGCGAGATGACGGCGGCCACAGCCACAAGCCGCAGGGGGAGGCGACGGCGGCCAAGAGGAAGACGCTGCTTCTCCTGCCGGCGCAGAGTCGAGACGGGCAGCTGAGGATGTTTCTCTTCTCCTTATTCTCTTCTCTGCGACTTTTTCTTCTTCTTCTTCTTCTTTTCTTCTCTTTCTGCTGTCTTTTTTCTGCGGCGACGAAGAGATTTTTGGACGTTTTTGAAGTCGAAGAAAAAGAAAGGAAAATAAAAGAAAAAAAGGAAAAAAAGCCAAAAGGAGCCGAGGATCATTCAGACTCTCTCGCTGTGACTGTCGGTGGAAGTTGATATACAGTAATTCTGCTTCTCTAAGTACTTCTACTTCATCGTCGCCATCTTTATTCTCGTTTTATATCCATCTTTATTTACCATCTTTCTTTAGATCGTCTTCCTCGTCGCCGCCGTCTTTCTGGCCCTTTTGAGTGCTATTCAAGGGATGAGCTTAGTCAGCTAAGCCTCCTCTAAATCTCCGTCGAAAACGCCGAAGAGAAAAGGAAGAAAAGGAAGAAAAGGAAGAAAAGCTGCGATGGAGGCTCGATAGAAGCTCGATGGAGGGAACAAGGCTGCTGCCAGGCCACTGCTAGGCCGCTGCTAGGCCACTGCGAGGCCGGCCGCCGCCAGCCAGCGCTGCATCGCGCCCACCGTGGCCTCCGGGTCCTCCTCCGCCACGAAATGGCCGACGCCTTCCTGCGCCTGCACGACCGTCAGCAGCTGCTCGTCCTCAACCCACGCCTGCCACGCCCGCCGCACGTCGAACCGCCGTCCCATCGCCCGGCAGTGCAGCACCAGCACGGGCACCCCCATCCGCCGCCCCGCCGCCTGGTCGCGCTGCTGCGCCTGCACGTCGTCCCGGCTGCCAGCCTCGTAGTCCGCGCACGAGCTGCGCACCACGCTCTCCAGCTGCCGGAAGGGCCGCGAGTACATCTCCAGCGCATCGTCGGCCTCGAACCGCGCGACGGCCGCCTCGCTGCTCCCGCGCCAGCGCTCCATCATCTGCCGCACAAACACCTCTGCACCCACCGCCTGGATCATCGTGCTCGCCAGCTCGGCGTTGGCCAGGAACGGCCAGTGGAACGTGTTGCGCGCCTCGGCCGGGTCTGCCAGTGCTGCCCACTGCACGCTCGTCGGCACAATGTCCAGCAGAGCGGTCGCCAGGATAGTGAATGTCGAGGAGTGCTCGGCTGCGTCGACCGTCAGCCGGTGGCAGATGCGGGCGCCTCTGTCGTGGCCTACAAGCACGATGCCGTGCGGCTGGCCGCTGCCATCGCTTTTGTTATCAATATTATCATTAGAGTTGGAGTTGGAACTGTCCAGCATCGTCTCCAGGGCCCCCAGTATCGCCCTGCCTACGGTCCGTTTGTCGCTGGCCGTGGGCGGTGAACTCACGCCGTAGCCCGGGATATCAGGGACGAAGAGCCGTGTCTCGCGAGGCAGCAGCTTGATGACCTGGCAGAGCACGGCGTCAGTGAAAACCTCCCTCTCTCTGTAGAAAGCCATGGACTCTCTCCATGGATGTCTTCGCAGGGCCAAAACTTACATGGCGCCACCTACGTCGTGGTGCGTCAGTGCCCATGCAGGTCATTCCACCCTGTACTCTGTAACAGCGGTTGCCATGCTTGCTTGTGCTATGAATAGACAACTCACATGAAATGCCTGGCTCGCGAATCAGCGTCAGCACGGCTTCTAAGGATCTGCCTGGCAAGGAGTAACTAGTTATGTATCCCCCGCAGCCAAGGAAGACGAACGAGGCAGTGTTTGTTTCGACTTACGTCTGCGGGTATCCATGTATCAGCACCAGTATCGGCTTCGCTGCCTCGTCTGCGCTGGTGGCCGCCGTGATGCCGCGAGAGAGACCGCGCACCGTCGACCCAGACTCGGGCTCGCACACTTCGAACGTCGACAGGCCATGGCCGGCCATGCACTGGGCCACTCCCAGAACGACCATGCTGGATGCTATCTCTCTTCTCTCGCTATTGGGTGTTGGGCGGGGGAGGGGGATGTCCTCGGTCGTATGTTCAGCTGTTGGCACGTAAGTGGACGGTGGACTGCTGATGAATTTTATACGACGGCGATTATAAATCCGACGCGGGGATGAAGTCAATCGACGTCAAGCAGGATACACGGAGAGATACTTACATAGATACGCCGGGGGGCTTCGGCTTCATCAACGATCACCATGAAGCAAGCTTGGCCTCCCCGGTGATGTCATTCGAAGACGGAATCTAGACGTCATGCAGTTATCGGATACGTTACATCTCCATTTACTACATGTTTATAGTAATACTAGGCACATAATCATGATATCAGCAACTATCTTCTTCTGACACAGGTGGCAGCCTCTAAGTGGCAGTGTACCTGGACCGTTAGGAGTGGAGTTGCTTAAAAGAAGTTTCCAGTAGAGAAATATGCCTTACAGTATTTCTATACTCAATATCAGTGTGACTTTTGTAGTCCCGTCTTCAACATCTATATTTTTCTTCGGATAGGTTTATCGAAGTAAGGATTAGTAACAGCTTGAGATACAGAGTACTTACTTAGGCTTCCTAGATATACGTAGTTCTAGCAAATGGAGACGCTCCATTATCATCATGAATGAGATTAAGATCAGTTATACAAGCCATATAGCAAATTGCAACGAAGGAGAAGTGACGCCAAAGCCACCTAGAAAGTAGATGTAAAGCGAATATTTGGATAAGATAACTACTTCCCTCTCTCTTGAAATGACTAACTAATGTATCGGGTGGGATCCTCCTCCTACATTCATCTGATACACCTGCCATCTCAAAGCGAGCATTTCAAATTAGGGAAAGAAGCACCTACCTCAAAATGTAGTATTGTTATGTTTTTCTCTCTTCTCCTGTTCTCCTCTGTTTTCTTTCTCCCTTCATGTGTTGACCCAGCATAGTTGCAATGCTTTGCATACCATACATGCTATATTCTCCGCATTTAATGAAGGGATCGGTCGATCTTAGTACGTGGCAACGATGTTACCTCAGAAGACCAGGCAGTTAGTAAGTTTAAGCCCTTTTCCAAACTCCTCCGATGAAGAAGAAACGTGAAAAGGACAAGGAGAGAGATCATCGGCCACGGCCGAGTTGATATCAATGACCTGAATTCTACACATCTGAGGGGGATTCTATAGCCCGCACCGCATGGTGCGAGGACCTCGCTGCTGCATAGCTGCGGGAGAAATACTTGATTTTTGGAACTTTGCTGAGCTCTGGCTAACCATACTCTTCTATCATTTATAGACAAAGAGTTATCGTCCAAGTAACCATCTCTCCAGAAGAGCAGATCGGATAACAAGTCTAGCTTTATGGGTAAAACTGACTCTCAGTCTCATTAACGTTCGATGTTAGACTGGCGTCAACCAGATCAAGATGCGCGTGTCTGAGGAAGAAGTCTTGCGTGAGAGCATGGGTTTGAGGGCGAGAGTATTGAGTGCGGAGGATCAATGTATGCCTGCTGTGTATATACTATGTGTGATGATGGGATGAGGATGGTCGTTATCAAGAATTGGCCCGGCACCGTGTTGGGTATTGTTTTATGTTAAAGAATATAATGGGTATTATTATAGGGTCTGCTAAATGTGTACAAAATTTGAAGAACATATTATGACTGGAATCCCAGAGTATTCCAAAAATGAGAAAAAGTTCACATCTTGATTGCTTTTAAAGGACTCAGGATACTGGAGAGACGTTCCTCCCAGAACCCGTAAGCTCGGTGGTACATTCCCTGTATATTACAGTATCTTAGTTCATCATAGTCCATAAATGTGAAAAGGACAAGGTTGAGGAGCAGGAAAAGAATGCAAGAAGTCGAACTGTCGCCAGGCGGTTGTTAAATAGTCCGAGCTGGGAGTTAGGTCCGGAACCAATGACCACGTGAGATGACGTCATTGAGCCCAGGAGAGTTTTTCAACCGCAACAACCTGTACGCGGTCTGTTGTCGAAGAATGCTAACGAGCTTTCTAGAAGTATGGGAAAAAGCCGGACTGTTTGACTTCGCGTACAACTCGGTGGCCGATGCATTACCCTTAATGTCTGCTATGTCACGTCGAGTTTGATGTCCATCTTCTACCCAGCAGACCACGAACTTGAAGATCTCGAATCAGAATGGGAACGTCGAGACTCCCGGATAATTACCATGTAATTATATACAAGGCCACAGCTGAGAAAGCGAAGCTATCGCCCACTTGGTGCTATCGTCTGATAAAATAAAGCTATAATGAAGAGGATAGGTTGAATCTGCCTTAAACTACAAAATTGATTTCCAAGAACTGGCCTTATCATTCACCATGAATAGCTACCATGTGAACTCACACACCTTTTCTTTTCACAAAAAAGATATAGCTAGGTAAGTTATGCCAAGTTGCAATGCAGGGCATGGGTATATGTAGATAACTTTTTCGGTGGCTTGCTTCCGTGCAGCAGTTCAAGCAGGGAAGACAGAAATCCATAATATAAGAATTTATATAGAATTATCGAGGGCAGGGTATAACATTGCGGAACAGAGACATGTTCGGCCGCTGTCTATCGCCAGTATTTAAGTAACAACAAACATGCCTGTGTATATCAGTCAATGTCTTGCATTCTGGCCTGCAGTCGAAATGGAAAAGAGAGAGAGCGCCACGTGACTAAACGTGATTTCCACGTGGCAAAAAGCTTGGCATAGCTAACCTTACTTAATTTTCTCCCGAAGTCGCTCCAAGCCGGCGCTTTATGGAATTAATTATATTATCATGGGAACTTAGGTCGGCGCTTCAACGGCATCTTTGTTCCTTTTTGTCTCCAGTTGCGCCTCTTTCGCGTCTAGGCCGTTCGAGGTTCTGCAGTGCTCCGGAATATAGGCGAAGAAAAGAGACCTGACTCACGACAGCGGGGGCCCCTCCTTGCTCTCGAATCTCAAAATGTTGGCAAAAGATAGAACTCAAGTCTTGCTATTAATTAGTTAGTTAGTCGCTCAGCTGGGGACTGTCGCCGGTTTTTAAATCCAAGATTCCATCCTCAAAGCTGTATGATTTTCTGCGATGAGACTCTTGTTTCCTTTTGTATGAGACGCTGTGAGAGGTATACAGCAGCACAGTGTCACAGGATCTTCAGATCAGTAGGGCTAGGGGTAGGACCGATACCGGTACATCACATTCTATTATTATTTTCGTCAGTTTAACCTCAAACCGTCGCTTGATTAGAGTTCAGTCACGTCTTCCTGTCGATCGTAGTAGTTGTTGGCAATATCATCAAGGTAAAAGTGGTAACAGTGTGGTTCACATGAAAGATTGTGCAGTCTGATCTGCAAGGATAGCTTCATGCTCTGCTTGATTACCAGAGAGTGTTGTATATATAATAATATAAGATAAGGAATCCAATGATCATCACGGCTTCGTCATTGATGCCACACTAGTGCACTCCGTATGCAGGGAGCATATTCTGAAGCGGTCTAGATGACACCCGTGTTTCTTGATGTATCCCTCCTTCGGCAGCATCAGGTCATCTGTCGAGTCGCCGAGCAGGTCCTAGACACCATCGGCGCTTGGCAGCCTCTGGTTGTTCCAATATCTCCTCGCAACAAGATCAAGAGACTTTGGATCAATCAGCAACACGAGCTTCCTGCAGTCCGGAGATACGTATGTATGCTTAGATTTACCTCGGGGAAGATAGCAGCGCGGGAAAGACAGCACAGACGAGATGAAGCCGACCAGACTGTGTGGGGAAGGACAGCCGTGGAGTGAGAGAAGAGTCATCGAAACATCGTGTTGAGGGAGGTTGATTTGGCAGCAAGTGGGCATTCAGTCCGTCTCTGCTCTCGTATCACGCGTAGCTATACGGTCTACGGTCTACTAGTCCTTCGAGTCGTTACTGGTCGTCGCTTTCTCTGCTCGCCGGTTTAAAGGCAAGCGGCAGATATTAGTAATGCACATCACATAATCAGGCGCTTATTCATCAACCGCCGGCCTTAAAGCAGCGTCGCCCGCCTTCCTGAAATAGGAAAGTACTCGCAGCCGCCCTCTGGTCCAAGCGTCCTCACGCCCTTTTTTTTTTTTTTTTTTTTTTTTTTTATAGATACATCTGCATATCAGTTTCAGACCTCCTGGCCGACTACCCGGCTGGGCGTCCAGAGAGCAAGGGGCAGAAGGAATGAGAAATGAGCTTGTCGCCCGCTCGCCACTCTGGCGGCTTTCATGGGATTCGTTAGGTGTTGGATGTTACCTCCTGCACGCCCTTCAATTGACTCTCTGTCGCTCCGCGTGGATGAGCAGGCTGCCTTGCCCGGAAGACTGCTGTTTCATGCGGATATGCCAAAATCGTACGGTGCAGCTGTTGCAGCTTGCCATTGGAGCGCAGCAGACTCAGATCGCTCCATTTTTCACGGATACAGACAGGCAACAGGGAGTTTGCAGTACCAAAACATGATATGACGGCTCCACCACGAGGCCCAGATGTGAGCAGAAGAACCTAGCAACGGGCTGGAAAAATCTCTTCCATGCAACATGACGGCGAGAAAACCGCTTGTTTACAAGCTCCACCACGGCGAACGTCGACGGCGAGCGCTGCCCGATGGCTAGGGAAGGGGATGAGAAGGAAAAAGAAAAAGAAAAGAAAACTCTGCCGGTGGAGCCATGGGCATCACGCTTGCAGTCCATCGAGCTGTCGATACGCGCATCCAGAAGCCAAAAGGGCCTCTCTGCGACTCCCTGCGACACGCCTGCACAGGCTGATTAACACCGGCCAGAACCGTAGTGGACTGGTGGACTGGCGGACCTGGCCCGCCAAAAGCGGCATTGGTGCAACGGTACTTCGGCTTCGCGCTGTCGACGGCCGACGGGCCTTGTCACTCCTCCTGGCGGCTTTTTTTTTTTTTTTTTTTTTTTTAAGATTTTTGCATTTCGCTGGACCATACATTACCATGGGCTCCTTCGTTTTGCAGGGATGACTCAAAAAAAAATTTTGGGCGGGAGGTCACCTTGGTGGCGGCCGGTGCTGGTACCTGGTACCGAGCCTCTGGAGCGCCACGGCATTGCTGGCGATGTATATAATACTACGCTGGGTGATTTGAAAGCTCATGATTGCGTCAACTTCGGCATTTTGCAGGCTGGGAATACACATAACATATATATATAATATATGTGAACCCCCACCCACAACTCTCCTTGCAGGTTTATCGACTGTATACAGAAGATCAGCTTGTCTGGTCATGTTTCCTTGACAACTGCTGGATATATCGCTTCACTCGTGTTACCACCACAAGAGCGCTGCCGAGAGTTATAAACGCCAAAGGTCCCTCTGTGATCTCCTTCTTTTCTGGCCTTCCTGCTTTTTACTCGAAGATATATATATTCATATTACGGAGTACTTCACCGCCATATATAACCAGCTACTTCTACCGGCTATAGCGAAAGCAACGTCACGATGGCGGCGTCTTTGGCGTCGCGAGCTGCTCCCTTTGAGCCATGGACCAAGCGCTCTTCACTGCGAGTCGACATCACGCTGAAGGACCAGCCTGCGTCTGGTATCTGCTCATATACGACCCTCGACGCTATTGAGGGTGAGGCAACATTCACAGCCGACGTTGATACTCGGTTTGAGCAGATCTCCATTTCCTTTGTAGGTATGTATATGTCAAAAATATCTATATAGTTGGCGAGCGTAATACGATAAGCTAACCGCCATCGCACAGGCACTTCAAGGACTCTGATTGAAAGACCCGGAGCCGCAGGGCCGACTGTTGGCCGCTCCTCTGCCTTTCACACATTCCTAAGGCTCGTCCAACCGATTGATGAGTCTGATTATCCAGAACCTCGCATCCTCGAGGCTGGTCGCAAATATACTTTCCCCTTCACATTTGTGGTGCCAGAGAGGATGCTTCCTCAATCCTGTTCACACAAAATGAACCACCCACAGGTGCAACTTGCGCACACCAACTTACCTCCTTCCGCTGGTGACCCTATGCTAGCTGGCGATGGGAACAGTCTGCTTGACGATATGGTGCCACAGATGGTTCAGATCCAATATAACGTCAGAGCAAAGCTGTCAAAGCACAACCCCAGCACTGGCACACTGCGAACCGTTATTGATCAAGGAAAGAAAGTTCGAATCATCCCGGCCACCGACGTTGAGCCGCCGCTGGATGTCTCCGAAAACAGCATCGATTACTGTCTCCGAACCGAAAAGTCCGTCAAGAGAGGCGCCCTGCGCGGTAAACTTGGTCGCATCGCAATGGCCGCCGCACAGCCAAAGCCCTTCCATCTCCCTCCCATCCACCACCCCGGTAGCGAAGACGTTACGACCTCTGAAGAACAAGAAACCCCGAGCACGCTTGTGAAGGTGCATGTTAGATTCGATCCTGCCGATGAAAACCAGAAACCACCTCGTCTTAGCACCCTTTGGACGAAGCTCAAAGTATTTACCTACTATGCCTCAGAGCCGTGGAAGGATTTCGCAACTCGAGCAAATATGCCTAACTGGTCTCTTAACCATGGCATGTATGCCGAAACTGTTCCACTTGAGACTCGTTGCATCGCCTCGGTGCCATGGACCAAGCACTCTGGTGACGCAAACTCTACATTTTGCTCTCCAGCCTCATCATCGAGCAATCTCGCCATCACTACCCCCCTATCCTCTGCCCCTAACTCCCGTCGAGGTTCCGTCCAGTCGACCTCCTCTATCGATTCGTCTCAAACCGGGCCTACAGCTGCCTATGCCGGCAATACATACTACACCTGCACCATTCTCGCGCCGATCACATTGCCGAAAACCAAGGCATTTCTGCCTACCTTCCACTCTTGCTTGACCTCCCGAATCTATGCACTGGATATGAGCCTCTCCGTCGTCCCTCCAAACACGAGCTTGACGGTGCCACAACTCTCCATCCGTGTCCCGGTACAGGTTGCAGGCGCAGAAAGCCTGGCCCAGGCAGTCGCTCTTCGAGGCGATAATGTACAGAATACCGACTCCTTCTTTACACCCAGGAGCATTTCACCACCACCAGCCGAATATACAGGACGCGCTTCCTTGGGGGTACACCGCAGGGAGCGTTCAGACACTCTGGAGTCGATTGGCAGTACAATGACGGCCGCCACGATCAGGCCACCCCCTGAATACTCGCCCTTTGGTCGGCAATTATCACATAGGAGAGTCGTGAGCTCCGTGTGCTGAGCACATATTCATTGAAAAAAGAAAAGAAAAAGGAAAAAATGATTTGTTATTGCATGTATTAATGCCTTTTTTATCATTTATCCCTTCCTCCCCTTTTGATATGTCTTGATGTTTTTTTCTCAGTTAACCTTTATAATGTCTATATACCCCGTCCAATTCATCTTGGACATGTTAAATTCCACTCTTGTATGAATTATGGCCTATTTCCTTGTGTTATTTTATTTTGTTATTTTCGTCAATTCTAAAACTACTGGGTGGTTTGATGGTTTCTTGGAAAATCCCTTTTTAAGAAGATCGGCGGCCTTCTGCGTTTAGTTTACACGATTATGTTTGACACGCCCATGACGAATTTTCCTATACTTAATGAGCTCTAATGTAATAATCATGCGCTAGGATATTTACTATAATTATAGTCGTTTCAAAAAGCTCACCACTGCGTTTCTCCCGTCACCTCGAAATGTAGCTTCAGTATGCAATGCGCCTCGAACCCTTGTTCGGGATACGTCCATCCCACCCTCAATGCACAGTTTTTCTATGGCATCCGCTTGTTCAGAAGGGACCAGCTCGTCCTTTTCCGCTGAAACGACGAGGACCTTTCTCCTGTCTGTCCCGTTTGGCCTAGTAGTAGTAGTAGTAGTAGTAGTAGTAGTAGTAGTAGTAGTAGATATCGAGCGTAGAGCTTCCTCCGAGTCCCACCAATTTCGTAGGAACGGGCCGAGATATCGATACGGCAACCAACGCTGTGGGTAAAGAGCGAGCAGCATCGACCGTACACTCACAAATGGCGTCTCGAGTATCAAGGCCGGTGGTTCTGACCGCCCCAAGCAGTCATGTTGTCGGTGGTGTGATGCTGCAAGAAAAGTGGCCACCCCTGCCCCTATGCTTTGGCCCCAAAGGACAAGCCGGGTGTTTGGACGGAGGTATGTCTTCCGGGCCCAGTTTAGGGCAGCAACGGCATCCCGCTCAATTCCACGCTGGGACGCTCGACCACGAGAAGTCCAAAATCCTCTATATGAAACCGCAACGAGGGTGTATGGCCGCTCGTCCAATGCCTTTAGCACGGCCGACAGTTGAGGCAGACGGGGGGGAATCGACGACCCGTTTCTACAGTTTCCGTTCTATTATTATTAAATGGCGCCTTGATTGAGCTAGAGACGAGCTAACTAACCCCTGGAAATACAGTATAACGACCTCTCCCTCCGGGCCCTTCACCTGCTTTTCTTCCTTCTTGCCCGTCATTATTGCTACATTCTGTCCAACGCACAAGGCAATCTCCACTCCGTCCAGGGAATTTATCCTCTGCTCTTCCCAGATGACTGGCCTGCAAACCTTCTCGTAAGTGGCTATCTTCTCCTGCCTTGAAAAGGGTGGCATAGACGGCATATATATTATCTTGTTCTGGAAGACTACCATCATAGCGCATTTGTATAGCCAGAGTGTCACTGTCAATCCCATAAGGACGACCGGAGGAACAAGCATGGGTGGCAAAGACGAAAGGATGGAGAGACTGCGGGTTGAGCGGGGAGCTCGAGAGACGTTCGCGGTCAATGGTATGTTGCGACGGACGGCGGAAGAAGCGATACGAGCTATAGGAGCTGCAGTATAGCAGCGCAATTGGCAATACTGTCTCAGCCTACGGAAACATCCATTTCCGTGTCGCTGTACCAGCACGGCAGGTGGCTGTCGGAGCATGCTGTGTTTTGTTGCAGGTAGTTGTTGGTGTTAGCAGTTGTTGCTTGTTGCTTTTGCTTGTTGTTTGCTTGTTTGCCTGTTGATATTAAGGCACCCTGATTATGTAATCAAATCGATGACTTCATCTGCAAAAAAAAAAGGAGATCATCGCAGCATCTTTAACCACAATGCTATCAAAATGCTTCTCGGGAGTGGTGGCCGCTTATATCGTATATCATAGATAGCTGCCATTGCCCGATGGATACGCCGTACATGATCCTGTGTCTTGAGTATGTAACAACTCCTGACTCCTGAGAGGAACCACGAAAATCCATGGATATTTATAGAAAAGTGCGAGAATTGGCCGTGGGAGCTTCGAGAGGGCTAGGCCAGCGGACCTAAGATTTAGTTATGCAGTATTCCAGTACGGAATTCTCGGTTTGTGGGATGTGAGAGTTCAAATAGTCCATGCAATATTATTGGTGATTATCGAACTTCCCTTTGCCCTATTTTGCCTGCTGGCCTCGTTGTCACGTCAACAGTGAGGATTGGAAGACGAATATATTGCCCAAAAAAACCAGCATCACCAGCAGCCTGTGGAGCCGTCGGGAATACTAGTTTCGAGAAGGAGTCCTTAGCCTCCGTATTTATTTTTAAGTCTCCGAAATTTTCTTTCCAAGAGACGCGTACTCCGTAGCCATATGTATAATAGTTTTTGCTGAAAACGTCGGTTTGTGGCTGTGATAACATCTTCCATCTGAGTATCGTTCTTGAGGACATTATTGGTTGCAGAAAAAGAAAAGAACCTGCGGTTACAGGGACATCTGTTCTTGTAACTGTGCGGAGGTGCTGTTTATATTGGCCGTGTACCAAGACTCTGGCCTTCCTGCAAGCACTCTGGCTGTCGTCTCGTGTCAATCGCTAAACGGCTGGGCTGACGGGAGAATCCCATCAGCCGACAAAACGAGGCGAGTCGATCTACCGCGTGGCGTTGTCTTCTCTGCAGTGTGACTTGTTTCTCCCAGGTTCTTGACCTTGGTCCCCTGCAAGCCACAATTCTTTTCGCTGAGTCTGCAAGAAAGGGAACTCCACGACACGATGGCAGGCCGTATATCAAACAATCCTGGTCGTTAGAGAGCCAGCGACCACCTTAAGAAAATAGACGGCCCCCATCCACAAGGTCAAGCACCGCGTGGCGCAATCGCCTCATTGGCCAATTCTTCCTTTAAATATTCAAGTGACATCTTGAAGGACAGGCGGACCATGCTTCGAAGCCTTGTATTTCACGCCCTATGCTTAGAGTAACAACTCTCTTGAGGGCTGTACGAACCGTGGAAGCCATTGGGGAGAATTCATTTTTCGGTCATGTCATATTGTAGTTCAAGCCAGAAAAATTAGCTGCATAAGTATTCTCTCTTCAGCCGGCCCAAGATCTGCAGATGCTTAATGAGGGATCTCCCTGTCGCTGGCAGCTCAGTTTGTAACTCCTCTGTAGCACTTAAAAAGCGAGTCACTCTTCTTTTGATAACCTCGATCAAAGGCTCAGAGAGAAAGACCCAAGAGACTGATAGCCTCTGGCCGGCATTGTCCAGCTAGTTAAACTAGACTTTTCCACCAGCCTATCCCATGGATATCATTATCCTCAGCCATGGAAAGGACGGGGATTGCCCCTGACCTACCGTGCGTGAAGGAGGCTAAAAAAAGCTCTTCTAGAAAAAAAATATCGTGGACTCGAGGTCGCGGCATCGAGCAACAGGCGGCCTATGAAGGAGCAAAGCCGTGATTGACATTGATCGCCGACTCGAAATTGGGTTTTTGGCAGTGGGTTTTTCTTCCGCTTGGAAGAATTCGTGATGGCCATGATCCATGGATGCTGGTCCCTTGGTACTGACCTGCCACCTTAGGAGACGGCGTTCGCTTATGGTCGTATCTTTAATCAGGATAGCGATTGATAGATTGGACTTGTCGATGCCAAACTGTTGGTACATCGGAGGACCAGTGGTATCATACCTCCTTCGAGTTTGAATGCTTTCCGTGCTCACATTACACCGGGCCTGTGGCGAAGAGAAAAAGCGAAGGGAACACAGCGAAAAGCCATCCCCCAAAGCCTGATCTGACACTGAAAGCAGCTAGGACTTCATCCCGCTGCTCGGCCTGCAGGCTCCAGGTGCCCTGGCCCTCGAACTAGATGTTCCCTGCCCCCCCCTGGCATTGTTGGTACGGGTGCCAATAAATATATATACACATCACGGCTGCCCGCGAGTTGAAGAATCTGCCCGGGGCAACCTGTCAGACCTGACTCATCGGATTCTCTCTACTGCGCCTGGCAGCTAACCAGCATGGAGGTGCTTGAGAAGAAAGAGCCGGGCCTGGCTATGGATCACGGTGGCAGCGGCAAGGAAAACGATGTTGTATCGGACAGCACGTTGGAGACATCGCCGGCGCTGGGATTCTGGACGCGCATGGGCTGCACCCCAGAGTCTTTCAAGCAGCGAACGCTCGAGGACAGACACAACCAGTTTAACCAGACGCTGAAGTCCCGGCATCTGCACATGATTGCCATTGGAGGCAGCATCGGCGCCGGCTTGTTCGTTGGATCGGGTTCTGCCCTGAGGGCCGGCGGCCCAGGAGCATTGGTTATCGACTTTGCAATTGCGGGCATGGTCAGTTGGCTTCTCAGATTTATACTCCGAGTTTTGGACCTATGTGCATCAGCTGCTAACCCTCTGCCAATGCCGTATAGATGATGTTCAATGTCGTTCATGCGCTCGGCGAGCTTGCGGTTCTATACCCCATATCTGGTGGCTTCTATACGTATTCCGCTCGCTTTATCGATCCTTCCTGGGGGTTTGCAATGGGCTGGAACTACATATTCCAGTGGGCTATTATATTACCGCTGGAACTCACGGTTGCTGCTCTGACAATCGGATATTGGCGAGTCAACGTCAGCGTAGCTGTCTGGATTACCGTGTTCATCGTCGGCATTATCATAATCAATCTCTTTGGCGTGCTGGGCTATGGTGAAGAAGAGTTCTGGGCCAGCAGTCTGAAGCTGGTGTCAATAATAATCTTCATGATCATAGCCCTGATATGTGTTCTCGGGGGAGGCCCCTCGTACGGGAAATATAACGAGTACTGGGGCGCCAGGCTCTGGCAAGATCCCGGAGCCTTTGCCAATGGATTCAAAGGTAGAGACATGTCTAATTTCCCAGTAGGACTTCTGCTGTAGATTCATTTCAATGGACATGCAACATACTGACTGATGACTGACTTTCACCAGGCGTTTGTGCCGTCTTCGTGACCGCAGCCTTTTCTTTCTCGGGAACAGAGCTGGTTGGATTAGCCGCAGCCGAGTCGAAAACACCACTCAAGTCCCTTCCGTCAGCAGTGAAGCAGGTGTTCTGGCGTATCACTCTGTTTTATATCCTTTCCCTTGTTTTCGTGGGCCTGCTGGTGCCTTACACCGAAAAACGTCTCCTTGGTAGCGGTAGTCTGATCGACGTGGCAGCGTCTCCCATGGTTATCATCGCAAAAGACGCCGGTCTCACAGGCTTTGACAGCTTTCTCAATGTCGTTATTCTGGTTTCTGTGCTCTCAATTGGCAACTCAGGCGTCTACGGTGGCTCCAGAACTCTGACTGCACTTGCTGAGCAGGGCTATGCGCCCAAAATGTTCCGCTATGTCGATCGAGCCGGAAGACCACTTGTTTCTACCGTTGCTATGATTCTTGTCAGCTTCCTTGCTTATATCAATATCACTGCCAGCGGCGAGGAGATCTTCGGCTGGCTGCTAGCCCTCTCTGGTCTGGCATCTCTGTTTACCTGGGGAAGTGTAAGTTCTATCACACTTTCTCCTGTCATTCAGTCAACGCCTCTTTTAGTCGAGATCTAACATGTTTGTAGATATGCTACTCACATATCCGATTCCGTGCTGCATGGAAACTCCAGGGACACTCCTTGGATGAAATACCATTCAAGGCTGCCTTTGGCGTCTGGGGGTCATGGTTTGGGCTTATAATGGTCGGTCTGGTGTTCATTGCCCAGGTATGTCTTTCGTTCTCGCCATGAAAAAAGGGGTCCCTTACGGACTGGTAGCATTGCAATGGCTAACGTTATCTCACAGTTTTATACCGCTGTCTGGCCGCTTGGTGGAGGCGTGAATAACGCAAAAGGCTTCTTCAAGACCTACCTAGCTGTTCCCGTTGTTATTTTATTTTGGCTGTGTGCCCATATCTGGAAAGGCAAAAGGTGGTTGAAACTCCGAGATGTTGATGTCGACGCTGGACGCCGTGAGATCGACTGGGAGGCCCATAACCATGTTATGGAAAAGAGAAGAACCGCTTCTCCTTGGATGAGAATCGTCTATTTCCTTTTTTAAAAACGAGTTTGATAGACATAGACGGATGGTTTATCTGATACCGAGAATGATGATGTCTTTATATTTGATGGCACATATCTACCTTAGAATGGTATTAAAGCGGACATCTCTTGTTATTCTAGGCGTATTCAATTTTTTCAAAGTAGAAGAGATTTTGGTGACCACGAACAAAACATATTTTGCATGATATGAGTGGGGATTTTGCCTTAGGAATGCCTATCTATCAACAATACTCACTAATACAAAGTCTAGCATATAACCGTAGTATCTATACTGAGCTTGCTCATTACCATGCGCTCCGTGGTGGTATAGCCATACCCGTACCACTGGCCTGTCGAGCAAATGGTAGGTCCATAAATATTACTCTGAATACCTTGGAAAAGGCACACTATGCTCTCCAGGCCCACTTGCGTTTCTCTAGTGCATCAAAACCACGTACCCCAATCACGCAAAGGGATGAAGCCAAGAGAAGGCCTCCATCATACCAAATGAGGTTCCGATAGTCATGTAGCAGAGTAGAGGTCTCATGACCCGGCGAAGGGACACGGGGATTCCCCAGGATAAAACCAGCAACGGGGGAGCCAAATAGTGCACCAAGACCTCTCACAAAGTAGAGGAAGCCATTGACAGAGGCGTAGGCATGCACGCCAAAGATTTCCGTGATCGTGGTTGGAAAGAGCGCATTGAATGCTAAGTATCAGATGGATTGAGGGTTACACATCCCCAAGTTAGCGTCAATCTTTCCTTGGTTAAAATGTCGTAGTTAGGTCGCTGGAATAAAAAGGGTTAGGTCGGCTCTTACCACCTATCACGGAACTGTTAGCAGTCATCTCGGAGCAATTATGTCGATTGGAGGGAGGGGAGGGAGGATTGATGGCTGTATTAGTTATACGAACCTGCTAGGACTCCATACACAACCACAAATGTAAGCCAAGCGGCTTTTCCTCCATTACCAGCAGCCGCGAGCCATAGAGACCATACACTCGCGGCGCTTCCAGCAACACCCAGAACCAGCGTATTCTGCCTCCCTAGCTTATCTGCTGTAACACCCATAAGGACTCGTGACACTGCGTTGATGCCATTATTAACAGCAAGAAGCGTAGCACCAAAGGAAACAGAATAACCGATAACGGTTGAGAACTCAGGTAAAAACGTCATTGGAACAAAATTTCCGCTCGCCTGAAGTAAGGCTGCAAGAGACTGTAGGATAAATGCAGGCTTCTTTGCAAGTCGTATGTTGACCAGCGTTGGTCTTCTGGTCATGCTGCGGCTTGGAGGAGCAGATATTGCAACTGGAAGAGTGATGACCAGATTTGCAAGGGCCATTGCTCGTAGTGTCCAGCGTACACCAATGACGCCCAGAAGCGTTCGGACAAGGGGGGAGAGGACCAGTCCCCCAATACTAGCGCCGCTCAGAATAAATCCCATAGCAGCTCCACGATGGCGATCGAAATACTCCGGGGCAACACTAAGGATGGGAAAATAAACCATGGAACTACCCATTCCGTATAGTAGACCCTGGGTTAATAAGAGGTGCCATAGCTACATTTTTTGTTTATAGTTAGTTTATTGTTTGTGGTTTACCAGAGCGTTGGGTATGGCTTTTCGGTTATTCAAAACAGACTGGATGCATGACCATCCAATCAAATCGAAATAGCTGGTATGCAAGGAGAGAGAGAGAGAGAGTACATTGCTTATGGAATACAATGCAAGGAGGTATGGGGTATGGAGTAGGATGGGGCTGCTTGCTTTCACTAACCCTCTGGGACAAGCTAGCAAGTGCATACGAAGCGCTCATTAGGCAGCATCCTGCAGTTACAATCTTCTGATTTGCATTGCCGCTCACTCTGCTCACGAGAGGATTGATCACAATGGAGCCACTCCAGGTCAACCCAGCACCGAGCGTACCAACCAAGGCCACCGCTGCTCGGTTCTTCGCTTCTGATGGGTCCAAGACACTGTCGGTGCTTGTAACGTAGTATTCCTGGAAGACGCCATAAGAGAAATTTGGGCCTATGGTCATGGAAACAGCCAGAAAGCTGCATATCAAAACCGCAAACTGCCGCCTGCGAGTGGTGGGAGCAAACTCATGTCTGCCCGCAGCATCCGCTGGAAGCATCTCACCCGCAGGTTCAAGTCCGTGATCCTGGCCTCTACGCTCACCACGTTGGAGCGGGATAACCGCCCCGGGGCACTGGATATCGGGCATCATGCTGTTCGCAGCAGTGGTACGAAGCGGAAGCGCAGCCTGTTGTGCCGGGTATGTTTCTCTGATGTGTGCCTGTGCTGTGTTATTTGGAACTGCCGAGGCAGATGCGTTGCTAGCTTAGCTATTAACCTGGGTCTGCCTGCTGCTGCTGCTGTGCACTCTAAAGTGACTCAAGCTGCAGGTTGGTTGGTCTCGTATTGCTCCTTCACATCAACAGCCGATCACAAATGCATGATGGCTTGCCCTACTCGCCCGGATGCCTCGAAGGGGAGTGACATACTCCGTACCCTGTACTCCGTCCCTACTCCGTGTACGGGAGGCTGAAGTTGCTGTGACCAGAGAGCCAAGTAGGGCTTTCGGTGAATTAGCTAGTCAACTATATTTTTTCCTTCTCGGAGTTAGTTCCGGTTGCTATTAATAATTAGGTATGGCTTTGTTAGCCAAACCTCGTTGCCGGCGATGATGTATGTTGTTAGGTTTCTTTCTTCCTCTCGGTGGTTGACTTCACGTCCTCAAATGGCCGGTAGAAAAAGACCAGACACGGAGGATTCCCTGCATGCCGGCCGTGTAGTTCCCCGGAAACTCCAGAATAGTGAGCCATGATCAACATCCAAACTCTGGGTCGCCAGCTAGTTAGTCTGAGATTGCTAATATCCCTGTAGCTGACCAGGCAAGGCAAACGCGGGTTGAGCGGGCTCTGGGCTATCGTGAGCGCTTGCCATCTCTATCTCTCTTTGTTCCGCCACATGGAGTATGGATGGATTCCATCATTACTGAAGCTCGGCGCTCGTTTGGTGCTGCTGCTGTGTGGATGGCTGTATGCTAACTATAGTGTGGAGTTTCACATCCATGCGCAAAACAGGGCTGCCGCTTGGTTTTGCCTCCTCTCTTTCTCCTCTCTTTTCTTTTTTGCTTATTATTTGATATGGACAGAAGGGAAAGGGGAAAAAGGAAAAGGCGAAAAGAGAAAAGAGAGAAGGCCAACGGGCGGTTTATCTGCCGTCCTGGTTGAATATTTTGCAAGGATGTCCCATTGCTTTGATTGATTTCCCTGCAGTATTCTATGAGACAGGCCGTGGTCAATCTTCATTCCAAATCCGCGGCTCTGCACATGCAAGGATTTCTCTCATTTATCCTGGCATGAGGACACCCATCATCAAATGGACGGGATTGTCGGCGTTTTGATATCGCCCAACAGTCGTTCCAGGTTTGGAGGCCTGAACCATCCCCAAAGATGCGGAATATATCCGCTGGGAGGTGACCACCGTACAAGGCCAATGCCAGACACTATCTTGCCCTTGGGCTGATCTAGAACTGATTATACAGCATGATGCCTTTGTCAAGTGCTATGACCTTCTCATACCCAGGGCTGAAAGCGAATTCAGCTCCCCTTCCGCAGAATCGCACGTCACCGGATGTGCATCCTTCGTACCTGCTGACGACACATCAGAGGTGTCAACCAGCCTATTTTCTTCGTTTTCCATTATCCAATATACCAGAATTGGCGTAACAAACATTCCTTGTCCGGACTAGAAACGCCTTATGCACCATTTTGAGGGGGGTGCATGCCGCAGAGCGCTCCTAGTGCAGGGTTGATAGTTGGGCTTTAACCCCGATTCCGAACCGTCCCACCATCCATCCCCTCTTCAGTCCGGCAGCTAGCGAAGGGATCGTAGCATGAATCTGCTGTGAAGTCTGTCGAATGGTTTCTTCCTCTCCTATTTCCTAGCTCGGCGCTATAACTACCACCACACACAAGCTGGAGTTGTTGCGAACGCCTATTCAGAGATCATAGGCCAATCAATCGATAACTTCCTCTTGTGGCGATTGGGCTTGTTCCGTTGTAGCAAGCGAGAGCACTCGTACTTCTCTTAGATGGGGGGGCTGATATCGCTTGACCACCTTGGTAGAAGCTGGGATGAAGTGTGATACATCTTTGGAAAGACTTGTTTGTCGACAGGCTGATACATCCGGAGACGACAGTTTCTTATTGGCAGCCAACTGCCGGAAGGGAGACCTAAACGGATGTATACGTGGCCTATCAGTGGTGTCAGTAGGATGTCCATATGGTATGATTGGACGGAGGTGAATAATAACGAACCAGAAGATCTGCCCCCCCATGTATCGGGGTTTGTGGAATGCATGAACATGCAATGTCAGCTTTCCTCCGTATAGCTACTGGTGAGTTGTGTATTGTATACAGTGGGCTCCGTATCTTCATACATGATGGGGGCTTCCCCATTGGAACCGGCTCAAGTGATATTGCTTTTTCTGGCCTTCCTGCACCGCTTAATTCCCTGTCGAAATTAAAATCTGGTTCAAATACACGCGCTACTCAACCGTGTATATGCTGGGTGCAGGAGTATCGTAGATGTCATTGGTTTTTATATCCCAGCACTCTGGCTCATGCAGACGCAGGTAACAGTGATCCCCGACGACGATACCCAATTCCACCCCGTAGATCCCAGCAATATGGGCAATTACCAGTCCATTTTGGTAAGCGCCACCTCCTGGAAGCCATTAGGACGATGTTTTGGTGAGCTTTCTCAGCAGCCAATCCGATCGACACGGTGATCTTTTTTGGCGTCTAGGCCTAAAAGCCTTGAGAAGAGGGGTGGAGGAGGAGCAGGGTTGGAAGCATTAGTGGCATATAACCTGCTATTTCAGCTCCCTTCTGCCTTGATGGTGTTCTTGGAGGAAGGCTTTGTTTGGTCTTTAGATAGTTACGCCAGTATCCGCTTCCCAGTGAATTCGTTGCTTTCATTCGGAGGACCATGTCCTTCCGCACACCCTCTAGCTTCTTTGCCCCGTATCCCCGGGCTCCATAAATCATGCAGGAATTAGAGCCCTGACCTCCCGCAACTCAATCTTGCCATTACGGAAGCAAGGAATTAACTGCCTGCTTGTTGGTGGTCAAAAATGGATCCTGGGGATTTCTAGGCTTGGTTTCGGTGCAAGAAGGCTTACAATGATCGGGTGCATGTTTGCTAAAAAGTTCATATACCAGTTGCCTTTTGTTGAGATTTGATTGTTTTCATATTATTGAATGCCAAACATTTATGTACGAAACCCCATCTTCTTCTATTCTTTGCAAATCTAGACATTCGCAGGGATATAGAAATCGGTTGATCCAAACTGTGAATAAGACCAGCTACAAAACTTGTTGTGTATAGGATCAAATATAGAGTCTATCAAATGAAGAATTTATCATTAAAGCCAGGAGACCGCATATAACACCGAGAAAAGAAATCAATTAGAGGAATCTAGAACGTACACAGCAAAATACTTAGGACAGAGGATGACCTTGATCTACTTGCAACAGTTCCTCCCAGTGGGTGGGATATAATCATTGCAGCTTGATCTTCCCCAATCTCCATTCCAAAACAACGCACCGCCTTAGCGATCCAAATGATACCAAATCAATAGCTCATCTTTTCACAGGAACAGATATTTAAAAAAGAAGTAGTGAACAGTCCCATTAAAGCTAGCCAGCCTTATGATATAAACGCAACATTGCTGATAATGAAAAGAATATAAATGAAAATGGATGTGGGTGTTGCGGAGGTTTTTTTCAATTCAACGATATGGCTCCCCGTTGGCTCGATCGCATATGTAGGAAGGCTTGGAAGCCGCAGAAGACGGCAAAGCACTAGATAAAGCTGCGAGTCAGTTATATGATTCTCGGGAGATGGCGTGATAAAAGGAAAGCTCTTCAGATATCAGGTTTCGGAAGCGCGGAGGCAAAGCCCAGTACCGGGGGAGGGGTGAAAACGTACAGCATAGATGACGACGGCGGTGAATATTGAGGCTGCAACAGCTGCAGGGTGTTCTGCATCCTTCTTAGAGCCGGTCATAGAGTGGTGGTTGGCCTGCGGCGAGAGTTTGATGATATGTTAGTCGAGCTGAAGCTGCGATGCGCGCAGGGTGAAAAGGGTCGGAGACAACGCACTTTGAAGAGAGAGCCGATGACGGAGAGGATGATGACTGCAAATATGGAGATGATGCAGCTATAGATTGAGAGAAAGAGTCCATGGTTAGCGGGCGGAGGCAACGATATTCTTGATGGGATAGGCAGCTCTTACCATGTCCATGCGTTCATAGCAGACACGACGGGCTTCATGGTGGCGGGAGAAGCACGATGACAGAGGCAGATACAGACAGTAGCAGGTAGCAGAAGATAGGATCTACAGCTTTTGCTTGGTCGCTGCGATGCAAGCTATGCTGAGGTCGGTGGTTGGAGGTGTTTACTGGGCTGCGAGGTTACTCGATGTTGCGTCAGTGATGGAAGTTTCGTGAGCCACAGCCAAGCGCTGCTCTCTAACTACGCAGCAAGCCATTTCTCTGTGGACACGAAGAACAACCCAACAACTTCTGAGAGCAACAGACGCTCGCTAGGAGACATTCATCGATATATGAAGCTACTCTGCTATAAACCGGATGACTACAGGTCCTTACAGCTCTCCATTTAGCCAGCGTTTAGTGTGTTCCACTCGATGCACTGCTCGAAAGTGACGCCGGATCCTCCAAAGATATCCAGAGCACTCCCTATCGTGAGATCGACCTTTCCTTTGCTCTTCTCCTTCACCCGTTCAAGGTCTTCTATCCCTCGCCCTCCGCCAGCGTAGGTGACCGGAATAGTGCACCATTCTGCAAGCCTGGACACCAGCTCCTGGTCAATACCCTGTTGTAACCCTTCTACATCCGCGGCATGGATCAGGAACTCAGAACAGTACGGCTCGAGCATGCTGATGGTCTCTAGAGTCCTCGGATAACACTGGTCAGAGCAGGCTTCGTCATACCTCGACTTCGGGGAGGAGGAGGAAGGCTTTTTTATGTCGATCATACAACACGTACCCTGAGTTATCTCCATGTTGGTGACCGTCTGCCATTTGTCCATGGCCACAAACCAGGTATTCCCTCGCTTGCGGCAGCTAAGGTCCAAGACTAGTTTTGACGTGTCACCTCCTATAGCAGCCAGTATAGACTGCAGCCGGTCGATGGAGAATTGAGCGTCTGGGAAGAGATAAGACGTAACCACGACCTAACTATCCGTTTAGATCACCGGCTTTCCAAGGACCGTCTAGCATCCTGAAAGCAAAGGCCATACATAGCCAACAAGAAAAGGTCCAGGATGCGTTTCATTGCTCACTTTTTCTGCGCCAGCATCCAACCAGTACTGCGCATTCTTGTCTGTAATCCCACCAGCAATGTGTAGACCGTCTGGCCATGCCTTCAGAGCTTCGATAGCGGCGTCATCGTTTCCCGGCCCGAGTTTCACGACATGCCCGCCCGTTAGCCCGTTGTCTCTGTATAGCTTCGCAAAATAGCCAGCGGAGTGGTCGGAGACGAAGTTTGTCTTAAGCTCCCCAGGCTTGGTGCTCAGGGTTCCTCCCACTATCTGCTTGACCTGGCCCGCGTGCAGGTCAATACAAGGGCGAAACCGAGTCATATCGAGGGGAGGGGGGGGCGGAGATGTGAAACGGCCTGTCTTAGATGTCTTGTCGCCTCTCCAAACACCCCGCGATGGGTTCTCCGTCTTTATAATTTGCTCGTCATTGAGATAGTTAGCTAATAATAAACATAAGAATCGTATTTGATAATAATCTCTATCGATAGCCCAGGTATTTGTCACGTGATTTACCCAAAAAAGAAAAAACCTGGCGATAAGTTTCTGGATAAGCAAAAAAAAGAGACGTCAAGCCAAAGAGACATAGGATGTTTAATATCTCGTCCGGAGCAGCCACAGAGATTAATAATGCTAGGGAAGAGGAAGAGAGAGGTCACGGTGGCCTCGAGGAAGCAGGCTGCGGCCGTCAAGGACGAGTCTACACTCGATACATCTGCCCAGGATGCACAGGAACGTCTTCGGAAATATTTTGAATCCCGCTTCGAACCTCTGGAATTACCTGGCTCAAGATCAGGGGCCACCTTGGATGGATCCAGTAATGTTTATAACACGGATGACAGCGACCAGGGTGAGTGGGATGGCATTGAGGAAGAGGACAGTAGTGAAGACGAGGATAGCAACGGGCCAGTGCCAGAGGTGGTGGACTACAGCAAAACACCAAAGCTGCGAACGGAGCTCGTTGACAAAGCTACTGTTAAGAAATTTATGGTGAGTGCGCTACTTTCCCTCCCCCCCCCCCCAAATGATGGTCAGAAGCACTGGATTGACCCGTTGGACAGAGCTCAAAACCGCCATCCCTCCTCTCCGACTCTACCAAGCCGGCAACGACGGCGAAGACGAGAAAAGGTGGAGAAGAAGCTACCGATGACCTGACGACAGATGCCGCCAACCTCAAGAATGACCTAGCTCTGCAGCGGCTGCTCAAAGAATCTCATCTCCTTGATTCTGCATCCGACCTCAACCCGACTGGTGTAAACAGGCACAAGGCCCTTGATCTTCGTGCACAAACCGCCGGCGCCAAGACGTCCATTTTCACGCAGAGTAACATGCCAATGTCTCACCGGAAAGGGATATCCGCAAAAGCTACACAAAAAGAAGAGAGACGACGGCGTGAGGCGCAGGAAAACGGGATCATTCTGGAGCGTCCCTCGCTTGCAAAGTCTAAGCCAACTGCCAAAAAGCGAGAGCGCGGTATTGGCGGTCCGTCGGTTGGCAAGTTTGTTGGCGGAACTTTGAAACTCAGTCGTCGGGATGTTATGGCGATTCAAGGCCCGAAATCTAGCAAGAAGGGAGGCAGGGGATCTGGAAAGGGAAAGGGGAAACGCCGCTAGATCCAGAGGGAGGAGAGGGAACGAGAAAAAGAATAAAGGAGAGATGCTGTCAGAGAGAAACTCGCTCTCTAGCTTCTCTCCATTCTTTGCTCCTTTTTGGCATCCTGCATACAACTACACGGTGCACGGTGAGCATATGGATGGAATTCCCTCCTTGGTCTTCGTATCCTTCAGCAGAGCAAGCAAAGAGGGAGCGAGGAGAACGGCGTGTGCGTTCGGTAAAATAAAGTATATTCTTCTCTCTCTCCAGCTTCTTTGGCTTATCGATGTCTATCAAAACCAGACATGTCAACAAGATGGACGATTTGCAGACCAGGGGCAATGTTTCACACCAAGGCCCGTTGTGGAGGCCACGTTCTGACGCCGCAGGTAAACTTACCCTTCTTCCTTTATTTTTTTTTTTTTTATGACGGCTTCTCTCTGCCTTCGATCCATCAATTCCGCTCTCCTCCACTACTAGGGCTGGGCTAACTATCTAGAAGCTATGACCCACACTAAATGCCACCCTTGTTAGGGGTGAAACTGTACCTGAAGCAGACCTCGGGTGCCATCTTGCTCCCAGGATACCTCGAAACGTTAGGCAACCCCATGTATACTGCCAAATGCAGTACAGTGCAGACCTGTGCACTGAGGCCGATAAAGTGAGATCAGATCATCAAATGTGGAATCAGATCAGACTGGAAGCAGTTATTGGAGATCCTGCTAGGACCGGGTATAGAAATTATCCAGTTCCGTATTCGGCGGACGACATGAACGTCATCTCGAGTTTGAACTAGCGTCTCTCGAAGGTGGAGGTGAGAAATGCAACCGTCCAGAAGAATCCCCCAGTAACAAGAGCAGATAGTACTCAGAACCGATAGCTCTAACCAACTCCCCGCAACTTCCTGCTCCCCCTGCATAACTTGGTACTATTATACTCGCCTGTCAGTCAAGCCATTTTCAATCAATCGGTGGAGCTACACCGGTTGTCAGTTCGTTAGTGGCCAAACAGAAGCGCATGTACGACCTGTGACTTCGGCATTCCAACTTCCCCAGCCTAGCGAGAGAGTCCTGGAGAAGACGAGCTCACGCGCACGCATACACAAAAAAGAAAAAAAGGAAGCAAGAAGACGGTCAACAGATGTCAGCCTCATCGAATGCATGTATGTATGATCATAGCTAGATATTTCTTTTCTCACGCCATTCCCGTTTCCGAAAACTCCCCCGATGCAGCCGGCCATGTTCAGTTAGCTGGAAGAGCGATCACTCGTTCATCGAAGCCGACGAAACGGCCCGGGTTCGCCAAGCAGGCATCGCGATCAATATCAGGATGGATCATGAGTGCAGAGACAGCTCGGAAGAGCAGGACCAGAAAGTGTATTATTGGACAGCCCAACATGTCGGTGTACAAAAAGTAAACCGGGCTGGCTGGCTGGTTGGGCGGGAGGAGGTGGCTGGCCAGGCGATGGATGGTGACTTGCAAAAATGCTTAGGTTGAAGCTTGGAAGAGAGATCCTCGTGTTGACAGAGGGGGGAAAACGAGGAGAAGGAGGAGTAAGAGGTTCGTCCGCCATCTGCAGCTAATGAACTAGCTGGCAGTGGTCGATCTGGGGAGGCGATTTGCCTAATCGGTCAACTGTATACGCCAGAATGCCATCCAGAAACAGCAAAGGGCCAGAATCTGAGCAAAGCTACGGTTTGAAGATGTTGCATCATCCTTCGAACTAACGAGTCAGTAAGTTTGCCATCTTAGTGATGGAGAATACGTTCTATCAAGATTAGAGAACATCCAACTTGTTGTTCAAACATATGTACAGGGTGGATGCTAAGGGGTGGAGGTGGTTTGTCTAGCCCTCAGAACTCCGTACTCATCCTCACAACGAACTACAGGTTGACCATTCAGTAGGCCTCTTTGAACACATGCAATAGTTCGGCAAGAAATTTCACGAACTTCGCAATAGTCCATACTGAGGTGTGGAGAGGGCTGAAGAACACCCGAAGAACAATTCGCTAGTAGGCTGGGCACACGTACGATGACCGTTTGGCCGATCACGAATTTGATCGATAAACTGGGAGCAAGTGCAAGTCCACGTCCATCATTGCCGGTGTTTGGTTAAGGAAAAACGGTCAATACGATTCGCCTCGGGGTTCCTTGCTCGAGCTGTCACCGGCTAGTGCTTCTCTAGTCCCTCCAGTCGCTTACTCTGAAGCCTCTTTGTCCACCTCTGAGTATCTCCGAAAGAACGCTCGGAGTTGGCTGCGTGTTTCAGGATCGCCGGTTCCAGAGCTCCTAACCATGTTTTTTCGACCTGGTTTACGACTTCGATGTGTTATGTCAGACAGACAGCTTCTCAGCCAGCCAGCCAGCCAGGCATCCAGTTGCAATAGTAATGGAAGCACGGTGATTAATCAGATGAGATTACTTTAGAGGGGTCGACAGCGGCCCTGCCAATTCTCCAGGGCCAACGGTCTATTACGGTCCATAACGGTCTTCTGTGAGATCCCAGTCGTGTGATGAGTAAATGTGATCTCGAGCATGACATGCTTTTCCCCCTCCCTTTTTTTTTGCTACTCCGGGTTCAGAAGCCACCAGCATGCAGGAATCATGTTTTCAGCAATTGACCTTGGAAGAACGGAGCATGAGCCAAAAGAACTAGTTAGCTCCCCTATGAGCCCCAGAATGGGGAGCAACAGAACAAGATCGAAAAATTTTTCATTGCTTCGATGGAATCATCGCGATCGGCTCTCTCCACCTTGTGGCGTTCCCGAGAACCAGAGCCAGAGTTCTCTCCTCCAAGCCCATAATGCAAGGAGGACCCTGTCAGCAGCGTACGTGGTCAAGAGGGGAAGGGAACAAGAAATGGAGAGGAAGATAGAGGAGAACGATCTGTCCGTCAGCTCACTAGCCTCGCTACCATGACGCCATGGTTGCGTGCCTGGTAGCTCTATCAAAATCATGGAACGCTTCCGCCATGGTCTAGCTCTGTCCCCCCTTTTTCATTCCTGGTTCGGCATCTTTGAGGCTGGAGAACGAAAATGGGATGCAATATGCACCTTCGAACGCCTCTCTCGCCATCGCTAGAGACGATACGGAGTATACTTAAATAAACAACCTTTTTTCCTGCGAGGAGAGCAGGCAGACCGAGCACAAGAACAAGAGGAAAAAGAAATAAGGGGGAGTGAAGCATAAGGTGGTAACCGTTGCCCGATCGAGCCGTAAGCGCTTGGGAAAAAGGATACACATGCATGGATCCACCACTTTGGCATCATATTTTTGAAGACAAGAAGAGGAGGAAAAAGCAAAAACCGTGATATGGCAAAAGAAAGGAAAAGCAAAAAGGACGAGAGAGAGGCAGAACAGAGATGGTAGAATGCCGGCGCCAATAATCTGGTCGTTCTTCACAGCGCCTGAAGATAAGGGAACTACTGTTCTAATTATGGACCGACGGTTTTTTTACGATCTTTCTTTCATGCATATGCGCACATCGTACCAGCGGCGTTCAATGATTGTCTTCGTTCCCCAGGTGCCGGCCTCAGCAGAAGCAGCAGCAAGCAGCAGAACAATGCTTATATATATGTACTCCGTACGGGAAATGGCCAAATGCAATGGTCCTAAATATAGCCGTGCCAGCAGAGGCATGAGGCATCGCAGTGTCCATCTGTATATTTGAATATACTCAGACCTGCAGGTGGATGTGTGTACCTCGCAGCCCAGCCCATCCCTGCCTGGCACATTATATGTCATACGGCCTTGAAACGAGAGGAGAAGCGTGAGTGGAGGAGGATCGCATCCCCGTCGCCCCCTGCACATCAAGTCCGCAGGTTGAACCTGAAACACCCAGGTCTTATATTAGGGGGTTCCACTGGCGTTAGTTTGAATGCCCACCCAGCGCACCGCCAGCCCAGCACATCGCCATCGGCTCGCTATTGGGCAGAGGGGCCAGCAGAGGGACAGGCCAGTGGCAGTACTTTAGAGGGACATCCCTGGGATGCGCTTGTTCGAGGCCGCGAAGGGACATCCATCCATCTCTATCCCTCGACTCTCGCTGGCTGTCAATCGAGCCCTGTATCACCGATACGACCTTACCATCGCCTCCAGGGGGCAAACCGAGCGACTCCGAGCCTGTGCAGGCGTAAAACGCTGACAGTACAGGCGGTACGCACGGCTTGCTGGCGACTGGTACTTCCATCGCTGCGCTGGCGGCTGCAGAGAGCAGAAGTACCTCCCTTTCCGCCGTCTCTTTTTTTCTTGTCGTTGCGGTCCGTCGATACATCTTCTCGCTCCCTCCCAGGTCTGCGATCTTATCTCTCTCTCTCTTTTCCTTTTCCACCCATTCATTAAACGGCCGTCTCTCGCTCTGCCTACCAAATCAACCCACATCCCCCCCCCCCTCCCCGTCCGTCCCCTTTATCCAACCGCCCTTGCGCTAGCCCGTTCTCTTACATATATCCTCAGTCCCTCTCCGCCTCTCTCTCTCACTCTCTCTGCTCCTCATCCTGCCCTCTCCTCGTCTCTCTCTGCCCATCCGCGACTCGACTGCTTCCTTGGGCTGGCCCATCTCATATCCGCCGTCTCATCCCCCGTCTCATCATCCCCGAACAGCTCTTGTCCGCTTGCAAGGCTGAAGGCTGGGCCTTCTCTGCATCTCTCTGACTGCTGAAACCACTCCGGAACTTGAATCAAGCCCGGTCTGCCCCCCTTGAGTACGCTACACTACGCCGTGCCAACGTTGGGCCTTCTATCTATTCACCTACGTTTCGCCTTTTGTCTGTCATATTACTTCTATCTTGCTACCTTGATATTGTCTGCGACTGGTGTTTGATCAGGTTAGTCGGCCTTCAAACCGTTTTACCGACCGTTGAGCCAGGTCGGAACTGCCAGCGCTTAATGCTAATTCAAGGCTCTTCAGGTCAGGCACATCACCATGTATCCCCATGGCGCGCCCATGCCGCCTCCCCAGAAGCCAGAGACCTTCATGCTATCAAACGAAGCCCAGCAGAGCCTGCCGCAGGATGTACAGGTCGCTCTACAGCAGGTTGACAACCGTACGACTTTCCCTCCTCTTCTTCATTTCCGTCGGGTATTGGTTGGTGGCAACTGGGCGCTAACTTCTCATGAACAGTCAAATACTTCCTCATCTCCGCTCCAGTAGACTGGACGCCAGATCAGCTCATCAGACGATTCTTGCTACCCACCGGCGATTACGTCTCATGTGTCCTATGGTATGTCATGCTCACTCGCGGCAACTGATTTGCTGGTCGTTAACCCCAGTAGGAACAATCTTTTTCATATCTCCGGCACCGACATTGTCCGCTGCCTCTCCTTTCGATTCCAGGCATTCGGACGGCCGGTGAAGAACACGAAGAAGTTCGAGGAGGGCATCTTCTCGGACCTTCGTAACCTCAAGGCCGGCACCGATGCCTCCCTCGAAGAGCCCAAGAGCCCGTTCCTTGACTTCTTGTACAAGAACAACTGCATCCGAACTCAGAAGAAACAAAAGGTCTTCTACTGGTATAGCGTTCCTCATGACCGTCTCTTCCTCGACGCTCTCGAGCGGGACTTGAAGCGTGAGAAGATGGGCCAGGAGGCTACTACAGTCGCCGTCAACGAGCCCGCGCTCTCGTTCGAGTTCGACTCCTCACAGTCGCTCTACGAGCAGTTGACCAAGGCTCAGCAGGCAAACTCCTCCTCTTTCTCTGCCGCGCACGTCTCGTCTGCGTTCGCTTCTTCCTACTCGGCCTCGCCCATGCCGCGAGCTACCGATTCCATGCCACCACCGCAGATGGCTCCCCCTGCCATCCCCGTCGTTCACGACGAGCAGCAGAACACAATGTACCACGGCTCCGTCAGCAGCGATCCGATGGGCGGTCAGATCGTCAAGACCGAGGCTGATTACCCGCAGTTCCAATACGACCGCAATGGTGTTCCAGTCTCCAAGGTCCACCAGCGCCATACCTCCATGCCCACATACATGGAATACTCGCCTGCTCCTTCGTTCGTATCCTCTCATTACGATGAGTATGCCAACCGTGGTATTTCCTTTGAGCCTCTAACTCCCCCACAGCATACTATGCATCTCACTTCAGAGCCGGCTTACATTGCCAATGAGGATACCGGCCTCTACACTGCCATCCCAGATATCGGATCAGCCTCCTCCTTTAACCCAATGATGCAACTTCCCCCTTCTAACGTTGCCGCTCCTCACTACTCTACCGCTTCAAGAAGCTTTCCTTCTTCCAGCGTCTATTCCGTCATAGAAGGCTCACCGACATACAAGCAGCGAAGACGCCGCTCGTCCATCCCACCAAGCATCACCAACGCTATCACAGCAGCTACTAATAACTTGCATGTACAATCGCATTCCCAGGACATGCATCAGCCTCAAGTCCCGGTCCAGCCTCATGCTGTCCACCGACCAAGCGACCTTCGTCGCTCCATGTCTACCGCGATTGAAGGCGATGCTTCCCATGAAGACTCGCCTCCGCGTGCCATGTACTCTCAGGGCAGTGTTCACCACTCTCGCACTACCACTCCCCTGCCCAGCCTAGAAGAGAACACGCAGGTGTCTGTTCCCATCTCCATGGGTGAGACAACAACCGTATCCTCATTGTCGAATATGGAGACAATTGATGGCACCGACGCTATGCACCTAATGAACGGGCACCAGGGTGATCGGCCCGGTCCCATTCGTCGTGCCAGAAGCGCTACTATGATGGAGCTCGGCCCATATCCACAAAAGTCTCACTCCTGCCCCATTCCCTCCTGTGGCCGCCTCTTCAAGCGTCTAGAGCATCTCAAGCGGTATGTATCTCCGAAGCCATCCTTGTGCCCTGAATATTGCTGACGTATTTCCTACAGACACGTAAGAACACATACGCAAGAACGTCCATACACCTGCCCTTACTGTAACAAGGCATTCTCTCGATCAGACAACCTTGCACAGTATGTATCCCTTTCTTATCTCATTCAATCTAGGTCTGATAGACTAACTATCTACAGGCATCGCCGTGTCCATGAGACGCAACAGTCTTCCAACACCGGCTCTCAGCCTCCAAGCTTCAAGGAGGATGAGCAAGAAAATGACCGCGAACAGTCAGTCGCAGTCTGCCAGCATGAGCAACAACCACAGCAATCACAACAAGTTCCAACTTCCAGTGCGAACTACCTCCCAACTACCGTCGTTAACATGGCCAATGTCACCTCCATGCACTCGATGGGCACCCATTCCAATCTACCATCCATGGTGGCCCCCCAGATAATCCAACCCCAAATGGTCCAACCACAGATGCTACAACAGCAGATATGAAGTTCTTCCCGCCCTCCCGTTCTTCGTTCCATTTATATAAAGTTCATTTAGATTACGAAAATACACCCCATCAGCCTCTGCTTTCTTATTCGCCTGGGAGAATCGTTCTGCATTTGTTTTTTGCTTTTGGTCTTTTTTTTTTCGACCCTGGACAAACATTCCCGCCTTTTCCCGTCCGGGTGCGCCGTGCCATACCACGGTTTATATATACGCTCTGGGCTATCATGGAGTTCTGTTAAACAGTCCCGGTTAATATAGAGACAGGTGTTCTCTATGCTTTTGGCCCGTCATGATTTTATCATCCTCTACCTACCTTATGTTGCAACGTCATAATCTCGTGGGTTTCCTTGCTTGGATCCTACGTTTCCCTTCCCCGTTCTGTCTCTACATGTTACAGTCTTACCTGTGCGGAACCCCCTTGCCTCGTTCCAGGACTGAACAACTCAGGGTGCTCTTCCGCCTAACCCTTTAATAATGTCTTTTCCTTCCTGTATATTTCCTATCCTGTCCGATGCATACGGTGTCCGTCCCCACCGCCAGAGTCCGTTTTGTCTGATTTTATCAAGTTTTTAAGAAGAATTTTGAATTGTTTGGCATTGTTTTCTTTCCCTGCATCTGTGAGTGTTTCTTTATAAAATGGAAAGATAACAAAAAAAGTGAGGATAGGTGATGGTATGAAGGAAGAAAATGGGCTCCCCCTTGTTTGTTCTGTCTTTTTTAATATTACTCTCCTTTTCATCTGGAAGGATGGGCAGTGGTTTTGCCAGGGAATTGGATATAGGACATGTCTGTTTTCTTTCTCATTTTAATATGCTCTCCTTAATTATAGTCTCTGTGCTAATAGACCTCTTTCATTTACCATTATTCTCTCATTCTTCCTCTACTTCGGTGTCACTTCTCTCTCTCCTTTTCCTTTATATATATATATTCCTCGACGTTGACGTGCACCGTTCTGATATTTGTTAGCCTCGTCTCCTTTTTCCTTTGCTTGCTGCTGTCTCTCAGTATAACTAGCTATTCAAATTACCCTAGCTCATTAAATGATAATTCTGATAATATAGAGCCCCATTCCTATATGAACCTATATGAACTAATACGAACCGATGGCATACTCCGTACTAATGCTATAATATAACGGGCTTCTCCCGTCTTATATCCTAGCCGTAACTATCACCCGACTGCCGTTCCTCACCTGGAACCGCTTCAACGGCGTCGGGTTGCATCTCACTCCTGGCAATATCCCTGTAGATATCTCCGTAAATATTCATCTCCACCATATAAAATAATAAAATTGACCCAACAAGCACCAACGGAGTCCTCTCTTCCCGCCATCTTACCTATAGTACGGAGCCCTTACACTTAGTGAGGCACTTAACCTCTAACTCTGAGGATATCCGCAGCAATTTCGCTGCGTTGTATATATACGAGGCCCTGCCCACTACACCTCCGCCCAACACCAACACCGGGGCCTAGAATCACGGACTGTCCCGTATTCAAACGATCAACTGGATAACCTGTGCTTTTAACTGCCTGAGACCAATTACACTCAGGCCCCCGTCGCCTCGTCTAAAGGTCAAGAGGGCCCGTCGAGTTATGGCTGCTTCAGCCGCGGCAGGTATAGGTACCTCCCGTTAGGCTTCATGGATGACGCAGCGGTGCAACTTTCTTTGCGCTGGGCTGGCTAATGGACAGCAAAGGCTGGAGGACAAGACGTGGCTTTTGGGTTAAGCCCATTCTCGCCATGGCTGAGTGTAAGACTTCTGACTTCGGCCTCATGACCCTCTGTTGCTTCAGAAGGTGAAAAGTAAGCGTGTGGGAAAAGGGGGTTGCGGTAGAACTTCTCCAGAGCTTGCTTGATATATGGCTCTTCTTGTTTCTTGAAAGCTCGCCTCCGCGGACTATCCGGTCAACCCACGAGTGCTCTCAAACCTGCTTTGCTACTTCGGGGCTGCGTTGCTATTTCGGAGCTCTTGTCCATGGCCGTTCATGCGGCTCGGCCGTACATCCGCTTTGATATACCCCTTTAGAGCTACATACATCTTATTTCCTATATAGTCATGGCCTATCCGGGAGATAGGGAGGATAACAGCACATCGCCTCTCCTGGATGATCCCGAGAGACGGTCCGGGGATATTTGGGATGATGCTGCTGCCGTGGCCAAACAGGCAGAGAAAGAAGAGGAGGCTAAAAGCAGCTGGTACTTGTTCCTATTAGCTCTCAGCATCGGGGGGTAAGTTATCTGGTTCAATATCATTCCCATACAACAGCTAATGCATGTTTAGGCTGCAGATTGTATGGTCAGTTGAGTTATCAAATGGATCCGTGAGTACATATCCATGCATCCCATCTCCCTTGTATAACCATGTCTTTTCTTATGGTTTGTATTTGTCAGATGACCTCTAGCTAACGTACCTTACAGCCATATTTACTCTCACTTGGAATGAGCAAGTCATTACTTGCATTTGTATGGATTGCAGGACCCTTGACTGGGACTTTGGTGCAGCCATACGTTGGAATCAGAAGTGATAACTGCCGCGTTAGCTGGGGAAAACGAAAACCCTTTATGATCGGAGGGGGCATTGCTACTGTTTTCTCTTTGCTGGCACTGGCATGGGTAAGGGAGATAGTGGGAGGAATCCTATCACTACTTGGAGCACCTCCTGAATCGTCCGGGGTCAAAGTAACTATCATCGTGGTGGCGACTTTACTGATGTACTGCCTTGATTTTGCTATCAATACGGGTATGTACGCAACGTAGTAGTTGACAACTCAATGCCCTTGCATACTAATTTGAACTGATAACTAGTACAAGCGGCAATTCGTGCTTTCATAGTTGATAATGCCCCTGCACATCAGCAAGAAGCTGCAAATGCATGGGCAAGCAGGCTGACAGGCATTGGAAATATTGTGGGCTACATATCAGGCTATCTGAAACTCCCCGAGATATTTCCTTTCTTCGGAGATACTCAGTTCAAAGTCCTTTGCGTGATTGCATCCTTGTGCCTGGGGCTTACACTCCTGGCCAGCTGTTCATACATCACCGAGCGTGACCCACGGTTAGAAGGGCCCCCGACATCAGAGAACCCAGGCGTCCTTGCATTTTTCGTGCAGGTGTTCAAGTCAATACGAAGGCTACCTCCCCGGATTCGAAAGGTCTGCGAGGTCCAGCTCTGTGCATGGGTTGGCTGGTTCCCATTCCTGTTCTATTCAACTACCTATATCGGACAGCTCTATGTCAATCCCATATTTGACCAGCACCCTCACCTGTCCAAGGAGGAGATGGATGCTGTCTGGGAAAAAGCAACTAGAATAGGTACTTTCGCCCTTTTGATATACGCCATCACCTCGTTTGTAGGAAGCATTGTCCTGCCCCTGGTGATTGTGCCGGGTTATCGACCACCGGTTGCATCAGAAGCGAGCTCTCCGCCCCAGAACCGGCCATATTTGAGCAATCGACCGTCGACATCGACGCTTTCTTTCACCGCGTCAGCTGGTTCTGCTATCGAACCGGCCGTTATCGAGCCAATCCATGATCCCAGCAGGTCGGATGAACGAGGAGGGGGGAGGTGGTCATCCATCCTCTCCAAACTGCAGGTTCCCGGTCTCACTCTGCGCAAGCTCTGGCTCATCTCGCATATTCTCTTCGCACTGTGCATGTTTAGCACGATCTTCGTGTCGTCGCCGGCAGCTGGAACAGTGGTGATCGCAACCGTTGGCCTATCCTGGGCACTCACTCTCTGGGCCCCCTTCGCACTTATCTCTGCGGAGGTAGCACAGCGTGATGCAGCACACAGACGGCAAAGACGTTCGCTCCGGCCTCGGACAGCTTCAGATCCTTCTCCCATTGGCCCTCGTCCACGCCCTTTGCAATCTCATGTTGGAGCCCATGAAAGAGACGTCGAGGAAGAGTCTAGTGCTAGCGTGGTTGACCATGATGCAGGAGATAAAGATGAAACAGTCGACCAGGCGGGGATTATCCTGGGAATCCATAATGTCTCGATTTCGTGTCCGCAGATCGTATCGACCCTGATCAGCAGTGTTATTTTCAAGGCCCTCCAGAAACCGCGGGGAGCAGCCTGGGATGACAGTGTTGGATGGGTGCTTCGGTTCGGGGGTTGCGCTGCCCTGGGAGCGGCATGGTTCACTAGCACGATGGGTGACGGGCCTTCCCAGAGCACTGAAGACGAGGCCGTCTAGAATATTCCTGTTTCCATTTCATGGATGTTGTCCAAGGCAGCGCTTGGTTAATGCTGTTCCGTATGCCCTGATCTACCCTTTTCCATGACCAAATTGGTAGTCAGACAACAACTTTTAGCATGGTCATAGCTAGACACAGGTAATTGCTATTTGATAATTATTTGCTCTGTATAATATCATGAATACAGTTTTTGAAGGATTGACCATCGTTTGCTTCCAGCCAAGTTTTGTTAATAATTAACTGCTCATGATTTGGGGCGGGCATCTGCACTTAGAATCGCCCCTGTGGTTGAATGACAACCAGATATCAGCAACTATTTGATATACATTCTAGCCATTAGACGGGCCATCTTCTTGAATAATACCCGCATCACAATATGCGCCAAAACCTGCTGATATCTCTGTCATCAGCCATTGGGCTTAACCATGGACCCTACTAGGAGCCTGTTGACGACCCTAGCAACAAGTCAACCCGGCAGCAGAGCTCTTGGTCATGTTGCTGTATAGTTACTCAACATGCGCTGTATCGATGCCGTTTCTATCTGATTCAAGGCCGTTTCGTTCAACTATGAGCCTAGCAGGGCCCTGTCAGCTGGCTAGTTAACTAGTTAACGAGTTAGTTTTCTGTGGCGTGAGGATGCTGCTGCTGTCTTACTCCCCCTTTTCGTTATTATTGAGCCAGGCCGGTTGACAACCAAAGTCGCAATTAACTAGCAGATGCTGTGTAGCTCTCAGCTCGGCGCCAGCAGTGCTTCGTTACACTGTGCTATGCAGTTCCTGCGCCCGAGCGAGTACATCCGATGCTCGTTGAGAGCACAAGCGGGTCATGCATCTGGATGTCACGTCTTACAGCATATCGGATCCCTCGGAGTAAGCTATTTATTCGTTTATTTTGGCGTGCGAGGGAGGAACTACAATACCATGCCCTGGGTCTAGGTCAAATACCCCCTACATATACGTACCTGCTGATTCCTCAGCGGTAATCCCAGGTTGGCCTGAGGATGAGCTCACCGTTGGTTGTGCTACACAGATCTCGGCTGGACTCCAGATGGGCCTGGGTTGATGTACAAGACCTCAACCGGTATCAACCAGCCTGACTACACACTTGCCTTATGACCTTTGGATTAATTTATGGCATACCGATGCGGCGTATGGTTGCTACCGGACATGATACCAACATCTCTTTCCGCCTTCCCCACCCCCAACCGTCGGCTAATGCTAGGCCGTTGAGAGCGTCCCAATGATAGCCTTGTGACCAGCGTACTGCAAATTGATGTTAAGCGAGAAAGATTTGGCATACCATGAACTCGTTCAATGCAGCCTTCTCCAGTCTGTATGTCTAGATCAATCTTCTCTGCGGTCACAAGGGATGCCTCTTATTGCGGGAAGTCGTGATATCCAAGCTCGAAAGAATGGATATAAAATCAGGGAATAAATCCACGTCTGACGCTCTCAATTCGGAATACTCAAACCTGGCTGCTTCCTTGAGTATAACACAAAAACAGCATACCCATCATGAAGTTGATTTACCTTGCTTTGCTGAGCAACCTTCTGAACTCGCCTTCCTTAGCCCACGCTGCTAACGTGGCTGTAAGGAAGATTGGGAAGGACGCTATAATTAAAGACAACAAGGTTACGTGGATGGGAGAAGATGGCTTTCAAGATGGCTTTTCATGCCCAGATACCCATGTCCTCCAACCAAGTGCTGATCAGCAGTCTGCTTCCTGCTGCTTGCCCGGCCTAACTCTCAAGGGCAGTTCTACCACGTCGTTTGACTGCTGCGCTGAAGGTCACGATTTAGCTGGCTCTGAGGCTGTCGGCTATATCTGCTGTCCCACTGGACAGATCTACGATGGGAAGGTTTGTAAGAACGGCAAACCACTCGTGGAGGGTAAATGCGCTTGCTCCGAGGATAAAAATGTGACCTCTGAGGGATGCTGCGAACCTGAGGAATGCTCATCCGGGCTAAAGACTGGTAGGTGATAGTCTCCTGTCAGCGACTATAAATACCATAAAACTCACCCTTCTAGGAAAATGCTATACGTTCAAGGAGAGTAACGGCTACCTTCTCGGCTACCTCCGTACTGGAAAATACTATAATGCAGCTCCAGATAGCAGAGATCGCATCTTTGGAAAGTTCCAGCTCTGCAGAGACCAGTTGTGTAACCCGGGACGCCCAATCAACGCCGGAGACGAGCTTTATATCAAAGACCTCCACGGAACCCCTATGGACGGAGCAGATGCAGGTCAGTGGATGAACAATGCGGCTGACGGGCCTCATATCGGCAAGACTCCAAACTTTGCGATGGCGGGCAGATTTGCAATCACCAAGTGGCCTTGCGGCAAATACTGCATTACAGGGGCTGAGCTAGGCCTTGGACCTGCATGTCCGGCGGATCAACCCGCTCTTACGTTTTACACGCGGTCTTCTGAGCCATGCGTCCCATATGAACTTACGGAGGTTCCATGCAGCGTGAGAAGTATCAAAAATAACTGCATCTGGTACAATGGCAAGGACCAATGCTGTGACAAGATTGACTGTTCAGAGAGAAAATGCCACAAATAAGTGGGCCTCTAGTCACTTTCGCTTTCGGGTTTATTTCTTTCGGGTTTAAGGCATTTTCTGCTTCACTTGTTATTTCAAGTCGGGCGGGTAGTCACTTGGATAGGTAATGAATATGTGCTTCAGTGACTCTTGGTTTGGCGGACCTGCAGTGACTCAGTCGAGAAGCTCTATATAAGAACAACTCCTCGCCGTGGTGCCTGTGTAGCAGCTTAATATTTCTTCTCTCTTCCATATCCTAGGACTACTCCCCAGATTTAAACTTACTTACCTTATTATACATGTGGATCTGTGGAGCATATTATTATATCAACTGCTATCCTAATATCCGCACCAGCACTATATATGGTGTCCAACTTCGCTGCTTATCTCCCTCGTTCTTGATGAGCGAGCTTATCTGAAGGGACCCCGGGCTAAAGCAACAAAGCATAAATAAGGCACAAGACTGCAAAGACACTGCTACTATCAAACAGCCGAGCCAAAGGGCGAGCCTACACTCGTGGTCAGCAGGTTGAAAGTTATATTTGACAGACAAACAATTTAACCAAATCCCCTAAAGGGAAACTCTGGAAGCTTGCCCCAGACATGAGGAAAGCTACAAGTCCACGCCTGGGCGTCAAACTCCTTTATTCAACCGCATGGCACCCGCAAACCGACGGTCAGTCGGAACGCACTAACCAGTCTGTCGAACTAAGTGGACGACTGGGAGGAAGCCCTTGAAGAAAGGGATATATGTGTCTGGCGGGAGACGACGTCCTTCGCAGGGACGTCCAGCAGAACCGTGGATAGGGACTGGCCACCTCACTATACAAAGCAACTCGACCAAACGATAGTTATTTTGGGCTGTGCTCTAGTAGCAACATAGCACAATGGAACGCATGGAGTTGACGTGGGTACGGGGAAAGGAACCAACAAGAAAGTCCACGAATATCAATGACAGTGATGAGAGTAATGGGTACCTCCATTCTTCCCATTGCCTGCCTTGCACATCTACCTATAGCTCAGTGATTAACAGGAGAAGAAGACATCCCCAAAATGGCATCTATGATCTATCGTCTTCAGAATATCCTCCCATTAGCGCACCATCTGCTTGGTTGTTGCATGAAACCTCAAACATTACTTTCTATTTGATATATATATACCTTAAAGTACATTTTACTCTATCTTATTTTACTTATCTCTTATATAGATCTTCTACTTCCGCTTCCTTCTCCTTTTTAGATAGAATACCCAGCCCCCCTTAGGGTCAACCAGGTAGTATTAGGAATGTTGTAGTAGTAGGAGAGAGTGGCTTAAGATACACAGACGAATAAGAGAATAACACCCTAGTGTTTTTGAACGTACTATTCTCTCGAAGAGTAGCATTTCAGCAAGCACTTAGGTGGTTGTTGTTCAATAGAGACAAAACGGCCGTCGAACAAGTCTTAAGCGAAGTTTGCAGTTCTCGAGAAAACAACAGCTAGCCAGCTTATTACATCCTAGCTAGAACAACCAGGTAACCGCTATCGAATACTGTCTGTGGCTATGATATCTCGACATCTCGACGTCGATGTTCTGGTGTTTGCTCGCTGTCGCTCTCGACGTGACGTTGAAATTGAACTTCCGGCGGATGACACCGATGCACGTGACTTGGGGTCGACTTGGCCCGATTCGGGCGGATCTCATAGAAGGAAGAATAAACAACTCCAAGCAGTGCGATATCAGAAGCTCTCTTCTCCTCCAGCAGCGTCGTTTGCCCCCCTATAGGTTACCGGTAGAAGCTCTCCCTGGAGACTATGAGCGCAGCCTGCCTTTCTAATCGACTTACCCAGTCGCGTCCGTATCCTCCCATCTGAAATCCGGCGGCCTGTTGCCCCATCGTCATCAAGCACCATGGCGGCCAATTTTCTAGGCGGGGTTATATCAAAGGTTTTAAGTGAGCAGCCTTCTCCCTGTAATGGGGTGGACCATAAAGAAGTACTTGACTGACTGGTTTTCTCTGTAGGGAAGAGGGAGGAGGAAGAAGACCCTGATGGTATGCACCGACCTAAAGTGCCACTCGCCAGCCCAGCCCGATAAAAGAAGCAACCTCGAGCTTTATGCACATTGAAACTATAAGGGAACGAATGATTTACTCTGACGGATTATTGCAGACTCTCCGGAAGCTGGAGAACGGGAGTTCTGGACTTCCTGGGCTCTCTTCATCCTAATTGTGCTGTTGATTACCGCCCTGTTCACCAGCTACTTGCTTAAGCAGAAGCGCATTCAAGCGGTACATGAAACGGTTTTGTCTATATTTGGCGGTACGGTCTTCCCTGCCTCCGTGTTAAGAGGATCGGCACAGATGTTATTGGCATGCTAACACAGCTTCTAGGAATGGTTGTTGGTTTGGTCATTAGATTTACGCCCGGAACATTGATCCAGAAGTCAGTCAGCTTTGACTACCAGTTCTTCTTCA